TATGGCAACAAGCGGAGAATCTCCTAATCCTCTCAACGTTCCTTTCCCGAATAGTGCCCTACGAAATCAACATTCCCCACTCTCAACGGATACATTTACAGACTCCACACGACAGGCTCTATTAGCGAGCATGTCGCAACCCGCTGGCTTCAATCACCGCAAGTATTCTCAACCCGCAAGTGGACTCCTAAATAGCCGAGAATTATTCGCCCGCTCGACTGGCTTCAACAGCTCCGGTCAACTGCCCAGTACCTCCGATTTACAACGATATATCTCGGCCTACCTAAACTACTTTCACCCGCACATGCCCTTCCTTCACACCCCGACTCTCAACTTTCAGGCTCCCGAATATACCAATAATCTGCGCACGCCAAGCGGACATCTCAATCTAAGTTCGACTGGTGTTTCAGGTGGGGGAGGTTGTTTGATTCTGTCAATGGCTGCCATCGGGGCTCTGTACGAACATGACCCGGCGGCTGCTAAGGAGCTATTTGAGGCCGCAAAGAAGATGATTCAACTCTACCTGGAAGAGCGCAGAAAGGCCGATATGTCTGCAGCTTTGAGTCGTTCAGACATTGGTCGCGACAACTCGGTTCACACTACACCATTGTGGCTGGTACAAGCGATGCTGTTGAATGTGATATACGGCCACACATGTGGGGACAAAACTTCAGCAGATATCGCTAGTACTCACTGCGCGGCACTGGTCAGCCTGGCCCGTGCAGCTGAACTGACACACCACTTGGACCCGAAACATCTACCACAAGACCATCTCACCGCTGGGATCAATGGTTCAAATGATACTGAAAACTGGATGTCTTCTTCGTTTAGCCAGCCCAAGGAAAGACGGGACTGGCTGAACTGGAAGGTGGTCGAAGAACGAAAGCGCACTCTTTACGCGATTTTCACACTTTCAAGCTTTCTAGTATCGGCATATAACCACGCGCCAGCTTTGACAAACTCCGAGATTCGACTTGACTTGCCCTGTGAAGAAGACCTGTGGGCTGCCGAGTCTCCCCAGGCATGGAAAAAGATGGGAGGCCAGACGGCCTCAAAGAAAAGTGTCTCGTTCTCCGCTGCTTTGACCTCCCTTCTCACAGCGAGCCAACGACAGCAACAAAACCAGTCCCAGAATCTCTTTTTCAGTGGTGGAAGCACAGACGATCCAATAAATGCAGAAAACCGACCTAGCACATTCGGATGCCTCGCTCTCATATATTCACTTCACAACTATATATGGGAAACTCGACAACGGCACATGGGGCGACAATGGACTGCACAAGAGACTGAGGCCATGCAATCACACATCGAACCTGCACTACGAGCGTGGCAGGCAGCCTGGGCAAGTAACCCCGTGCACAGCCTCGAACGCCCGAATCCTTTTGGTGCTGGGCCTTTGTCTGCAGATAGCATCCCGTTATTGGATTTGGCGTATGTTCGATTATTCGTCAATTTGGGTCGAACAAAAGAGGCCTTCTGGCAACGTGACTGGAATGGTATGGCGGACGAACTCGCACGTGGCGGAGAAGTTTTCCAACAAGTCGACACTTCCATGGGTGACGTCGTAGATCCATCTCTAACTGGATCACTTGATGACCGACGGGGATCAATCAACGATCTTGGCGTTGCGGATCTTGCAATCTCGCAAACCCCTACCCAAGAACGGCCAATGCAGTCCTTGTCAAGTGTGTACAATATCGGCCAGTCCAAGCGTGAAAAGAACCTACGCAAGGCAGCTTTCTACGCCGCTGACTCTATTTCAATGTCGGATCGATTGGGCAATACCTTCGCCGAGTTTACATCAAGGGAACTCCCCATCCAGTGTGCAATGTGTGTCTTTGACTGCTCACAGGTGCTGGCTGAGTGGATCACTACCGTTCAAGAACGGGTCGGCCCCTACCTCGGTATCCTGGGCCGAGATAATCTCGACCTGACACAGGTCCCCGGAGTCATGTTACTTGAGGATGAAGATTGCAAGCTCGTGGAAAAAATTAAGGAGATACTGAAAAATGTAGAGACCAAGATGCAAGGTCAGGTACAGAACAACAACTCTATGTCTGCGCTAAGTGTTATGCAACGTCTGCCAAGCGTGGTGGAAGGAGGATACGGATGTAAAATATTGATCGCCACGGCAAGCTTATTGGACCGTGCTGCCGTTTGGCCAGGTAAGACACATCACTACCACTACCTTTCGAACAACATGATACTAATATGTCATTTCCAGTGACGAAACTGATGGTCCGCTCCCTCGAGGCACAGGCCATGCGAATGAAGGAGCGAGCAGAGCACTCCGTTATGATGACCACTTAATGACGACTTTCCTTTCCTCATGAATGATGTTATTCAATTCTCGTTTTTTGTCAATCTGTCCTTTGCACTGTTCGACTTGTTATACGTTTATCTTGTCCGGCCTGCCTCGGTGGCCTGCTTCGAATCGATATCGATACCCCGATCGAATCTATCATAGACGAATGCCATGCTATGTGACTTTTATGTTTTATTGATATTTGATATTATCTCCATGAGGCTTTGCAGTATATTCTTTGGGTTGTGCTGCGTGCATGTATTTGATTCTGATGAACATGACCTTCTCATATGAGTTCCTTGATCACTGTGAACGCTTGCTCTCGCGGGGGCATTGTGTTGATTATTCTTCTTATTTTTTTTTTTCTGTGTCCACTGTCCAAATATGTGGATTATCTCATGTGAATTACGGTATTATTGGAATTATATTTTCATTCACTGCCGAACCCGTATAGACTTCCGTGGTGGCCTTCGAGGCTTACACCTTGCGGATAGACGTGTGACTGTACCGAGGTACTGAACTACGTCTTCCTGCCCCACTCTTCGTGCGTTTCCACAGATGATCGATGTTCCAAATCAGCCCCGACAGCCTTGGAATCCTTCGAATGACTGATTGCCTCGAAAAGGGTTCACCGATTGAACATCGTGTTCATGTAAATAAGCAGCAACTCTGGAATTTTCCAATCGCAAGGCCCCCTCATATGCATGCAGCATTGGAAGCAGTCCCATCCAAACCATTCCTATCAGCTCAAGCATCGGTCAATTACATAATTGGAGATGTAAGACCAGCAGACACATTTCATTTCCAATATCTGGCTCGGTGAATTCATTTAGGTTCTTTATCCACGTGGGCATCCAAACTAAGCCTTATGAGTCTACGACAATCATCAAATTCTATACCTCTCTAGAAGTCAACGCCGCAGACTCCAAGGCAAACTATCTTACAGAGTAGGCACTTCTTACCGAGTAGCCACTCTGACACTTTCTTTCCCCATATGCCCATGCTTCCAAATTCAGTAAGCGAGGGTCAATACTCCTTCACTGCAACTTGTATGGCCCTCTCTAAAGATATCTCGAAAAATTCTCGTCATAGACTGATCTCACCAAATATAGACTGCTTATTAAGTTCGGAACACCATACATTTCCCACCGCTATTCTGACCGCGGGGATCTCACTTCCATAATGGATGGCCTAATTAGGTGCGGCCTTGCGTCGGTTCCGACCAGAGGAAGGTCCGATCCATTGATATTTTTAGAAAGGCCCGATATCTCGAATTTTAACCCTTTTCTTCTCTTTGTTCTCCTCCCTCATCCTCATAATCTCTTTTTGCAAGCCAAATTGTTAGATCTTTCAATTTTTACACATGGTGACCATGCAGCAAATGGAAGATACTCAGTGATTTTCAAGGTATCGATCTAAGACCAAAAACAAGAGATATGTAAGCTTATAAACAAATGATAGCATCCGTAATCCAGATTTAGAGAGGTCTTGGTAATGGAGTAAAACATAGCAATTCACAAAAGCGACGGGCGAACATTCCTTCAGTCTAGTGCCAGTGTATAGTCCGCTGAGACCGTGAGGCCTTGATGTCTCAGGTGAACGGGCTCCGAGCCATGTTGCAAAGGATTCCATGCAGCGGACTAGCACCGCCTCGATTAAAAAATCCAAATGTTCAACCCCATTATTCTACAGGAGATTTGTGACTTCACTGCCGAAACAAAGCGAATGACGGAATACGAGAAGTCGGGCGCGGCCGCAGAACCTCGACTTCCGTCACTGAGCGTCATTCTAAGGTTTGTAATCTCGTATCCATGTATCGCAGTTCGACTGGTGGCTTTGAAGGTTTTCTCAGTACGCTTACATAGCAAATTTGAAGCCTGTATAATATGCCAGCTACATCGATGCCTGAGTGATGGTATAGATAGTATATGGAATAGCCGCCGCTAATAATGCTCTTCTTTGTTTACAGTAGTGTGTTTCTACTAATTGATCTCTCCATCCTTCAGTTCGAAATATAGTTATGCCAGAGTTTAATCGTTGCTAAGGCTCCAAGGGGCTGATGATGAATGTCTCACCTGGATCGAGATGGACGAAGGCAAATCTCACACCAGGATGTAATTCTCGATTTACTCTTAAGCAGGAACTCGGAATTCCATGCCGGCTTGGGTCGTGTTCGATGAAAACAATAGGATGCGTTTCAGTTGATGTGTCCCCCAATCCAGGTTATGGCAGTGTCAAAATGTACATGTGACTACAATGTCTACAATTTGAGGAGTGTGCATATCGTTCTTCCATTTTTTAGTCAAGTTTAGCGGCATAGCAAGCTAGTGATTGGACATTTTAGTCTCGAGAGCTGCAGTTATACGGGTCAGATTCCAGGCGTACCATTGAAGAGTGCAGTTTTTGCTATAGCCTTGCGATGCTAGTGGGCCCATCTACCCAACGTTGCAAGCTGAGCAGGTACGGTGAGAAGATATTGGGGCCCTGACCTTCGTATTTTCAAGAATAGATTGACCCCATGACACTATCTGCTTCTGAGATCGCTCAGTCGGTCGAATATAAAAAGAAGCCATTGCCTTGCTGTTTAGTCTCTGATCCAGTCACAGAAATACATTACAACTCGAGTTTGCAAACATCAAAACCCCAATCTTCCTCAATACCATCAGATCTTTATCTACCTCCCATATCAAGCAAGATGCAGTATATCATTGCTCTCTGTTCTCTCTTCGCCATTGCCGTTTCTGCCGGCCCGGTTGATATTCGCTCGCAACACCAAGTTACCTTCGCCTTGTCAAACGACCAGTCAGGAGCCTATTCCAGTGCTACGTTCTTGACCGATGGGACGGATAAGAACGTGGGTGCTCTTTTTGCTGGTACTTCGGTTGCCGCCAGTGGCAAAGTCCTAGCCAGTTCCGGGCAATTGACTGCATTCCCGCAGACAGTCAACTGCGTACTCAAGAACAATGGGGCTTATATTACGACACTGACAGCCCAAAACACCTACGTTGACCTTGACGGAAACCCCAGTGTCTCCACTCCAGTTAACTTGAGTGGTGCCACCATCAATTGCCATGCCTGAGATCCTCATGGGTAATGTGTCCTATTTACGCAGGTGGATCAAGTTTTCGGTGGACTCTGATTATGTCTTTGAAATTGTATCTACGAGCTAGCTAGAGCCAGAATTGGATCTCGTCTTATTTAACAATGAAGAGCTTGTGCGAATAGCATAAAAACTTCCAGTTCGTATATTTTCCGATGTGATGAGAATGATTGTTCATAGAGTCCTATAAGTGAAGCTGCATTGAGAAATATGTAAGATAACTCAGATTTGAGGACACATTACTTTCAGATATACTTTCATATCATTCTTTTGGCGTTCGTGAGCTCCCAATTGGTAATTTAGATGACTGCTTTGCCAGACGACTGAAAGCTATTGGGTACTTAGGAACTAGCAGCGTGGTGAGGCCCAAGTGCTTCTTTGGGTGGAGGCTGAAGACAAACTGAGCGCTCTTTAGTTAGATCTTATCAGTTTCTGATTAATCTCCGGGTTATCAGTGAGCGATCAGCGAGCACTCATAGCCTACATGTGGAAGAGGCAAGGTCGATTAGTTATGGGATTTAGATCTGGCCGAGCCATTACATAATCTCCGTTGCTGGGGCACTTCACGCGTTAAGTGCTTTTCGCGTTAGGCGCCTATCCTACCTCACCGATAGGAACTCAGAAGACCATCGAAATGACGACAACCCCTCAAACGGGTCTGTGTCTGGATGCTTCGTCGCAGCTTCCGACCGCAGCCCTCAACCCCCAACGCCGCGCAACGGCACTCCTCTAATTCTCGATGCCAAACCAGTTACGACCCGTCTCCCCGGTCGCTCTCGAAACATGCTCCCCTCCACCCGCCGACTCAGACCAGAATCCATATGAGCTACTAGGCTCTGATGATGAACTGGATGATTTGGCTCGCGCTGCGAAGCGTCAACGAATTGAGAAGCTAGCGGAGGCATATCTACGGGGTCGGCCTTTGTTTATTGCCTCCGCGGCGCTGCGTGGGCCATTCGATGAGGGATGGAAGAACCCGTGGAAGAAGAAGCGGAAGATCCTTACGAAATCCGATGCAAAACTAAGCGTTACGGACTCTGGAGTGCGGAATGGGACCCACGGGACGATTGTTCAGGAGACCGACGTACGGAACAAGAGATATAAAACCGATTTGGCGGGTCCTTCTCGTCCTACTGTTTCGGCGTCTCCGATCATCCCGGCTTCACCTTCCGCAACTTTGATTGACAATCGACCTACTTCTCTTCCTCCCAAGTCAGGACAGAAGAGGCCCTCTAGTACTGCTTGTGCGGAGAGTAGTCGAGCTTCGCCCCGGTTACCTAAGCGGTCGAAAGAGCGGCCCCAGTTGGAAGTTGACGCTACATTTGCAGAGCCCGCATCAATAAGTTGGCTGAAGAAAGACAGGCGGCGAATGAACTTCAAGTCGTTCGAACCGCCTAGTTCTCCAACGCCGAAGAGTGATCATAGCGGGTGGGAGATAGGTCCTCGTCCCCGTGAACCACGCTCTGTGGCTCCGGTATCATCTCACGCTTCTTCGAACTTGGTTACGCCTGCGGCTGCCACCTTTTCTGAGCGGCTGCCACAAAAAGCAACTACTAAGGCACCTCCACAAGTTGTCCGGCCGCCCGCACAGGGTCCGCACCGGAGCCCCATCGCTGCTATCCCGTCTCCAAGTAGAATGGCTTCTCCAAGCTGTGAGAAACAGGATTCATTTCGTGTAGTGTCCTCGACTTCGCAGCTCGCGCGCTTCGAGTATAGGCTCCGTGCACCTGTCTCAAGCACACGGTCCAAGTTCAATTCACCGGCTGCAGAAAACGTTGCTGCAAAGCCATCCGCTCCAGCCGATGAAGGCCGTCATGCCGTTGCATTGGAACAAATCGAGGTAGCAGAGCCAGTTCATTCAGCGGAGCCTGAGGCGACTGGTAATGGGTCTAATGAACCTGAGAAAGCTGGCCAGGAAATAGGCCAACATATAAACTTATCAAAGAGCCTGCGATTCGCCAATGATACCGATGGGACAACATTTACGAGTACGTGTTTGCCGACTACATCAGAAAAAAATACCTACGATGAGCTTCCATCTGCACAGCAAGTGGCCGTTCTGCCAGGCCTATCAGACCGCGTGCCATCTCTTCACTCGACAATCGTGCCTAAAGAGAACTCAAAAACCCACGGACACACCAGTCCTGATACACAACTATCTACACAAGCTGCTCTATTGCATGCACAAAAGTCTTTCCAAGATGACTTGGAGAGCCCTGCTCAATACGGCATTACACCAGCCCCGCAGCGCGCGATGGCCAACGTGGGTGATGAGTCCCTACTTGCACAGGAAACGCCTCTCTTTAGGCCCGATACCTCGGAAAGGGCATTGCCTCACAGCTTCAGAGTACCCGAGACCAGACAATCTGAGAAGAGTAAGATGCAGGCTATGAGCACACAGTGCATGATTGACGCTGCAACTCCCTTTACTTTCAGCACTGATAAAAAGTCGAGAGCTTTTCGCTCGATCTCGCCGCGCAAGACCAGCCCTGTCAAGCCGCGAGCCATACATACAGCCGAAGCTCCTTCCCCCATCACGTCATCCCCGATTTCGGTCTTTGATCCGGATTCCTACACAGCTCAGCATCAACTTGAAAGCTCGCATCCTCCGTCCGCGCATTCCCCACCACCTGATCATACTTCTATTCACCCATCCACTACAGAAGGCACTTCACTTCCTTTTGTTCTGAGTGAATCAACACCTACCACTGCGCAGGATGGACAAGGAGGACTCCAAAATGCGGATAGCTTCAATCTCAGTCAGGCCATCGCTGATGCTGGCAGCTGGCTACAGCAAAGTTTCAAATAAAAAACATGCATGAACCCGATCAGATGAACAATCAACTACATCCGATGCCCACCTCTGGCGTTGAATTTCGATAAACAAGATATTGGGCTTGGGGTTTGATGTGGGCCCTTGGCTATGAGCTGATCGTTTTCTTTCTTGTTTATTCTTAGCTCATGATTCCCCTTTTTCATTTTGGATTTGTACAGCGTGCTTTGAGCTCTAGCTTTGGAACCGAGGCCCATTAATGATTTATGAAGAACATTTTCATACCTTGCTCAATGCACCCATAATATACTGTCCTGTCGTGGATGAAAGATCCATGTAATCTTCATGTCCCGGTTTCGTAGACATATGAAGCACTGGGATTAGACCTATTTCCATATATGTATGGCAAAAAGCTGTCTTAATTTTCGTTTCTGTCCTTTTCTTCTTTTCTTCTGTGACTCTGCCTTGATTTGTCTTTGAATCCTAAGGCAACAGAGCTAGGAACCCATAATTTACAGAATCCATTGCGCCCTTATGATTTACCTATACTTTTTGAGGTAGACATCCGCTGCAAATGTATTTCAGCACTGAAACTGAATATCCGATGAGATATAGTAAATGCTTCTTGTTTATCTCTATCTGTTACCTCGCGATCTTTTGTAAATCATCTAGCTGTTGTCTTGTTTACTGGTATAGATCCGCAAGAACTGAGTGGTCCGTGCACCCGCAGCGGGGATAGCTCCAGGCCGCCTCCAACATAGCTCCGTCACCAATCGCCGGCCAGCAGCGCAAATGGCACTGACATCAGTATGCTGACTCTCATGCAACTCTGTGCGGCTCAATCTAATTATGTTCTCAGTGGAAAGCGTTCAACTTCATCGACGTCTCCCAAGTGAGGCTACCAGAGGAGAGCTCCGCGCTCTTTGGTGTACGTTTCTCCAACTTGTCTTCTCTCCGTTGCCATTCCTGTCCACTGACTCCAAGCCCTTAGAGCGACCTCTCAAGCCTTTGCACTGGCTCTGCGAACCTATTTATCGGCACAACCGATGGATTCGTCCACATACTCTCCTCGTCCTTCCGCATTGTGCGCTCGTTCAAGGCGCACGATGCGGGCTCGATCAACCATATGAAGCAGATAAATGGAACCTCGCTTCTCGTGACTGTCGCAGAGGATCTGTCAAATGAGCCTGTTCTCAAGGTCTGGGCCCTGGATACCGAGAAAAAAGATGGCGGACCGCGATGTTTGTCGACGGTCTCCGTGCAAAATGCTAGGCGACAGTTTCCGGTGCGCGAGATCCCCATTGAGCCTCATTTATCGCGGCGTAGTTGAGAAAGGACTGCAGGTTCACTGACTGAAAATAGATCTCCGCATTCGCGGCTGTCGATGATCTCTCACAGGTGGCCGTCGGCTTCGCGAACGGTTCCGTGACCATTATCCGTGGCGATTTGATCCATGATCGGGGCGCGCGCCAACGTATCGTCTTCGAGTCGGAAGAGCCGATCACAGGCCTGGAAATGCAGGATGGGCAGGTGACTGCGCTATACATCTCGACTACGAGCCGTATCTTGACATTGATTATCGCGGGCCGAGGACAAGGCCAGCCAGCTCGTATTTTGGAGGATACGGGATGTGGGTTGGGATGTATGACTCTAGACCGGGAGAGTGGGGATATCCTTATTGCCCGTGACGATGCTGTTTACACCTACGGATCTCGTGGTCGTGGACCTAGCTATGCGTTCGAAGGCCAGAAGACATCTATTCGTTCGTTCCACGATTACGTGGCGCTTGTTTGCCCGCCTAAAGCTGAAACCGCCAAGTCGGATCCCTTGCGCAAATATGGCGTCAATCCGGCTGATGAGATATTTGGAACGACGAAGTTCACGTTGCTGGACACGGATCTTAAGTTCATTGCGCATAATGAGACACTTGTGTCGCCGATGAAGCAAATCTTTATGGAATGGGGAGACTTGTATCTTCTCACTACTGACGGCAAGGTAGGCCTGGTATCCCTTGGTATTCGAAAGCAAACTCTAACAGACTTAGTTGTTTCGATATCGCGAGAAGAGCCTTCAGCAGAGACTGGAGATTCTCTACGAGCGCAATCTCTACATTTTGGCTATTAATCTTGCGCAAAAGATCGGCATTGATACATTACAGCAGAATGCCATCTATCGCAAGTATGGCGATTTCTTATACCAGCGCGGGGACTATGACACTGCTATGCAACAATATCTTCGGGCAATTGACAACACTGAACCATCTCAGGTTATTCGCAAGGTTTGTCCAGCATTTCCTTTTGCGTCCTTATCTACCTTGCTAATTTTTATCATAGTACTTGGATACCCAGCGAATTCATAATTTGATTGAGTATCTGGAAGAGTTGCACGATCATGGCCGGGCCACCGTTGACCACACCACGCTTCTTTTGAACTGCTATGCCAAGTTGAAAGATACAAGCAAACTCGACTCTTTCATTAAGGCTCCTGGCGAGCTGAAATTTGATCTGGAAACTGCTATTGCCATGTGTCGCCAAGGAGGATACTACGAGCAGGCAGCGTACCTTGCGACAAAACATGGGGAAAATGATATGGTCGTCGATATTCTAATTGAGGACTCCAAGAAGTACGCCGAGGCAGTCGAGTACATATGGCGCTTGGAGCCTGAAGTGGTACGTGCATTCCCCCAATGGACAGTGCAGATAGCTAATCCCACTAGGCCTATCATAATCTCATGAAATATGCCCGCGTCCTATTGACCCACTGTCCCGAGCAAACAACGGAGTTTTTCAAGACTTATTACGCTGGCCAGTATCGACCTCGAACACAAGTGGAAATGCCCGCCGAGCCCCAAGCTCAACCATCAAGCACTCTGCAAAGTCTTGCTGGTATCTTACCGCTCCGCTATATGACTGGTGGATCAGGATTGCAAGCTCCAGCCACTGTTTCAGAGACTGTCACTAAAGAGGAACCTGTCACGGAACCCGTGCCTGAATACGAGATTCCGAAGCCACGAACAGCCTTTTCTGCATTCGTTGATCACCCCAAGGAATTTATAGACTTTCTGGAAACGCTTGGACAGCAAAACGGACTTAGCAAAGAGGCCAAGATTGATCTTTTTACGACCTTGTTTGAGATGTATTTGGATACTGCCAAGGGGAAGAAAGATGCAGCCGAGAAGCAAGAATGGGAGACTAAGGCCAAGAAGCTGATTGAAGGCAAAGATGTGAGTAACACTGAGTACCAAGTATCTGGTTTGCTGTATCTAATCCTCGCAGATCCCAATCTCAACATCAAATGTTTTACTTCTCTCTGATCTGTCCAACTTCCGCGAGGGATCTACCCTCGTGCGTGAACAAGAAGGCCTGCGTCTTGACATCTTCCGGTCATTTACCTCGGCCAAGGATACCCAGGGTGCTATTCAAGCCTTGCGGCGATATGGCCCCGACGAGCCTCAGCTTTACATCGATGCCTTGACATATTTTGCCTCTAGCCCCCAGACCCTCGACGAGGCGGGCGATGAGCTAGATGTTGTACTCCGCCGCATTGACGAAGATGGCCTGCTCTCTCCACTGCAAGTGATACAAGCACTCAGCAATAATGCCGTTGTCACCATGGGCCGAGTAAAGAAGTACCTGAGTGATAATATTGAGCGAGAACGCAAGGACATTTCTACGGTAAGCATTCACCCAAGACGTCCATCTCATCATTTTACCTTCTTCTATTCTATAAAGCTAACATGACTTCAATAGAATCGCCGCCTCATCTCGAGCTACAAATCCGAAACAGCTGCCAAACAGCAAGAACTCGAATCACTCTCCACCCAACCAGTCGTCTTCCAATCTCGTCGCTGCCAATCCTGTGGCGGCACACTCGATCTTCCCACCGTGCATTTCCTCTGCAAGCACTCTTTCCACGAACGCTGTCTTAATCGTGTCGAGGATGAAGTGCAGTGTCCTGTCTGCGCACCAGGTAATGCTACACTGCGAGCCATTCGTCAACGACAAATTGACACTGCCGATCAACATGACTTGTTCAAGGCTGAGCTGCATCGCTCGAAGGATGGGTTCGGACTTGTCAGCGAGTTTTTCGGGAGAGGTGTTATGAGATCGCAGAGTACGATGGATGCATGATATTCCTGTTTCTTTCCTAAAGGCCGCTAAGGTCAGTTGTGCATGGCTTCTTTCGTCTTTTTGTTTGTTGGATACCTCAGCTTCGATTTCTTTTCATGATATTTATCCCATTGCTGTATGTGCTGGAATGTGTACATTTAGCGTATGACTGAATAAGTCACCTAGGAATCTCAACGAATTTCTTAGGATTGAAAAATTCTTCGGATTCAAGAATTTTCAGGAATGAAGAGTGAACTTACCAGATCTAATCTGCGATGGCGTGCAAGATCCAAGCCATGGTAGGCCCAGCAGACTTGCATTTGGGTGTTCCTCTTGACATGACGGATTTGAAGGATTACACAAGCAGCTACGAAGTCTGATAAGATTTATTCATCTTTCTGGGCATAATAGCACAGCCATGCCACAAGATTATAAGACTGGACGCGGCTGAATGGTGTGCTCAAAGGCTTTAGAAGTCCCGACTTGTGCTGCTGGTTCTTCTTTACCAAAACAACAAGTTTCGTTTCGCAGTGAACATCTTTGGGGGTAGCCAGGTTCCTTTCTCTTTCTCTTCTTCTAGCCTCTGCAAAAATTGAATAGTAGATTCAACCCTATCACCACCTTCTAAGCTTCCACTCCTTCAGCTCAATCTTTTAAACTTCCTTGGCTCACCTCGCAACTCGCCCCTCGCCCCTCGTTACCACTGCCACCATCATCATCGACACGAACAACAACCGTCGAAAAGCCTTACGGCCTACCTCTCATCTTGATTCCACTGCTGCCGTAATAACTGGCACGAACACCAAAACACTATCAACAAGCCTCGCGTCACACATCTCATGTCATCACCACCGCTTCCATCACCAGAGCAAACAACGCCATACTGCCAACAAACCTTGCCGATGTCGCCACCCATCAAGAACGAGATTCTGGACTGGAAGCCACTCACCATGGATCGGGATATGAGCGCGGAGTCGAAAGCACTCATCGGCAAACTATCAAGTCTGAAGATAGATCGCCTTACACGTATTGATCATTTCGATACCTGGTTGATCGCTATCACTCGTGCTCTTAGATCTCCAGGGCTTGAAGACTATCTCAACATTGCAGAACGGGCTTCCAAAAGTCGGTACACTGGGGGAACGCAATGGATAGCCGTCTCAAAGCAGATCGCTTCTTGGATGAAACATCATATGGATGGCACCCTCTTCAAAGTCCTGAGGGCACGTGGGGAGGCTCTTATCTTTGCAGACACATTAATCGACAAAGCAAAGAAAGCGTTCGAGACGGGGCATCTTGCAGACGAGTTGAGACTGGAGAAGTTTCTCAGCATGGTACCAGCAGACTTTGCCTCGATGTCAGGTTTTGTGACAGCTTATGAGGAAGGGTTCATACCGATGAGATCTCATGGGATCAAGATGGGTGCTTATCCAGCGCTTCTAACGATTCTCTCGCATATCAAGCAGTCTCACAAACAGGTACATGATAAAATACATTATATGCTGGAGACCGAGGTTGATTTTGCAAAGTCTCGCATTGCAGAGGAGCGAAATGTCGACGCCAGTACTATTCAAACGGCTGAAGTGGTTACTAGCAACGTGTTCCTAGACTTTGCGAGCCGTACAGCTACTTTACTTGACGACGAAGATACTTGATCCGATTTCATCCACTTGGTCTCTACTGGCTGGATATTCTGATCTCGGCTTCTCTTTTCGTCTTCTCTCGGGAAAGCAGTAACCAGTCTACTTGGTACCAAATGAAACTAGTCAAAATCATGAATTTTCGAGGGTGAAACTGAGAGGCAGATAAATTGAGGCTTGACATAATTCCTACTGTTCCATGAATCTAGTGAAAGTATCCGGATAATTATCGGGCTTAAGGTCGAGCGCGATACTCCAAAGAGATGGTCAAGATGGTAATTGCAGTGCTGTAGTGTTGCAGATCATTTCAACTTCGGGAAGCCGGCTGGAGCCGATCTCGGGTGTTCGTATCGAGGCTCAGATGCCGGTCCCGGCTTGATGGACGATGACATCGGGGTGACTTCGGGATCCTGCTGGAGCCCAGGATTTGAGCAACTGTATTCGCTTTTACCTTTTTTGAGAAGCCCGCTTACGCCGCTTCATCTTTGAAGACCCTAAAATGTCCGAAAGTCTTCAACGGGTAGAGTGATGCTAATAGGGATCATCACGAGAAATACCCTATATGGCCTTGGAGCAAGTGATATTCCCGAACTAAATCATTTCGACATCGGCAACCCTGGCCAGTAAAGCGGGGCGTGACTAATGACCCCATGGACGATACTGTCCGGAGAAGTCCCGAACCCAATCCCCCCACCATATTCGGCTTTCGAACCCCAGAGCTCAATTGCCGTCCTGTCGTCAATATGCAAATTCGTATAGTATTGTCTTCATACTCGCGGCTTTTGCCTTACCCCCAAGTGGGTCAGTCGGTGGTATGATGTCAGATGTAACATTGTTTCTCCCCACGCTTGTGGGGTTAGCCATGTCTACAGGTAGGGTGGAAAATGCGTATAAAAAAAAAAAAGAAAAAATAAGAAAATGCCTCATTCCCTGACTGATCGGCTAAGTATATAAAGAATAGCTTCTCTCTCCTGGTTCTGGCTCCACGCAAACAAACTCGGTCAATATTCCTCCGCTGGCAACCGCTACCATGAAGTTGTGGTTTCTTGCACTCTGGGTCACCTTGGTGAAGGCCTGGGTCGTCAATGAAGGGACAACATGTGTCTTGTATCCTGAATCACTTGTCCACAAGGGGCAGGCTGTGGATGATTCTCCATCCATTCAGCAAGCCTTTGATATGTGTGGCACGAACGGCACAGTCATTTTTTCCAAGAATGTCTTTAACGTGAACACCGTTCTGAACACAACCAATCTGCTGAATTGCGACGTCCATCTCCGTGGTGAACTACGCTTCTCTACCAACCTCCCATACTGGAGAACCCATTCTATCAGTGTTGTTTTGCAGGATCAAGTCACTGCTTGGCTGTTTGGAGGTACCAATGTGAACTTCTACGGCGAGGGCGGCTTCTACAATGGCCAGGGTCAAGCTTGGTACAACGCCAACAGGAACGAGTCAAACCAGCCCGGACGACCCATGAGTATCACATTCTACAACTCGACGAACCTCCTTGTCGATGGATTGAGAATCATTCAGCCGCAGTTCTGGGCCACATTTGTTTGGGATAGCAAGAACGTCTCCGTCACCAACTTGTTCGTCAATGCCACCAGCAACAGCAAGTGGGGCACAATGAACACCGATGGCTACGATTCCTGGAAGAGTGACTCTCTGCTCGTGGAGAATGCTACTATCATCAACGGTGACGACTGTATCGCCGCCAAGGGTAATACCACCAACTTGCTCGCCAGAAACATCTATTGCGAAGGCGGCACCGGAATCACCATTGGATCTATCGGCCAATACCCGAACATGCCCGACTACAACATCAACACCACATTCGAAAACGTCAAGATCAAGAACTCAATGGACGGCGCCTACATCAAGACCTGGCAAGGAACACGGATCTACACCCCCAGCAATGGCGACTGGGGTGGCGGTGGAACTGGCCTCGTCAAGAACATCACCTTCCGCAACTTCGAAATGGAAAACGTGGGACTTCCCATTCAGATGTCACAGTGTGTCTACTCTGCTGGAACCAACAAGGGCTGTAACACATCGACTTTACAGATCGAAGATGTGAAATGGCAGAACATTCATGGCACTTCACGATTTAACATCGCTTCGTCCATTTACTGTTCTGACGAGCGCCCTTGCCCCAACATCACCTTTGATAATGTGAACATCACCAGTGTTAACGCCAGCCTGGGTCTGCCATACTATAATACCGATATCAAGCACGAGTTGTTCCAGTGCACGAACATCCTTGGGCAGAAGAACTCCGGAATCCCCTGTAACCAGGCGGCTCCGAGTAACTTCAGTCAGTGGATTTATGGAAATGTCGACAGCTCGGGTCTTGCGACTCTGACTTGAGCATGTTGGGAGCCTCAATTCATGTGAATACGATATACCAACTAGATTTGAATAGACTTCTTTGTCTTGTATTGATACAAAAGGAATGACAGCATATATCTCTATGCATACTACATACACTCTGCTGGAATTCTCATTTGTTTTGAGAACTGGCTATTCCAAAGGCTTCGCTAACGTGTGTTGACGCCAAGTACCTAGTCCCCAAGAATCTCTCACGAGCGCTTCTAAAAAAAACAAAGCCTTGACTGTGGAAGGTAGAAACGGGCTATAACATAGATAAATCTTAGCTTGATTGGCTATAATGTGTCTCTGATGGTCCTTGTGTCAGCGAAGACTGTTTGTCTTGTTTGTCCTGTCCTGGTTTTGGAATCTGTCTAGCAACACGGTTGATGAGTCAGCACATTTCGCATTCCTTGTAGTTATAGTTAGTATAGTTATGCGATGGTGATCTTCTTGAATAAATAATGCGAAGACCCCTGCGATGGGTTAGGACCTTTGCAGGGACCAACATCTATGGCACAGGGCCCAGGGACCGGGTGGATCGATCCCCCTGCCAATCGGGTCTCACATAGAATGTTATCCAGGAGCTTCGAAATCAAGGGCTCAATTGTGGTATAGCTTAGACGCTGAGAGTCAACTTCTCATATTTAGATCTAGTGTGAAGGTTGTGAGGATTTCAAAGCTTGGTGGTACCCGTTTAGCGGCTTGCAACACCATCTGGGAGACCTGCGCAGTGCAAGAGCAAGCATTAGGACATTTATGCAGATAAAAGAGGTCTTTCGTCATCGTGAACATAACCGTGCGTTCGTCACCAATCACACTAATACAGTATACATATTGAATCACTAGTCCGCCCCGCAAACCGATTTGAGTTTTCTCGGTCCAAATTATCATGTCGCATAGCAGTTGGATGCAATCATGGCGAGTTAGCCTAGGAAAATGTGCCTGGTGTTAATGCAGCAAAATATGGGTCTGCAGTAACATGATCATGGGAATCCCGGATATGGAGCCAAAGTGGAGTCAATAGGGGAAAGGAAAATTGTGTACACAAAGAATTAAAAAAAAATAGGAAAGTAGCAAAAATAGGGGCATCAGAGTTCGGAGGAACTGCTCATTCATATTTTATGTCTTCATTAACCTAAATTCTTAATCAATTGTGGATATCAAGTGGTTCTTGGTCCGATCTCTCGTTTCTCTTTCCGTTTTCCGTTGCGTTCCAAAGCACGTGAGATTCGATCATCAAATCGGTCGCATCCAACTTCTTCCTTCCGACACACCCTTTTGGAACAAAAAAATCCTCACAATGGTTCGCCCTCGTGGTAGGTCCAACCTGGGCGTGGACATCCGTGGCGACACCAGTGCGCCCGCGATGTCCACCATGAACGACGTGAGCCCAATCGAGCCTACTTCCCCCGACATGGGCAAGGTATGCATTTCAATGTACCCTCCGAATAATCTCCCAAATGGACGTCGGCACGCTAACATGCAATGGCGCATCCAGCAGTTCGATCATCACGAGAAATCCGCAGCTAAGACCCATACAAAGCGTCGTCGCAATCGCTCGCTGCTCCATCGTTTCGCCGACACCTGCCTCAAGTACACCTGGCTGCTGCCGCTGATCATTCTGGTCTTCCTGCTCTCGCTCTACGCTATCAATCCGACTGCGGCCAATCCAATGCACAGCGCAATCTTCCTCTCCTACCCGCAGCCACCCAAGGTCCCGGGCGGCCCGATCATGTACGGCAAGGGTAAGAAGGATATTGCTTTCGTCGCGTTCTATACAGTCGTGCTCTCGTTCACGCGTGAGTTCATCATGCAGCAAATGATTCGCCCACTCGCCGTTTTCTGTGGAATTCGCGGTAAAGGCAAGACGGCTCGGTTCATGGAGCAGGTTTACACGGCGATCTACTTTGGTGTCTTCGGTCCGTTCGGCCTGTACGTCATGAAGCGGTCGGATATCTGGTACTTCAATACTACTGCGATGTTCGAGAACTTCCCTCACCGTGAGCACGAAGCGCTGTTCAAGGCATACTACCTTCTTGAGGCTAGTTATTGGGCCCAACAGGCAATTGTGCTCATGCTGCAGCTTGAGAAGCCTCGCAAGGATTTCAAGGAGCTGGTCGGACACCACATCATCACATTAGCGCTGATTGCCTTGAGCTACCGTTTCCACTTCACATACATCGGTCTGGCGGTGTACATCACCCATGACGTGTCGGACTTTTTCTTGGCGGTATGTGCAAGCAAACCTCTCAGAATCAATGGAAATGATGCTGACTCAACTTGAATAGACTTCCAAGACGCTGAACTACCTTGATGCGTACATTACGATTCCATACTTTGGTGTTTTCGTTGGCATGTGGATCTATCTCCGCCACGTGCTGAACCTGAAGATTCTCTGGGCCGTCCTGACCGAGTTCCGTACCGTGGGTCCTTTCGAGCTCAACTGGGAGACTCAGCAGTACAAGTGCTGGATCAGTCAGTATATTACTTTTGCGCTGCTTGCCAGTCTGCAGGCCGTGAACCTGTTCTGGCTGTTCTTGATCCTGCGCATTCTGGCCAACTACATCTTCAACAGCGTCACCAAGGATGAGCGCAGTGATGACGAGACTGAGGAGGAAGTGGAGGCCGAGGTTGAGACCAAGGCTACGCTCGCCACCGGTGCCGAATCTGCCAAGCAGGAGAACCAGGCTCCGCAGGTCCTCGTGAACGGTGAACCCGCCCTTGAGCAGCGTGGTCCCCGGACACGCAGCAGAAAAGCGTGAGAGCTATAATATTAAACATGAGGTCCTCTCATATCTGTTGGGGAGACTTTCTCTCCGCCTGTCGTGTTTACTTGTCTTGTCACCAATTCATTGGACAGCCAGAATGTCCCTTGTTTATAATTATGCATGTGTGAGGAATTGGATGACTCAGACATGGTGTTTACGATTCGAGTGAGCCACTCTTAATCGGCCGCTTCGAACTTCCATGGTGCATTGGGATGTGGTTTGGGTGTTATTGTGCGTGGTGTGGATCTTTCTATTCGATTCGTGCACAGTCCGTTTTTACCTTCTTGTTCTTTATCATACACTTTTACACCTGTAAGTTTTTGTGTCTTGACTGATGCCGTCGAACGAATATATCAATGATCTTCACATGAGAAAGACGGACTGGACTGAGTAGGCGAGCCTTAGCGTAGGCACTTTGGCCACGGAACGCCCCCGGGCATACCAGAGCACTTGAGATTCTGCAGTATATGAACAAAAATTGAGATAGCGCCATTTGGCTACAAAATGTATCTGAATTGTGAATTCTAGTCTTCATTAGCGAACTTTGCACCGTGAAGACAAATAAACAGGTGATAGAGCAGTTAGCTTACCGTTTTATCCGTCAAGTCATCCTGATATGCATTCTCGTATCCCTCGGACGTTCCTGAATCATCTCGACGCCGATTTTCCCAAACACAAATAAACCTGTAAATGAGAACAATAACACCGGCGGCAAACGACGTCACAACAACAGTTATAAAACCCGGAATATATCGAGGCGCGTCCTTCTCTTTATAAACAAGGGGACCAGTAAAGTTTCCTGCACACATTAGCATAAGATAGCATATTATAAATGAAAGTACTCACCAAGGCAGTATCCAACATAGAGGCCCGACGAAGCAATCGAGCGCTTCGTGTATCCAGCAATATTCGCAATCTGCAGCCCCATGAGCACAGCATAGCCACCACCAATCGCCGGAAGAATATAACACGCGAACAATAAACCACCTGTCGCCTCGATAGGCAGCGCTACCAGCAAAACAGCAGCCACGGTCGTAATCATCTGTGCAGTAAACACAATCCAAGACCTCACACCCTTATCTGAAAATTTGTAGGCCAAATAAGGTCCAATAAGCATAAAGGAACCACCCAAGAATCCCGCCGGGATAACCAAAAGTAAAGAATTCAACGTGCTAAACCCAAACGAGCCGATAATGATGGGCGTAAAAGTTGAGATGGGGCCGTTTGCGATCATACTCAAGAATGCAATCAGAAAGATAAGCCAGAATTTGAGATCGCCCAGTAGTTCAAGCACTTGTCCTTTTTTGTAGTGCGTGTTTCGTACGCCCGAGTTGTTCACTCGAAGCCGTGCGACGGCAATGTATCTCTGTCGTTCATTGAATCCGCGCGCACTGATTGGGTCGGAGGGTAGAAGGTAGACGAGGACCATTCCCCAAATTATGATTACAGCGCCGGCGACGAAGTACATGTATTTCCATGGGGAGAGAGAGCCACTTATGTGGCCCAGACCGTAGTTAATCAATGGGGAGACGATGGAAACATAGCCGGTGCAGCTGTACCAGATCCTGCTATGTGTTAGGATGCGTTTTGACGAAAAGTCAGGTGGAACTTACCCCATGCGCATGGCTTGTTCGTTCTTCTTGTACCAGCCTCCCTGTTCAAAATCCCGTTGGTGACTGTTATATCAGAGTGCTGCTATGAGTGACTTACCACGATGAGCATAAACATTGGACTAATGCCACTTTCCAACACACCGAGGAAAAATCTTTGTGCATAAAGCGCCCTGTAGCTATAGCACACAGGAGTCAGGATCAGGCAGATTCCCCAAAGCGTAATTATCAGGGACGCGACGCGCTCAATTGGGAACCGTTGGGCCAGAGTCACGGCAGGATAGGTCCCGATGATAAAACCCAGGTATAGGATTGCAGCTGCAAAGGAGTATCGGTTCCCAATGTTCAATTCCAGGTCTGCTTTGATACCGAAGAGAGCCTTGAGAAGTTAGAGTACTGCCAGGTTCTTTGATACGAGGGGTGAATCGAACTGCTTGGGAATACATGGCTTTGTCATAGTACTGTAAGCCATATGTGATGCATAAGATTGGCATGAGCCTCCAGTCAATTCGTCTCAGGAGTCTTCTCTCTTCTTCTTCAGTCCAAGTTTCGTTCCCGGTATAATTTGCTAGGACTTTTATTGCCTCATCATTGTGCACTGTGTCCAAGGTTGGACTTTTTTCGGCTTCTGGCAGATTGAGGCTTGAGCTTTGGGTTTCGACGAAGTCCTCATGAGGCTTGTCATGATCTGACATGATTGGTAAATTATTGAAGAACCTGATATCATAAGTTTCCTAGAGTGAGAAGAGCAGGGGACGAAGGGGTATATCACTTGAAGATCTTTAGGGAATAATATAAAACAAATCAGATAGGTTAGGAGGGCCCTACTATTCCGCCATTCCATCCATAGAGTACGTATGCCGAGACGACAGCTTACCCCGGGTTTACCCCGGAATCTCTACAATTACTATCTGAGAGTGGGGAGCAGGCATGGGGCGACAGTAGCCTTACAATTGTTTTTCGTACTAAGATGCGAGATTACCTTCAGGATTCAAAATTGACAATTTCGGCAAGACCAAAGCAGTAGCCGAACGATAGAGCCGAAGATTAAATTGCTAGCCGGTATTTGACGTACAGCGCTGAACGGGAATCCGGGGAAGCGAGACCGTTCTACCTCATTACGTATCTTATCTTTGACACTACCAGCAAAAGATTACCCTGAACATCCTCAAACGTCCTAATTCAACAATGGCTGAGCTACCAAATTTTTCAGTACCAGCTGGGCAGACCATCACGGTCAAGCTCATCAACACGGTCAATTTCGGACCAGCACAACTCAATAGATTCATGGCACCCCCAGTCCCAGGAATGGAAACACATCCCAGCAATCCCTCATTTTCCTTTCTGCTCGAGCATTCCTCCGGCCAAAAGCTCGTTTTCGATTTGGGAATTCGAAAGGACTATCAGAATTATGCGCCAAAGATAGCGCAGTACATTCCCACGACAAAATACACAATTGAAGTCACAAAAAATGTAATTGATATCTTGGAAGAAAGTGGGATTCGAGGTGAAGAAGTACAGGCAGTGATCTGGAGGTAAATTTATAAAAGGCCTCTTTCACTACGAGTACTAATCATTGGCTCTAGTCATTGGCATTGGGATCACATTGGTGATCCTTCAACATTCCCAAATACCACCGATCTAGTAGTTGGACCTGGCTTCAAGGAAGCAATGTTGCCCGGCGCACCTACAAATCCTGACTCTCCTCTCAGCGAGGCAGACTTCAAGTAAGAGCCTCCTGCCAACCTCCAAACCTTGAAGATATCACTAATGTGTAACTTAGGAGTCGAAACCTACGCGAAATCACATTTGAAGGTCCCCAATCTCTCAAAATCGGCCAATTCAACGCATTCGACTACTTTAGCGACGGTTCATTCTATCTACTAGACAGTCCCGGGCACGCCATCGGCCATCTATGCGGTCTAGCAAGAACAACCACCAACCCCGACACCTTCGTTCTCCTAGGTGGTGACGTCTGTCATTATGGAGGCATTTTCCGACCATCAAAGTATCTACCACTGCCCGATTCGATTCATCCGCACGGTAATGTGCCTTTCTGTCCTGGTGGGGCATTTGAGGAGCTACAACAAACGCGGGGCCGGAGTATTACCGAGCCCCTCTTTACCCCGACTTTTGGACATGATATTCCACTGATTATTGAGACTATTGGGAAGCTGCAGGAGGCGGATTGTATGGATAATGTTTTTGTAATTATTGCGCATGATGCTACGGTACGGGATGGTGTGGATCATTTTCCTTTAAGTCTTAATCGGTGGAAGGAAATGGGATGGGGGAAGGATCTCAAGTGGGCTTTTTTGAGGGATGTCGAGGTATATTGGAAGTCTAAAGGGGTGATATGATAGATAGTGTATTATGTGGAAATTGAGCATCATTCTCTACTGGCGAATGGAACGTAAGTTGCGTTATCATAATATCCCGTCATGATCCGATGAGAGCCGAGTCTATGCCAACAGCCAAGGCCAATTGAATGGGACTTGTCGACGTTCTCAGACAAGCTGGTGTTCCGAGCTTCTCGGCCCAGAGTAATGGTTTTAAAATACAGAAACCGAAGAGGTCACGAGAGGTCACTATCTCGGTTTCTCACAAGTGTGGGGGACAGCTCTTCGACCCCGCTGATCTATGTCTTTCTCCGGGGTTAAAACGATGTGTATCTCACTCCGAGATGCATAAGCTTGCATATGTAGCTCTTAACATTAGCATTGCACACCTCACCTGCAAGAGTATAAGTGTAACGATAAATCACTATATTCGATCCCCACTTCCTCGTAGCCCTCAACCGCAACAATGCGCAGCGCCGAGAAACCCAGTTTTAGCGACATGAACAAAGACCTCGACTACGATGTCCTGATCATCGGGGCAGGTCTTTCCGGAATATATTCATTATACCGAATGCACCAACTCGGTCTACGGGCGAAAGTCCTCGAGGCCGGTGGTGATGTTGGTGGCACGTGGTACTGGAATCGGTATCCAGGCGCTCGATTCGACTCCGAAAGCTATTCATACAATTTTTCATTCTCACAAGAGCTTCTTGATGAATGGAACTGGTCTGAGCATTTTGCGTCGCAACCGGAGACACTACGGTACTGCGAGTTTGTATGCGACAAGTTCGATCTTCGTCGGGATATGCAGTTCAACACTCGAGTGACGTCCGCACACTTTCAAGATGGAGCGAACGCATGGCGACTTACTGATGAAAGTGGTCGACAATATACATCTCGATTCCTGGTCACTTGTATCGGTATCTTGAACAACTACACTTTGCCCGCCATCCCCGGCGTCTCGGATTTCAAGGGCGAGGCATTTCACACGGCGCGTTGGCCTCGGGAACAGGTCAACTTTGAGAATAAGCGCGTCGCTATCATCGGTACCGGGGCGACGGGTATCCAAGCTACCCAGGAAATAGTCAAGACAGTGGGCCATCTTACTGTCTTTCAGCGAACTCCAAACTGGAGTCTTCCATTGCGCAATGAACGAATCACACCCGATGAAATGCAAGAAATCAGATCAAATTACCCCGATATATTTGACAAGTGTTCTCAGACCTCTTCTTGCTTCATGCACGTAGCAGATACGAGGAGCACACATTCACTCACCTCTGAGGATCGTGAGAAATTCTGGAACGATCTCTACGAGCAGCGTGGGTTTGCGAAATGGCTCGGAAATTTCGGTGATATCCACACCGACAGAGAAGCAAACGCACTCTTCAGCGAGTTTGTCGCAAACAAAATTCGGCAACGTGTTAAAGACCCCGTCACAGCTGAGACGCTTATACCCAAGTGCCACGGTTTCGGAACGAAGCGTGTTCCACTTGAATCGGGCTACTTCGAGGCATACAACAGACCGAATGTCAGACTCGTCGATGTCAAGAAGGACCCGATAGAATGCGTAACGGAGACAGGGATCCGAACTCGTGATGAGAATTTCGAATTCGATATGATAATCTATGCGACGGGCTTCGATGCCGTAACAGGATCATTCACGGCTATTGACTTCCAAGGTGTGAATGGGATCCAGCTTTCAAAGCAGTGGGCTGAGGGTCCACGGACCCATCTGGGTCTGTTCGTTGAGGATTTCCCTAATATGATGATGGTTATGGGACCGCATCAGATGTTTGGGAATATTCCTCGTAGTATCGAGTATGCTGTTGGGTGGGTGGCTCGGTTTATTGAATTTTGTCGGGATAATGGTATTACTTCGGCCGCTACATCGCATCAAAATGTGCTTGATTGGACAGAGCATGTGCACACTTGTGCGGATGGGCTTCTGGCCAATGAGGTCGACTCGTGGATGACGGGTGTGAACAAGAATCTGGCTCATAAGCAGAAGAGGATTATTGCACGTTATCAAGGCCCGGCTCCGGGATATAGGAAACGAGCAGAGGATGTGGCCGCGAGGAAGTATTCTGATTTGACTCTGGCGTGAATTGAAATTATGTTTGATATAGTTTCATTGATTGTACATTGTTGATCTATGCAAACAAATTCATCTCTGAGAGGGTATCGCAGGGTTCAAATAAATATTGAAACTGAACCATAGCATCCGCGAAGACATCGTCATCAAAGAAGAGTTCTTCCATATGTGGCACAAGTAATCGGCTCGCAATTCCGCTAGTTTGTGACGTTGCAAAAGGGAAGTAGACGGTCCAGTCAATACCGTCAGTCATCTCCATATATCCTGACCCATCACCCATCCCTAGCTCAGGACCGGGAGCACGCTGAGAGTCCGCATCAGGACCCACGGCGTTGGGTCGTAGACGCTTAAACCCAGAATAGAATACAGCGGCTGTTGGCCACATTTGACGCAATTGATCAACAGCCAAAGTAAGTATATCCAAATCTTCATTCGCGCTCTTAGCCAGACTCTCGATGCGAAGGGCCTGCAATAATGCAATAAATGCAGTGCCGCAGTACCAACCTGTAATTGCCATGAGGAATCTAGTACCGCCGCGGGCCAGAATATCTCTCATTAGCCGCGCCATACAGGTTGCCGCTAAAATAGCAGGGGGATAGGCTTGTGGAAGGGGCTGCGATGAGGTGGACCGTTTTAGATGAATAATGATTATGACAGCAAGGTATGGTATATGGAGCTGGTACACATCTCGATCGAATGAAGTTGTGTGATCCGAGCCGATAGGCAATTGAAGATGCGGTGGTAATGATTGTACCCAGTGAATAAGCTCCCGGGCAAGTTGAACCGGAAAAGCACCGGGAGATTCGCCAGTGCGCACGAGATATTTAGCGATTTTTCCAATGATACCACATAGTCGGACCCAATAAATAAAAATCTCCGCTTTGGTCTTGTCCTGTACATCCGGAAAATCTTCCAACGTTGGCTCGGACAGTGTGCAGTCCTCCGGATCAATAACACAAGGTTTGCTTTGGCATAACGCCGTCAGACGCTCGCGAGCAAAAGCCGTCCACCAGATCCTCCGTCGTAGACTCAGGTCAATCTGCTCACGGAGCGGATGATCAAGCGCAGGCTCGCGATGCACGCCTAGTTGTTGACAGTGTCGGATCACTACCGATGTCCACCACCAGGAAGAATGTCGGTGGAGAATTGTTGGTGGCCGTGGGCTCCACCAATAAAACAGAGAAATAGCTTTCAAGGAGGTCATCACATCTGCCTCTTTATCGTTATAGAATAGCGATTTTGCACGGTCGTAGTAAACTGCTGGTCCGTCGTGGGGGATCATCGGTGGCTTGATGTGACTGCCAGCTGCCGCAAGAGCATTAACTAGAAGTGGAGACCGAGCTGATTCTTCAGAGAGGCTCTCTCGATCCAACACTGGACACCAGGGATAGCAGTATTCGAAATATGTTTCGGAGAAGGTCTGCTGCAGGGCAGGGTCTGGCAGGTTCGGAACGTCGGGCAGTCTTTCGGCTATGAGTCGTTCTTGATCGCGAGCGTTGGTCTGAAGCTCTGGTAGAAACACATGACCAACAGGGTAGCTGTCGTTATGCTCGTAGTGGTCTTCTGATCGCTCCGTTCGTTGAGTTGCGGGAGAGTCATTGGCAGCAAATAAAATCTGACTCTGTGACTCCCCAGTCGCGCCTATGGAGCCGCTAACAGACCCCCATCCCTCAATTGCTTCATTTGTTGGCGGCTTTTGGGATTCCGCGGAGCCAGATGACTGCGGAAAGACAATATGCGTACAATCAAGATACCGGTTATCATGGTTGCTGTGGCTATCCGTGATATCATCCGGCGGGGCAGGTTCTAATTCTTGGTTTGCTCTGGAACGAGTATTGCGGCGGGAAGTATTGGCTTCGTCACTGACATTGCTGTCAGGAGGAGTGGGTGGGCGTCGTGCAGCGCCAGATGGGCGACCGCGCCGGGAAGGTCTCGTGCTAAAACGACAATGTGAGTAAATCGCTGTCTTCCTGCGCCTGTTGATACAGAGGTCTCCTACCGGCAGTCTTTCCCGGAAGATGCGCATTTGGTACAGTTGTTATACCCTTGACCCCCTCGCGTTTGGAGGTCGCATCGAATCTGCAGGCGTCATCATCTGTCCACTGTACATAATTCGAATGCGGCGTTTGCGGTACCTTTTTGCTGTGGCATGCAATGCAGGCTAGCTCTGCTCTTTTTCTCTTCGGTTGCTGGCCAGTGAACTGAAGCCATAACGGGGCTGACATGGTCAAGGATCTAAGTGAACCGGTGGATTTAAAGTTGCAAAAGCAGAATAGATTGAGATCCCAAGGCAGTCCGATGTTCTACCTAACAAAAATTACATCGCCATAATGCGGGGAAACCCCCAGCTTCCCCGCAAAAGACGTTTTAGGTTTAGGCTTTTTAACATTGATAGCGCGTCGGCGTTGTTTCCGAGACTTGGATATCGAGTATCAACTACCAAACTCACTGCCTAGGATGAATGTCATAAAAGGAGATTGACCTCATCTATAATGCACACTTAATGGAGCCGTTAGTGCAAATCAAACCTCTGGTTGTTGCGTGGTTGGACTCTTTAATTGACCTCGGCCCTGGACTTTGGCTTATCTTGCTTGTTTAGATTACCGGGTGTAAGATGCCGGTATGAACTACTTCCCATACCCGGTTGCCACAATATCCATCGCTATACGATGATGTCGGCTTCTTGAATAATTCGATTGGAATACCGTTTTCATGAGATCGGCTACAAACAACCGTATATCTCCACGGCTGTAACAGGCTGTGCGAGCGCAAAGCTACCGATTATCCGGGATGCATCAGGCTTCCTAACAACTTTACGATCATCAAATGTGGATCTGTGCCGCTATAAAGACTCAAACTACAGATTTCACGTTCTTGTGAATTCAGTTTTACCACATTGCATCTTTGGAACCACCATGACAGTCGCGATTCCAACACCTATCAATGGCGAGGTGCCAAGTGTACCTGGGCTTAACGGTCTGAACGGTACTAAGGGCCTTAATGGAACAAATGGAACAAATGGAGCCAAGACAACATCTAAGCCAGCTGTCAATGGAAACCATGGAATCAATACTCCAAACCAATATTCGATCCCTCTGAACAACGAGCATGCATACAAGCCTAGAAAATTGCGTGTGGTCACTATTGGCGCTGGTTTCTCGGGTCTCTTGATGGCACACAAAATCCAGCATCGATTTCCAGAATTACAAGAGTTTGTGGACCATACCATCTACGAGGCTCGAAGTGATGTCGGTGGCACATGGTTGATTAACACCTATCCCGGTGTCCAGTGTGATGTCCCATCTCATATCTACGCTTTTCCATTTGATCCGAATCCAGACTGGAGTCGATTTTACTCCAGTGGAGAGGAGATTCAGAACTACATAAAAAGCACTGTCAAAAAATGGAACTTGGATCGAGACCTCCAGCTGAATACCAAAGTTGCTGGAGCGTATTGGGAAGAAGATGCCGGACGATGGAGATTGATTATTGAACATAACGGCGAACAACGTCAGGAGTACTGCGATATTCTCGTCTCGGCTCAAGGTGTTTTAGTGTATGTTCTATCTTCTTTACCCCTTCTTTGTTCCCTTTGAAGTGTGTTCTAACTAAGCAAATAGCCATCACTCATGGCCTGACATTCCAGGCTTGCACGATTTCAAGGGTCACATCACTCACTCTGCTCAGTGGGATCATGATTATGACTACTCCAATAAGCGCATCGCCGTCATTGGAAATGGCTCATCTGGCATTCAAATCACTCCACAGATGGCCAAACTCCCGGGTACGGAAGTAGTCAATTTCATGCGCAGTCCTGCTTGGGTCTATTACCGCGTACCACCTTCCAAGCACCTTGGAAGGGACGTCGAAGATGCAAATCCCGCCTATGCAGAGGAAGAGATACAACAATTCAATGACCCCGAGTCCCACAAAGTCTACCGAAAAGGGATCATTTCTCGAACAAACAAGGCTTTCCGCTTGGTAAGTCTTGGTACTTTCAAAAAAGATAATGATAAGTCTAACCATTCTGCAGTTTATCAAGGGCGAGAACAATGAGGCTGCAGTAAAGTTTGGGGGACAGCAGATGGCTGAAAAGCTCAACCATGACCCAGAGCTCTGTGAGAAATTAATCCCGAAGTGGGAGGTAGGCTGTCGTCGCGTTACCCCGGGCCCAGGCTATTTGGAAGCCTTCAGTCGGCCAAACTGCAATCTCAGTAATAGCCCAATTACAAAGATCACCGAAAATGCAGTGCACACTGAAGATGGCAAAGTCTTTGAGTGTGATGTTGGTATGTTTACTCGGATACACACATTGTTGATCATTTACTAAATATGGACAGTCATTTGCGCAACTGGCTTTGACGTCTCTCATCGTCCTCACTATCCTATAGTTGGCCAAAATGGGGTCAGCCTCGCAGATAAATGGGCTAAGGAGCCCGAGTCCTACCTCTCTGTTTCAACATCAGGATTCCCTAACTACTTCATCATGATGGGTCCAAATTGTCTCGGCGGTCACGGCTCATTAGTGGAGTCCCTCAACTGGACAGGAGATTACTTCGTAAAATGGATCAAGAAGATCGCCACAGAGGATATCAAATACGTTGCACCTAAGCGGTCTGCCGAGGAAGCTTTTGTCAGGTATGGCGATGAGGTTCACAAGACCCTTGTTTGGACGGGTAGTTGCAAGAGCTGGTACAAGCGAAATCGAGTCGATGGCCGTGTTACAGCTCTGTTCGGTGGCAGTGCAATTCTCTTCCATCGTTTGATCAGTGAGCTTCGGCCTGAGGATTTCGAGATTGAATACAACAGCCGCAACCCGTTCCGATTTATGGGTACTGGCTTTACTGAGTTTGAGATGACAGAAGGGAATGATCTGTCTTTTTACGTTGAGGCTGCAGATCCATCTCCATCTTGTGAATAGATAGTCTCGCTTTTCGAGTTTCTTTTGTTAAGCTTTCAGTGCCTTCTACGCTTCATCCAAATAATTTGAAATACTACAGTGCAAATTGTGACATTGAATGGATTCTCCCCTTTTTCAAGTAAAGCCCATTGAAGACTTCGAGATGACATAAATGTTCATTTGTAGGTCCATACGCTGAAACAGTTATTTGCGTATGTTTGTTGGATCAGCAATACTGACCTGATGCAATCCTAATCAGACTTCGCACTATGGCACATGAAAGTATGGGCACATATAAATACCCTCTCTGTTGGATTTCGTGCAATAATATTGAGCTGAATGACAAGATGTCCGGGTGCCTCACATGTCGTGTCGCTTCCAACCGCAGTATGGTTCTTCTCAGAGTTCAGACGTGTTGGATTGGTTTACACCCACAGGGAGTCCACGTGGAAGGTATGATCCATAGTTCTATTTTAGGGAGGCACGATGTCTCCCAAACAAGGCGCATTTTTCGAGTATAATCCTCCCCTGTCTCTAGATTTCGAAATTTTCTATTCATGAAATATGGTTCATAACCTTGGCCTTGGAATCGGAGGGGAAAGAAGAAAAGAATTTATCAAGTAACCGACAAATAATGCGGGGAAGCCGGACATCGGTTGACCTTTCTGGGAAGACGAGCCACGGAAACATCCTTCAAGACGAAGAACATCCGCTCATGTTGTGCGATTAATTTAATGCACTTGATTTTCAGTCCCTAGCGATCAATTTAATCATTGTAACTTGCCTTTTTGGTTTCCCTCGGCCTATACAACATGGAAGATGTCCCGCCTCCTACGATGTATGCTTGGAGAAAGCATAAAGGAAATACGCAGCCAGTATGTCAAGTTCTTCCAGCATGTCTTGAATACGGACTACTTACATATGTGGTCATGATCTCGTTTAGGTTTGGGAGCAGTTACCAATTCCAAAAACACCTTCTGATGGATTCTTGATCAAATTACTGGCCTCAGGCGGTATGTGCAGATCGGTGATCACTCTTAAAAGCGAGGTTTAGGAACATGTTGGCAGTCCTTTTCTGAATTTTGTTCTAGTATGTCACAGTGATCAACCTCTGCTGGAAATCGAGGACCGTCCAAACTTCAATGAGAAGTATATTCTTGTATATCTTAGATTTCTATATCTTTAACACATCCCGCTGACAATTCACTAGGGCCACGAAGGTTGCGGTGAAATCATTCAGATCGGAGATAAAGTGAAGGATCCCCGGTTCGAATTGGTGGGCTTAGTTGATTTTTGAGATTGGAAGACCAAAAATTTGATATTGATGAGTCTACAGGGTACACGAGTTGCTCTTCTAGCCGTTCCAGGCTGTGGGCTAGATACGTGCTCTGAATGTTCGCGTGATCTAGCCCAGCTGTGTCCTCATGGTGTACATCATGGTATTGGACAGGACGGATTCTTCGCAGAATACGTAGCAGTGAATGTTCGCGCCGCAATCCCTCTTCTGGATGGTAGGTTTAGTCTCAGATCATACAAAAATCTCGACTCATCAAATTACAGGAATTTCTCCGGGCGTGGCAGCAGTTGCAACCGATGCAGTCACTACGGCTTATCATGGCATTGTTCGCCGGGCTGAGGTTAAGAAACATGAGACAGCCTTTCTCTTCGGCCTTGGAGGTCTTGGTTTCAATGCTTTACAAATCGTGCGGTCAATCGGTGCGCGAGTTATAGTGTCTGATCTGCGGCAGGAGAAGCTAGATGCTGCGATAAAGCTAGGAATTCCAGCAAGGGACATTGCCCCAGCTGGGAAATCAGTGCAGGATTTCATTCAGGAAAGCGACCTGCAAGGAAAGATAGATACTGTTTTGGAGTTTGTGGGAAAGCATCAAACGTTCCAGGATGCACTGCACATCGGTACGTGCGGCACTATCTTCAGCATACGACTCAGGACTCTGATAATTATTCCTTGTTTAGTTCGCCCTGGGGGCAAAATACTTTGTGTTGGGACACTAGATCGCAAAAATGAGTTGGACATGAAGATTGGAATTCGGAAGCGACTCAGTATCAATTTCACCTATGGAGGACAGTATCAGGATATTGTGGCAGTACTAGATCTTATCGCAAGAAAGATCATTCAGCCTCAAGTAGAGATGGGCAGACTGCAGGATTTCCCAAAGGTTTTGAAAGACCTAGGAGATGGCAAGATTAAAGACCGCGTGGCCTTGGTTTTCGACAAATCTACTTAGAGCACTTATTCCAGGAATGTAATGAACTCGTCATAAATTATGCTTTGGTGCTTGATCGGTTATGGCTATGCATTCACACTGGCACTCTTCGTCATTCCAATCCCCACTGCTGCCGTTGTCCCAGCATCGACAGGAAGAATCACTCCAGTCATCCATCGAGCATGGGGACCTGCAAGGAAAACTACTGCTCCAGCACAGTCCCATCCATTGCCCTCTGTACCCAACAGGCTACGCTTGCGTCGAGCCTCCCGAGCCTCTTCGCTCATGCCATTCCCATACATCATGGGTGTGTAAAGCATCTTACAAAAATTAGCTCGAATTTTCAACATCACGGAAAAATCAACTTACACCTGGACAGACACAGTTGACTCTGATACCCTCTGTGGCATGATGTGCAGCCATCGCACGCGTCAGATTCACCACTGCCCCCTTCGCGGTTGGGTATAGTAGATGCGGCGTGCCACCCTTCAATCCAGCAACACTGCCCATATTCACAATACTTCCTTTAATCTCACCCTGGTTCCGTATCATCTCCGGTATGGCATATTTGCTCATTTTGACCATACTTCCAACATTAATATCCATGCTCTTAGCCCACTCTGTCATGTCCACATCAACAGCCGTTCCGGCCGCACCACCGATCCCGACATTGTTGATCAGGATATCAAGGCGGCCAAACTTCTCAACCGCAAGTTGCACCGCTGCTTCACAATCTTTTTCACATGTCACATCCGCTCCGAAACAAATCGCACCTCCACGGCCGGGTTGGGATGTAATCATCTCAACGGTTTTGTTCGCCCACTCCTCATTCAGATCGACGCAGACCACATCACAGCCGTCGTGGGCTAAAAGAATCGATATTGCGCGGCCATTGCCGATGCCATCGCCCAGGCAGCCTGCGCCTGTCACGATGGCTACTTTGCCTTTCAAGGAGCGGGAAGGAGGTTCCGTCGGGATGTTGGCATCCATGATTGATCCCATGGTTGATTGGCACTTTGACTCTTAACCCATTTTGAGACTAAAGAGTCCAGATTTACATTTTGTCTACATATAACCGTTCGGCCCATCGACATAGACACCGGACAGAACACCGGCTTCCCCATTTTGGCTGGTTTTGCGGGGTTCGGTTCCCCTCCGTTAGCCGAACCGAGGTATGCGGGTACCTGGAGCGATGATGTGGCTATAGAAGGAGACAGACACCAAGTGTACCTCAGCTAGTCGATTGTCTCAAGTTTAGGGAACATGACAAATCGGAGGGCTTTCGGGCGAATGACTCGCCGACCGGACTCCATCCCTCTGTTGATCGGTGCGTCGGTGACGCTCGCTTTTTAAGACGAAGATCATCCCGCACGTCCTCCATCTTACATCTCCGCCAACAGAAAAACAAGTTCGATATTTGATACGATATCTTAAATTCTCTCTTTAAACTGTATATACTCTATATGGCTGACTTCACTGAATATGGCGTGCCGAGCGCAGAATGGCTCGCACTCGAGCGGACTTTGCCTCAAATGCCCGACCTCCCACCGAAGGAATTAAAGGCCTTTGTGAACAAGGGGCGTGAGGATCTGGCAGCTCAGGCCATGATTGACCAGGGTCAGTGATAACGAGCTCTTCCAGTATCGCACAGACAAATAAGTACCTAAGCTGATATGTTTGAGCCCAGGCCTGAGCTCCAGCGTCCAGATCCACGATCACACGGTACCTACTCGTGACGGAGCAACTCTAGAAGCACGCACCTACCGTCCCACGGGCATTCCGCTCTCACAGCCACTTCCACTCTATATCCACCTCCACGGAGGAGGCTATTTCTACGGAACCCTGGCCTCCGAAGATGCGATCTGCTCGCGAATCGTAGCCTCGCGACAAGAAAAAGGCACACCCGTCGCCGTGTTTAATGTAAACTATCGGCATAGCCCCGAATACCAATACCCGACAGCTTGGGATGATGTGGAAGACGCTTTCGTCTGGGTTCATGAGCATATCACCGAGCTGGGTGGTCTTGGTGACCAGGTTGTTGTGGGCGGTATATCCGCCGGTGGTCAACTGACTGCATCCCTTGCGCTTGCTCAACTTCGTGGTGATAATAAGCGAGTGGCAGCTTGCCCGAAGATCAGAGGCCAGGTCCTCATGATTCCGTGCGTGGTACTTACGGCGTACTATGGAGCACGAAAAGAGATGCTTCGCAGTCCTGAATTATCGAGTCTTGTGCAGTGTGCTGATGCGCCTATTCTACCCATGAGCAGGCTTGACTTCTTCATGAAAATGTTGGGACTGCCACGTCCGGAGGACGCAAGTGGTGATCTTCGGATGAATCCTGGTAATGCGACTGCGGAGGAAGTTAAGAATCTGCCTCCCACGACTTTTGGAATTGCTGGGAGAGATCCTTTACGAGATGAGGGACTTTTTTATGCCAAATTGCTCAACGATAACGGGTAAGCTATGTGGATCTGTTGTATATTTGTTTCAGTGCTGACGTTCGTGACTCTCCAGGGTCCCTACCGATGTCACTGTTTACCGCGGTGTTCCTCATGGATTCCGGCGGTACGGAAATGCCCTGGAACGGGCGAGCAAGAAGTGGGATGAAGTCATGAGTGACGGAATTTCCTGGGCTTTGGGTAATCCCGCGGCTGGACCTTGGGAGGTTAAAACCGACTAAGGTAATGAGCTGGGGTTCCCCGGGCTACCTACATTTTTTATATGATAAAAGAGAAAAATTTCTATGAACTCTGGATTGCACGTCGGTATATATTGCGAAATTCCATGTATAAACTCATATATTGCACGAGCTTCAAACTCTTAAATCTCAAGACAAGTCTCAAAAAATGATATGACACTACCTATCATCAATTCCTCCTCGTGAGAGGCACCAGGTACAACATGAAGATAGCAATTAGCACCAGCTAGACGCCATGCCTTTTCCAGACGAACTGTTAATCCGTAGCGACCCTGTTGAGTAGGGTCAACCACTCTTCCTCGTGCCTTGGCATAGAAGGTATCAGTATCGGCCTCCCCAACAATGAAAAACGACGGTATCGAGCATAGTTGATGCCATTGCATTTTTATGCCGAATATCTGCTCCATCTCTTTCACCCCTTCAGGATAAGGCCGAGTGACATCAGGAAGGGTCTGAGAGCCCGGCGCACCGCATGCGATAGCTCTCAACCGTTGCGGATACATATATGCAAAGCGATGCACAAACTGAGCGCCACCACTAAATCCAAACATCAAGAAACGCTCCATATCAAGCCGTCTATATCGGGCGCCAACTTCATCAGCCATAGAAAGTAATATTTGATCACAGCGCAGATCATTATATTTGATGACTTTATACCCTTCACTATTGTAGGGATCATCTCGTTCCAGTGGAAATAGTGGAGCAAGAATAATGCATGAGATCTTCTCCGCGAATTCGGTGAATTGTTTGCGTAGCTCTGATGCATTGCGCGAGCTTGAATGTATGAGAACCATAAGACTCAGGGTTTTGAGCTTGTAGTAATTCTGTGGCACGTATAGATAGTAGGAAAATCTGTTGTTGGCTGCACAGAACCATGCTGGGGTGTTTCCGAGATACCCTAGTTCTTGGGCGATGCGTGGGTCGAGACTATCGACGGTGCCAAAGTCTTTGGCTTCCATCCTAAGGCAAATGAAGGCTAAGAAGAAGTGTGAGGGCCAATGGGCAGAGCATGAATATCAATATTCGTAGAGTAACCGGTTCCCAGGTAGACGAAGGCATTTATAGACCTAGCATTAAATCCCGCACAGGGTGGCCGGGGAGTACAAGATCTGCTGAGCCCTGTGATAGGTCGTTTGTAAAGGAAATCAATGAACCCATGCTTGAAATCTCTAGGACTGCTATGGGGAATATCGGACGTGTTCACTGGAGCCCGTGAACTCGGAGGGCAGTGGAACCGTGTGATTCAAAGGTCGAACTCTACACTGCAACATTTGACTTTCCAGATCAAGCCCTGGAGCTCCCAGATTGTCAGTTGCAGCCCTTCTAGCATTTCTGTAACCTCTGGAAATCGACCATTCTGATCATTTTCATCATAAATCACACAATACCACCGTATACAGTGCCACTTAGCCTTCATAATTATTCTTGGGAACGGATCACCCAGAGTTTACTTATACTGTCTGAATAGGGAATTTCATTGCATTATTGAGGTCTTCATTGTAGAAACTCATTTAGACCTTCCTGGCCCCTTCTGCGGTCATTCCTTTACTCCATCCAGGTACCCATTGATCCTCAATAACCCTCAGTTGAACCTCCTGATTACGTTTCAAGAATCCTTCCTCCACATGATCATCCATACCCACATCTTTGAACCCTTCCTTCGCCACAGACCGTGGAGTAATCATGAGCGAATGACCTAGTCCTATAATCAGCTCTCATCAATGCCAACATGAATATTTTGTTCTTAGTACCGTTGATCGTCCGATCCGTTGCAAGTTTCATCATGCACATTGCGACATCTTCCTGAGGAGCAAATTCGACTCCTTTAGAAATAAGCTCAGCCTCATACGCAGCTGAGCGAATGGCGCTTTTGATATAACTATTGATCTTTAGTACTTTCTAGCAGGAAAATTCATTGTATCAAGCGTACCACGGCGCCACGTAGTTAATTCTGATTCCCTGTTCATGAGAGTTCCGACGAGCTGTTCTCATCAGTCCCCTTAGTCCATACTTGCTGCTGGTGTATTGCCAATTCGCCTGAGAACGTTAGAATTGCCTGATATGATTCATGTAAACATACCGGAGAGTCGATCCACGCAACTAAGCTTCCGGTAATAATGAAGCATCGATCTCGGTCGTCGGTATCGGGCTGTTTGCGGAAGTAGTGAACCGCGAGCTTCCACGTATACATTGTACCAATCAAGTTCACATTGACAATATTGAGTTTGGGCTTCACTGGTGCGGCGTTTGGGTCTATGTTCACGTCAGCGCTTTTCCTCTTCATGTTCCTTAATCGATTCCCATACCATCCAAAGGCCAAAGATCATCCCCAGAGGCGCGGCTAATGCCAGCATTTGCGATGACAATATCACAGCTTTTATGTGGTGAATTCGCAATTGCCGCTTCGAACATTTCGACTTGGTCTTCCCAAAAAGTGATGTTGCACTTAATAAACTGGGCGTTCCTGTATCCAGCCGGGTTAACTTATTTTTGATAGCTTAGGAAGTAGTAAGACCAACGGGCTTAATTCATCTGCCAGTTTGTTGCCTCGTGCTTCATCTAGATCAGCAATTGTGACAAATGCCCTGGAATAGAATGAGCTTGTGCTTTCGTTTCATTGCGGGTCAAAGGGTCATACCCCTCTACGGCAAATGCGCGCGCCGTTTCTTCGCCCATGCCATTTGCGCCTGTAATACAATCAGCATTGGGATAAAAATCCATTTTGCTCTGTTAACAGTGGAATACCTACCTCCAGTGATAATTACACTCTTTCCTTTGAGAACTTTGCGGTCTGGTGGAATGCTACAATCCACCGGGCCGGTATATTCATAGCGAGGAAGTTGCGGCATGCTGATAACAAGTTGCAATAGAATAGGTGCACTGAACCAGCCTTTGAAATGATATCTGCCTTGACTCATTATACATGCGAGATCGCTGCATTTATGCCCCCACGTTCTCCTCGACGTGTTTCCCCGCGTGCTCTTGCCGGCTATCCTCATAGAGTAAACCGCTGTGGATAAATGCCAATCCCGACTCGGATGTGAGAGTCCAAAAGCTTGGAGAACAGACAAAAAGTGATTTTGTTACAGGGGTTATCCCGCCGCCCGTCGCAGGGTTTTTATGTTTTGCGTTGTGGCTGGCACGTAGACGTAGAGTTCACGCTCTGCGGCTCTTGGCTCGAAGCCTCTTAGTCTTCAGGGATGAAAAATTCCACTGGCAAAACACTCACCTAGTATTGCCTACTCTTTATGTATATTGATGAATCATGATCCTTATACTGTCATCAAGTTTGTCGTACTAGCATGTGCTGTACACATGAGGCTCATATGGGGTCAAACTACGACAAGCCCTGGAGACATTGAATGCACACACTTTTGCAAATTAAAAAAACCCTCAATTTGTATCATGTTCTCAAGAGGACTAGCTTTCCCAACGCAATGCAATTGTCTATTCAGTTTGATGCGAGAGGACCCCTCATGCACATCATGCCCAAAGATCGTAGATGGGCACATGTCGAATTCGATGCCGTAGCCATTCCTGAAACCAGGTCAATACTCCGCAACAAGAAAAGAAAAGTAAAAAAGTCCAAACAATATTGAAGCACCGCCATGCAGGTTCGTATCACAAAGTCTCCGGAGGTGAAAATGGGTCACTTCTTGTCTCCATTCGTCTCGTCCTCCAGATCAACCATATCCCGCAGTATGTCTTTTAATCCGCGAACTCCTTCGGCCACCACATCATCAGGAATACGCACATTCACTTCTTCAATGTACTTCAGCGGATCATACGGGCCATTATCTTGGTTCTTGTCGTCAGAGCTGCCTTTTTTTGTCCCGTTTGCCTTCCCCTCTTTAGCGGCACCGTTGGTCGACGAGTCGCCGTTTTCGGTGTGTTTTGCGCCCAAGGCTGGGTGTTGTCGGCCTTCCGCGGAGGCGATTACTGCTGCCATAACATCATCGAAGGTCTCGCAACGGCCGGCGCGGAGGAGTTCGGTGGCGAGGCTGGTAATCCGCTCGGTCCAGCCCACACGGTGCAGGGAGCCAAGAAGAGATTCTTGTAGTTCTTCTAGGGCAGATGTGGCGGAGAGTTTTGTGAGGAGATCCGACTCGAGCGCATCGGGGGTAGAGGACGGCATCGTATCTAGAGCTGTTGGTGGGGTTCAGACCCGCCGGTGAGCGCTCAATTTGTTGTGTCGTGTATTCGCGATGGTTTTAAAACTCGACTGATGGAATTAAAAAGACCTCGGATGAGCTTCAAGTCACTTTACGCAAGTTCTCCCAAGAAGCCCCAGGGTAATGACTGTGTGTGTATCGTATGCGCCGGAGGCTTTGCCGGCTCGCAACTCGGGCGTTGGGGGGGAAGGTCAATGGAAAGAAACGGGGATCCGGCCCCTGATAGAATGGACCTTTAGTCGAAAGCGCAGATTATGATTACTCGCAGGGCTGGAAAGGAGTTGGTTCCAGTGCACGGAAAAGTGGATATTGAGAATGACGAAGGTTCCGCGGACCGGCCTGTCAATGCGGCGATCGGAGTTAGCGCTGTGGCAAGTAGGCCCCTGCAGCAGGGTTTAGACGCAGATTTGGTCATCGGTTAATGGCAATAGGCAGTAACTGACCTCAGTAGGGTGATTGGAGCTCGCTGGTAAGAGCTAGGTTACAGGCGCAAAACGGTTGCGGATGCGGAGGTGTAGTTGATGCGATCCGGGAGAAGGAGAGGATAGGGTCGGTCAAAAGGAAACCGGGTCAGAAGTATGCGCCCATTGCACACATAGGGATATAACATTCACATATAACCCAAAGCAGTGAATGTCAATTGGTGACGTGCAATGAACCAGGAAGAATCAATCCCTCCCCGATCGGAATCTCCAGCACAGGCCAATCGGCATAGAGCACGGGCGGTGAACATGACGACTTCAATAGATCTATCGGCAAGTCACTCTACTGTGATGGTTATACTGTCTTCTTTGTCTATTCTCGACGGGATAATTTTTTAACAAACATAACGTGATTCTTGCACTTTTTTGTTGCCTCTGTATCATAGGTAGTTTGCAATATCCAAAGAGTCTGGTATGTAGAAGCAACCACAAAAACTTTAGCCGGTCTGAAAAGCTTCCAAATTTATATTGATACATCCCAAGGTAAGGTAGACAGTTGTCTTTGGACAATTATCTAGAGTCCAGTGGGCACAGGCAGAGGTTCAAAAGGTTAATTTGACTTCCAAGGTTGGAAGGTCCATATAAGATTTTTTGAATTTTGAAACACGCGGCTTAACCATCAATAGAGTCAAACATAAAGTATAGTTTAGGGTAGATGGCTTTGAATGCTTGTTTTAAGCGACGTAGGTCTCGCGATCCCATTGCTTATAGTCTTCCAAATCATAGCAATGCTACTTTGGAATTCCCCCGAAAGTGTATTCTGGTTATATGTGGGGAAGGGAAAGGGTAGCTCTTCTTCATTCACTGCTGCTGATCACGATCTAAGACATGACGGGTCCCACCCGGAGAAGGTTCCTGGGATTTTACACATGAAATTTACGTCCGCGATTCACCTAAACGTCATATGTCTATCCCGTTCATTTTATCATCCCTGTGGATATATACTAGTAAAGGGGTCAACTCCGAGTCCAGACCCAGTCACGTGCACCGCGAATTGATTGTCCCGCGACGCTTCATCGTTAGTCCTGAATCCCTGGACTCGATTCGCTATTTTTCTACTACACGGTCGCCCGTCAGACTGCCCACTGAAGAACTTAATCATAGCACTCTTTGGAGTTCATTGGCCTCTGGTCTTTCTTTGGGGCCACTTCCCTTCGCGCCGGCCAGCTTTCCCCGCTCTGGTTCCCGCGCCTACCAGTTGGACTCGTCAACAGGCGCCTACTCATCGCAAAAGTCCATCGCACCAGGCCGAGCGTGTGCTGTCAGGCACCAACAACCGATCCAGCTCATCTACCAGACTATTGTGACTTTGATGTGGGCCTGACACGTTCAAACCTCCCCCTCGCATTCGACGACCTAGCTGCCCTCTCATGAGCTTGGTCCTTTGTCGCATATCTGCTCCCCAAGCCACACTCTCTTCCTCTCTGTGGGCTCAGACATTCCCTGGTCTGGCGGCAGTATAGGCGACTGTTCATATTGATTTGGCCTGAATTCCGTGCCCCTGAAGACTCCGTACCACCATGTCTCTCCACACCTCCTACCACGACGCAGACTCCGATGCGGATGACGAATATGAGCGCAGCGTGATTACATCCCCGCACCTTCAAACAGATTCCGAGGCCTCTCCTATTGATTCCGACATCCCTTCCTCCGAACACACACCGACCAAATTCGGCCACCCCAGCGATGTCCCGCGCACTCCCCGCGCAATCATCTCCGACTGGACCGCAGATGAATGTTCGGAATTCCTGACATCTTTAGGATTATTGCAGTACTGTGGAACTTTTCGAGGTATGTTGCATTCATTGGAACAACGACAAGACTGATACTGATAGAATTTGCCAGAAAATGGAATTGTAGGGGAGGCTCTCGTCGCATTGAGACACGATGAATTGAAAGAAATGGGAATCAACAGTGTGGGCCACCGGTTGACCATTCTTAAGAGCGTCTACGAAATCAAAATTAGACAGAATGTTCCTCTTGATGTTGACCACTACATCCCACTCTGTAAGATCCCTCTGCCCCGATAGCTAAATACCTACTGACCTAGTCAATACAGCCGCGGATCAGAGCATGAATGAAAACGCGACACAGGATGATATTGCCCGTTTAATTCAGTCTATCCAGATCCGAGACCAGAAGATCTATTCAGTCGAGGGAGAATTGCGTCGACTGGCCGACGAATACCGGCGGTTACGAGAAGAGATCCTACCCATGATCAAGATGGCCAAAGACCGATCGCAACCATTACCACCTCCTTCCACAATGGAACCTCCCAGAGAAAATCATCATGATAGCGCCACTCTTGTTTCACCCTCGCAAATCACCCTCACAGATAATCACTCTTCATCGAAACTCGCCCGTGCCTTCTCCAAGCGCGCCTATGGCGGTGCCACTCCTAAAAACAATTCGCCAACATACATCCCACCTTCCGTTTATGAAGGTAGGCACTATCATGATGGAAACCTGGATCCGTCCTCGGCAGCTCTGGCTGCCTCTTCCCACTTGACCGCTTCAATGAATAGTGGTTTACAGCATTCCCCAGGCGTCCCATCACCAACCTCCCCGAACGCGCATACCACCCAACATCAAACTCTCAACTCTCGATCCTACTCCCAACCTAGCTCCACTGCCAGTCGCATGATGCATGACCATCCCGAGGATACTCCAAGAGCCGCATCTCGACTAGACCGACACACACCCAGTCAGCTTCCTACCGCTCGTACGGAAACCCCCTCCTCTGCATCCCGAGTTGATCCTCGATCTGGTGCCGGTGCTGGTGCCGGTCCTGCCAGTGTCGAAATATTCAAATCATTCCGTGTCTCATGGGACGATCCCTGCTATAAGGTTCTCCCTGCTGCATTGAGGAAATACAATATTCATCATGACCCGAAGGATTATGCGCTTTACATCGTCTACGGTGACCAGGAACGATGTTTAGGCTTGGATGAGAAACCACTCTTACTTTTCAAGCAACTGGAGAGAGAGGGCCGGAAGCCGATGTTTATGTTGCGAAAAATCCACCCTGACAATCCTTACACTGCGGCTCCCAGTTCGGCTCCTAACAGTGCTGGGTTTGAAGGTGGGAGACCGGGGCAAATCAATTTACCAGGTGGGGTTCTGTAAATCAGTCCCCAATACCTCGATGCATGCATTCGTGTCTATTGCTCAAGCTTGAGATACCCGGTGACTTTCTAAACAAATTTTGCATGGAATACTTTAATCGTCGCATTTTTCTTTTCTTTTATTCTTACAGTCTTGTTCTGGACTATTTGCTCTGTAGTCATTGCTCTCCTAAAAATATTCGAGACTGCTCCATTTATGCATTAGTGGAAAAGTTTGGCGCTCATTGTCTTGTGTTGGGTAGTCCTACCAGAGCTTCTTTTGCATTCACGATCTCGCATCGTGCATTAGCCTTCATATTCCCTTAAGATATTCTTTTAGCTGGGCGTCAAGTCTTGGATGTCAATAGCACTCTGTTCTATCTGTGATATGTACAACCATTGTTTCACATGCCTGAGCAGTCTTCGGTTTTGTATAACCTTGGAACTTTAAATCAACGAGAATCTGCCTAAAGGTTTGCTAATGTTAGTGGTATCATTGTATTAAATCATTTGAGCTTTTGCGGTCCTATTTATACTATCTTGAATGCTATAGGTAATCAGAATTAAGGAGACCGTCAAACGAAAAACACTCATAGTCATTTGCTACGATTTCTGCCAAAATGTAGAGAATCCTAAGTATGAAAATTCATTGAAATTCTATTTAAATAAGCACAAACGATTACTCCAATAACAAGCCCACCTTCAACAGCATACTTACCGGCTTACATCGATATCAAACTGAAGCTGAAGCGTACGGTTTTCAAACCAAGTAGTAACTCTCGCAATATGCCGAGTACCAGGCGCAAAAGAACTCAACAGGTAGTATACAGCAAGCTTACCCATCCTCGTACCCAACATCTGGTAGTACTGGGGTGTACCCATTTCAAAGACTTTTTGCGGGGCTTCGAAAATAGGATCTAACGTCTTGTTCTCGTAGATGATATTGCTCACAAACCCTAACATTTCCCTGTTAACAACATGCTCCATGAAAATATATTTCAGCGTCTCAAGCTCGTATTCATATTGATAAGCAGCCTTAGTCAGTTGGGAAGAATGTGGCTGGTCAGTGTTCTCGGCTCGAGAAACCGAGTCAATGATTATCACGCCTGGTCCGATTACGCCTTGCCACTCGCTGTAGACGTCCAAATTCTCGATATGAATTCTGGAGAATACGCTATTCAGGGAGATACCAACTTGGGATAATCGGTATTCATAGTGGGGTGGAAGGTCGACTCGCTTGTTGCGGACGGTCCAAGGTGCTTCTTGCAGATCATTGATTGTTAGTTCCGAGAAAGCAATAGGGCAGTCGGGGCTGCGGTCGGTAAGCCATGCTGCGCGCTGCTCACCAGACTGCTGTAATGTGCTAAATGCTGACATGCTGGGATATGATTTTTTTTTTTTTTTTTCCTTTTTTTCTTTTATCTTTTTGGCAGAATATCGATTTCGTTGTTTGGATAGATAGATACTCACTGGTCTAGTAGATTATTCGGATCTTAAGTACTCGAATGATATTCTAATATGTGTGCTGGATTGAAGTGTTCCCGGGCTGTGGATTATGCTGCCTTATATAGCTATACTTATTGATTGGTATTTCCTAGAATAGATATCAAAGAGATTGTTTCAGCAACTATGAGATGAAGGACTGAAGGAAATTGAGATACACGGAACGAAGTTAGAGGTTCAAGAACAAACAAACACATGACGAGATTCATTTACACTTCAATACAAATTCATAAAGACAAAGGAATGAAGCACAGAATCTAATAATGTAGACGGTTTCAGAGAAGACAGAATGACTTGTCTGACCTATGTTCTTTGCGTTTTAGATACCTCGGGATAGAGAGCAATGGCAAATTGACAGTGCAGATATACATACACTTTAGATTAAGACGGAGGTGTACAAAGGATCATTTATCGCTACTGCTAGCGGTATCTTATCATCGAGGGTTCAAATAGAATGACAAAAACATTATTCAATCTTTGTCTTTCTGTATACTTCGCTTATCATCACGTGGGGACGTGTTTATCCGAACGCGTTCGATAAGCCCACTTTTCCCACTTCTCGAATCGCATTGCTCGAAATGAGTTGGGATAGGGTGATTCAGGACTCCGATGAGGAAGAGCTTCTCATTGAGGATGACTTCCCGGCTTCCCCTGATCCGCTTCATGGCCCGGAACCTCCAACAGCTCAACATCACGATCATCCCGCGAAACAAGAAACACGCCCGATTGAGCATACAGTCACCGAAGGCTTCCCAGGACCCCAATTGAACGTCAATTTCGATCAATTCTTACAGTCGCAAGAAACACATACAGGCTCTACTTCATCCCAGCGGCAGCGTGAAGAAAGATGGATTCCTTCGACCAACGAAGACGGGAGTGGATCAATGAGTGCGTCGCGGTCAAATGACGGTTGTCTCCCGGTGTACAACCATTCCGCGGTAATCATATGCTGATTCATATATAGGCGCGATGATGACGGAAATTGGACTTGCGCAAGGACGATTGTTTGACGATGCTTCCAGCGGAGCCCAGCGTCTCCCTTCTACCGTAACATTTTACCCCAGCGAAATCTCCCAACCGGGATCATTCCCAACCATGCAGTCATATCAGTACCGGCAGATGAACCAAGCGGCTCATACTCAATTCGGATTTACTGCGGGGTCTAATCATGTTCCGTATGAGGCGACGCAGCTTCTTGCGCCGGGCGTTGCGCCCGCTTATGACTACAGTACGCCGGCTATCTCGACTCATATTGATTTACCCTTGGACGGATTCACGGGTTCCACATCGATTCAAGCGGTTGGAAATATACCTGATGTTCCTGTGAGCAAGAACTTACAGCCACCGCAAGCAATGCAATCAATGGCCGGTTCCCCGCATGATACTGAGCCTCTTTCATCCGTGGCATCGCCAGGGTTGAACAAGCCCAAAGAGGACGTCACGAGGTCTGGTCTCATGTCGCCGCAACATTCTCCAGCGAGCACGTATGATGAGCTTGCTTTACCCGCCGTGTATGTGGAAGTGCCCTCGGCCGTAAAGCGTGCTCGCCAGGTGAATGCACCCCTTCCGGAAGATGACGACGATGAACTCGCCATTGTTGGGGGCCGTGAGCCCAGTCCAAGTAAGCCGGCTGCGGTGCCATCACCAGAAAATTCTCCTCGGGCCATTCCTGGAGACACTGCCAGCGATTACGCTCCGGAAAATGTGATTGCATCTGAAAATGGAGGAATTGGGGTGGAGAGTTCAACACTTGCGGACAAAGATATCTCTGCCGACAGGACCCGTATTCCACCGACATCGTCCGGAGATCTTAGCAACCCTTCTACCAAAGAGCCTAACAAGAAAAAGGCCAAACGAACCAAGAAAGCCTCTGCCATCTCCAGATCCCGAGTGTCAGATGCCGATGATGATGTTATTTGCGTGGACTCGCGACCTCTTGGGGCCAGTGAAACGCAAGAACAAAAAATATCAGCTACGGAGTCGACCATTGCAGACCCCAATCACCTTGGAATACTACAACCAGAGCCAACTGCCTCTACCGAGGAGAGCTCTACCACGACAAAGTCCGGTGATAAACCCGCCCCCAAGAAACGCGGGCGCAAGCGGAAGAAGCCTTTAGAGCAGCCCCCTGAAGCAGCTCCGCAAGTCACAGAAGAGCATTATTCTCCGCCAGAAAGTAAAATTCTGATCTTGAAAGTCAACGCGAACCCAGTTGGGAATTCCTCTAAAACAAATTATGAAACGAAGGCCGTTGGCGCAGAGAACGCAAACCCATCGCCTCAAGCAGATGCTCCTGTGCCTCAGGTCAATAACCAAATCGAGGCACCTCCACAAACTCCCCAGCAATCAGATCAAAATCCGAGTACACCTATCGCTGGAAGCAGCACAAATACTCGGAAAGGACCGGCGAAGCCAAGTCCCATTTCCTCGACTAGCAAGGTTCCATACCGTGTTGGTCTAAGCAAACGAGCTAGAATCGCGCCGTTGCTCAAAATTGTGCGCAAGTGAGATTTGTTGCTCTATTCCTATTCATGTCTTACTTGATTCTGGTCGGTTTTTATCCCCATTTAGCCTGAGCCTGTATCCTACTTACTGTTTACATGTCTTCCTGCACTTCTTTATTATACCCCTGCTCTACGTTGAAACTTTTTGAAACTTTGGTTGTGGATCGTTCATGAAATGAAAACTATCTTTCTAATATTAAGCCATGTTTATCATTACTTCAAGTGATCTATAATATCCTTTCACAGCTCTGTACCTCATCCCATCTGCCATGTCATGATAAAAAATAGACCTCGGTGGGCATCGACTTGATCGGTCCGTGGGTTTAATAGAGATAAAAAGTCTACCACAGCCATCATTAGCAATTTATCATTTTCTCAAACACCCCAACAGGATTTCATGCATCCCAAGTTCATATTTGTAGACGAGTATGCAATAATCACCTTTGATTGTTCATAATTCATAATTCATTAAGTCATCCCGCCTGCACAAGTCCACATGGCATCATCTCACGCTTCAACATGCACTCTCCTACTCCTCCATTTCGAAGCAGGCGATTCCCTCAATATAGCCGCAGAAACTGATATCGACATCGTGAATACCCGGGCCATCTCTTCCACTCGGAGTGCGGCGCTCGTGACAGCGTCAGTCATGGCCAAGACAACCATTGTTGGAGGGAGGAGTACGTCGAAAAGCTTCATTGTGGTTTTCGTTCTTGATTGAGGATTGGAAACTTTCAGGTTTCGATACTGGGAGTGCGAGGTAAGGGAGATTTACGGATTCTTTGGATGACTTGAGAGAATCATAGCTTATGTATCCCCGCTCAATCTAACTTTTTAGGCCGGTTTCAAGATTCCATGTCGTGTCGTTTCAAATAATTTCTATATTGGGTATCTCATCTTCATGTGTTGTTTTGTTCAAGGGTGGCCCCATTTTTCGGGTATCATCTACGGGGTGGTATTACAACTAGCCTTGGACTGCCAGTGGAACCACATCGCACGTGTGCAAATATTTTTATTTTCAAAAAGAGATAATAAAGGAATGTTTGAAGCTAACGTCGTTCTTTTGATTATCCTCAAAACCATAGATGCCATATGAAGTAGGTAGTGCGCTGGAGATATAAGGCACTCCACAGTTTGGCCCGGCTTACTTCCCAATTAGGAAATCCCCAAATTGGAAATTTGGAGGAGACAACATGACATTCGAGGTTCAGGAAAAGAATGCTTTCATTTAAAGATGCATTTGGTTTGAGACAGGAATGTGAACAGTGAAGCCACCTATTTTAATTCTCGACTATCTCACGAGCTCATTCTGGGAGACACAATCCGCCATAAAAACACCGGCAATGAAAAACAGAGAGTGGCACGGTTGCGAGGACATCATGCGTAGTTATAAATATAATTTCGAGTGTTCCAACTTCGACCCCAAAACAATACCCGCAATCAGAAGGATACTGTTGATCAGCGACGGTGGTCCATCACATCCAAATGGCCACAATTAATGCCAGGAACAAAGATGTCACGGCGGCAGTACCGAGGTTTCGATAGTCAGAATCTCCCTCTGACTTATTGCCCTTTTTCGAGACAGTTGGGTCCCACGCATCGCCGTTGTGGGGTACTTCCACCGCGCAGTAACCGGCACCCTTTTGACAACCGTTTCCACAATGGTTGGAGCTGTTTCCGCAAAGATTCCACTGACCACAGCACAGTCCGAAGCTAGAGCCCGAGCAGGTGTAGTTTCTGCCACAAGTGCCATCGACTGATACCTGTTGGTGGAAGATTTTTGTAGTCTTCTGTATGTGCCCGGTCCAGCGGCCATCCTTGCGGTACCACATCTCCCGCGGATCTCGGAGGCATTCTCCGACAGTGACAGGGCGGTATCCGAGGCGTGTCATTGTCTGCAACATGTGTTCCGTGAGATTGTGAACAGTCTGTTCATGGGCATCGTGGGCAATGATCAAATAAGAATGGGAGGCAGGATTTCCAGCAGCCAAAGCCTTGTCAAAAATGTCCTTTGATTTCTGAATCAAGCCCGGGTTGTCATTTTTGTAGTCGTCCGTGTCGATATCATACAACACGATATGGTATCCCATGCGACCCAGATCTTCACGGCATCCAGACTTCTCTTCACAGCTCGAGTATGGCGGGCGCATATAGGTGGGGAAGCTTCCCATGATGTTCCGAAGAGCAGCTTCGTTCTTGACCATCTGGTCAATACGTTGAGTGGGTGTAATCTTGCTGAGATCCTCGTGAGACCATGTATGACTGGCAATTTGATGACCACCGAGCACCATACGTTCAATCAAGGAAGCCCAAGGTAATTCAGGGTCATCGATTGCACCCTTGCCGTTATTGATGCCAGTAACAAAGAACGTTGCCGGTGCCTCATACCTGTCGAGTAGCTCAAGAAGATCACCAGTATATCTTGAGGGTCCATCATCAAACGTCAAAGCTACTGTTCCTGGAACAGAGCAAGATCGGATCTGTTGCGGACCATATGGAACAACTCCGATTTTAGGCCGCAGAATGTCCTTTGTGGGAGGACCTTTGGGTGTTTTGTGGGCATCGCATAAGCCATAATCGATTTTGCAGTCTGGGGATCGACAGTGCGCCTTTGTAGTGCCGCAGAAACCTTCAATCAACTGATATGAGAATCATTGCAATCGTTTGAAGTATATCCTCTCTGACTTACCTGCACTGGAGCAGCAGGTACCACTGGGGCATCTTCCATGCTTTTCGCCGCAGCGGTAGTCAAGGGGGCTAGCGAGTTTGTCCTCGCGGCGCTCCGAAGGGTGCTTGTGTACATTAGCCGGCGTGGCAGGCTTTATCAGGTCTTCCGTCTCTGTAGGGTTGTGTTCAACATGCCAGGGTAAAAAGTGCTGGCGATGTTTGATGTTCGGTGCCGGGTCAACAGTTGGATCCGGAGTGATTGGCGCATGTCGCCCACCAAGAGAGCTCAAAGCAATGCCAACGAGAATGGCAAAGAGACCTGAGACGTATGTAAGGTGCATCTTGAAATATAGCGGTACAATGAACAAGTATGATGTATAGTAAGCTGGCTATGCAGAAAAGACTAGGGGAAGAGAAGGTTACATGGCAACGTAAAACGATAGAAAAGCGACATGACAATAAAGAGACTAGGAAGGTACGATTCGGTTAATTTGGAAAAGGGAATGAGCAAAATGAGTTGTGAAGACCAGCTTCAGTAACCAAGATCGCCGAGGAAGGTGCGGAAGGAAAGTGACGAGCTCCAGACTCGCTGTGAATTGCAAAGGCTTACAATCAGATCAATATGATTTGAATTGGGTTGATTTCTTTGGAATGAAACATCAACATGGGTATCGTTAAATTTTGGTCATGCCAGACATCCATTATGCTATGGAGTGGATACTCCAGGATGAGATGCGCTTCTGCTTCATACAAGATTCCTCCCAGTCGCTTTCGAAGTAGCAATTCTACTCCTCGGGCGGCCTTTTACCATTTCCATGGAAAAAAGACTTCCCAGGCAATGCGAGCGATAGTAATAGTCACTCAGTTTGCGACACCGTCCTCCCCCACTGCGGCAAAGACGAAAGGTGCCAGGCTATTCAAGTGTGGGCCGAACTTGGCAGGAGCACTACGAGCGATCGTGCCGATGGCAGCAATCAAATGGCGGCGGTGCACGGTAGAGATCTTCGGTGATGATAGTGCTTCAATCAGGCGGGCAACAAAGGAGTTGAGCTGGGTGTCGGAGAAGTAGAGGACTAGCGCCGAAATGGCCGTCAGCGCACGCTTGGTGACAACGGTTCCCGCCGTGTCATTGTGGATGATGGCCATAACTGGCTCCTGAAGGGTAGCCAGCTCGGACTCCTGGAGGAGCGGACCAAAGCATGTCACAACCTTGATGAGCACATCGATTGCCTCACTGCTGAAGCCCTTGGACGGATCTTTTTCTAACATGCCCCGCACTACCGAGCCACGTCTACCGGATGCTGACTGGGTCGGCCCTGTCAGTCGAGGAATCAGGATCTTTGAAACAGCGGAGTATGCGGTGAGGACGTTCTGTGGGGCGGGCTGGCCGGCTTGGGGTCGAGGGAGAGTATCGACAATCGTACGCAGGGCGGTATTGGGGACGGAGGTATCGATGGTTTGAGAAGCGGTCATGTTGGTTAGTTTCTCAAGGAGCATTGTGAGTGTTTCAAATGGCAATCGGATGGCCAGCGGGCCAAGACTGTGGGAAAGTTCGAGGTTAGTTATCTGTACTAACTGTGAGGATTCACGCGGGGGGCAAACCATTTCAGCGCTTGATTTTGGACATCGCCGTGCTGGTCATCCAACGCTTTCAGTAAGCCTTCGGCAAGGCCTTGTGCGGAGCGGTGGTCGTTTGAGATAAAGGTTGATTGGGGATTGCTCAGGATCCCGTAGAGGTCATTCAAGGACATATACCGCAAATCGGCGTCCGGGTCATCTAGCTTTCCCAGCAGACCAAGTATGTTCTGCTGAGTTAGTTGCCGTTCCGCCATGGTTGTGTCGGTTCTCCACAAGTGGGTGCTTTTGTGGTAGAGCTGAGGAGGAAGCCGAGAGTAGCTTTCAAGGGAAGAGGGCTGAGTTCGTGATAGTGATATCAACGTGGGGTCTTCGCCTGAGGCAGGAGCTTCACTTTAGTACGTATTCTTGGTGCCTGAGGCTTCCAGGTCCCTTTCATGCCTCAGGCAACTACATGACAAGTCCATCATCGAAGTCAGATTTCTCCGGATTCAATGACAATGTTGGTTTTCCAATATCCATGGTTGGTGGATAAGTTTCAAGTAGCAGTCATGCTCGTTTCGACTTTTTGGATAAGACATGTTATGCATGCTCCGGGGCCTTCGGTCCGAAGTCAAGCGCTATAGGTTTGCGGAATATATCACACTAGTGCCCATTATTGAAGAATTTAAGTAGGAGAGACCACTCTTAAGTATTCTTCAATGGCACTTTGAGTTGTTGTAGCAACTTTATCCATTGATCCACGGTCGGACTCTTACTACAGTAGTACATAAATCTAGCAAACGGTATCATCAAGATCTAATCTGATAGGAGGGACCCTCTCTCCACCAGCCCACTGGAGCTTCATACAGCACAACAAAGCACTCCCCAAGGATCGGATTTCTATTTGAAGCTAATTGACCCAACCGGAGAGCCACATTAGCAGATTTTATAAGCCCCTGAACAAAAGTTTAATTCATAGCTACATAGACTACAGGGATAATGCCAACTGAAGTACGCCATTACATCACTGTCGCACCGCGCACAGACCAACGGAAGCGGCTGGGAACTTGGTCTTACGACCCCGGAAACTGGGCCTTAGCTCACTATTCTAGGGCGAGAGGGGAGGCGCACGTAGCTGCAGGCTACGTCTGTGGGTACTGGTCATTCGAAGCCTTCCTCTCTCACCTTCCTCACCCTATCACGCCTGTCTGATTCTCTATTCATTCTTCTCTATTCGTACCTGGATATTCTGTCCACAATTTAAATCATGGCCGGAATCTTTGCACGTCGCTCAGCATTGCGCGCTGTTACCACGGCCCAGAGTTTCCGTACAGCTCCCAGGGCAGGCCGCTCGGCCCAGCTATTGGGGCGGAGGCTGTATTCCAGTGGGAAGAATGACAAGGGCTATGAGGAGCATGCCACCAGTGATTTGCCATGGTATGCACTTTCTTACCTGCGAATTGGCTTGAGATGTCTTTGTTTGGGGGAGTTTTACCGGTTATCCACAGATCCACTTACTGACTTCTTTTTGGTGATGCAGGTTACTTGGCTCCGTTGGAGTGAGTGGTCCAATGATCTACTGGCTGCTGCAAGCGGGCCCGGAAAAGAAGCCTCATGGTGATTCCCATGATCATAGCCACGGTGATGAGCACAAGGGGGGGGTCCGAGGAAAAAGAATCTGCGGAGGTAGAAAACAAGGCAGAGCCTGCTGAGAAGGAGGGTGGTGAGAAGTCTGCGAATGAGACTGAGGAGCCACCCAAGGAGGAGAGCAAGTCGACAGAATCTACCGATGAAACAAAGGAGCAAAAGAAGGATGACGAGAAGCCGGAGCAGAAGGAATCTGCTGAGAAGAAGTCGGAAGGCAAAAAGCAGGAGCCCGAGGACTCGAAGAAGGACCCCAAGAAGGAAGAGGCCTCTGAAGAATCGAAGAAGGAGGAGTCATCTGGAGACTCAAAGAATGATGAGGTTGGTGTTACCCTTTTCATACATCGAAGTTACTAAACAACTGACAATGCACTCTACAGTCCGATGCTGCCAAGCCCTCTGATAGTGAAGATGCATCATCTTCGAAACAGGAGTCGTCGAAGACAGAAGCCAACAAGCAGTCCGAGAAGGACGAGAACAAGAGTGAAAAGGAGGATACCAAAAAAGAGTCTTCTAAAGAAGAAAATTAGAGTCTCCAACTCTTCTAAGAAGCGTATACTTGCGCTAGATCCTGTTGATATATACAGTATGTAGATCATGAAATGAATATTTTACCTCACCATTGGTATTATTGTTATATCCCGAAGCATTAATGTAGATATTATTTAATACCCTCAGATGCTTCGATATCGTACGGAAAACAAACATGACCATATCCAAAGACTGAATATGTAGGTAGAGCACCTGAAGGAGAAAAAAAGAAATGTTCGTTGAAGTGGAAACAAGAAGAAAAAGCAAAAAGAAATCTCTCCCTCGGGGAATCGAACCCCGGTCTCCCGCGCTTATCGGTGTCAATGACAAGCGGAAATCATGACCACTAGACCAAGGAAGATGAGATAGTCGAGTTTCCGCTCGACCACTTGGTGCTGGTTGATATCTAGATTTCTGATTTCGAATTCATGAAGCTAAAATGTACAAGGTTCCTCCTTGGACCCAACCAACCTATCCCACCCAACACTCGTAGGAATTTCCGTGAGCTATCATTTGGGGGGAGTTTTACTTATCAATCCAGAGATCGGTGAAAAGAAGATGCCATTTTGTCCCAAGGCTAGCTTATCTGAGGACTTCTAATTCTACATACCGGCGCAACCACCTGACCAATCGTTCATTTGAATCTTGGACAATTCAAGCCATCTTGCATCGTATCATTAATTATCTATTTTAGAATAAAAAATACATTACTCCATCTCGTGTATATGCTTCACCTTTGCGCCTTGATGCCCACCTTCCATTTCCTGAGCTTCATATGCCATCACATGGTCTTGAGCAGGAAGTTCCGTCGTCTTCCCATCCGTCATCGGTATAGCCCCCGCAAGCTCAACTCGAGCCCCGCCAGAAAGTTCTGCGGCATCCGAAGGGTCCTGATGATCCTGTTTTAATGCGTTGTATTTCCGTCTCCGCCAGAAAAACCAGAAAAGTCCCAATGCAATGAGCGCCGCAACGCCAACACCTACCCCGACACCGACACCGATCGCCGTCGAGTTTGAGGAGCTTTGGCTGGAAGCGTTAGAGGTGGTGGATGATTTTGTCGATGACGAAGATGTCGCAGTAGCAGTAGGACTGGTCTCCGCGGTCGCAGTCAACAATCCACTAACAGAAGCCGTAATCGACGCCGAGACCGCATCAGATTTATCCCGGATATAGAAAAGCGGACTCCAGGCCCTCCATCCATTATTGTTATCTCCACGAACCGCCGAGCCATCAAACAGTCCGATCTGATACTGCGGGTTACTAGTGTTGAAGTCGGAAGGAATAGCCCAGCTATATTGTTCGAGCGTGCAGTTTGCGGTGGTATTTGTGACGATTTGGTAAAGGGTGCTGGATGTGGAGAAGGTCGCATCAACTGAAACAAGAGTTAGAGTTAAGTTTTTCATCGCGGAGTACTGAAGAAAGGGAAATGGTTGCACGAACCGACAATCTGATCCACCAAACCTCCTCCTGATCGGCCCAAAGAGATATTCAAGGGGAGGGTTCCATCTTCAATGGATCCCCACTGCAGATTTAAGGTCTCGCCCGGATAGAACTCATTATTCGCGGTGTCGGTGAAGCCGTAGAATGTTCCCTCTACACAATTTGTGTATCCATTTGTTGACATGGTCGTACAGGGGCACGGGGGACCTTGCCGTTCAGGTCTAGGGTTACTGGGGCATGGGGCTGAAGAAACAGGGAAACATGAGGATTATGTACCCTATATACGAACTTATCCCGCTAGTTTATTTTTGATTTCCGCCATAATCCAATTTAAATGTTCTATAATACCGAAGGATCCAGACTGTCAGCCCATGTGGCTTGGCCCACTTGAATACACAGCTTGTACGCTGTGGCTGGCATCCTTCATAGTGATATAGGTGGGAACTCAATTTTAAACAGATTTCCTGTAATACTATGAGATTGAAACGCAGGGAGGCGAAGCCATGCTAATAATATCGGTGCTTCTCCGAGGGTTTTGACTGGCTTATCTCCCAAATTCGAGTGTTATGATACTTAGTTCCTTACTAGCGCTTATGCCAACTACGCTTATGATACAAGCGGTTACAGTAATATCTTAATATAAACACCTTTAAAGCTGTCACTCCCCAAAGATACTGTAAAGTGGTGAAATAGGAATCAGGGTCTTGGAAAAGAACTACCACACGTGTGAATCCACACAGCTGGACATGTCATATGGTTTTAGGTCTGCAGCACTGTGGACCTAAAATTACTCCCATGATGCTCTCTGATCGAGTTTCATCTCTCATAATACAAGAAAAATGATTCGACCATCTTGATCCCCCAACCCTAAAGGTATGACCTGCCCAAGTGGATACCAAAATAGGTTCACGGGTACGGATTGTCGCATACATGTATAAACGTATAAAGATGTCAATATTCAGACACATTATATAACAGTCAAGGTGAAAATTCCCTAGCATGCTGTAATCAAGACATGCGCCAATTCGTATCGAGATTATGAGTAGAAATAAATCCCAGTTAATATCCCGCTAAAGCAAAGATAACTCCATCTCAGATGATCCAAACGCCAGATGTGGAGTACATCGTCTTTGAGAAAGAAACTAAAGATCGCCCGCTGAAAGAAACGCCTGGAGAATGCTGATGTCATATCATCACAATCATTGTATGTCGCCATCGCTGTCAGATGTCACCATGGGTTGTTTATCTTTCCTGTTGTTGGGCAGAGAGTCGACAGTTCTCTGCACTTCCCGTTTTGCGACTTGTTCTAAGTCAAGACGGGATTGGAGATTTAGTGACTCGACAGATCCGATGCGCTCATAGAGCTTTCTGGAAATTGTTCGGTTGATCTCGGTATATTGTTCTTTGGTCACCATCTTGGCGCGGTAATGGGGCTTTAACGAATTTCCGACCATCTTCTGAATGGCGGATTTAACGGCAAGGGAAGGACCGTGCCGGCTGGGTGATGTTTCTGGTGATGATCGAGATTGGGCTAACTCGAGGGCTCGTCGAGGAATACGTGAGCGTGGACGTGCCGCTTCGCGTCGTGGCGCGGCATCGTCCGAAGTAGGAGAAGCATCGGGACTGCCAGAGAAGGAGATCTCGGGTGAGAATGGAGGCGAAGAAGGTTCAGCTGGAGAGGAGAGCTGAAGGGGAGAGATGGGTCGATTGCGGGAAAAAGGAGGTGGAGTGGTGGACGCAAGTTGAGGAGAAGGGTGGTTGGAAGAAACGGGGGAGATGGATGGAGAGGATGGGCCAGGGGTAACATGATCGGTAGGGGCAACAGATGCCGTGGCAGAGGGCCCAATAGAGGTACCATGGCTCGGTGGGGATGCATCTTCCACTTCCTTCAAGAGAGAGGACAAGAAGCTCGGTCCACCGACGCTATCCCCGTTGACTCGTACATTTGAACTCGCAGCTCTGGAGGATTCGCCATTTTGATGAGCCATGGCAGCGAGTTCCTGCGGTCGTCTCGTGCGTGGACGTTTTAACTTCCGCCGCGGTTCCGACGGCTCAGGGGATGGAGACATGGTCGGTTCTTTGCGCTTCCGGGCAGCACTTGGATTGTTCTCAATCTCACGAGCCCTTTCAAATGCGTTCCAAGCGCGCATTTCTTCCAAGGACTCAGGCTCAGGTGTTGGTACTCTGGGAACTCTAGGTCGGGATTGCCGAGCAGGTTCCAAATCAAAGAGCGCAGCTGTATCGCGAAACCGACTGCCGCCTCCCTGTCGCTCAGCGACCTCGAACCGGCGTTGCCATGCTCGAAACTCACGCTGGTTGGCTTCTTCCCGGCGACGTTGTTGCAGAATCCGCTGAGCGGAGCGATCGTCGTCAAATGGGAAGTCCAGGTCGATATTAAGATGGTCCCAAACAGACTGCCATACCCGTGCCCAGTGTACTGAGTTGGCTTGGTTCCGGCTCTGGACCCGTCGCTGCTGAGCTCGAGTTCGATGTGTTCCTCTCTCAGTTGTACGAGCGGGGCGACTGGATCCTTCAATAGCCGGTCCAAGCGCCCGTTGAAACTCGCATGTGGAGCAGTACCACGACCCAGCGGGGATTCCATCCAGACCTATGCAGTATGTGTGGGAGGGAGCATCGCATCCATCACAAAGGAGCAAGACGTCTTCGTTGTCCGCTTCTCCGCACAATGTACATGGCTGGGAATCAGCGAGATCATCTTCGATATAGTCGATCAGCATGGTCGGATCCACCTCAGCGACTTGCACCCGGTCTTGAACGGCATAGGATGAGGTGACCTGACCTGAAGATAAGCAGAAGTCTAGTTAGTCACAAGATCCAAGAAGTGACACGGACTATCGAAACAAAGGAGCACGTACCTCCAGGTCGGTCGCTCAGCTCAACCATGTTGAAGCTGCGACGACATATAGGGCAACTGTTCGCCCGCTCCACCCATGGCTTTAGGCAATTATTGTGCAGTATATGGCCACACGGCAATAATTGGGCAATCTGACCCGGATCCTCATCGAGACCCTCCTTGACCGTTGTAGCATCGTAGAGATGGGGTCTTGGCACGGGTTCGGCGGGATCACTGGCGCTTTCGCCAAGGTCTCCTAAACAGACAATGCAGGTGTCGGACATGGACAGGAATCAAGCCAGGGGAGAGAAGGCTGAGAGTCGGCATGAAGAGCGTTTCGTGAAGTGTATGAAAGAAGAAGAGAAGTGTGGGGAGAAGAGAGCCCGGCCTTTTGAAGGTGGGCCGGGATTTCCAGTCTAACGCAAAACAGGGCGGCAACGTGACGGGGCGAATCATCCGCACTCGCGCACTTGCGAACGAGCGGGAAAGTCAACTTGGTTTAATAAGTCATAGGGGATGGCCGTATCCTGTTTAGGTCTGAGCGGTCGCTATGACTCCCTTGTATAGATTGTAGATCGAAGATGGTGGCTGCGATCGTCCCTTGCTGTAGCGGCCCCAAGGTAACTCTGCCCTGCTCTATATGGCCCCGATATATCACAATACAATTTCTGGCTACGTCGCTAACTACGCGAGTTCCACAATTAGGCCCGCAAGGTCTCTGTTTTAGCGCGATTAAAAACGACCGAGAACCCTGGTAAGGTCTAAACCGAGATTCCAGTTGTTCAGGCGCCCCCTGCACGGGAGTGGGCCTCATGCGAGGAACGCTGCTAAAGGTGCCACGACTATCTCACCACAGTAGCAAAGGAAACCAAGAATGTACGGAGTACAGGGCGCAAAAACGCTGGTGTACACACAAGGACTGTACGTTGTAGACTCGCGGTGAAGAGTTAAGAAGCTCTTGCTGCCTGCCAAGCGCGGGGGAGCCCAGGCATCTACAACTATTGCCCTAGTCACCAGGTTACCGTCCTCAAGCCGCATTGGTGACGTCGATATTGAATCCAAATCCATTCGCATACCAGACGTGATTGCAGGACTCGATCAAAACTCGGGCGGCTTGAAGGTCGGGTATTGGTGGGTTGGTTTGTCTATACCCATCGGCTGTAGCCCAACGAAGCCCCGAGGGTTTAAAATAAAATGTGACGTTCATGACGTTACGCGGGAAATCAAGTGCGATGCAAAATCCTTAGATTCCAAAGTTTTTCATTTTTGGTATTCAGACGTGACCGTAGAGTAGAAAAAAATCATGTCCCATTTTTTAAACCTCAGCGATCTCACGGAGACGGCGGATGGTGGAGCGGGTGGCAGCGGCAGCGGGGGTCCTATGAGCAAGTTGAACAGTCAGTTTCTACCTTCGAAGGTCACGAGTCCTGGTATGTCTGTTCCATTCCCCTCCAAGTCCAGATCCAGGTCGTGTCGAGAAATTGCGAGCGACTTACGAGACGGTGTAAGCACCACCGGCGACGGTCTTGTTGCAGCCCTTGCACTCCCAGATACCAACAGCCTTGCGCTTCACGGTGTTCTTTCCGCAGAAGGTACAGATGTAACGGGCGTGCTGGGTGACTTCCATCTTCTTCACCTGCTTACGCAGGGAGGCACCGTATCTGTGGGGATTGAGTCAATATTCGGTTGCTTTCGTGTTGCCGGTCGCGTTTCTCAGGTGAGGAATCATGTTCGTTCGAGAGCGAGGGCGAAATCGGGGATTGGGCGATATTCATACCTGGTACCATATTTACCGGTGATACCGACCTCTGGAAGGGAATTAGCATTCTGAAAAAAAGGGGAGATTTATTCGAGAGGGGAGGAGGGATCTGGAGAGACATACTCTTGGTGCGCTTGGTCATCTTGTCTGCAGTGCGGCTGTAGGTTGAAGATGGGTTCAAAGCAGATCGAGAAGAGGCTTCTGAAGAGTGGTTGTGGGTGGGCTCGCTTAGGGCTATTGGGGCTTGGCGGTAGTGTGTGGTCACCTGACGGGTGCAAGAAATGATTTTGGAGTATATTATGTCATTGACATCATGTGACTCCACATAAATCGATTGGCTGCTGATGTTCACCCCATTGTGGTCCCTTTGCAGTCTTTGATTGGCTCTCTTCTGTTTTCATCTCCGGAGTATTTATTCTGCTGTAAAGTAGTGCTTACGTCCACCAGAAGCAGACTCATGCAGGGGTATCTTTTTTTGCACGCAAAATATCTTCTATAATTCATGTCCGCGCGAAGTCAGCTGAAACATAGACATCTCCTAGTTCTCCATAATGTGATATCTCAGTCACGTGGCAGAGTAGCAAGACCGATGGACGACGGCCTCGGTTGAACAAACCCCTCCGTATTGTGAATTTATCTGATGCATTGTACTACAATAACGAACGAGACCAGTTAATTAAAAGAATGTCTTCATAAATACACAAATTCCTTCACTCGGTTCCGGAACATACCTCTAAATGAGTGTCACATACCTCTTGTACTAGTGCCGAGGAGCTTGTGATCCCCCAAGAGCTTGGCCCTGCGCAAGTGGAGCTCCATTCCCAAAACACAACAGTCCCTCACAACAATGGCCTCCGACAGGGAATACAGCTTGGTTCTGCTAGGCCCTACCGGCTACACCGGTCGGTTCTGCGCAGAGTACATCGTGAAAAATCACCCCACCGATCTGAAATGGGCTGTCGCAGGCCGCTCGGTGAACAAAATTGAACCCATCGTCCAGGAACTCAAAGCGCTCAACCCAGACCGCCGTGCGCCAGGTATGCAGAAGGATAGCCTGACCTCTTCATATTGTCACTTGGGAGCCTACTAATCTGGGTCTTCGCAGATGTCCTCCCGGTCCAGCTAAACCCTACCGAGCTGAAGGAGCTTGCTCAGAAGACCAGATTGATCATCAATTGCATTGGCCCCTACCACCTACACTCCACTCCGGTGGTCGAAGCTTGTGCCCAAAATGGAACCCACTATTTGGACGTGCAAGTAAACCCCAAGGCCTGGATTTGCTGCTTAGACTGACTCGGGATTCTTGCAGGACCGGAGAGACACCCTGGATTAAGCTCATCATCGACAAGTACCATGAAACGGCCAAGGCCAATGGCTGCATTGTAGGTCCTCTGCTTTTTATCTTGGCCTTGTTTTGTCTAATAAATATTAGATCATCCCATCTGCTGGCATGGAAAGTGTCCCAGCGGATATTCTGGCATGGGCTCTTGTCAAGCGAGTCCGCGAGGACCTTGGATCGCAGACCTGTGGAATCGACAGCTGCATCAAGGACTTTAAGTATGTCTCCGATGTCCACGATAAATTGATTTAGGAAAAATCTAATCCTTAATAGATCTTCTGGCGCCAGTGGTGGCACCCTTGACACCATCCTGAGCATCTTCGACTGGCTCCCAATCTCGGAGCTTCTCAAGTCTACCGGACCCTTCTCGCTGACAGGCTCTGGTCCACTCAAGCATGTCCCTAGCGACTCGATCATCACCAAGCTCTTTGGTCTGCGCTCTGTTCCTGACCTGGGTACCCTCACCACCTCCCCCAACGGCATGGCCGACATGGCCATCGTTTACCGCAGCAGCACTCTGATGCCCGAGTTGTACGGCAGTCGGTTCGTTTTCCATCAGATGCTATACGTGCGCAACGCCCTGATCGCCGTCGCCATGCACATCGGGTTCAACCTTTTCATGGCGCTCCTTATTTTCCCACCTGTGCGCTGGTTGCTACGCAAGTTTGTCTACGCACCCGGTGCTGGTCCGACGCTAGAGAACTCTCGCAATGACCGGGTGGAGTACCATGCCGTTGCGACCGCAGATCAGGATGTTCCCAAGCCGAAGCGCGTATTCGGTAAGCTAACCTACGAAGGAACCATGTATGTGATGACTAGTATGCTTGTTTCGGAGGCTGCTATGGTAATCCTTCAACAAGAGGACAGGATTCGCAAGGTTTCTCGTGGTGGTATCGTTACCTCTGCCACACTGGGCCAGGAGTATGTGGATCGCCTGGATAAGGCTGGAGTCCACATTGAAACAAAGGTCTGGGATTTTTAAGCCTATTCTGTTTCAGTTCCCCCATGCAGGTGGCTCCAATCGCTTTAAGCTACACTCGCTTACGACACTGTCTACGTTTGACGAATTCTTACATAATGTGATTCATAGCTCCAGATAGTATATGCAATGAACAATCTGCCCTTCAATGGCAAATCTTGATTTAAAGCTTCTCCAAAGGCTTTCCTGTAAAGGCAACGTCCTTCAACCATTCGGAAATAATGGCATTTACTTCCTCTGGCTTCTCCCACAGCGCCCAATGCGCAGTATCAACTTGCTTCAGATCTAGTCTAGGGATCTGCTTACCCATAGCCTTTCCAAGGTGTGGCGGCAGAGCCTCGTCTCGAAGAGCTTGGATGAAAAGCGTGGGAACGGTAATCCTTCGACCAACGATACTCAACTCATCCTCGAAATTGAGCTTCCGCGTCCGATACCAGTTCACTATATCGCATTAGTCAATATCATGTAGCTTTAAAGGAAAGGCAGCACATACACGGCGCATGGATCCCATGCCTTGAATACTCCGTCCCATAGTACTCCAATTCCTAGACAAGAACACCGTCAACAAATCCCAAATACATTCCCTATATGAGATTGGGAAACTCACCTCCTCACTCAGTAGCCGCGAATGCCTCAACCTCATCAAATGATCAAGTAAGACCCCCTTCTCCGCCTCAAACCCAATTTGCTTCTCAGGCGTCCGCCCGCCGAGCAAAGCTGTCAAAAACTGCTTAATCTCCTCCTTAGACTGAACAACCTTTTCAAGCTCTCCACTCGCAAACTGAATCTGATACCCGAAATTTGGCATGACAGTGTGCGCCATTTCTTCCAGCGGCAGAAACTCTTTCTTGGGGCTGGAATATGGCACGCACACGGTGAAGAGGTGAGTTACTAGATCGGGGTGCCAGAGGGCAACGCGGTAGGCGACAAATGCGCCCCTAGTCATTACTTAGTATATGGTCATCTGTGTAGTGATTTGAGTGGTTTAAGTTGACTCACCAGTCATGTCCACCCAGGATGATTCTTGATTCGCCTAGGTGCGTGGCTAGGGCTTTGATATCATCTGCGATGGCTTTGTGCCCGTATTGGGTGTAGTCATCGGGGGCTTCCTGTTGTTCAGATTTAGTTTTTTTTTTTGTTCTGAATTGTGGTTAAATAATCTTGGATTTCTCGTCTTACTGTGCGGCCGTAGCCTAGGCAGTCTGGGGCAACGACTCTCAGCCCCATGTTCACCAGCATGGGGATTTGGTATCGCCATCCCATAGACAGGTCTGGGAATCCATGAATCTATATATTTATTAGCAAATGGCATATTATCTCCGTGTTTATCACATTCACTTGCCAAGAAAATAGTGGCTCGGTATTTGCCAGATTGGGGTTGACTGAGGAGGTAACCTTTAAGCCCATATATTGTTAAGCATGGCTTTTCATATTTTGGAGGGTAATTTCTCGGATCTTTTCAGATACTCTCCGGAGAATCATTTGATACTCACCGTAATTTTTTCCATTGAGGGTAGCGGATTCAAACCTGATGCGTTCGTCGCCCTCGACACGGATCTTGTCGACCGGCATTCTGATGGTTCTGGTCGCAATACCAAAGTAGCTTGGGTAAGAAACAGCAGTTTCAAGCCAATTTTTGCGGGGTTTTGGTTTCCAGATCAGAGACGTCTTTAATATAGAACGAAAGTCGGGGTCATTTGCTAATCCCAGTCAGTTCTAGTGGGTCGCTTTGACCATGACGTAGGTCAGGTGAGACGAGAGCGAACTAGATCAGACCTTGAATGATTTGCAAGGATAGCTTGAGGAGCCTTGGGATCGAAGAAATGGGACAGAACTATGATGATTACAGGCACAAAAAAGCGAGGAAATGTGATTTGCCCTGTGCTTTGCGGTACGTAGTATCTCCGAAACCCCTCTTGGCTGATCTGCAGTGAGCCTCGGCTGTTCAAATGTTTAACACGACTCAACGAGCACATATGAACAGGAGTATCTCAACTAGATACAGTATTCTCATCCTCCAGGGCCTCAACATTATCATCAACTTCAGTAGATATCCGCAGTAAATCAAGCACCTCATCAACTCCATCTGGGTAAGTTGGCCGATCATGGCCATCTGGCTCCACAGATTCAGCACCAAACATCGTTTCCCTTGGAATCACGTCGCAGGTATCTTTTTCCTACTTCTCCTTTGATCGCAAAATATTAGCAGTGTTCTTCTCTTATGGATCCTTTGGTTCCGTCTTTGGAATTGAAGCGGTACCGTGGTCAGAAACAGGCTTGGACTTCTCTTCTGGTGGCTCGATATCTTCGTTCATCAAATCTGCCTCGAGTTCCACGTCTTCGAAAAAATGAGCCGGGTACTTCTTCATGAATTCTTCGTATTCAATAGCATTTGTGCGCTCGGCATACTCGATTTGCTCCCGAATGATCTCTGCATGACCATCTCGAAGTTTGGCGGGTCTGTAAAGCTGAAGAAGCTGTGTCAGCACCAGTGCATGCAAAACCTAGAATATGTTATTATCAATATATACCAGAACCGGCTTCGTCACGGTCTTCAAAAAGCGTGCATCGGACAGGTTTTTCGCATGCCGATCCATCATCTGTACGATATGCGATATTAGCAACAACTCACAAGACTGGGAAAAGGAAAGAGACTCACAGCATCCCTCTCAAGAATTGCTTGCACCTTATCTGTATCCATCTCGCGACGCTCAGCTCGTCTCTCCCTCGCGTAATCAGAATTCCAAAAGAAGGTGTCCGCCTTCAGTTTTGCCTGCTGTCGTCTGTCAATGTGCTCACGACGGCTATCACGACTCGTTTGCGCAGTATTAGCCTGCTTCTGTGAGGGGGCACTTTTCAAGTTACCGAACAATCGTTGTCCGCGTCGGCGGTCCTCTCCACTCGCAAGTTCCTTAGGTCGTGTCTCTTCCAGCGGTGGTGGTCCACGCCACGAGGGGTCAGTGGGGCGCGGATTGTTTCGAATGAAAGGATCAAGTTCTTGAGCTGTTTCGTGGCGTTTCGGAGTTAGCTCAGTTGTGGAGGATTTTCGGGCCTCCCCTGCTGGGTACAGGTATTCAGGTGATGGGCGGGTATTATCATGGCGAGGACGACCAGCTGCCGAAGCAGGCGATCTGTAGCGTTTCCTCATGTTATCACTTGCAAAACGTGTAGATAGGATCGGAGGAGCGCGACGGAGTGGAAAGCTCGTTTACATTTCCGCCATGAAGATATACAGAGGGCAGGCACCTCAGCGGGCTCCGCGCGCCGCGGAGTGGGACAGCGCAAACGCATTTAGGAACCAATCAGGCAACTCAATATTTTCATTGCATAGTATTTGAAGTACTCCTCTAATTCTGTGGGATAGTGTATATAGTTAGGTATTCAGTACATGTCAAACTTGAGTTGAATGGAGCGGAACTATATCAAAGCTGGAATGGCACTATATGTGGTCCGTGCGCAGCGGACGCTTAACTTCTTCCAGCTTCTTCTCTCCAGCTTCTTTCCTTTCTTTCTCCCCGGAACCCGCCACTCCTTTGATTTCTAATCCAACAACGTACCTAACTACCTTCTACAAACCCCAATCCTCACATTCTTTCAATCCTTTATTCATCATGTCGCGTCACCACCCCGATCTTGTTATGTGCCGCAAGCAACCCGGCATCTCCATCGGCCGACTTTGCGACAAGTGTGACGGAAAATGCCCCGTGTGTGATTCCTACGTTCGTCCCACAACCCTCGTTCGCATCTGTGATGAATGTGCCTTCGGAAACTACCAAAACAAGTGTGTGGTCTGTGGCGGTGAGGGAATCAGTGATGCATTCTACTGCTTTGAATGTACGCGCCTTGAGAAGGACCGAGACGGGTGCCCGAAGATTATCAATTTGGGAAGTTCGAGAACCGACTTGTTTTATCAAAAGAAAAGTTTTCGGAATCATTGATTGGGGCCTGTTCCTCTCTCTATGGCTGGCTTTGTGGAGTGGAGGGGTATCCAGCATGGTCTTTCAGTCTAGTCTGTCTCGGTCAGGTGGAGGGACTTTTTACTCGGCATGTCTTCCCAGATGATGAGCAAACTCGCTTGATCGATTTATCATGGCTGGAATCGAAAGCCTGCCTGGTCTAAGGGCTGTTATTTATCTACATACTAGACTAAGGAGCTACCGGCATTGTCATTTACCGGCCCGGGCGACGGGGACGGGCAAATCCTCGTGAGGCGCCCTGGTCTTTCGGCGGGTCAACCTCTTCCTGCAACCGCTCTGCGGTAATCTCATCTGGCGACGATGCCTCGATCTACCATTCAACTTCGTTAGTACGACTGCGGATATTCGAGGGCTCTCCGGTTCATACCTTCTTCAAGATCTTGAGACCCTCATTCTCAGCAACCGTGATTGCAGTTCTCCGTGAGCTGGCGTGCAACATACGCTCTTTGATTGTCGATCCGGTGGGGCAGGTGTACACGAACACCACAACATCCGACCCGGGGTAGTGATAGAAGGAATAACGGGGCGAAGTCGAGGAGATGTGGGAGGCGACCGAGCTCGCGTCGACACCGGTCTGGGCATCGACGAGTTTGATACTTTCCGTGGGTCCATCAACCGTCTGTATAAGGCCAGATATTAGCACCAAATACACACATTCTTCATCTTTAGCATCTGTAAAGATCCACATGGAACGTAGACCGTACAACAAGATGGGGGAGGGAATAATCCATACCAATTGCACAAGCCCACCATCCTGGAGTTCTCTCACAGCTGTCTTGGCTGCGTCATCCACATCCATAGAAACTCTCATACCAGACCCAGAGCCGGGACCAAAGGTGCCTCCAATGCCGATATCCCGGTGCGGCGTCCCACTCCTAGCTTCAGCCTCAGCCTTCCGTACGGCCTCAAGCCCCCGCTCCTTCTCACTCATCATATCTTCCCGCTTAACACCACCAGCCAGCTCACCGCTCCGCTCAAGCCACGCATTCTTACCCAGAATCTCCTCCTCCTCGGTAGTAAAGACGGTCAACGGGAACTTCTCAATTCCTAGCTCGCGAACCAGCGTCGAGCGAGTCGAAGCGAAGAGCATCTTTGGACGGACAGGCGCATTGTAGGGAATGTGCGTCAGTGCGACGAGGGTCGATGATGACGCTGTCGGGCGGCGGAGCAGAAGGTAGATGGGTGTCTTGGGCTGTAGGACGGTAGACAGCTGGGGGAGAGAGGTGTAGAAGTCCTCTGGACTAGACGAGAATCCTGAGAAGGGGATCGCAGTTTGTGGGGTGAGACTTTCCCCTGTGATGGTTACTGGGAGGCAGAAGAGGGATGAGTCGGAGCTGAAGCGGGTGAAGGCATCATGGAGCTCCGTCGAGACTGGGATTAACGAAGTTAGTTTCGGGGATTTGAGCTGGTTTAAAAGCTCAATGGGGTTTTTTAGAGCAGGGGTTTGGTTTGCGGCACTTGACTTACCGGAGATTCCTGACTGCATGATGTCAATGTGTCTATCTTTTTGTAGGTTGGATCGGGGGGTTGTTTATGGAGCGGGGAAGCGGTCAAGCGGTGAGTGGCCTTACATACGTATACAATGGGATTGATGGTCACCGACTTATTTACAAGCGGCAGAAAATCAAATTACATACACCCAGTTGATTGCCGCTACAGCCTATGTGAATTTGTTTGAATATCCAGAACCATGTGGTATACACAATTAAAAACGAAAAACGTATGTACAGAAAACTTTCCAATCAGCCGATGGCTGGTGATCTCCAAACTTGAAACAACCAAGGAGATATGCAACGCCCACCATGCGCAGTATGGTATCACATGCCTTCCAAAAAAGAGAAACCCTCTGGGCTACTGCTTCACACCTTTTTCTTTTGCACTTTACTCCTCAAATGAACCTCCCACGAAAGGCCACTTGGAACTCTCCAGCTTGCCCTTGAGGAACTCGTACACGGTGAAGGTAACGGCCTGACCAGGAGCCACACGCATCACACGAGGGGTGATACCCTTGTAGAAAGCCTGGGCACCCTCCTGCTTGAACATATCCTTGGCGATAACCAAAATACGACTAACAGCAGACTGGCCTGGCTCAGCGCGGGTCTTTTGGAGACGGGTCTTGATGGTATCGATGGGGGCGTTGGAGAAGGGACCAACGGCTCCGGAGATAAGACCGATCAGGGTGGTCTGGTAAGAGGGTAGCTGGGTATTGGCATATTCGGGCTGCATCTTCTGCAGCTGAGCCTTGAGCTCAGTGTACGCGGTGAAGTTGGCGGCTTGGTTGGTTCCCTGACGCAGGGCTGTGAGGGAGACACCACGGTACAGGGTGCTGAAACCCTCCTCCTTGACAACGGTGAAAAGAGCGTGAGGGGCGCTGCGGTACTTGGGGGCGTCAAGGGGATCGGCAAGACTGTGATGTTGGGCTTGCAGACGAATCTTAATCACCTCCATGGGGTTGACGATAGCGACAGCTTCGGTGACACCGGCGGAGAGACCAGCTAATCAATTGACCAACATTAGCAGGGGGAACTAATGGAGAGACACAATTGCAGAAGGCGCTGCAATTGAAGTGTACTTACCGAGGAAAGTAGCCTTGCTGGTGACATTTCCAGTCACCGGGTCGGCCATCCAGCCCTTATAGGTCTCATATGAGGTGAACCGGATGGCCATCTTGGGAATAATACCACCCAGCACAGCACCGAGACCCTTGTACAGACCCATGGCGGTCTCCTTGCGAACGATCTCGGCACCGGTGGCAGCGAAACCGCGAGCCTTGGCCTGTGATACTCAATTAGCGATGGTATTTTGGTATTTCAAGATAAATGTTTGACATACACCAGGAGCGCGAGCTCTACGCGAAAGCTGCATGCGGACCTTGATTGTGTCTTAAATAAAAACATTGTTAGCTATAGGGTCTTCAATGGTTCGCAGAGCAATGCACAACTTACCAAGAGGGTGACACACGAGAGCCTCCATCATTCCGGCACCACCTCCAGCTATTCACCAAGTTAGCATTGAGCTCACAATCCAGCGACAGATGTCTACTTACCAATCAGGTTGACGGCAGGAGAGGCGGCCTTCTTCTTGCCATTGCCGACTGGTACGTTTTTAGCGGACATGATTTTTTTTTGGTATATGTGACAAGTGTCAAATGGAAGCCAAATTCTCTTCCACACGATATGTCGTGATCAAAAGAAGCTAATTGATCGGAAGTCAAGGGTTTGTCCCGAATGTCGGGGGGGAAAGCGAAATGCGGAGGGAGTCGGAAGTATACAATCCCGGGGTTCGAAAGCCGACGTTGGTCCGAGGATGACGCAAAGAAAAATAAATTTGAGGTGGACTCAATTGGAGTTTAAATTACGAGGGTTTTCTTTTCTTCTCTAACGAAAAGTCCCGAGGATGAATGGTTCGGTTGAGGTGGCGGCACTGAACTTTGTGGGGAGAAAGAGCTATGACGGGGCGACGGGAGCTGGACGAGCGGAAGTGGTATATAGTTCTTTGCCGCCGAAAGACTAGGGCAACGAGAAAGGGAAAGAAGCAGAGGAGAACAAAAAAAAAGAGTTTCAAATGATTCGAGGGTTTCTCGGCAATCTTATAATTTAGCAATGAAGCGTCATTCCGAGTGTCGCTCCTATTCCTCAATCCCGAGGCCTTCGGGAACAAGGACGGATGACTCGACTCCCCACGGTTCTGCAGTGCGGTTGCGGTTATGGTCACGATCCCCCGGATCCTCGAATGATCTGACTTCACATGTGTCAACCTTTAAGTGAGATTGTCGTCATAGTTTAAAATCTTAAAATAAAACTCTACATTCCTTGTGAATATGCGCACAGTTGACTACACTTGTTTCTTCCCTCCTGTCCCTCTGGTCTAGCACCAGATAACCATCAATCTATAGAAGCCGGGGAGGGACGTGAATTACTCCGGGAAATGAACCCCCTTTACTATGGGGTGTCTCGCGCAATCCCGCACTGCATTCCGCCCCAAAGAACTGTTCTTCCCCCGGAAGAAGTCGGACCAGCCAAGAGCTCCCCGCAGCCGAGGTTCATCTGAAGCAGCACAGCCTAGGTCATTTAATGCGAATCCTGGTCAGGCGACCTCTTTCAACCCCTTGGAAGTCATGGACTTGAAATGGAAATATTAGTCGGCCATTTTTCATCGCTGTAATTCGTTTGGTTGAGATAGCTATCATGGTTCAGCCAACGTCATCGGCAAGTGGGCGGTAGAACGTTTTACCCACATGCGTAGTAATCCAGCGTCGGTTATTGTTGGAACAAAACAATGGTTCTACAACCAGGTACAGCCGCTCAAATAAGCGTAGAGCTTCACAATATTGTACATGATGGATTGCATCATGTATGCATGTGCGCAAACTTCACATGTAATCCCGTGATAGTCAAATCGGCCATGTTCGTCATGGTCGGACTTGGTCCTGTGTCGGGTAACCGATTATCGGCGCTTTGAACTCCTTGTTCTGGACCGAACGACAGAAAGCTTGGCATCTCAGGTCTTTACCAGTTGGTCGAGATCATACTTGTTTATCTGATTGCATCTGATAAAAATACACTAAGATCACCTTCCACGGCGATGTTATTGGACCAAATCAGTGCACGGCTTAAAGATTCGCCGCTATCATATTCCGATGTTGATCGGAGCAAATCCGAACAGCGCGATCGTGTCACTTTCAATTCCTCAGCTCTCCTCTCAGTGAGAATCGATGGAAAAAGGCTGCTGCTGTATAGACATAGCCGGGTTTAACTTGCGCCTCACGATCTGATATTCGGGGTCCAGCAAAAATGGCAGAGCCACTGGCGGCCGGGGAGGGGGAGACGAATCCCTCACCGCGGTGGCAGGTCATCACAAAGAAAATATTGAAATTCATCTTACACCAGTGGCTCCTAATCGGAATGGGAGTCGCTTGTGCATTGGCCTACTGCTTCCCCAATGTCGCCAAGCACGGTGGAATCATTCGGTCCCAGTATAGTGTGATGTACGGGGTGATCGCCCTCATCTTCCTGATCTCGGGACTGAGTATCGATCGCCGGAAACTGTTTTTACAGTTTATGAACTGGAGACTGCACCTCACTGTGCAAGTGATATCCTTTTTATTCATACCCGCCGTGGTCTTGGCGGTTGTTTATGCCATTTTGGCTGGTGATCCGACTGGAAAGATCAACCGGTCTGTGCTGGCAGGATATATCTTCGTGTCATGTATCCCAACAACGATCGCCTCCAACGTGGTGATGACTCGGTCTGCTGGTGGAGATGATGCAGCGGCGTTAGTGGAGGTTTTGATCGCCAACGTTTTTGCTCCGTTCGTGACTGCCGCTTGGACTGTGGCTTTGATCCCCAAGACCTCTGAGTTCGACGCTTGGAGGTATGGGGGCGGGGACATGAGCAGCATGTACAGAAATGTCTTTCAGCAACTAGGGTTGAGTGTCTTGCTGCCGTTGTTCGTGGGGCAAATTATACGATGGACATGGCCTGATCGTGTAGCCAGGGTGTTGCAGAAGACAAAGCTGCCCAAGTTGGCTTCCGTCTGCATGTTGCTGCTAATCTGGTAAGTCATTGGAACAAACCCCCCAATAATAATCTCTCTAATAATCTTCTAGGACGACATTTTCCTCTTGTTTTGCTACAGGAGCTCTTCAGGAAATGGATACCCAGAGCGTCATCTTCGTCGTATTGTTCAACATCGCCCTTTACATCTTCCTCACAGGAGTCTGTTTCATCAGCTCTCGACCACCTCAAATATTCGCTTCAAATAGGTGGTATAAAATTGTATTCCAGCCCCTTCCTCCCAAAGAGACCATTGCGGCATGTTTCTGCGGTCCCGCAAAAAGCACAGCCCTTGGAATTCCACTTTTGTATGCCATGTGGGCACCACTGGATCTATACCTCAAAGCACAAACATCTGTGCCTGTGTTGCTCTACACCACCGAACAGATCTGTGTAGCCCATTTCTTTGTCCAAATCTTTCGCAAATGGCACTCGCACGTAGAAAAACGAGACGGAGAGCAGATTGCACGCGGCGAGTCGCCGGAGATCAGCATGGCGGAAACTCCGGTGGGGGACAGGGCGCTACCCCTGAGAGAAGGGAATGATTCTAAGCCTTAAATGGCATTTACTAGATGGATAGAGAAGAAAGTGTGTCTCTATTACTTAGTAATAATCTAAGAGCTTTAAAATCCCCCGGTGACGCACCGTCATACGCAATAAGTCAGTATAGATGTGTTACTACTATTTGTCGGAGAGTATGACAGATTTGGAGCTTTCGTTGGTGAATTGCCAATCCATCTTTCAGGAACTTTCAAGGTGGGAATGTCACACTCATCCGCATGGGTGTCGATCCGGAACCTCGGGGATCTGGCCTTGATTTATGACGGAACATCACTTGCATAATATAACTTATTTGAACACAATTGCTCCTAAGTATTTTAGTTTATACCACCATGCTACTGAAGCCCCGTCCCAAAATTCCCATTTCTTCACCATGCACTCCTTCGGATTTATAGTTTTGATGTCTGAAGATCAGATCAAAAAGAAACAACATCACTTTGGTTTAGTCTGGTAGCAAATTCCTTTGCATTTCTCTTGTGGAGTTTCCATTTGGACTACCTGCCTATTCAAGTCATTGTATGGGGCAATCCAAGCCCTGATCAGATTCAGCCGCAGTAACCACTGCAGAGTCTGAGGTGGATCCCAATCAGGGATTTCCAGTGCAGATCACCAAATCCGATAGTGGACAGTACAAAACACAGTGTCGGTTTTCTCCACACACTACGGACTAGCGAAACCGCCCCTGAAAAAAATTGCCGGTATTCCGTCATCAAAAAAGCCACAAGATCCAATATTGGTTGCCATGAAGCGTTTGGAATCTTACAGCAGACTGGAATCTTGTGATAGAATACGCAGTTATAATTTAGATGAAACAATGGTTCTACTAACTTGCAGGCGAATGCATCCTGAGCTTATCGACATGTTCTACTGGAGACTATTGGATCGTTATCTTGCCCTATCCCTGTTCCTGATCCCGATCCTGACCTTGAAGGGTTCGGACCCACTTAAATCAAGCACGAGTCAAGTACATACACTTTTGAGATTAAGATCTTCTCTTATGTTCGCCAAGCGTGATAATTTTCTTACTGTGGGGCTCGGCTTTCCACCGCAACCCTACCTGGTGGTCCCCAAAGTCTTATTGGGCCTCATGGTTTTAATCTGGCTCCTCCATATCTTGATTGCACGCCCAGCAATATCTCAACTCACCAATAGTTTAAGCGGACATCTTCACAAGCCCAACAGGGAAAGGACTGATAAGTGAAGTCAACAAATCAGGGCAATGGCTAAGGTCTTTGAAACTCTACGGAAGACACTGGGACTTGAAAACCGCCAAACTTTGGAAACGTGTGGAGCCCGTTCCATTCAGATTCGCTGGAAATCATTTTTATTGTAGCCGACTGGATCTCAATCGTGTTGATCTCGCCAGATATGTCCAAGCATAGCCCGCGTCGCTCCATACACTATACCTGGATCACCTTACAGCGGAGGCCATCGGAAGACCGTCTACTTTGTATCCGTGCTGGTCATATCCTGGTCAGAGCTTTTCCTGTTCCAGTGCCTCGAATGGAAAAGATGAGCCGTTCTGTCTGATTTTGAGGTCTCAATAGATCCCTTATAGTAACCATTAGATCCCCCCGTCGCGGGTTTTGTATATTCTCTCCTTGACCCGCCGCTCTTTGCTTTCGTCATCATTAAGCTTAAATATTCGTCATTCACTTTATATATTCACCATTCGCCCTAACCCCATACATTCGTTGTCTGTGTAATTTATTTCTTATCGCAGCCCAGAATGCGGAGCTCTCTCTTCTCTGCTTGCGGAGCCCTTCTCCTGTCTGTCGGCGCTCTTGCTGACACAACATGGACCAACTACACCTACAAGACCGGTCCCTGGCAACCTCCCCAACTGGAAGTGACTAAGACCGGCATTGTCGACCCGGGCCTGATCTTCATCCCCGTCCGTAACTCGAACACTGCCGGCACTGCGGTGACAATCTACGACAACGATGGAGAGCTCGTTTACCAGGGCCCCGAGGAGATCACTATGGATTTCAAGATGCAGAAGTTGTTCGGCAAGAACGTCATTACCTTCTGGTCTGGTGTGCCCCAGATTGCTGGTGGCTACGGTTACGGTACGGTCCATATCCTCGACGATACCTACAACGAGATCTACACAATTACCCTGACTGGGGACTTCCAGACCGCCAGCGGCGAGGCTCGGGACTCATACATTGATGTCCACGAGCACATCATCACTCCTCGCAACACTATTATCGTCTCTGCTATCAACGTCACCCAGCACGACCTCAGCTCTGCTGGTGGCCCGACTGACGGCTGGATGACGGTCAGCCAGTTCTACGAGATTGATATCCCCACCAACAAGGTTATCTACAAGTGGGATGCTCTCGAGCACCAGGAGGGCATTCCTCTCTCGGCATCTAAGCAGGCTGTCCAGTCTGGCGTCTCTCGCGAGACTCCCTGGGATTGCTACCACATGAACTCTGTCGAGGCTACCAACGAGGGCTTCCTGATTTCCATGCGCTTCTACTGGTCTGCTTACTACCTGAACCAGAACGGTACCGTCCGCTGGCAGCTTTCCGTGAGTATTCCCATTAGTGCTGTTGTTTCCATACACAACTAACATTCCGACTTTAAGGGTGCCGGTGATAACGAGGGTGACTTCACCGGCGACGACATCCGTTTCTCTTGGCAACACCATGCCCGTATCTACAATGAGACTGATCAGGCTCTCATCTTGAGTGTATTCAACAATGCCAACGGTCAAAGCCAGTCTCAAAGCGAGACAACCGGCATGGCTTTCGAGGTTGACCTGACCAGCATGGCCGGTACCTTAATGTACAACGTGTCCGACCCCAATGACCCAATCTACACTCAGACCCAGGGCAGCTTCCAGTTCCTTGGCGCCGCCGCCACGACCTCCAACCTCTTCATGGGCTACGGTTCCGTCCCTAAGGTCAAGGAGTACGATGGTGCCGGTAACGTCGTCCTGTCCGGCCAGTTCGATCCCCTGGGCCACGGCGAGTCTTACCGTGCCTTCAAGGAAAGTTGGACTGCTACTCCTTTCTGGAACCCCGTCGCCGTCGCTGAGAAATCCATTCTCTCGACCACTGTCTACATGAGCTGGAACGGTGCTACCGAGTATGACAATTGGGCTGTCTACTCTGTTCCTTCTCAGAACTCTAACGCCACGACACTGCTTACTACTGTCAAGCGCGCTGGCTTCGAGTCCCAGGCTATTGTGAGCACGCTGAACACAAACTATGTTAAGGTTGCTGCTCGCCGAGGTAGCACTATTCTGCGCTTCTCTGATGTTATCAGCGTTTGAGGGCACCTTAGTCTGGGAATCCCGCGTTGTCCTGGATTGTTGACATTGCTGGATACTATGCCCCATTTCACTTGGTATATTTCTTACTGTAAATTTCTTTCAAAGGTCGTTTTTAACTGTACAATTTTTAGTTGATGAAAAGGACTGGTATCAATTTTTATTGCCCTGAAGTATCTACTAGCTCCCCGCGGGGAAGTGGATCCGTACTAATACAGTGATGTCGCTTAAACCTTGCTTGATAACGAACTTCATGATAACGCTTTTCAGGTCGAACCTGGCAGAAGTCTGTAGGAGAAGATAAAGTTGAGCTCAGTATGTGAATGTGCCTGGATAATACACGAATAGACCAATCATAGTTGAAAATGTTTATGCATCAGATCCACAGGATATCCAGACCAGCAAGACAAAGGAGATGTACAGAACTAATTCATGCAAAGTCAAACATGGCGAGCTAATATCTCAGATATAGCTGACCTTCACACCCATGCCAACGGTGCCCTTCACTTTCTGCCACGCAGAGCCCGTGACCCTGCGGACCCGTTCACGTATATCCTGCCGGCTAAACGCCATCAGAATACCTAGCAGGAACAACAATGTGCGAGCTAATGACATAGGGTTCCCAGAGACGTTCTGAATAAAATTCTTGAACAAATTCCGGATGCCCAGGGCCACTGCCCGTGCCTGGCTAGCCCGAGATTCCGGCTTGACAGGTTTCTTGGAATTCTTAGAGTTCGATGATGATAGAGCCGTTCGTGGTGTTGCTTTTCCATTAGGCGACTTGTCTGCCGATCTGGATGCTTTACCCTTGGTACCACTGCGCGGGCTGCCTTTTTCAATACCGTAATCTACCTCGCTGGTATTACGCTTGTGGCCATTCGGTTGCTGTTGGCGGGCAGCAGCAGAGGCTTCCTCCTCGGCTCTCCGGCGCTCGTCGTCCTGTTGGCGCTCGAGCTCGGCATCTTTAGCACGTTGCAATTCTGCAGCACGCAATTCTCCTCGCTCTTTCTCTTCCTTCAAGCCTTCCAATGTTTGTAGAAATAGTTCTTTGCGTTCTTCATCTAAAACCTCGCTCAGATTGATGAACTCATGAGCATATTCCCATTCCTCATTGCGAGGCAGGACGTGCAATGTGAATAGTTCAATAATTCGTACTCGAGCCGTAAGGTCTTTTGGTGTATCTGCCCCACTAGCCGCGGAGATTCGTTGTTGCTGAAAATCGCCGGACGCATTCTGTAGTCGGTCTGCCAGGTCTAGATTGGGTTGTCCGTAGGATGACAAGTATGTTTCAAGTCGTTGTTGATTGAGTGATTGCGAGGATGAGTGATTCAAGATTAATGTAGCCCTGGATAATGAATTTGTAACGTTAGCGACAAGCAAAAGTCTCTCCGCATAGTATCAGATCGCCACTCACAGGACGTAGACTACCTCGGCGTCTACGGAGCCCTCCCGACCTCGGTATCCGATTTGTACCACGTCCTCCCAGATCCCGCCTTCACGGACCTGTGTTGCCATTTGCTTCCATTCTTTCTGCCCAAATTGATTCTTGCCTTCTTCTGGACCGAGTTCTACGATCGCGCTCAGGAGTGTAATGTAGAAGTTCCACACCTTAATTCTCCACGTGCTGGAGGCAGCGGCGATCGGCGCGACCGCTGCGGAGTGGTCGCCATTGGTTTGCGGATCTTCAGGGGATGGAACTGTTAAAATGGGCTGGAGGTTTGCAAGAGACTCTGGCAGCCGCCGTGTTAGGAACAGCTGGGAAGCTTTCTTGTAGGTGCGGGAGCAGAGCTTCGTGGGGGAAGTGGTGGTGGAGGAGAGTTCAGTGTGGGACGACATGCTGTCTGTCATTGCGCGAGATCATCAGTGGGAATCAATTGGAATGGAAAGGGGAAAGAAGAGAAAGAGAGGGTCCATGGAGATGGCAAGTCGGGGACGGGAATGGCGTTGATCGGCTTTCGTTTTCCCTCGGCTCGTCGAAGTCCGGGGTTAGTCACGGGATCCAAACGACCCTACATATGACATAGGTGTTCGGACTACGAAGTATACACTGATGGATCTGCGGGAAAAGATGGGTAGCTATATCTTATTTACATGATTATTATGCATTTATTCACTTCCGTGTCACGTCCTCATATGATCCCTGGTTCATATCATGCATCAAGATATAAAGGTGCCGAACTGTGATCCATGTATTCAAGAATTCAGAGAAAATTGAACCGATTGTCATTTCTTGCGACTGTGTGAACATTCAATCTGAAATTGCTTTCCTTTCTTTGACTATTCCTTTGTATTCCCTCCAGCTTGAACTTGACCTCGGCTAGCCAACAGCATGGAGGTGACCGCAGGAAATTTCACTGCTTTGCTACCATGGATGCTCTACCAGATCTCCTGCAGCAGCTTTGTTGCTATTGACTTGGAGTTTTCTGGTATTGCGATTAACCCAAGCAGCCAAGCCCAGAAAGACCAATCTCTCCAGGAACGATACAAAGAGGTCAAGGCAGCGGCCGAGAAATATCAAATTCTCCAGATCGGTCTGACCATATGTCAGGAAAACAGAGCCAATGGTCCGTACACCGAAGGGTACACGTGGGCATTATGCTGTTACATAGCTAACAAGTACAGGCACCTACAAGATTACGCCTTACAATATCAACCTGAGCCCATTCGTCGACCGAGCATTGGACATCAACCGTGACTGGACCTTCATGAGCTGGTGTAAGTTAGATCCTGAGCGCCCAATGAAAATTGCTAATCATTCTCAGCCATGGAATTCCTCATGAACCACCATTTCAGTATGGAAATCTTGTGCAAGTACGGGGTGCGGTATCTCTCTCGAGATGAAGAGGCCCAATGCTTGACCATAGCCAGTCAGCGATACAGCCGCACCAACGCAATCGCTGCAGTTGATGTGAAAGCAACAGATAAAGAGACAATTGATTTCCTCATGGCTGCGCGTCGAACGATCAACTGGTGGCTGAACCAAAGTGACGTATGATTTCCAACTTTCCATGTTTGCCCAATGATCTAATCTTTGCCATAGAAAAAGCGCAGCGAATACCTCAATATCCCACCAAACACCCCCACACAAGTCCCTCAAGAATTTGGGTCCAGCCCTCCCTGAGACCCTGAATAACATGGAGAAACGACTTGTGCATCAGCTTATCACCGCTGAATATCCAAAGCTCAAGTCGAGAAGCCGGCCCATGTTTGTCCAAATTGAGTTTGCCGATCCTGTCAATGACAAGAACATAAATGAAGCAAAGACAAACACTCTTGAGACACTGATTCGCGGACACGTGGGATGCCGGTGGATCGTCGAAGCACTCATCGCAGGAGACTTGTCACAGCTCCCCGACAGCACCTTCAGTTCCTTCATAAGGAAGGATGCACCATCGCAATTTGGAGAGGCAGACCTTGCCGAGAATGTACGGAAGCACCTCCAAGAGAACCGGCCGATCTTAGTCGGGCACAACTGCTTCATGGATTTGATCTATCTTTACAGTGGTTTCATCGGAAAATTGCCGGATACCGTAGAAGAATTCCAGACATTGATCCATGGCGCATTTCCTAATGTGGTTGACACCAAGTACCTTGCAACCCACGATGCGGGTTCTATCAATCCAATTTCTTCCTTGGAAGAGGTTAGTCGCAAGTTGGTGAAGGTATCTGTCCCTAAGATTGGTATGTATTATGCATAGCAAATAAGTTGTATTGGATGGGATCAATATGCTTGCTGATTGTTGTTAGAAATCGACTCTATGCACCAGAAGTATCTTTTCCGGTGCAGCAACCACGAAGCCGGTTATGACAGTATGCTAGCTGCAATCGCCTTCATGAAGCTATCAGTCCAACTTCAGATGGGTCCAATCCAGTTTAGCAGCCCGGGAAACCTGGAAAACATGAAGATCGGAGTTGCTTCAGAGAAGCCACAGATCCAACAAATTGAGCAACGAATGGCCGGAGACATGATGCGAGCCCAAGAGGCACGAGAACAAGAAGCATCATCGTCGGAAAAAAGCATTGACTTGATTGAATTTAGTGACAGTGAGAGTCCAGATTCAATACAAGCAGCTGCTCTGGCTGAGACCGGTGGACAAAATGCACCAACGGCGCAGAGTGGGGAGTTGGTTCCTCAGGTCGACAGCGAGTTCTGGCACACTTATGGAAACAGATTGCGGGTGTTTGGCACGATCGAGCGGGTTGTGCATCTGGACTCTCGGAAGGCATAGATATTATTAGGATACAGCAGGGAGTATATCGGTCTTGTCATGACATAGGGAAATAGAATGGAAATTTTGAATTGAATTCTCGAATAGCATTTTAAGTGCAGAAGTGTTCGCCGCATCTATCTAACAGTACACCTTGGGATTCAAAGAAGGTACCGCTAGCGAATCAGCCGCGAAATCGGTCTAAGCACCTCTAAATGGACGACTGGCCGTGGGATCTAGACGCAGTGACGATAAGGTAATGGATGCTTGAAGAAAGGAAAGAAGAAAAGGCGATTTCGCGAAATTTAACCGCCGCTCTGGCGCTAGTCCCAGGTGGGTCTAGCGTAAACGTGACCGGGGGAACTTTTCTCAGTCTCAACATGATCATGAACAGGCCGATCAACTAAGGGGATACTATCATTACCACTCCCATTCCCTCGGTGATGAATACAGGAACTAATGGTGCCCGGCGCGTAGCGTCGCTGCTGCGTATGTTCCATTGTCTACCCAAATCGCATCACTGGTACTGACCAATTCCAGGCCCATCAAGACTCGACTCTGGCGTGTGCCGAAGCTGTCAAGAAACATTTGGCCGTCGTAACTATGCCATTGCTGCGACCGAATCCACATCTTCGTCGAAAACCCCTCCCTCCACATCCTCCGTGAACCCCGTCTACACCATCAATGCCGGCGTTGTTCTCTCCCGCCCTCCCCAGATCACCCGTGACCTCGAGCCGTTCGAGAAAGCATACTACTTCTACCAGAAGCGTTTGAACGAGCGTCTGGCCCTCCCTTTCACCAAATACTTCTACTTCAAGCGCGGTACTCCGCTAGATGAGGACTGGAAGAAGAAGGTCAAGGAGCGCCTGACTCCGGCACGCGACATCGGCAAATACAACGCGTACGCCAATGATGCATGGAACGACGAACTGCTTCTCGGTGCCCAGGAGTCAGAGCCTGAACATCAGGTTGAGAAGTTGGTGCAGGATGCTGAGTCCACTGCCAATGCGACTTCCCAGGATACCAGCAAGAAGGAGGAGATCCCGCGGCCACACGCTCGTGTGACTGAGGCTGACAAGAAGGGCGATTACAAGAGTCTGAACCGTCTGTTGTCCAGGACTTTGTATCTGCTAGTTCAGTCAAAGGAGGGATACTGGAAATTCCCAAGCTCCCCAGTGGAAGCTGAGGAGACCATCCGCCAGGTAGGTTTATCCTCCCTATAGTCCCCATATCCTCCGTACACTAACATCTCTTTCTATTCTAGGCTGCCGAGCGTACCCTGGCCCAGTCGGCTGGTGTCAACATGAACACCTGGATGGTCGGCTTTCACCCCGCCGGTCACCACGTCTACACCAACCGCAAACCCCACATCGACGAGGCTACAGGCGTCGTGAACCACGGCGAGAAGACCTTTTTCCTCAAGTCTCGCATTATGGCTGGCCAGGCCGATCTGTCTAACAGCTTGCAGAAGCTACAGGACTTTAAGTGGGTGTCGAAGGACGAGATCTCGCAATTCGTGACACAGAAGTACTACAGCTCCATCAAGAACATGCTGGCTGATCGGTAAACCCCTTGGCTGGAAATTTTGATTTCAACGAGGGCATGTATTTGTTGGATATGGAAAAAGTAAAGAGACCGATGGATGTTGGCTCAGAAACCAGCGATTTGTTTCTGGCATAAAGCGTTAATGACGCACTGCATATACTTTCCCGCGCATGCCATGTATAACTAGATTTCTTTCCTTTCTGTCAATCGAATTCATTTGAAAAGACCACGTCTCCTGAACCAAAACAATACGTTGGCGCTTTGATAATATGATTTAGAGATTCCTGCCCAAATAGTGTATGCTTAGCCAGACCAGAAAATCCACCTATTTGAAATCATCAATTTGGAGGCTCGATGACTTCAAATGAGATTAAAGAGGAAGCAATAACGCATAAATATGATAGACAATATCATCCATTAAACATTCAGTACTTATAAGTAAGAGGGTATATGTGAACAGCATCTAAAAAACAAAACATCGTATCGGTCCATGTGGGCGAATAATACTCCTCCCAGTATTAGCAGATAGAAACCAGAAAAAGAAGATTACCAAATAGTCACATCCTCCATAATTAGCTATTTCATTCCAATCCATCGTGTTGTCACGGCCTCCCAAGCCGCTCAGCGATGGTGCTGCACAAGCTGTGGTTGCGGCGGCTGCTGCTGCTGCTGATAAGGCTGCCACGTCTGAAAGACTTGATTAGAATCATAAGGATGCTGCACCGAATTAGGAGCCTTATCATGATCACCACCAAGCTTGAACCAGTTCATGAGACACAGCAAAAGGCCAGTGAAAATTCCAACAACAAACACAAACCCGAAAACCGACTCGACAATAGCTAGATAGTCCGCAGTATTGGTCACGACGGTGATGGCAAGATAGTATCGAATAGCAACGATGCCCCACATCAAAGTGTACCCGAACCAACACACGCTTGCAGCGATGAGAGAGAAGAGGGGCATCTAAAAAGACAAATTAGTATTTTTGCACCAATGGAATGGTAGCGCAAGGCTTAGCTTACCCTTGAAGCAAAACGATGAGTGCCCGCCTTCACAGTCACAAAGATGGTCCAAACGAGAATCTCAAATGCCATGATGAAGTAAATGATACAAAGGGCGCTGTAAAGCTTGCGCTTATTCTCGATGAAGATGTAGGTGAGGGTCTGCTCGACGTCTTTGTAATAGAGCGCGACATTAACGGCGAACTCGGCGAGGGAGAGGACAGAAACCAGTCCAAGTATGGTCCAGTGAATGATGCGTAGAGGCGCATATGGTTTTCCGGAGTCGGTGAGGCGGTCCAGAAGCATGTGTATCGTTTGGTAGAAGACAAGGAAAAGTACACAGCTGAAGAGCACGAAGAAGAGTTCCACCAGCATGAAGATGATTACATAGTATTGCTTCACTTCTGCAGCCGCCAGCTCCAGAATCTCATAGATCAGGCTTAGAAGTTCGAAGCTGGGACAATTAGCTTGGCTCTGGGAAATGGGGGAGTACAAAGGTATCTAATTTTGAGAACGTACCATATCCACATCACAAGTGCGGCTATAACACCCTTGAGGGGCTGGTTTGAAGGCCGAATAGTGCATGCCCAGACGAGGAAGGTAATCAGTGCGAGAAAGGTGAGGCAGTCAAAGGCAAAGGCGGCGAGAAATATTCTTTGGTAAGAGTCTGCAAACCATCTATAGTTCAAATCGGTAGTCTCATCCCAGAGATTCTCATGGTGGTAGCTGTAGTAGAAATATCCCATGTTGACAGGCAGGAAGAATAAAGTGATGAGAAAATCCACCAAGATTCCGGCAACCCTGTCTCATTATAGGGTTTTTCAGGGTCTTTTAACTCAGTCACACGCTGAGGCTCTTGAGCCCTGCCGAGCCTTGTTTGGCCCCAAACATAAGGCTCGGGTGGACGTCGGCTCATCTTCATTGGTCGGGATGTTTTTAGGGCGTTAAGGATACGAGGGCTTGGCTCAAATGCCCCTTTTTGCCCCGTGTGCCCTGTTTTCAGAAATAAAATAAAATTACCCCGGGATTCGGGCGAGGATTTGAGCAGCGCGATACTTTTCGGCTACACTTACAGAGCATATCAGCGAAAAGGAGGAGAAACAGATAAGACGTGTTGAGTTAAGACTATATTGATTATGGAAATGATCGAGGGAACATTAAGGGAAGGAGAAAGGTTTGGGGGAAAACAAAGTTAGGTCACCTGGCGCAGTCGCCAGCACACCGGAACTATAATTAGACCCGCAGCTCTTCGACTTTTTTCACACTTTGCATGGAGACTTTGCATGGGGATCAGCGCTCTTTTATGACCTGATGAATATAAAAGCACGGCAACTCCGTCAGCCAGATGTACCTCGGTTTCCCTTCTTCAGCCTCGTGCAGACTGTGGAGAGTCTAACTGTGGCTGAGTCGCACCACCGCCACCAAAGACCGCCTGCAGCTGAGAAATGATTTCAAGCTGTCAGATCCGACCAAGGAAGATCCTAGAGCTCTTGCTCAGCTCGATCTTCATGCGTTCGTGCTAAAATCCGATCGTCGAACGCATCCGAGAGTTAATTGGACTGGCTAAGTGGTCATACATGTGGCTCGATCCATCTCTTCAGCTGCCCCATTATGCACGTCTACAACGCACTCGTCGGTTCGGAGTTCTGATCTTTATTGATTGATTCATTGATTCCCATGCACAGCGACCCGCCACTTACAAACTGGCCCATGAAGCGATGAAAGCGACCCAAAGGATTAGAGAAGGGAGATCCAGTCTCTTGGGACAAGTTATTTCCCCATGTATTATACTAGTGACGGCTCCCCTGAGTTTCCAGGGGGGCAAAAAATCGAAATCCATATAAATAGCTTCGTCCTTTTCTTTTTCTTTTTTCCAATTTTCTTGATTGTCTCATGTTGGTTTGTCTTCTTTTTTTTTTTTTTTTTCTTTACTTCTTTGGTGTCGTACTCCCTGCAAACCGCATTCGGCAGCATCCGCGGAATCCGCTCTTCTCAGCATCATATCCCAACAATTTCCCCACTATTACAGCTTCATTTGGATTTCAACCTTCTTTGGATTCTTCGCTGCCTAGTTCCTCTAGCGGATTATCTTTTGAAACAATTGCATGACATAATCTGTCGCGACGCTCCGCTTATCAGCTCAGCACAGACATCAAAGCTCGATTTGACTTTGTGCTCCGAGCAGTCCCGTTGATTCAAAAACACAAAATCGGAGGACATTTGCGATACATTGGTGGGTCTGCTTCGATCCAGCCACAGAAAAGGAGGGAGAGGGACCGACATTTCCCCAGACGATTACACGCCTGATACAACAACACGAGAGAACTATACGTCAATATGCCTCCAGATGGCACTTCATTTACGGCCCTAAACCTTCCACCAACATTCTCCTTGCCTCAATGTATGGAATACTTCACTATGGCAGCGGGCCCAAATACCGATCTATGGCGCAAACCACCTAACGGCGATATATCAACCGCCCCAATTGTCTTCACCTCACTCCGCCATCCATTCGTCGTGGCCGAAGTGACCGTAAGTGCAGACTGGGAAATGGAATGGGATCAGGGAGGCCTAGTGATATTCGCCGGCGCTGCACCGCAATCTTTCTCCTCGGATGCCGCACCGGTCCTCGCGACTGCGGACACTCGTCGCGGCATAGGCACCACCCAATCACCTTGCAAATGGGTCAAAGCCGGCATGGAATTCTCGTCCGGGACTGTGAATGCTTCGTCTGTCAGCGCAACAGCAGACGGTGCAGATTGGTGTCTTTCACCACTACTTCATTCTCCACAGGGACCTCCACCTAGTTCGCTGCGCATCAAGTTAGAGCGCGTTGGGCATGCGCTGTGGATCTGGTATCAGGTGCCTTCAATTTCGCCATATGCTTTGTCGCCTGGTGCGGTGGGGAGTACGTGGAAGAAGTTGCGGGAAGTGACATGGTTCTTTTATGGGGTTGAGGATAAGTTCGTGCATGTTGGGGTTTATGCTAGCCGGCCAACCAGTATTGGGCGTGGGCAGACTATGTGGGATGCTATGCATGGAATGACGCTGGATAACTCCTCGTCGTCTGGAGCAGCTGATGGGTTAGTTGTGGAGTTTGAAGATCTGGAAATCTTCTAGTCCCCTACTATGGTGATTGATTTTCTTGTCTATTTTCTTGTCTGAACTGCTCATGCCATGTTCCCCTTTTCGATCTAGAGAGCTTTTGTGATCCTTTTAGCTTTGATACCTTTGGCGCTGCGTTTCAGCAAGCGAGTCTGGCATGATTGGAGTCGATTTGTTTATGTGATTTATTTCTTGACCTAATGAGTTTCTTGTTGATAACCTTTTATTATATAATTTTATATATCCTGTTTTAATGGACGACACTACCTTGGATAAGCTGTAAAATCTTAAGCAGCAGAATAGTAGCCGGGCTGAAATTGAAAGGAGCCCTTGGAAACGTTCTAGGGTAGGTTCCCGAGTATATTCTCAGATTCTCTTTTCACCAGTTGGCGCCTCGCATGAGCACCTCTCAAATTGAAGAACAAGGATTATGTTTGATTAGACCCATGGTGATTACCAGTGGTCTTCTGAGGTTATATCCTGCATCATTGAGCCATCATTCATTTAGAACAACCTCAAGTAACGCCTTGACCCAGGGCCTCTGTTTAAGCTTCTGCCACGGCGCGTCAGCGGATCAAGCGCGACGTAACTGCTGCTGTCTCTATGCAATAGACAAAGAATAAGCTAGCTCCGAACAGCATGTATTTGACTGTCAGAGCAGAACGCCTTTTCCACGATTTGTCATTGTTTGGTGCGGTTTCAATTTCTGAAATACTCTGATCATTGACTCATGTCCAGTCACATGACGCGACGTGAACAGACAGTCATGGGCAAATCAGAAAGGCGCGATACTACTTCAGAATGAGAACTTAATTTTGTAAGAAGATCTTACCCACTTGGGGCAGGGAGGTCAATCTAGGATACTGGAGAATAAAACCTTCAAAGACCAGGGAAAAATCTATCAACAAAACGCCTGGGCAAGGGAAACCTGCACAGTGATCGCGTGCATTGCATTGCATTGATTCCTCTGCAGAGTTTGATTATAAGCATTTGAGGTTAGAAAATTCCTCACAATTGAATCCACAGGTTTGTCGGGTTCTTTTCATGTTCTTAAAGGTTGGACCTGCGAGTTTGTTGGGACCGCAAGCGCATTACCTTGGGAGTTCGACTCGAGATTGGTCCGGAAATATATCTATATCGGGCCATGCCTGGGTTGAGCAGATCAGTGAATAAGATGCCCGTAAATTCACATAGAATTACAATTCATTCAAATCGATTACAAGAATCAGCTCCATTAGACTCCAACTAGGAGCGGTGATCTGACAAGTACGTATCTAAATAATCTCAGCATTTCCCGATCCTATATCAAATTCGAAGCCGAGAAGATTTTCGGGATCGATCGCGACACATCGGCAACGGCGATAAGCTACAGTGTTGCCCAAACATCATCGCCGCCACTTCGCCGCCGATATTTTCAGATGATATTAATCTGACTTTACTTCCTCAGCCATTAACTTTTAATTTCATATTCCCAGTCTTTCATGAAGTGAACCGATCGTTGATGTCACTAAGCTGAGTCAGCCGGGCCAGGGCGGGAACATGTTTCCCGAGGTCCCGGCGCTAGTGCGAGTTTTACGTTGGGGACGGGGGAGACCTCAAGCTCAGAATAGGAGCCCCAACGTGAATAAAGAGTAGATCAAGAAGGTCGATGAATGGAACCCGGTGGACAGAATATTCTGAGAGAGCATCGGCTATCAATTGGCTGTGGTTGTAGAATGGCAGACTGAATTTTGACACGTAGCACCTGGCAACCCCGGAAGCATCAAACCGGAAGAAAGGGGGTCTAGCCAGAGCTTTCAGATGGTAGCTGTGCAGCTGAGCTGACAGATCAAGAGCTTAAGTGGACAGACTAGCTCGTGTTTACTGCTAAATTGGAAGCTATTGGGCGCGTGGGAAGAGAGATAGAGGAAGGATTGCCAGAATCCAGAAATTAATGGAGACAAAGAATTTGATACGGCCGGAGGACTCAACACACAGAGTTTTGGTTTGGCTCGTTGGAAGTTGGGATGGGTGGGCCATATAGACTCTATATGTACAGAAAGAAATAGGTGTTGTAGATGACGCTGAAAAGTAGTACATGGTAATACATCACGACCAAATACCCTCCCCGGCTGACGGAAGAAAAAGGGGATGAACAAAAGCAAGGAAATTCTTTGAAGATATTTCATCGATCATGTTTCTCTTTTTTCTTCGTTCCTCAAGCCTCTCGATCAAACGCTTAGACGTACTTGCACATCATAGCAACCATCAGGTCGAACAGACCCATGGCCTCGACGAAAGCGAAACCCAGAATGGCGTAAGAGAAGAGCTGGCCACGGAGAGCAGGGTTGCGGGAAACACTCATGAGGAGAGCGGCGAAGACGAGACCGATACCGATACCGGCACCACCGAGACCGATGGCAGCGGAACCCATACCAATGTTCTTGGAGACCTCGACCATGGCGGTGGCGACCTCAGAGGAGTACTGGCGGCGGCCGGCGTTCTGGAAGGCGGCGCGGGCGTTGGCCTGGAGGAGAGTGGGCGAGGCGACGCGCTTGGGGGCAGCGAAGGAGGTGGCGGGAGCCTTCTGGGTGAAGGTACGCTTGGTGGCAGCGTTGAGGTTGACGCGGGCAGCAGGGCGAGCGACCTTGGAGGACTGGGCCATGGCGGTAGCCAGGCGCTGGGTGAAGACACGGGAGGCCATTGTGATGATTTTGCGTTTTTTCACGGGAGGGAAAAAAGAGAGGAGTTGGGGATTGGTATATGGGGGGATGGACTCTTTTCAGGGAGAAAAAGCTGGGAAACTACGGAAGAAGGTCGACCCAGGACATAAATACTCTACGGCCAAATTTTCGCCCGTCCGCCTCCCAGTCGAGGCTAGTGCGTCTCCGTGAAAAAAAAGCCCTACTCTGTGCGGACGCCGGAGTATTTCATTCGCAATTCCCCTGTATGAGGAATGCTGGGGGTGTGTTTTGCAGTTGTTTTTCAATTTCTTACCATTTATACCATGTATTATTGGCTTTTATGTCGGGTTCGTTCGGAGTCCCATGGGGTCCACTGGTAATGCAAAGTTTCCATCGGAATGGAGCTTTTCAAAATTACATCTATTTTTCTGTCCCCTGCATAAAAGGCGATATGGTCTCATATGTATCAATTGAGACCTATACTTTATCGATGATTTTCCCTGTGCATAGGTTTCTTGGGGGAAGGGAAAGGAGGTTGGAAGTACTCTGTACGTAGGAGCTCAATTTTTTTCTCCCTTCCCTGCAGTGGATCATCAGTATGTTCCAACTAAGTGGGTCAAGGCCCACCAATCCACTATCATCATCCAATAATAATGCACTCGGGTTCCACGAACCCAAGGTTATGTTTCTGGATTGATTCCCGGCGTCGCCCAAACCGGGCCGAGTCGGATTCCAGGTCCACCAACTACAGATTCACTGGGCCAACCGGCCCACCCGAGGACCACTTGGTCGGCTGAAAGGAGGATCCAAGTGGACTCCTTCCCATCCCTTTCCTCGGAAACACACACACCGAGTGGTCTTTTTGGAAACATGTAATTTTGAGAGACCGGATGCGGCGCCCGATGTCGTTTTTTATCGGTATTTTATTAATTTGCTTTTACTTTCTGCTGGATGCGGTCCGTCCGGACATCATCTGGCATGAAACCTGCAGATGGGATCGAGGTGGCTTTTATATGTGTAGGGTATCCCAACGATAAGGGGTGGAAAAAATAAATTTCATGGAATTTAATTCCAAGAAAAAAGAAAAATCAAGAATTACGAGTTGTTTGTTGTTCTCGCTTCCCTCGGCCTCCACAATGGATTCCCGACCCGCCGGGACCCGATTATCACGCTCAACAGGTGCAAGCTGGCTCTTCCGGTTCGCTCCAACATGGGATCCGCCTGGATACTGCCCCCCCAGCGTTAAACTGCGGTACCTAAACTTCCCATACAAACCCTTTTAAGGCCACCGGAGTGGCTGTTATATCCTCCCTTAGCCTAGATACAGGGATTCCGGAGGCTCTGCGAAATTCCGTAAGGAAAGACTGATCCGGCTGCAGCTCGGCTGATCGCAGGCGCTGAGCTTGGCGGACCCACACAAGCTTGGTTCAGGGTCATTCCGGACGTATTAAACGACCCTTGCAGCTGCATCGTAAAAGACGAACTGAACGAATATTGTTTCTACACCAATATTTTAAGGATGGGGTACTGGACCTGCGATCTACCATGATATTTTGAAGCTATATATACCTCCGGTATATGATACATGGCATCGTGGGAGGCTGACCCGAGAGCTGACTTCGGGTATTTTAGGGTACGGGAGAACGCGTAATACAGGATACGATACCTCCATTTGACTCGTCGATAGAGGCATCATGGATGACCCGCCGTGAGGTCATGGGGATGGAATTCCTTGGCAAGGACAGCTGGCATTCACTGATAAACCGCTGCACACTGTCTAGTAGGTCAAACTCTGTGTAGGGGGTGAAACAGATCACCCAGGTTCTCTGTCGAATGGGAGAAAGTATCCTTAATTATGTAGTCTACTGTATGGATGCTGGAAAAGACAGCATGCTCACCTGCAAACTGTACCCTCCGACGCCGGAGCTTACCCATTCCATCCCCTATCCAACGAAAGTTGGTGACGACGGAATCCACTTGACGGGGCTGTGGATCTCTGAGTCGCCCCGTCTTCACAATACAGGGGAATTGTATCAGCGCCGTTCACAAGTACCAGTCGCGTTGAATTTCACAAGACACACTGGCGGCAGAACGGCACTCTGTCAGGTAATTTCAACCCAGATAAACATGCTGTCGCGTTGGGGCACTTGTTCCTTTGGAAACGAAGCTCAGTGTCTTCGAGAATGGAGCTGCCGGGTTGCCCGATAAAGACGAACAATATTAGGGTTGATTTTCGAGTGCTGAACGGATCTCAGGTATGCTGGGAGAGACATGCAGAACGACCGAATACACCCCTTGTAGACATGTATGGTTACAGTAGGAATGCTCAAATGCACAGTAATAATACATGCTTCAGGACACTTGAGGTTTGTTTTTGGTTTGTTCAGGGCGTTGGGATCCATTCGTTCGGGCAGCTCCCGTGCCCTACTTTCGAAGCCACAACGGGGAATTTGTCCTTCCATATAAGCAACGAGCTAGCTCCTTTGCAGTAGCCACAACTCTGGAGTTCAGCTTTCCCCAGATCTCTTCCTTTCGATCCGATCCACTCTTTTAGACTCAACGGGCATAGCGTGTTTGAAAGGCTATTTTGAGCGTGAGCTTGCCTCTGTTGTTGGAAAATGTCCCAATGACGCCCAAAGTCCACTTACCCCTCGATGAATGGCTTGCGATTCATTGCCCCTGTCCACCTCGGGGCAGCATATCATGCTTTCTTTGCCGAAAGGCATAATTTTCCCGCATTCGCACAATGACTTCAATTTGATAATCTTGTCTCTCTGCAACCAAGTTGACCGCCACTTCTTCAGTCCTCATCCGCAGGAACCCCTACTCGATTTATAGACCTGAGCCAGTGGTTTGATCACGATCCACAAGCATAGCTTCGTACTGCCTGTGAAATCAATAAAACGTCCTTGGCAAACGCCCCAGGAACACAACATTTTACCTTCCTGGGATGCTTTGGATCTTAGGTTTACCGCACAACTCGTTCACTGTCAATAGTGCACTTCGTATCGTCCTAACCACGCCAGCAATGATCACGAACTCAAGACGTCGACTCAATAACACAAAAGTCGCCACTTGATTCCGGCAGCGCAAACAAGCAAATCGCACGTATAAGAAGATGATCTTGATTCTTTGAATCTGCGGCGGGTAGTTGAATCACTAACGTTGGCAAGTCAGTGCATCTTGAACCACCCCCGAGGCCTAGAAGACCATGATGGTGTTTCGTCACAGTCACGGTCAAAAGGGCGGTTCCATCATGTCATCACGGCTTACTCTTCGCATCAACAAATCTTGCAGGACCGGGACGCTGGCATATTACCAGGCCACCTGTCAGCGAGCCAGTGGCTGACTGCACAAAACATCCAGTGACACGATTGATTGAGGAATGCGAGTAGACTGAACTCCAAAATATCCCCTCGTCTTGCACTGGTTCTTGTGCATCTCGGTGCAGCTGTGAGAGTAACGCTGGAGGACCTGATTGAACATCTAATGATTTCGAGGTTTTCACAGACAGTCCCATAGAATAAGGATAAAACTTCCCGACAGCCAATCGAGCTTGAAAGATGAACACAACCTTTGCACACCAATTCCTGACGCGGGGAAGAGGGGCACCCCCCGCGATCGGATAATGCCAAGTATTCGACGTGCATCACCTATGAACCAGTGACGTTGAACCAGTGACTCCGATGTCGCTTCCATAAAAACCCGCAAAAGCGTCTTCATCATTCTCAGTCTCTAACCAGCAACCAAATAAGCCACCCCCGACATGTCCACCAGCAAGGTTCCCTACCCCTTCCAATTCGATACGCCGGCCAACCCCGCAGGGCCACAAGATGGAACCAACAAAAACATCGAAATAAGCCTCGCAAACACTCGCGGACGTATTCCCTCGCTGCAAGCCTCCCGCCTCAGATCAATGTACCTAGAGGCCCGCACCGATCCAACCAAGATCATCGCACAGGCATGCACATACGATGGACTCTCCTCGCGTCTGGTCGAAGAAGCCGGATTCCCTATGATCTTCCTATCAGGATACGCAGTCGCCAGCACACATGGGCTCCCAGATACGGGGTATATCGCCATGGCAGAGATGTGCGACAAAATCCAAGAAAGCTTCCGACAGGTTTCCGTGCCGATCATGGCAGACGGGGATACAGGGTATGGAAGCCCGATGAACGTCAAGCGAACAGTTGAGTGCTTCGCAGCTGCCGGCGCAGCGGGCGTGATGATCGAGGACCAGCAGTGGCCAAAACGTAGGATTCTAGTCTAACTGATCTTTCCCATATAACTGATATTGTCCAAACTAACAATGTGACTAGGATGCGGACACACAAAAGGAAAGAGCGTCGTTTCTCGCGAAGAAGCATACGCCCGCATGCAAGCTGCCTGTGACGCTCGGAATGAAGGTCGGGACATCTTCATTCTTGCCCGCACCGATGCCCTGATGCATGGATGGGACGAGGCAATGGCTCGCGCACAGGAGTTCAAGCGTATAGGCGCGGATGCGATTTTTATTGAAGCCCTTCCTGATAGGGCTGCGATGAGGCGTGTTGTGGAGGAATTGGATATTCCCGTTCTTGCGAATATCATTGAAGGAGGGAAGACGGAGAATTTATCCGCTAAGGACCTTGCAGAGCTTGGCTTTAGTGCCGTGGCTTACCCTTGGACGTTGGTCGCCGCACATCTCAAGGGTATTCGAGATGCTTTGGATAATTTGAAAAAGAGTATGACTACTGGTGCACCGCCGATGATTTTGTCTTATGATGAGGTTTGTGAAGGAGTTGGGTTCAACAAGTACTGGGTAAGTTGTGCTTTGTATGGATCTATGTCATGAACTTACATTTTGTAGGAGCGAGAAGGAAAATATCAATTTAACTGAGCGGTTCGACGTGGGATGGTAAGTCATGTGAAGTTGGAATAAATTGAGTTGATCAATTCCAGTGGTTGTTCTGCCCCATGAACCCCACATTGTAGACTGACTGGGTCCCTGTCCGCAATGAATGGACCTGGAGCTCAAACACTAATACCTTCAAAATTTTTTCAATTCGTGATCCAACCAGAGTAAATTTTGCAGAAGCATTCCAAGAAACATAGTATACAGTTTTGCAGAAGCGAATCGAGCTTATTTGATTGGATATGATTTCTACGAGTCCCACAGCCGACCAAATCTAGATCACGCCCTGTGGATGACACCGGGAACTCCAGAATATTCCCGCAATAAGGGTCCAATAAATAATGGCAGACATCCGCGAGCCAAGAAGCTAGCATCCATCACTCATTACTCTATTTTGCATCCCCTCGAAAAGTAACGTCTCCCGATCTACCATCACAATGGGAAGCGTTTCCACCACACCCCCGGCATATATTCTCCGAGATCACCGCCCAGGAGATATTGGATGGATCATTCACCGCCACGGAGTGTTATACAACAAAGAGTACGGATGGGGCGAGCGTTTTGAGGGCATCGTTGCTGGAATTGCCGGGGAATTCCTCAAGAACTACGACCCCAAATTAGAGCGTTGCTGGATCGCTGAACGAGATGGCGAATTCCTCGGGTGCATCATGCTTGTGAACGACGCATCCCCAGCAAAAAATGCAGCCAAAATTCGTCTATTCTTGGTTGAGCCGAGTGCACGCGGTCTTGGGCTGGGTCGTGCACTGGTACGGCAATGTACGAAGTTTGCTAGGGAAGTCGGCTATTCTCATATTGGACTGTGGACTCAGAGTACATTAGTTTCGGCACGGCACATTTACGGAAGTGAAGGATTCGTGCATGTTGCGTCGGAAGAGCATGATTCTTTTGGAATCAAGATGACTGGGGAACTTTGGGAGTTGGAGTTATAAATCTGGATTTTGTTTGGATAGACATATTCAAGTTGGAAAATGTGTGAAAATCACTAGACTAGATCAAATTATCACGAAATAAAGAGAGACTGGTTGCGGAAACAGTCAGTCGGTGAGGAAAGGAGGGTACAAGGACAAATAAGTGAATGGTGGGGAGTGAGCGTTAGGGCTTAAATGGAACAATTCCCTTGAGTCTTTCAGTGAATACCTATTGTGGAGGAGAACACAAACAGGCTTCTACATCCTGAGAAATTCAATTATCATCAGTTAAACAAAATTGAGATAGCCGATTCCCTGTGACGTAAAAAATGGAACACAATAGAAGATGGGTTGTCCAAGTTGATTGTTTTCTCTGATCGGTTGATACCATGAAATAAGTCTTTGTGCCCCGATCGAGCATTCAATACATTTCCAGTCTTGGGACAATCTAAAACCTCGTATTGTCCAGTTTTAATGGGTATATAGTGAATAACCCAGTTTAGACCCGAGATTTACATTTTCAACTAGATTTGTATTTATCAAGCAGCTTCCATTCCTTGCCAACCTCAACCTTGCTCGTCTTCTATCTGGTTCATTTCCCTTCAATCATACAGAGCTGGCTCTGTTTGAATTAATCTTCTTTATTCCTGCCATCCAAAGCGGGGTCTATGCTATCTCGTTCTTTTTCCTTCGGTGAAGCACAGCAGGCTCTGCGCGTGATCTCACATTCTCATACAAACCGGCTCGCTGAGTCGTTTTGACCTCGACTGTCCGAGTATGCCGGGACTATACCCCCTTCCGGGAATGACTGTTCCATCTGTCTACGTCAAAACCCCATTGAGCCCCCTGGCACTTCGATTTGCCAGATTACCACCAGAAATCATCACTGCCCGCCAAGCAGTTCGAAATGCTCGCCAGCAGGATGTAAAGCACCAACGCAAGCTTGTGGCTCGAAACATTATAAACCACTACCGACCTCGAAGCCGAAAGCCAAGACTTCATAGGTGCATGAAGGAAATGATCTTCCAGAAGGATTTCTGGTGCTGGATTAACAAGGACAAGATCGATGGTCAGTACACTTCTATCAAAATTCCAAAATACGAGCCTCCATCAGCACCTCTCTATCCGAACTTCGGCCGAGGCTTTCCACCGACCGATTACCCTGCATCATTCTGGGCCTTGGTCGAGGAAATGAAGATCCTTGAGGACGCCTTGACCGAAAATATCAACCACATTGAAGTCTGCCGGGATCAATTTGCTCATCTGGAAGTCCCACCCTCTCTTGTGGATGATATTCAGGCCGGTCACAAGGAAATGCTCAATTTGATCCAGGGCTATCTCTGCGGTGAGAAGGATGGCTCAATTGCTTACCCTGACATTCAAGTTCCTTCTTTCACTCTGTGGAGTCTCTTGGAGGTGATCATCACAGACCACAGGTCGATGCTCAGCAGTATCAAGGAGGTCCAGCAATCGTGTGCCGCCCGCGACAATGCCTTGCAGAGGTTGTCGGTACAATTTCCTTTCCCGGAGAATGCCCGTCTGCGTCAACATTTCGAGGTCTTGTCTAACAAGAAGCATGATGAAGCCAGCGAGCAGGCCCGCAAGTTGTTCAGAACCCATACGATTTGCAAGCGGCAGTTTATGACGTTGCATAATTATTTCGTTAATAACATGAGTTACGTTCCTGCAGCTGGTGCATTATTTGAGGAGGAGAAGACACCTCTTCTTCTGGATTCGATCTTTCATGGGTTTGCGATGAACCTGGCTGTCGAGCTACGGGCTCATGTGTGGAAGTTCTCGGACACGGATTAGGAGGGTACCCTGAATCTAAGAAATGTATCTCAATCTGTGATATATCCATACTAAAATAGTTTTAATTGATGTTTTGTCAAAGCCATGGACTAATATAGATTGCTCACTCCCGTCGCGCATTACGAGATAGCTCAAAGAGAACTCTCACATGCTGGAAACGAGATGGATCTTGCCGCGCGTAGCAATGGGGTTCTCATGTTGCCTCTGAAAAGATCCATTACGACCTCGATCTACTTACCTTATGAATTTGCGATGATAGGTCGACAGTGATCAGATTGCTTCAAGCTGGGTGAAAATATGGATACAGTCTACGGTCAACCCTGCGCTGTACGCATCAGATTTTTCTCTAGACCCCCAATGGCTGCCGAGGCACGCGCATAACAAGGTTTCTAAAAGCCAAAGCAAGTGGAGCCCTGCGCCAAGGACGTCTACACCTGCACGTTCAGGCGCCGATCGGCAGGGAGCAGGACTGGGCAGATCTGTAATTGAACAATGAACGGTGAGAATTTTGCCAATCACAAGACCACGATCAGAGGCAAGTTCGCGGGTGCTCGCGGAGTTTGTCCGGATGAATCGGGAGGGGGATGGAGACAATAGTGCACGGAGTCCGAGATGGTCCGTGTTAGCTGCACGCCATTGTAAACAAAGGCTTTCGCACTTGTTATGCGTTTGAAAAGAATCTCCATCGGATAGCTCTTTTGCCTATAAATATGAAAGATGGGGCATGAGGGATAGAAAAAGCGGGTAGCAATATGCATATTGTGTCATATCATGCCATGTCCTCGGATATCGTCCCACGGATCATCCTCGCATAAAACCTTGGAACTGCTTGTTGTGATTTTTCCCAGGCTAACACCCTCGCTATTGAACTATATGGCCATTAGATAAAGGGAGACTGTTGACAAAGAAGATTTCACCGTTGGGCCAATACAGTAGGGCAATATAGTCGATCATCTCGTCATTGTATGAGTCAAAGCAGTTGACAGGTGGAGAGGAAGAACCCCGGGGCCATGGGACCCTATTGGCCCATGTTTATTAATGGGTCCTGCACCACTAGCGCCTCCACCCAATTTTTTTTTTTTCTGTTCGCATGAGCGCAAGTTTTCACAGCTTCGTTGCGTGATAATAAAACCCGAGAGGGGAAAGTGAAAATGCAGTAGATTCCGAATGTCGTACTGCTCATGCCGGTCACTAGTGCTTGACCCGTACGACCGATGCTCAAAAAGGCTAAGTCAATACAAAAGGACCTCGGCGGCAGCTTCACCGCATATTGGGTCTCTAGTGGAGATCGACCAGCGGCCCAAGAAAAGGAGACAACTCATTGGGCAAGAACTGGGATTTTATAGACTAATGGAACTTGGTGGTGTGCCGCTTACCCAGAAATGACTCTAGTATGAGTTGGTCACTGTGCCAACACTGGATGCTCCACTGCGTATTTTAGCTGGTCAATGTTGTACAGTTGTTGGGCATCGGAAAGGTTTTTTTTATTATTGGCCTAAGCTTCCCCCCTCTTGCCTTTTTCTTTCTTTCCCTCCTGATCAAAGATTTTCTTGTCTCCCTACTACCAAATCTCTCGAATTTTCCCCATCGTGCTCTGTGAGCTGTGTTGAGGGCTGTACAGCTAATTGCTTGGATCTTGCGTTACTGCTTTTGCTGGTCAAATTGCGAATCCCGCCTTTGTCGATAATACCCCCTCACCTTTCACGACCGTTACGATTTTAAACAACCTACAATCATGGCGACCGCCGCAATTCATAATGGTAAGTACCACGGTGAATTGTTTTTCCCCCGTGGCGAGCGATTGAAGCTAACAACCTGCAAGTCTCGGATGAGACCCTCAAGGACCCTATAGTGTCTGTGGATGAGAAGTCCACCCAACCTGAATCGACCGAAGCGGATACCGGCTCGGGAGAGAAGGCCAAGAAGAAGAAGAACAAAAAGAAGAACAAGAAGAAGAACAAGTCTGTCTCTGAACCTGCCGCAGGAGAGGAGGCCAACGATGCTGCCGAAACGGAGCCGGTGGTAGGGGAGACCGCGGAGGAAGCTACACAAAACGGAACAGAGACCCCAGCTGTCGAAACTCCCGCAGAGACTGAGGCAGAGGCCTCGGCCGTGGAGGAATCGAAGCCCACAGAGTCTGCCGAACCAGCAACAGAAGAATCTCAGCCTGCTGTTGAGACCCCCGCTACAAATGGGGAGTCCGTCGAAACACCTGCTGAGGCCCCCGCAACCGAATCCAACGAGCCCGAAGCTCCTAAGGCCGAAGAGACAACCACCGAAGCCACCAAGGACGAGCCTGCTGCAGAGACTGTCACAGAAGAAGCTACTGCTGAGCCCGTTGTTGAGGAATCGAAGCCTGTCGAGACATCGTCAGAGCCAGTCGCCGAGACTCAGGAATCCATTGCGGAGACTGCTGAAACCACAAATGAAACCCCGGCTGTCGAAGAGACTGTTGCTGAAGTCACAAAGGAGGAGCCCGCCACAGAGATCGCCGCAGAGGAAGCTACTGCTGAGCCCGTCGTGGAGGAATCACAGCCCGCTGAGGTTGCGCCAGAGCCGGTGACCGAGGAGGCTCCCAAGCAGTCCACTACGGAGAGTGTCGAAACCACCACCGAAGCTCCGGTCGTCGAGGCCTCTGAAGAAACTCCCAAGGCCGAAGAAATTGAGGCTCCTAAGACCGAAGAGACCACCGCGGAGGCCGCCACAGAAGAATCTGTCGCCGAGCCTGTTGCTGAGCCTGTTGCTGAGCCTGTTGCTGAGCCTGTTGCTGAGCCCGTTGTCGAGGGATCAAAGCCCGTTGAGTCTGCACCGGAGCCAGTGACCGAGAAGGCTACCCAGGAGCCTACCGTGGAGACCGTCGAGACCACCACTAAAGCCCCAGTCGCTGATGCTCCTGAGGAGGCACCTGAGGTTGAGGAAGAGGAGGCTCCTAAAGTCGAAGAGACAGCTGCCGAGGTTGTCAAGGATGAGCCTACCATCGAGGAGCCTGTCGCCGAGCCCGCCGTCGCGGAATCGAAGGAGACCGAGACTACTACTGAGGTGAAGGAGGAGGTCGCTCAGGAGCCTATCACCGAGAGCGCCTCAGAGCCTACCCCCGAATTTGTTAAGGAAGACGCTGCCACCGAAGCTGAAGCCGTCGAATCCACCAAGGAAGCTACAAAGGCCGAGGAGACCATTCCAGAGGTTGACCAGAAAGAGCCCGTTGCCGAAGTCACCACCGAGGAGAATGTCAAGGAGATCATTGCTGAGGAGTCGCCTGTAGAAGCCGCCCCTGAGCCTGTCATCGAAGATAAGCCGGCTGCCGAAGAGACATCTGTCGCTGCTGAGGAATCAAATGTTGAGCCGGCTGCCACCGAAGAGCCCGTCGAGGAGCCAGTCACCGTAGAGTCCGCGGCTTCTAAGGAACCCTCTGTGGTGGAACCTCCTATGGAGAAGGTCGCTGAGCCCGAGACTGCTGCTGAAGAGCCCGCTCAAATCGGGACAGTCGTTGAGCAGCCCGCGGCCGAGGAGGTAAAGGAGGAAATCACTGCCCCAGAGACCGCCACTGCCGTAGAAGTCTCTGAGCCAACTAAGGAGGTTTCGGAGGAGACTACTGCTACAGAGCCTGTTGTTGTGAAGGCCCCCGTTGAAACAGCTTCGGTTGAAGAGACCCCTGCTGAGGTTGAGCATAAGGAGGTTATCGAGGAGCCTACCAAGGAGCCCGCTGTTGAAGTTCCCGTTGCTGAGGAGGCCCCCGTCGCTGAAGCCCCTGTTGTCGAGGAGACTCCCGCTGTCAAGGAGGCCCCTGTTGAGGTTCCCGCCGTCGAGGAGACCACTGTCGCTGAGGAGACCCCCGTTGTCGAGGAGGCCCCCGTCGCTGAAGCTCCCGTTGTCGAGGCTCCCGCTGTCGAGGAGACCCCCGCTGTTGAGGAGACTCCCGCTGTCAAGGAGACCCCCGCTGTCGAGGAGATCCCCGCTGTTGAGGAGGCCCCCGTCGCTGAAGCCCCTGTTGTCGAGGAGACTCCCGCTGTCAAGGAGGCCCCTGTTGAGGTTCCCGCCGTCGAGGAGACCACTGTCGCTGAGGAGACCCCCGTTGTCGAGGAGGCCCCCGTCGCTGAAGCTCCCGTTGTCGAGGCTCCCGCTGTCGAGGAGATCCCCGCTGTCGAGGAGACTCCCGCTGTCAAGGAGACCCCTGTTGAGGTTCCCGCCGTCGAGGAGACCACTGTCGCTGAGGAGACCCCCGTTGTCGAGGAGGCCCCCGTCGCTGAAGCTCCCGTTGTCGAGGCTCCCGCTGTCGAGGAGACCCCAGCTGTCGAGGAGGCCCCTGTCGCCGAAGCCACCGCTGTCAAGGAGGCTCCTGTTGAGGTTCCTGTCGTCGAGGCTCCCGCTGTCGAGGAGACCCCCGTTGTCGAGGAGACCCCCGCTGTTGAGGCTCCTGCTGTCGAGGAGATCCCCGCTGTCGAGGAGACTCCCGCTGTCGAGGAGACTCCCGCTGTCGAGGAGACCCCTGTTGAGGTTCCCGCCGTCGAGGAGACCACTGTCGCTGCCGAGATCCCCGCTGTCGAAGAGGCCCCCGTCGCTGAAGCCACCGTTGTCGAGGAGACCCCCGCGGTCGAGGCTCCCGCTGCCGAGGAGGTTTCTGCTGTTGAGGAGATCCCCGCTGTCGAGGAGGTTCCTGCTGTCGAGGAGATCACCGTTGTTAAGGAGGTTCCCGCAGCCGAGATCCCCGCTGTTGAGGAGGCCCCTGTTGAGGTTCCCGCTGTCGAGACCCCCGCTGTCGAAGAGGCTCCTGTTGACACTACGCCACCTGCTCCAGTTGAGGAGCCCGTGACTACTAATGATGTTCCTATCGCCAAGGAAGAGGAGCCTGTGGTGGAAGCCTCTGAGTCCGAGGCTGACGCTAAGATCCAGGAATTTGCGCCACAACAATCTACCGATCCCGATGTCTACGGCGCATTACTTGCTGGTCTTCGGCCCGCGAGCTCGTGGGCACCGAAACCCGCTGCTGTAGAGGATTCCGCGAACAAGGAAGTTGAAGAGGCTCCCCAGGATCAGTCTGCTGAGGAAACCGCTAAGGAAGCCGCTCAGGAAACCGCTGAGGAAACTGGCAAAGACACTGATTTGACCGCTGAGGTTCTTGGCGCTGGAGCGGCGGCCGCTGCTACCGCCACAGGTATTGCTGTTGCTGCGGCCGTGCACCAGTCCCACGAGGAAGCTGAGAACCAGACTGAGGCCAAGACTGAGAGTGAGGCACCTGCTGCAGAGGTGCAGCCTGAAGACAGTAAGCCTTTGCTCTCAGTCCCTGCATATAACGCGTCCGTACCGTCCTTCGAAGCTGATTCGGTTCTCGCAGCACTTGTTGGCGATGGCGAAGCCCTTCTCCAGAAGCTCAACCAGCCTTCCACCGACCAATTGACCTCGATCACAAATATCCAAGCACCACCCGCACAGCGCCCTGTTGAGAACCAACAGACTAAGGCAGTCCCTGAAAGCGAGCCCGCTACCGAGTCCAGCCAGAAGGCTTCCGCTCCTGCGCCTGTCCCCGAACAACTCACTCCCCCCACCACAACCACTGATAACGGAGATGAAGATGCTCGTCCTACGAGCCAGAGTCGGTCAGTCGCCGCTCTTTCCATCAATAATGCATCTGATAATTGGCTCAAGGCGCTCCTGCGCACGGTCTTCAAAAGCGTTGGACGCATGTTCCGTCCTTGGTCATGGGGCAAGCAATAGATAGCTTGCTCAATGAAATGGACTGCTTTGAGGGAAACAAAAGATCGTGCGGGAGTGTGTCATTTGCATTTCTCCCTCTTGACGCCGTCACCTCCATGGGTTCACACCTAAGAAACACGTGGTTCGGAGTCACAATACTGACGCTGATTCGCCAGGTCCCTGTTTTTGATTGCCATTGCGGTGCCTATCGTGGTCATCCTCTGGCGCTCATTTTAAACAATGATCATCCGTGGACCCTCCGAATCAGCTCAAGTGGAGGCATCCAGCCCGACATAAAAAAAAAAAAAAAGTTGACAGATCGTTATCTACACGCTTGATTCCCCTGTATTTGATACCTGCCGCTTGTTTTTGTTTACGATTTTCATATTCTCTCGGTTTTTGATTTTTTTTGTTGCTGTTTTGTCCCATGGATTCATGGGTTAATGAATTTCTTTTGTCATATTTCACATTTGGTGAGCTTGGCTATTCACCCGATAGAAGGCTTTCGAGGTGTGGCCTGGTTATCTCCAGGATGTATTTAATGACGCCTATGATCTTATTTGAACCATTGTATCAAAATCCGCATCCCTCCGTGTAAACCTTTCCCTAAAATGCTATATTGGCTGCCACCTGCATTGGATAAGTAGACCGTTGACCATCTACGCCGTGTTACTTTCATTTGAAGAGTGTGCTGTTCCTTATAATATGCTCAACATGAAATCTGCAAGTTCAGTCTAGATGGCCGTCATTGTGTATATGAAGGTGCATGATGCCTCTGGGCAGCATTGTACACTGCGTATCTCGTGTCCTGGGCTTCATCCATACTACCAACTATTGACTACTTTCAATCTTGGGTAAGCAAAAGATAAAAAGTGTCAGCCTAGTGCGTATCACGCCTACTTACTTCACATTTTAGGTTAGTGTATAGAGTAGTGGGAACGAGTAGGTGAATGGATATACAGTCAATAATATCACTCCAAATTTCAGATACTGCACCTTACTAATACCGTTAATGTGATGTTCAATTGATATTCTTGGTATTCAGGTATGGTGCTCCGCCTAATATCCCTATGTCTATCCTTTCTGTGCACAGTGTGAACGCCTCAAACACTCTCACTCTTCAACCTCAATAACCAACTTCGTACAACTCACACCCTGAAGCAGCTTGTCCAACCCGACATTGATGGCCCCCAAGCCTTTCCCCACGACGCTCGGCTCAGGACTCGGTCTGATAGTCCCCTTGGCCAGATTCTCACCCAGCCACGTCCCAATCCAGTATCTGAACTGCTCCAAGCTTTCCCTTTCCACCATCGACGGCATTACAAATAGCGTCTCCACCCCATCTACGACCTCAGCATCCCCAGGAATCCTGGGCGCAGACATAATCTTCGCCGTGTTCGTCTTCTTACCTCCTCGGTCATCTTTGAAAAATGCCTTAAGAATAGCCTGGCATGGCGCCAGCTCCCCAGTAGCAAGAAAACAGTGCCGGATCACAAACCCGTCCTCCTTAGCAGCTGACACGATCGCATCCACAACTTGCGGATCCTTGTAGTCGAACACGCGGTCTGCGCCTAAAGATTGCACATAGCTCTTGTTTGATTCTCCAGCCGTGGCATACGCGGCTGCAAAAGGAGAGTTGGGATCCTCACACAGCAGCCGGGCTGTCTGCACTCCCATGGTACCGACGCTAGAGGAGGCACCCCAGATGAGAAGGGCTTCTCTTTCCATATTCTTCCCTTGCTTCTCTCCATCGACGTTGGTGCTGGTATCAGTAGAGCCAGTAGTTGCTGAAGCAGAAGCAATGGCCACTCCCGGCCGAGGGACTCCCATCATTCCCCAGGCGTTAAGTGGTACTGCAACGGCGACGGGCAATGTTGCCGCATGGTTCCATGACATGTGATCGTCCATGATAGGCACAGCATGCTGCCAGGGGACGAGACACCGCTCCTGGAATGGGCCATAGTCTGGATCACAGGATTTCCAGACAGACGCGGAGTAGGCGGCGATACGGGTGATACCCGGTCGGAAAGATGGACCTACATTATCGCCGCTCGCGCCGGTGGGGACGTTCTCGCCGACTTCGATAACTAGGCCTGACATGTCGAAGCCGATGACCGTGGGGTATGTGGGTATGAAAAGACCTTCGTCACGCATTATGGCGTCTGCCGGGTTGAGGGCTACGGACTTGACAGCGATGAGGAGCTCTTCTGGTCCTGGTTTTGGGGTGCGCCGAGTCTGGAGCTCAAAAGGTTGGCCTTTGGCCAGGCAGACGGCGGCGAGGTGAGTGGACATTTGGGCCTTTTGTGCAAGATTTCAGGATGTCTAGTGTTTCTTCCATTGAAGATTTGGAAATGACTGCCCTTTTATATAACAAAGCTATAATTCCAAACTATTTGCTGAGTTGATGCGCCCTGCTGACTGTAGATACCTCAGCCAATCAGAAGTCTTTGCATCCGACAAACAGTTAGCGCAGAATGTATGTTTCCAGAAGTAGTCTAGCGTATGGGCACATATGACGATGTGTTCCGCCTCCTGCTACTAGACACGGAATCTACTTCGAGCTCAGAAAATCCCTCATAGGCAAGCTGCGTAAAGTACTGGGAACTTAACCAAACATGGCCTCGATTTTCCAAAGAGAGGCTCAGGCCCGGGAGTGTAAGGCTCCGCGGAGGTCAAGATTTGGCTGCCGAAATTGCAAGCTCAGAAAACTCAAGGTGAGTAACCCTCGACTTTCTGACTAGTGCTTGACTGAGTAAATCTTCTTGGCCTATCAGTGCGACGAAAGCAAACCGAATTGCAAGAGATGTAGTTCATTTGGGGTATTATGCAACTTCGCGTCGAATATTCCCGACCTACAGCCCGTCGCCGCTGACTCAGGGAGGCCATTGACAGTTCGACGGAGAGCACAGCTTCTGCCTCCTGTCTGCAGTGCTGTCTGGACTTCTGATGAAATCACATCATATCAATTGAACGCAAAGTGTCAAGACTTCATCACTCGGTATCTCGGTCGAAGTCTTACTACCCCGGATGATCCTAGTATGAAATACGTTAATCGCAAGCTCCTGAGACTAGCCTTCACTGTAAGTATTATTGCATTAATCTCGTACTTTATGATATTTTCAACGCCATATTATATCTTATGAGCTGAGCCCAATTAACAAGTCTCTTGCAGCACCCTTTCTTAATGCACGCCTCTCTAGCTGTGGCACTCACATATGACCGCCATCTGCATAACTCCTTGGGCAATCGTCACAGTCTAGAAGAGTGCTATCACTGGTCTCAAAGCACAGCTCTTCTCAACAGGCGATTAAGAAAACCGATCAAAGCAGAAGACAAGGATGCAATCTGGGGCACTGCGGCTGCTTTGGCTATCTTGTCCGTTTCATCCCCTGAAGCATATACACCCGAAGAATCGTGGCCTTTAAACCCATCCGACAACTCCAACCTGGACTGGATACATATGAGCAAGAGTAAAATGGCACTGTGGGACATAGTGAATCCGCTACGACCGGACAGTCTTTTTTGCGTCATGGCGGCAACCTTTGCTCGTATGGAAGCACCCTTGTTGGGGAAGGGTACAGATGGTGTTCCAAGTGCCTTGGCTGGAATCTGTCTCCTCGAAGACTCATCTACCGCGACAAACAATCCGTATTTCCATGCTGCCCATGCCGTGTCTCAAGTTATGGGTCTTCCAGATAATGAGGTCACAACAGGTGAAAGTCAAATATTCATTCGCACTATTCATGGCCGTTTTGAAGACCTACTTCGGGGAAGAGACCCTGTAGCACTTCTGCTGCTGTATCTATGGTACCGCAAAGTAGGCCGAAGTATATGGTGGATTGAACTTAGAGCTAGAGTGGAGTGTCCTTCCATTTGCTTGTACTTGCAGCGGCATCACAAAGCGAATGTTGCGGTACAGGCATTTCTTCCAGGGGGCTCACTTGCTGAAATGGGGAACTAACTCAGATTTTGGAAATGCAAAGATTTCTCCCTTTCGGATTTGTATATTCAAAAACTTAATCAAACGTACATCGTATTCACGCATTTCGGAGCGACCGGGAAGTATTGGGGAGTAAAATTGCCAGAGGATCCGATATTTGACTATGAATCGAAAGATGCGGAACTGAGAAAAGAGGTCGCGGGCTGAGACAAGAAAGAGGAATAAGGATGATGAGCTGACCGCGAATTTTTAATGGAGAAAACGGAGATCATGACGACATGTTATGACCAGGTCGCAGCGTTGAATGTTGCCTACTGAACTTCTACATGGCATCTAATGTTGGAGATTAGATAGTAATGGGACTTATTTGCGTTAGTAGCAGCACTTGAAGAATTGTAATTCGACCCATGCATGAAAATTCCGCCTATCGAAATAATGGCTACAACTAACTTTAATTGATGATACATATACTATAAGAAGTGGAGGCCGTATTTCAAGGACAGTGTTCACGTCCGGTAATCTGGCCCTGAGGCCGCCTGACCAACAACATCAAGCCACGGACGTAGCATCACAGCAGCCCCTTCATATTGACGTGCACCACATTGCGTCGGGCCAATTAACCAGAGAAATCAATCTAAAGGAGTTTTAAGGCGTAAAAAGAAAGGTTCCTTGATTTGCCCGAGGCATTTGAAAAAAAAAAAAAAAAAAAAAAAAAGATAACAGGCCCGAGCCGTGGATCGAACACGGGACCTCGCGCAGGAGTGCTTAGGAGTTGCTGCCCTAAGCGCGAATCATACCACTAGACCACCCGGGCTGTTCTTATGTCCGGCAGACGATCAATGGCTATATGACCAAGTTCTTCTTTATGCGTTAACGCATGACGTCATTCATTTTCTTCTTCTCAATAGGGCAAATCAAACACCCTAAGCTTATGACTTCTATGAAACCACTATCAAATATTGTTCATCAAAACATATGTTTATTATAACAAACAGGATAAGCGCCAGGGTTTTTTCAAACAGCATCAGGAAAATGACTGAGCGGTTGGTGATAAGCGTTTCGGGCTATGTGCATAGGCGCTGCCTTGCGGGAGCCTGGCTTCCGTAAAATGACCACAAACCTACACCATTATCAGAAACTTCATTCAGCGGAATCTAGATTATATTACGCCTGAAGAGAGATATTGTAGGAGACCCAGAAGAAATTCTTGCTTCGTTCCCCCCGACGGTCTTGAAGTCATATGATGCTTGGGTAAACTTACATAGAATATTCCTTAGAAAGACGTGATAAAATGGTTTTATCACGACTTTCCCTACGGTCGCCAAGAGCTATCCTGGAATGTGGCGCTCAGGGGATGTGGACTGTGAAAACATCATTATGATGATGATAATGCCGCTATAAAGAGAGTCTAGTGTTTTTTACTTTGTTCTCGAGAACACTTCGGTCTTGCAACTATATTGCGTATCAACGCCTACTGACGATATTGCTACTCTGGCTAGTAATAGTCATCAATGCCGCCTACCTATTTCTTTCTATCTCAAATCGTGAGTGGGAGAGATTAAGGAACTGAAATGGGATCCCACAGGGGCAGGCGGGGCAGGAATGTCTAAAGCTAAAAGCAATAGTATTGGTATGTTGCTCTTGGTGAACCAGCTTTGGCTGCTACTATCAAGTTCAGTCCAGTAGAGAATAAGGTTAAACAGCTAAAGTTCGGGCTATAATTGTCACACGCTTTGACCACTAGTGGTGTGCTGACCAAGCCTCCCGTCTTGGTCAGCCACACTAAAGTGTCAAACCACACTAAAGTGTCATTTTTTACCCTTTTTGAGCTTTTCCAGCGTCACACCTTCTGTATCTATTGTATAAAGTGGTTTTCCATCATCTCCAATGACCCAGCTATCAGAATCCTCAATTTCTCCGTTTTCGTCCGATCTTTGTGGAATTGGGACCAATTCTTTTGCAGCGGCTCGGAGCATGCGCATATGGTCCAACCTTTTCTCCTCCTCGTCACGTCTCCAAATTCGCCGGTTGGCATCTAGAGGTGTTAAAGCAGTAAGGCTTGATAGCTGCTTTCTAGACCTTTTGGTCTGAATTGGACGTTGACGAGCTTGAATTGAGAGGAATTTCCTCTCAAGCTCATTGGTATACTCCGTGTTGATAACTTGGCCTATCTGGTAGTGCTTGAAATCGCGTTTCAACCGATTAAGCTCTTCGGTCTGATCTTTCATTTCGTCCGATATTTTTCCAATACGCTTTTCAAGCTTATTTCCCACATAATTCAGCCTTTCAATTGTTCGAGGTGGTGAATTAATAGGCGAAGAGTGTGGTTCTGGTGTGTGGCCTAAGAGCTCGAGAATTGGGTCATTTTTATGCCTTTCATCCCATCTTTTTTGTATTGGTCCGATCACAATATTAGGATTAAAAGGCCAAATTCCAGTATCTCGAAACGCGCTCTTAATAATTCGTGGTTGGAATGATTTCTGTCGGATTGAAGTGATATTTTGAAGGAATACCCGCTTTGCTGAATCGGGCTGGAACCACGCGTTTGTAAGCGTATTTTCCTTCCGAAAATATTGTTTTAAACTCAAAAATGGCTTTTGGTCTAAAGGTTGAGCAAAATGAGAGGTATGGGGTCGAAAGCTGATTGGGATAATTCGGTGATTTTCGCAAAAATCGAGGAATTCAAACGTAAGGTGGGATCCATGCCCGTCGAAGAAAAGCACGCGTTTTCCATTGGTCCCAACGCGATTTTTCGTGTTTTCATGGAACAGATGAAGCCATTCTAGGGCAATTAGATCAGACGACCAGCCGTTTGGAGAGACTTGGATTTTATAGTGCTGATTAAGCGCTGGATTGTCACGGAACCAGTCCTCCATATGCGTCCGACCTTGGAAGATCAAATATGGGACCATAACCCAACCATCCGCGGCAATACACTCAATTGAGGTGACAATTTGACCCCGATCGGTCGAAGAGAGCCTATCTGAGCTATATTGATAGCGCGTCACGACCTTTTGAGCTCGTCCTTGACCTAATTGGAACCCTGTCTCGTCGAAATTGTAGATATTTTTGGGACTAATACCTTCAATCCAATCTCCAACATGGTTAAACCAGGTTATAAGACGTGAAATATCCTCTGATTCTAGCCTATTTTTATCTATAGGCTTCTGTTTAATCCAAAAGAAGCCTTCTGGAAGACGTCGGACGAATCGGCTAGACCACATCTTGCTAACCGGAGGCTGGTTAGAACGTGCTAAAATTGAATTTGCGCAACGTTCAATCTCTTGGAGCGTACAAGGCGCCCATAGATCATCAAGCTGCTTAATATATCGGATTAAAGCAGCTTCTTGCATCATATTCAGCGCTCGTTGTGGTGATATTTTCGTCTTAACTTTTCCGCGTGCGTGGAACCGACGGAGTAGCGACCGATATGGAAGGCTGAACGACCGGGCTAATTCCGTTATATTAGGCTCATTTTGGTCGGATATGGTAGCTAGGGCTTGCTGGTAACGTATTTCGAGTTCAGATGGCATATTTAACGTATTTTGGTAGAGAAATGGGATTAAAAGGGTAAAAAATGACACTTTAGTGTGGTTTGACACTTTAGTGTGGCTGACCAAGCCTAGTGGTCAAAGCGTGTGACAATTACTACTAGTCTGAGCGGAAAACCAGAGGAAGGTGGTGAAAAAAGCACACATATCATTAACCAGATATAGCGCCATGCATCTTTATTTCAGAGCATACGACACGATACAGGAACTCGCAGGTGTGTATCAAAGAGCATATGACCTCGGTTTATTCAAGCCAACATGCGAGATTATGCCTCATTTGAGCCGAGATATATATTGACATTTTAATCTACGTTGACAAAAAAAGAAGTGCCAATTCAATTTCATTCCCTGGCCATTTTAAATTGTAGGTAGGAATTTCTTGCAATGATTATAAATGTATGTTGTACGTTAAAAGAGGAGGTACCAAATGGATAAAGCTATGTTTTAGGCTCGGTCTTAAACAGAAGCGAATATAGATTATTATTTGATCATCTTTTCCATAATCTTCCCATGTGGTCTAGTGGTTAGGATTGCCCGCTTTCACCGGGCCGGCCCGGGTTCAATTCCCGGCGTGGGAGCTTATTTCAAATTTTTTTATTTTTTTTGCCTATCCTTTTCAGCCTCCTCCCACAGGTGATGTTTCACCATGCTCATTTATTGCATCAAGCGATATTACTTCAATTGTAGTTGCGCAGTTTTTTTTCAGTTCCATCAATTCTTTATTTACAACCTGCTTGTGACATCAAATGGTCGGTGCCTCGTAATGTACAACCCGGCTGGTTGGGATAACTCACCCATGGTTCTGGTGACCCTGACTGTATGATTATGTAACCTTGGTCCGATATGGGGTAGTGGCTAACCTGTCGGCTTTTCACGCCGAAGCGCGGGGTTCGATTCCCCGTATCGGAGATTTTTGCCTGCTTTTGCATCTCGATCCGAGAAGAAGTTCTTTTTGCCCCGCCATTTGCTATGAATGTGTATATATTCGATCTCCAGGATTGGATTAGGTCACAGCAAGGTGTCGCACCTGCTCAGGTGGGATACTGCTACCTGGGCGGTCTGTTTATCCTTCCAAAACCTCAAGATCCACAAGGGAAATGAAACCCCAGTCTATCTTGGATTATCTGTCGGGTGATGACAGAAAATTGGAATAGGACTAATCTTGGAACGTGGTGAATGGCACCGGACACATGCGGTAGCAGCTTGGAACCTTAGGAAGAGATATCCACTTTCCACCATGCCACCAACCTTGGCTCGCCAGCGTCCCTAAGTTACCTCCCAATCAATGAATCAGCAGTTACCTAGGATCTTTTAAATATCTGATATATATTCCTAACATGCGTAACTCTATTGAAATCAATATGTCGGGCAAGATGTACTTTAATTTGACCACACTTGCTGGAAGTAATGGTGGTACTGAGATCCATAATCTCCCAGACAGAACTACAGTACTTGATTTCAAATCCTTACCTACCGTTGATCGGTGAATTGGTATATGGAATGTCTCACATTTCTTATCTAGTGGGTACCTTGAAATGTATTTTATTCTAGTCCTCTCATCATCTATATCCCCTGCGACAAGCGGAATGTGCAAGCTTAATTTTAAACATTTAATTATCACTTTCTTTAAAGCGACTTTTGCCATCAGACTAAGGCAGCATAAGAAGCACATGACCTGATCACCTTGCATTGCAGATCTATGTACCAGCATGGAAATCGTGCACATGTCTTCACCTGTGCAGCTTGTGATAAACTGATTTGACATATCCATACATTGTGAAGGGATGAAATAAGAATGGTATGTGATTCTGTTCATTCATCGAAAATTAAATAACTGACCAGCCTTATGAAAAAAAACTTTCCGGGTGCTGAAGCTTGCAACTTGGACGATTCCTTGCAGACCCCGATCCTCTAAGTCCCCTAGCTGAAGGCGTCCAAGGTTTTCTTGAACTACGTGTCTATATTATCCACTGAAAGTTGCACCATGAGGGAATGGTTACTGGACAATTGCCCATGCATCGAATCTTCGAATCTGCTCTTTTCGTTGTAGAGGTTGCTGAGCATGGCTTGGGCCGGGTATGCAACTCCGGCAGTCTTGAATAGAGGGGCCTGGTATACATAATCAGCCATTCAAGCTCGTGGATGCAGATTTGCAGGCTTCTGTACCTTATTCTGCGCGGCTCGGAGAGTATTAATAAGCACAGGAGTGAGTTGATTGTATGCATCCATCGTTCGATCACCACCCTCGCCATCAAATGGATCGGAGCTGTCCATGTTCTTTCATGCAGTTTCTGAAGACTTATGGGCTGTATACACAGCTTTGCAACTAGCAGAGCACCAGTAACTCCCCCATTGTAGTTTTCAATGGCCTTTTTAGTAGCCAGGGTTTTTTGGGTCAAGATATATTTGCCATTTTCTCTATTATTTGGATATATAGCTCGGATAATGTTAGTAAAATAAGCTTATTATTTTTCTTTGCGCTTGCCTAATGTACATTAAATATATTGAAATTATTCTCAGGCAAGAAGAGGGGAGGATTGATTAGCTATGGAGGCCTGTAAGCTTAATTCAGGCGTATGCTAAGGTTATTTAGGTAGAATTTGCTTAGTTTGTTGATTGATACTCCGCACTTACATGAGGCCGGCATGTTGCCTCTATACCTTTCACATTTTAGCACGAAACCAAAGGATGGGTTCAATATTGAATGTATCAGCGGCCAGCTGGGATTGCAATCGCCGATGCATTAGTTATTTAAATGAGGCTGCTGGGACTATATGAGAATAATATGCGGCATTCTAATTCAATGGTACCGGCGATAAGTTGAGTGCCCTCTGCTGAATAACTCGTAGATAAATTGAATGACCGGGATGTATGTAAAGAGAATCTAATTCCAGTACATTTTAAAATGATATAAAGACTATACTGTGACTGATAGAACGTTCAGCGCATCTTTTCTTTTACGACCTTTAGTAATGGCTAGTCTCAAACGTGAATAACTGGCATCGTTGGATGAGCTTTAGACGCGTGCCTTATATACGTCATCGGAGACCGTGGGGACTAAATCTCTTTTCTCGGCGCTAATAAACTAAGACACCGAACAATTTCTGGTTAGTACGGAATAAGCTATTTCAATACTGCGCTAACCTTTCAAAATAGATGTCCGCTGCGAAAATTCTCAATGGACAGCTTCAAGATGAAGCTTAACAGCCACTAATCAAAAGCTTAACTCAAAATGACCAGGAGGGCTCTGAGCAACCATCTCGCACCGGAGAGATATCTAGACTTTACGCTGCGCTCTATAAGTGCTACAACAAGACGGTTGGAGAGTTACGCCGTATTAAAGGGAGAATTATATGCTTCGCTCGGCAAACATTCAGCTATGCCATCCACTTCAAGCCTCGGACCGTCGCATCGCTGATCACGCAGCTATGTTGGCAATTTCCGAGCAGGGTTTTGAGAATTTTCGAAATGGCATCAAAGCCGTGATTGAGGCTTAGGAGATCAATTACCTAAAGACAAAGCCCTAGTCCTACATTGAGATTAAAAAAATGAGTTTATTAGACTTTATATGGATAATTCTCATTAGAACAAGATGGACAGCTAAACACCCGGTCCCTTCGTAAGTGATCTTGATCACGCTTTTTAGATTATGCTTATAAATTGATAAAACTAAGTTTTCAGTATAATATATCTATCTTCGATGGTACAGTCGGTAGTGGAATCAGCTTCCTCCCTATAGCCTACTTTTCTTTTCTTAGGTTCCACTGCCAATACCTTAGCGCATTGGCCGGAGCCGCACCAAGTTGAGTGCCGCTAAAAGATATGCCGTGTATGCTACTTTAATATTCTTCCGTAATTTTACACTCGTTGCTTTAACCCTAGTTACAGCTCTAGATGCATTTTCCGGCCCAGGATTTCGCTAAAACAACTTGGATGCGGGCTGCTGAGTATCTGAAGAAGCGAAAAGCAACGAAAAATTCATTTGCTCCTTCCCTTAGAGTATCCAATTTTCGTATCCCCATGAGCGGGGGGTGGCTTTTACATGTTGGTTTGTACCTGAGTCAAATAAATTTATGTCCTTGGAAAGCTGTTCATGTACGAGTTGAATAATCTGCTTTGTGTTGTCTCGTTTGCCGTTATTCTTCGTAGCGTTGTTCTTACATAGCACTACTACTACCTGTACTTATTAGCCAAACGCAAAATTAGAGCGTACTGTTCAAGAATACAGGTAACAAAATTATTCTGCTAATTATTTCCGCCTTCTCGGAGCCATAACATTGTGTATTTTGAGTGCGTCTGTGGGCAGGCCGGATTTGCACACTAAGTTTTGCACAGATAAGCGCCCACTTGGCTGGGGTAACAGGACATGTGCGCAAGAGCTGTGCTTACAATCACTCTGCCAAATATTTAAAAGAAAATAAAAAAGGAGCGTGAAATTAATGAAATAGGCTTCCGTACAGGTATCAGAAATCAGTTTGCCAGGCTCCAAAGAAATCATCCAGAAAAGTCCTGATTAAGCTTTTGCAGATCCTTTACTCAGGAGGTGAGGACGCAGAAGTCATACACGAAAGGTAATTCCGGAATACCAAAATGTCAGCTCTAACCGATCAAGTCGCCAATTAGGCCATATTGCTTCGCTTCTGAATTTCCTCCCATTTACGCTCAAGCTTATCACCGATTGCGCGAGTGGCCTCCTCCACCAACTCTGTCTCGGACAGCCCGCTCCGCTTGGACACCTTAGAATGAGAATCCTCTCTGGACATCTCCACATGCAAGTACACGGCCGCCTTCTTGCCCGTGAACATGGCGTGGGGAACATTGGTTGCGCCGCCGCCGCCGTTGCAATCACCCACCGCCCAGACACCAGCCTGGCTTGTGCGCATGCTACTGGCAACAACGTCGATTTTGTGATCTGTCATTTTCAGTTTCATCTGGGAAGGCAGCTGCGAGTGCTGAACGGTAGGCACATCGATAATGAACGCATCGCGCTCAACGGGGTCACCGGTGCTGAAGTGTAGCAGGAACTTATCAAACTGAAGATCATTTTCCTCATCGCGGTGATCCCCACCGTCCTGGGTGCGTTCAAGGCGGGTGATAGTTCGGTTGTCAATTTTGACATTCCATGCTTCCAGCTGCTCTTTCCAGCCATCATTTTTCGCCGTGGCCGCGGCTTCTCCCTCAGCGGTTTGGGTGCCATTGACGAAAGCAATGATGTCGGAGTATTGAGTGTTGACCTCTAATAAATCATCGAGAACACCGGCAACGTCAGTGAGGATCCCGAAGGGTTGATCACGATGCTCTAGTTATGGTTAGTGAAAGATATAGATACTGGTGAAGATGATATTACCATAGCCATCACACCAAGGGCACCAGAAAACCCCCTTTCCCCAAGCTTCCTTAATACCGGGGGTGTCAGGAAGCACATCGGTCAGACCGGTACCCAGGACAAGCTTGCGTGAGGTAAAGGAACTACCGGTGTTATCGCTCACATTGAAGGCTGACACCGTACCGTCTCCAATCGACTGGACCGACAGCACAGTAGAGTTCCTGAAATGGGCTGTAGGATAGCGACTGATTTGTTCACGGGCCGCGCCGCGGAACTCAGGGAGTGGAGTACCTGGAACCGTTTAGAATATGGAATGAGACTTTATCCAAGGTTAACTTACCATCATTGCCGATGACATCATGCATCTCCCTGGTAGGGTCATTGCGGTAATGCTGGCTATCAATCAGCAGCGCAGTTCTGCGCACGCGCGATACACCACTCAAGGCACTGAGGCCTGCAGGACCACCTCCCACAATAATAACATCGTAGTCCGTTTGGGGAATAGACTCGGTCAGGGCAAAGGTGCCCAGTGAGAGGAATGCGGATATGAAGGTTGCGATCTTCACCATCATTGTGCCTTTTCTTGTTGTTGGAAAGGAATCTAAACAAGATACGTTATGGGAACCTCGGCCTTTATACCGTGGAGGTTCATTACAGTACTTTCATAATGCTCCAGTGAACTCACTAATGTTGCAGATCAGCATTCCAACACTAGCCATAACTCGCAGAGAAGATGGTGATAGTCACAATAATACGACATGCCTCGCATCTCAGTGGAGTGGCTTGCGAAGATCTCTCGGGCGGGAGATTACGGACGCTACGGGTCGAGCATTCCGAAGGCTATAGAGGTTGGATAGCACATAGAGACGTGGGGATAAGCTTCCAATCAAAGGAGGAGAGCCATCAAGGGATAGTAGTTAATATTGGGACCATGAGCGGGGAACAACAAAAATTCCCATTGGGTCTTCCCCTGAATCTCAACAGATCTGATCTACCAGTAGGGATAATAGATCATGGGCTGTTTATTTTGGCTTAAATGGCAGTGGGTTCTTGGCACATCGACGTTGCCGTGGTAATTTCTCACGTTACTCCTTCTGTCGTTACCAACCTCCACCTTCGAACCAAACACCCGTTCGAGTAGGGGTTTCGAAAGGGATATGATTATTCATGGATATTCATGGATATTTGAGCATTGCTGGATGCACCGCCCTTTATTCTATATACACCATCCCCCTTGCTGTATTAGAGATAGCTCTGTATCTGTAATATAATCCAATTTTGAAGGTATTGATAATTCTGCCGGCAGCCTTCGCAACTTTGAAGTATCTCGGTCATGATTCTTTCATATATTCCTCCCTTTTTAGAAAAAGAAAAGAAGAGAAAAGGGTTTGTCAATTCCGCGAACTAATAACAAGTATCAGGTTAATTGATCCCCTCTTGTAGGCTGATTTTTGCTGGTGTGAATCGAACCAAATTCAGTATCACGGTGGGCGGTAGAAAAAGCTAGGATAATATCAGATAACATAGCTGCAAGCTGGAACCGGTTGATATTACATCCTATCATCCAGTCATTGCACACTAGCTTCCCAGCACCCGCATAATGCTTGCATAATCGATCAGCCCATGCATAAGCCTTTCCTCATTGGAAATTGCTGAAGGATGGCTAACAGAAATCCTACCTATTTGATAGGATGAATCCGGTAGATCGGTATCGTAAACTCACGCAGGAGCAAGTACCTTTCGATCCGCCCAGCCACGACAGATTCGTTCCCACTGAGCGGATTGTAACCTCTGTGCGGGGCTGGAGGATATCACAGAGAAGGAATACTCGCTTTCTGTCTTTGAACCATCGATCGACCAAGAAACTGTACACCTCTCCACTATGCAGCGAAGTACAACAATCGATTTACTGCAGGCCCTCCTAAGATATAAAACTTTAATTTCACGCTCAAATCAAGCTGCACTTCTGGTCGTCGCGGCATTTGGGTGGAACTATGATAGATCTATTCTATTTCTGGCCAGGGAAGATATTGATGCAACTGCCCGGAATGTGCAAGTGGCATGCTCTACCTCGCTGGGTAAAATCAGAAGATCTAGGATGCCGAATATAGTAAATACTCTATCTTAAAATAAGTAGTAGTTTTGGTTCTTGCATTCGCAGTATAGTACATGTAAAACCATAGAGAAAACCCCTATGCCAGAGCCCGAGGGTGGTAGAAACAGACATAAACCGCATACCATAGAGAAGAAATGCAAGAATACTACTTCACTTAGATACTTCATGACAAGGCCCTCTAACCGACTCAAGCTAATCATGAGTTCAAGCACCGGAAGCTGCTGGTATAAAAGTTTCCTGGAAACGTATGTAGCCCCTCTTCCAAGGCGGTGGATGGACCCGTGCAGTTTTTCTCGCTGTCACTGAGATAAGTTAGTTTGCCAGTTGAGCACAAGAGGATCACTCATTATGGGTAGAATATACTTGTAAAAGAAGCACTCCATAGTTGCACCAGTGACATTTCCTTTGATGTAAATCTCGCTCAAAGCATTTTTCCTTTTAGGAATTAGTAGGGGTATCCGGAGGACCTGCATGAAGGGAGACGTACTGCTCCCAGTTTTCAATACATTTCTGCGACTCGGGAGTCTCTGCCCAAGTTTCCACGTCTGATGTCAATATCATCTGATTCTGTTAGTTTTTTTCCTCTTATTGGGGAAACATACCATACCCATCCGATTGGCTCTGCGAACGCTGGCGCAATACAGAGACCGAGAGACGTAAGGGCCAGGGAGAGCTTCATTATGGCTGTTAAGTAGTCTAAACACTTTACTGAGACTTTTGATTTGAAAGAAGACTTAAGGACGGACGATGAGTAGCGTTCTTTATATAACGAAAATTAGCTAGCTAGGGGCCAGGAATTCTGAGAGCATAAGGGATTTTTGCCGGGGCAATGCAGGGAGCATACCGAGAGAAGGCGTTGCTATTTGTGTTATTGTTTATAATTCCTGTGTAACATATTACTACTAGGAGAATAATATGTGTCTAGGCATACGGGTAGCTTCTCTTCTATTTATCTTGAAAAGTGGAAGACAAGTTTATTACACCACCAAGGGGGGAAGAGCGTGAAGGCAAAGAGCCTTCGGTAGGCTTGTCAAGAGACTTAGATGATGTTATTGACGATATCCTCGTCTGTCCAGTCTATTATTCTCGAGGTTCGACTGGCACCGCGGCGTGAACAGATGTTAATAAAAAACCATACTCTTTGCTGGAGACATGTAAATCTCCTAAAGAGAGATCTTAAAAGAGATGCTCAAAATAGAAATTACAGTAAAAAGAAATTTTAGGAGAAATAAAATTGATATACATGGGCACCTCGCCCAAGATCTGCGGTTAGATAGCGTACCAAGTTCGGTTGGCTTCGGAATACGCCCAGTACGCAATCGCAACCATGAAGGCAAGCGTGCACTGCTGCTGTGTTTCACTTGCCATTGTTGCAAAATCTATTTCGACCTAATTATGTAATGATACTGTGTCTCTTGCTCCCCAAATCCATAAATAATTGATATATGGAGATTCGTGTTTTGTATTAATCCCTGCTTTCCCATAGATAGTGGGGCCAACTTAAGCCAATTATCCTTTAATCAAGTCAATTGGGAATATCGAAATCAAGAAGAGGGTTTGTCCCGAAAGCAAATTTTGTTAAAAGCAACAGCCATGCCGCAATGGAATGAAAGCCTTTGACTGTCTTGAATGGACATGCACGCCTATATTGGGATATTCCACCACTAGCCAGCGACTAACAGCACTGCGCTCCCGAAGCCTCTAAAAAGTCTCTATATAGTGTATCCACTGACCAGAGCTCGAGGCGGCCTGTGCCATTAGTGGCTGGCTGATGGTGGAATATCCCTACCTACTCCGCTCTACTTGTATATCACCAGGTGGTCAAGTTTATAGTGTATCTATACCGAGCTGTTGAGCAATTACGGTGTGATCGCCACCCCCTGTCTTTGATATTAGAATCCTCGATGATTAATGATAATTGGACTAATTGCTCAATATCACATGCGGATTCTACGTTAAAGTCATTAAAGTCTGATTGTTGTTTACGCTACGAAGTATGTGCTGGCAGATTTTCGGTGTATAGCACGGGCCACTTCGTGTGACATCACGAATTTAGGTGATAAAATAACAAGAAGAGTCATATAGTGAATGGTCATAGAGCAACACTCTTCTTCAATGACAAAATAGGGCAGAGGACAACTATTTTTGCTGTTAATAGCTGGACTGCAAATTTATATAACAAACATCCACCGAGGCTTCCAATTGCGCCGGTTAGAAAGACCACTTGGTTTTGATACCAATTCTCGGGATTTGTGGAAATAGCCATCGCGAATGAGAGATAGTGAAAATGGAAGTGTCTGGCGTGAAGAGTAGGAGATAGGGGCTAAAAAAAACAATATGATTGTGCATGCACATCTACATGAAAGGGGCTCCCTCATGCGAGGGCTCACAGCAGTCTCGGGTTGCCACGTCCACGTATTTTCAATTGCGAGAAGCGCTGGTAGCAATGTCCAGAAGAATAGTAAACTATAGAACAGTGGGCCCTCGATCACATTCATTATATAATATATCCACCCGAATAAGAACTGGTAACTTTGTTTTTTTTCTTACTCATTGTCGTGCTATGCTGTTGAAAACGTCCGTGTCATTGACTTCCTAGCTTTGTCGAAAGTGTGTAAACAGGAAGTCATGGGATCTTGGCATAGGAGACATCCCATGACTCTCATCTCATGAAGACATACTGATACAATCACTTCCCATCTCAAGTTGAGGCCCGCAATGCCGGAAGCGCTGATTGGATGATCCGGTGTCAAGGAAGGTGATATCGGACCCACTTTGACCATTTAGGAACACAATCGGCTTAGAAATCTTGCATCGTGTTTGGAGGATGGACTGCAGGGGAAAGTAATGATAAAAGAACCTCACGTCATTGGATACCATTTGTCGAAGTAAAAGCGCACCCCGCCTTAGGTTATGATGCTATTCCCATCAAATCGGTCTATAAAGGGGCCTCAAGACCTCCCCCCGGATCGCTATTAACACAACAATTTTTCAGAAAAATCCGGCAGAAGTAATCTCCTATCTTCGCACTCAAAATGTCTGAAGCCCTTGATCTATCCCTGTTGAAAGGAACTCCCCAACAGAGGGAAGAAATCTCCGCTGCGCTGCTTCATGGTCTCAAGACTCGAGGCGGGGTCAAGCTGAAGAACCATGGTCTTCCCGACCAGGTTGTCAATGATTTATTTGACTGGGTGAGCTCTTGTAATCTAATTTGTTGAAAAGCGATTTTAGCGAAGCTGACATGTTGCAGACTCGCAAGTTCTTCGCCCTTCCCTACGAAGACAAAATGATCGCAAAACATCCTCCCAAGGCAAACCCCAACCGCGGATACTGCTACGTTGGACAGGAGTCAATTTCGACTATTAGTGGCTATGAGAAAGGCCTTCCTCAGGGCAAGTTTATTCGTGACATTAAGGTATCTTTGTATCCAGCATAACCCTGACCGCCATATACTGACAACCATGCAGGAAACAGTCGATTTTGGATCGCCCGGTGACGAACTCGTAGACAACATCTGGGTTCCCGAAGAAAAGCTCCCAGGCTTCCGCAAATTCATGGAAGAGTTCTACGAAACATGCTTCAAGCTCGAGCTCGAGATCCTTGCTGCTCTTGCCAAGGCTCTCGGTGTCGACGAAAAGCAAATGGTGTCCCTACACAACAAAGCTGAAAACGAATTCCGTATTCTCCACTACCCAGAGGTTCCTGCATCCGAACTGGCTGATGGTACCGCAACCCGTATTGCAGAGCACACCGACTTCGGCAGCATCACTATGCTATTCCAGGACTCAGTTGGCGGGTTGCAGGTTGAAGATCAACAAAATCCGGGTGTATTCCGTGGAATTGAATCAGCAGACAAGACTGAGATTATTTTGAACATCGGAGACTCGATGCAGAGACTCACGAACGACACTTTCCGTGCTGCGTGCCATCGTGTCACATACCCGCCTTCCGTCAAGACTGGCGTGGAAGCTGTTATCCCTGAGCGGTATTCGATTGCATACTTTGCGAAGCCGAACCGTACGGCATCGTTGTTCCCTTTCAAGGAGTTCATCACACCTTCAACGCCTTGCCGATACGATGATATGAATGCGTGGGATTACCAAAATCTTCGAATCTCCAGACTATTTAAATAAGCGCTGTATTTAGGTACACTGAAGTATGGGTCTATTATGAGAATTCAAGTATATATCAGAGTCAATTTCATAAAGATGATGCAAAGATTTGGCACGGAATTGGAGATATCCAATTCGATAGAAGCATTTACACCATATGCCTTATAAGAAATCATGTTGAAGGTTTTCCTTTTTTTCCAAAGCCTAGTGGCAGATATTTGAAAGGACTTGTCCTTTTGAAGGAGGTATTGACCTGGTTGACCAGATGTGGTGTATGCGGCCAGAGGTTTAATACCTAGTTGATCAATCTTCGAACGGAGATTTGTGGAAACGAGACAGCAGATTGAGGATGGAAAGCATGAGAGTGCTTATCTTCAGGGGCTTATGGCCTCATTCAAAGAGGGTAAAGCTGAAAAGTGCGACTTGGGACCTAAAATGCAATGGCCCTGCAACTCAATTCCTTGTTCAATCATGGTGTTTTCAAAGGTAGCAGTCTACAGAAAGAATATCAAATTTTCGTTTTCATACCTCTCAGTCGCCCTTGGAATATGTACTAGTATAGACTGTATAGGCATCAAAGATCGCATGTATAATGAAGATTTCCAGTGTTCAAAATTTCTTAATTCTTTTTCCGCGATTTCGTTATCGCTGTCACGCCGCGTCTCGAGTCACGTGAATGACAACGGGCCACATGACTATCTCCAGATCACTCGATCCTTGATCGCACAACATTCAGCATGTCCCACAGCCTCGATCTGGCATGCAGCCTCAATTGGTAATGGCAGCTGTCGTCAACGTGCTAAACCCAAAGTGGTAGTCAAGGGGCACGGCTGATCCACCAATCATAATCGATCGATCAATTTTCAAGGAGAAAACCGGTTTCCAAATCGGGGACCCCTCAAACACATGAGCCACGGTGGTTGATGTCTTATGCCAAACAACGATGGCAATAGACGCTGGATCAGCATGCCCGCGGGAATCCAGATGTGACTCGGAGCAAGACAGAATCCGGGATTTAGCGAGGTGCACATTTGTCTCATATCTAACCTCGCTGCCACGCGCTGATCATCATTTCCAACGGTTTTAGATACTATTGTACATTTGAGCAAGATCCACAATCAACCAGCAGCCCTCGTCTCTCGCCCGACTCTACACTCACTGCACTCACGCAACTCGGAGTCTATCGTTTTGGCTGCAATCGATCGTTTGTTTCTATCATTGACGGTGAACAACAACATCTCATCGCAGAAGCAACCGCCTCGGTGTCTTTGCGCAATGCAGATCATCATCTCCCAGAGGATGGTATATACCTGGGCGTTCGGACGCTAGATCTGGAATGGGGTGTATGCCCCCATGCCATACGTCTCTTCACAGGGCAGGACCCCTCACGAGTGACGGACACGGAAAATATAACTGCGAATCGAACTCGAAACATTATTCGCGACTTTACCATTGAGGATTTTTACAAGGCCAGACCCTACGTCCTTGAGTGGCCATACTTCCGTTTCTACGCCGAGGTTCCCTTATATAGCCCCTCTGGATATGTGCTTGGCTCATACTGCGTGGTGGACAACAAAACGCGCACACATTTTGGAGATGAGGAAGTTGCTGCTCTTCAGGAGATCGCAGATGCCATCTCCCAGCATCTTGAGAATGTTCGGGTCGCCCATTACCACAACCGGGCCGACAACCTGGTGAAAGGATTGACTAATTTTGTCAAAGGCCATGCGCAGTCTGACCTCCCGGATCATCTCAACCAACTTGCCGCTCCGGAAACGCTAAGTTTCCATAACCTGAACTTTACAAGTAACGCTATCATTTCAAACTGTCCAGACACATCGACTCAAAGTAAATTTTCCAACAATAAGTCAACAATTGATCGATCGTCTTTGGCGACCAAAGAGGAGGGGACATTTTCCCTTTTCTCAGAAACCAAAGATTCAGAAATGACACGGCCTTCGACCCAGCCCTCATCACTTGATCCGGCCTCACCGCAGTCCGCAGAATTGTTAGGCCCTAACGAATATTTTGGCTCTGAGGACGCGCTGGATGATGTACCCATTGCAGAACGTGTGGCTGCAATATTTTCTCGCGCCAGTGACCTGCTTAGAGGCTCGATGGATCTGGACGGCGTAGCATTTCTCGATGCACGTCAAGGGGATTCAAAATTGTTAGTATCCTCCCTTGAGTTTGACTTTTTCTTTTTCTTTTTTTATTTCTAACACTGTACAGCGACCTTGGCGATGATTTTGTGAATGTGGATTCTCCCGATTTGGGGGACTCTGAGCCTATAAACAGTCCACAACCTTGGCTACTTGACCACTCCGCCAAGAAGATTCTCGATACCAAAGAGAGATTGTGTCGCCCTTTGGACTGCTTGACCACTGACTCTCCCAGTTCAAGGTCTGATCTCACCCTTTCGGAAGATTTTCTGCGTACATTGATACAAAATTTCCCGAGCGGTCACATTTTTGACCTCGACAAGGAATCCTGCGAGTCGGATACCATTCAGCACAAGGTCTCTCGCCACCTTGCACAGCAGCTACCAGAAGCAAAGTCAATCCTCTTCATCCCGTTGTGGGATTGGAACAAATCGCATTGGCTAGCAGGGACGCTAGTCTGGACACAGGAAACCAGCCGCCCTCTTGGTATGGAGGAACTCCATTATTTCAAAGTTTTCGGTGACTCTATCATTTCTGAAGTGTCTCGGGTGCATTGGACAGCGACCGAGAGATCAAAATTTGATTTTGTATCATCCATCAACCATGAACTTCGCTCTCCATTGCATGGTATACTTGGAAGTACCGAGCTGCTACAAACAATGCACCTGGAGCCCTCCCAGCATGAGATGGTTAAGATGATAGACACTTCGGGCCTGGCCTTGCTAGACACTATAGATCACCTGTGAGTTTGCCGTTCTCATAACCTTAAAAATACTCAGCTGATATGATCGCAGATTGGAGTACTGCGGGATCAACGATTTGGCGACAGGAAAAAAATCGGTCGATAGCAGGGTTGAAAACAACACAGCCATTCAATGTTCCGAATTCGATCTGGCCGCATTAGTCGAAGAAGTGGCCACTTTATTTTGCAATGAAAAACAATCGCGGATTGTCAACAGCCTCAAGGATAGGTCAATCGCAGCTGGATCCGGAACCGATGCGGAGAACCAACTCAATAGCAGCAACAATGAAGTTTCCGTGGTCATAAGGGTTGAGCAGTCAGATACCTGGACTGTGCGATCAGCCTCCGGTGCATGGAGAGGCATTATGCTTAATCTTATCGGTAACGCAATGAAATGGACTAAGGAAGGCTTAATAGAGGTCACATTGTCTGGGAAGACATTGGAAACAGACAAAGATTGTTCTCTTGCCCACCTGTGTGTCAAGGATACTGGCAGTGGAATCTCACGGGAATACCTGAAGAACCAGCTATTTTCTCCATTCGCGAAAGAAGACTCCCTTTCGCCAGGAGTTGGCCTTGGCCTCAGCATCGTGCGGAAGTTTGTTAAGTCCCTAGACGGTGAAATTGACGTCAGAAGCGAGCAGGGTGCAGGCACCCAAGTTGACATCTACATACCCGTGAAACACAACATAACACCCCATTCTGCTGGAGCAGCAAATGTTTCATCACTTCCAAAACCGGCAACTCCACCAACCCCGGTCCGGGCATGCCTTATTGGATTACACGGCCAACCGAACTTGAATGAGATACCGACTGGGATTCTAACCGTCGATGCGAAACGGAAACTATCCATTCAGAATGCCCTTTTCGATGTGTATATGACAAAATTAGGGTGGGACCTATCATCGGCGAAATCCCCCCTTCAGGAGCATGGTGATGTTGCGATTATCGAAGGAGCAGATCTCTATCAAATGTTGTCTGAGGGACTCTTGTCGGCTTCGGAAAGCGATAGTGTCTCGAAGTTTTTCATCGTTCTGGATGGAAAGACATCGCCTGCAATAGATGACCTACCTGCAAATTTCATCCGCGTGTCGCAGCCGTATGTCGAACCCCCTCCCCTGTTGGGCCCACATCAACTCACACATACTACCACAGATTTGGACCCAAGTCTCTCCATGATGCCGCGGAAAGATTTATGAAGATCTTCAATATGCGACTTCCACCAGCCGACGTGAATCTTGCTCTGATGTCCCCACCCATAATACAACAAAGCTTTGGATGTGAACTCGCGACCACTAATCTTGCCGATCAGCCCATTATTGTTCCCCTGATCGAGGATCAATCGAAATCCCTAAAGGTCCTCATTGTGGACGACAATCCCATCAATCTCAAGGTGCGTGGATACGCAACACATCTTCACTACATCATTCTTTGCTGCTTTGACCTAACCTTTGTGGTATCAGATCATGTCCACATTCATCCGAAAAATTGGATGCCGCTACGAGACAGCTCTCAATGGATTAATAGCTCTCGAAAAGTATGAGAGTGCCGACCAACCATACGATTTTGTTTTGATGGGTAAGCTTCAGATATCAATTTGGGCCTCTTTCACTACGGTCGGTTTACTAATACGAGCAGACATATCGATGCCTGTGATGGATGGATTGGAGGCAACCACAAGGATACGCGAACACGAAAGGGAGAAAGGCCTCCAGTCATCGTGGATCATCGCGATTACGGCTGTTGCTTCAAATGATATACAAGAAGCTGCGCTCAAAGCTGGGGTCAATGATTACCTCATCAAACCGCTATCTCTTGATAAACTCCGCGAACTAATACACGCATGATTTCACTTACGTGTCGAACCTACGGATTCACCCACATTTCGATTCAACTCCGAGACAAGATGGAAAATTTAACCATCTCGATATGAGATTCTAATGGCTAAACCTAGGCACCTTAATTTCAAGTTGAAAGCCTTCTGTAGGGTAAGTTTTCGGAATGGCAGAATGGGAAACAAGAGAGGTGATATGGATGAGTACCATCTCCAAGGGATTGCACGACACTTGCATTATAAGACATTAATATAGGCATGAATCAACCTCGATCATTGAACTTGTATACTTCACTTCGGCATTGTTATGTTTATGTTGGTTTCGTTTTTTCCGACTACAAGTGTAAAAAAAAGACTGGGCATGGAAATTTTCTGTAAACTACTATATAAGAAACTCTATGGCACAATATACTCGGAACAACCAGTAGTTAAACTGAAGGCTATTGAATGCGTTGCTTTAGAGTCAATGATTGCATAGATAGGATTAAAGCATTAATTAATTAATTTTCGTCCTAGGTACACCACACCACACCACACGCACCAAGAATTCAAGAATTTGCCTCTTCCGCCCAGTCCAAATTAACTAGAGCCCTCATGGTGTTGTTGAAACTTCACATGAAAAGCAGAGAAATCCATTGTTGATTCATGCACCTGCCACTTTAACGTTCACCGAGTGGCTAGGCGTTCCATCCCTCAGGACGAAGAGCATGTAGTAGCCAGGCTGAGCAACTCCTGGCTCGGCAGGAATTTTGAAAGTGTACTTATTTGTCTCAGTCTGCGTCAATTGAACCCCGATACGTCGCTGGTCTGTATTCACGGTGTGCGTGTTAGAGCCATATCGGATGATAGAAGCCTGAGTGTCGACCGGACCATCGGTGGTGATCTCAACAGTGCCACCAGGCTTTGATTGGTCTCCTGTCACTGTCTTGATCACGGGACGGTCTTTGAGTGAGCCATCAGAGTTGAGCAGGTAAGCGGGCGTATAAATTTCGCCATCGAAATGATTGGCCTCGCAATCTCCGCATAGACCACCACCGCCAGTGAAGACAGTACCATCTTTAAGCAACAGTGCGATGCTGTGGTACACGCGGACAATTGAGTTTCTCTGCTGCTCGACCCAACGACCACCGCTCTCATTTTGAGAATCAGGAATGAATAGCTCTGGAGTCATCTGCGCCTGGCTCTCGTTGAATGGAAGTCCAACAACTTGGCCACCATGAACAAACACTGAGCCATCAGGAAGGACGACAGAGGTGTGGAAGGTCCGTATGTATTTCATACCACCGCCGGCGTTCTCTCGAACGGAGGCGCTTTGGTCGTCGGTGTTAATAGTGATGATGTTGGCATTGTTGGTAGCCTGAGCATCCTCATAGAACGGGGAACCACCACAAGTGAGGATTTGACCCTGGTCAAACATGATCGCATTTCCACACATAGCATCCGCATCACCAATCCGATCTCCGGCGGGGGTAGTGGAGCCATTCCCTGCAGTGCCATACCAGTTCATTTGTTTACTGGGGCCAGCCTGGAAAACGGAGCCATTGGTCCAAGCAAATAGCCAGCCATGATCGTCTTGTCTGTATATACGTCGATCATTGGTGAGCATTGCCGAAACCGATGCATTTGGAAGCATAGTCCAAGCGTCGGTGTCTCGATCCCACACTTCTCCGTTCTTACCACCAGCACTTCCCGAGAATGATCCTCCAATAACGAAAATACGTCCATCAGACAAGGTGGAAGATGCGTGGTATCCACGAGGTATATTCATATATCCTCCCTCAAACCAGTTACGAACTGTTGTGTTGTAGATGCTGGTCTGGACGGCATCGGCTCCTCCAGTCACGACAAACTTTGCGTCTTCGTCCATCGAAATACCCGGACAGAACATGTCATGGTTGGTATTGGTTATGGCGCGGCGTGTCACTGACTGGTTCCCACCGCTCCAGGTTGCAGTTTGTGTCTTGCTTCCTTTGCCACCGGTGAAGATATTGTAGCCCCAGGAGGACCAGGCGACCACCTCACCAGAGTTTGCGTCAACAGCACCGGAAACGGGAACAAGAGGAAAATCGATCGTAGGCCCCCAGGCCCCCAGAGAAGGGTTAGGCGGAATGAAGTCGCCTTCATATACCTTAATGTCTGCAATAGCGATTCCGTTGGGAGCAGGGCCTGACAGTCGAACATACTGGGCCTTTTGCGGTTGGAATGCAGAGATCTTTCGGCTTTGATCCGGCCACCAAGTTCCGTAAGCAACCAAGTTCCAGGTGGTATTATCAACACTTAAGAAGACTTTGTGTTGCTCAATGAACGAAGCCGCCTGATCCTGTCTGGGGACCATAGTCAAGCCACTCACGGCGTAATCCTGTGCTCCCAGATCGATAGTGATATTTTGAGATGTTTCACTGCTGGTGCTCTCCCAGTAGGTGTTGTTGTTGCCATCAAAGGCTTGGTCGCAGTTGTAGCCATCCGTCGCGGAAGTGCAGACAGCGGTCCAGTCATCACGCTTGATCTCACGGCCTTGAGGCAAAGCTTGCGAGAGTGTCGGAACCTGGACGCCATCGATTTCCACGGTATCCGGTGTCGTTCCCTCCCTGTAAAGATGTTCGAGCTCTGATATCTCCCGGGCCCTAACGGTTCCCAGGAGAAACAAAGTCGCACGCCAATCAAGCTTCATCTCAGGATGCGGGTGTCTTGGATGCGGCGACAACACACGGAAGGGGGCACAAGGAGGTGAGGTCCAAGAGATGAAGACTTGGAATGTCTGGAGGAATATCTTCTGTTTTTAAACCCGTCATCTTCTGAAATATTCCAACCTCGACAACACTTCTATGGCAATCCAACAAGCATTTTCGGGCAATAAGACGAGCATAACAAATCATGCAAGGACTGTGACTGGAGCCCCTTCCCCATAGTACCGTTCGGAATGTCGACATGCAAACCAGCCATTCAGTGCAAATCTAGGATACAGAATGCACCTATGGAATATCATATCCATGTTTATCATCTGATTGGGTGAACATGTAAGGCAGGGCACACAGAAAGAATGGTATTCTGTTGCTCCCAATGCAGAGTAGCCACCTCAGGCATCCAAATGGTTCGGCGAAAAACGGATCGCAATGCGTGCGGAACTTTCTAGCCCGCGATAGATGACCTGACCACACTTGAGCCATTACTCCCTTGGACAGAGGTCGTTCTCAACAGAGAAGCAAAAGCAACAGTCCACCCAGAATGAGAAGGTGCATGGGTGAGCAGCATTTAACAATATCGGATGGTGGATTGGTCAAGACGAGGAATGTGCTCCACCACAATTAGTTTAAGGTGTGCGGCCCGAAGCGAATTCCGGTGCAACATCAATCCGGAAGTGGAGGAATGCAGTGGGTCAACAGAATTCAAGGTTAACCTTGCCGGGCCCGAAGTTCGATTCCATGCACACCTGAAATACTACATTATAGGCCAAGCTTTTGGAAATAGTCCCCGGGCATACTTTGCAAACGCACGTCCTAGTTTAGCATACCTACTAGATTAGATCGGTCTTCCAAGATATTGTTTGATCGCAGTGGCTGCCGGGACTGTTAGACATTGCTCTCGCTTCGGAGATTGACTTTCCCGACACACATTCTCCCCATCACACTTTCCGTTCGTCCCCTGAGGCGTTGGACTGTCTATTTACTTTCCATATGGCCAAAGCGTCTGTCAAAGACATGCGGATGCTTTGTTTTCGTGAAGATAGGTGCTGAAGAATGCTACGTCGCCGAGGAAGGCTACCTAGCCATGGGAGCATTCGATTGTCTTTCCATTTATTAGCCTCTGCTTATCCTTCCCAAAATAAATGCACTTGCAAGTGAATTGTGGCTCCGTTTCGGCCGAATGTCCGCATCCGTAGGCCAAATCGCACATGCAATCAATCGCTTTAGTATTTTCCAAGCTCGGCGTTAGTCATGAAGCCACCAAAGTCTTCTAGTAGTGAATTCGTCATGATAGCTCCAGATAGACCAGGTTCAAGCCCTAAAATAAAGTAACGACATACTTTAGCCATTGTAGCCCCAAGTCTTTGCCAGAGCATGAAAGTCTCAATGATGCAATGATTCCATGGCGTAGCATTAAACTTGCGCACTCTCGAGGTCAGAAAGCCTCTAGACTCCGCATTCACCCTAAAGACCATTGCATAGAAGCTAAGCCGTAATGACACCGCTTGACCAATGCCAGTGTCACAATAGTGCAGGTTTATTGCTCAATTCTTTGTTCATAATTGGTCGTCGGTCGGATGCGACACAGTTTTGGAGCCGCGCAGCGATAGTATTGTATGTCGACAGGGGATCAATCTATTCCGCAAGCAGAACTAATGTAAAGAAACAGCTGAAGGTGTAAGAGATGTGCCCCACTGTTGCATTTTTCCAACCAACGTAACGATATACAATAATCTTACGTTACTTGTCTTATTACGCTATACAAAGGTAGAGTTAATGCTGGTTGCAGAGATTACTCCACAGAGCAGTCAGCTATAAAAGGGCACATGAAGGCGATGTCAATGGACTTTTCTTTTCAAGTATCTCATCGTACTTGCTACAGAGACCATAACTTATCAGGAAATCATCACGAGAGAACAAAATGGATTCGTGCAAATTCGATCTCGACAATATCCAGGGAGATATCTGGTCAGTTCTTCACGGAGACTGCCAAAAAAAAAAAACCGTACTGACTTTAAGTTAGGCCTGGCTTATCGAAAAGATATCAGGAATTCTTCTTCTTCAGCATCGATAATCCTACCGCTTTCAAGCCTGTGCTGAAGACCTTGGCAAATGAAGTTATCACTTCTTCCAAGGGAGCGTTGAAAAATCGTGCTGCTATCTACAAGGTTAAAGCACCGAAATCTAGTGGGCTGGACATAGCCGGCTTGGTAAACCTGGCGGGTGATATTCTTAAAGACATACACGATCTCCTTCCGGAACATGGCCATGATATCCCGAGGGCTAAAGGATCGAACGATGCCAGCATAGTCGGTGTTAACATGTCTTTCACCGTCAGGGGCATGCAAAAGGTGATTTGAAATATTTGCCCCTGTAGCTTGCATATTCATTCTAATCACTTCAATCTCCTTAGTTGGACAAAAGAAAGTTCAGCAAAGACCCGTCGAACGATGAGAGGTACGATGACCCATTTCTCAAGGGTATGTTCGCGGACATGGTGGGCGAAGGTCGTGATGAAGCCAATGACTGGAATCCCGAGTTCCAAGATGGCTCCGTTGATGGAGTAGTGCTGGTTTGTGGTACCAAGTGTGAGGTGCAGGCCAAAACAAAAGAGCTAGCCGAAAAGTATTTCTGCCCGAGCCACGGTGTTCGTCATCTCTTGACATTGAATGGCAACGAAAGACCCGGGAAGCAAAGGGGACACGAGCAGTAAGTCTGCAAAGGCTGGAGCTGGGGTGATCTTGGCTAACATATTTCAGCTTCGGGTTTTTGGATGGCGTTTCCCAGCCACTCATCATTGGCCTTGACGATGAAACTGCGAAGAAACCTGGAGCTATCAAGCAACTCACTCGTCCGGGGTAAATTGAAACAAGGGACTGCTCGTTATGAACCAAATTGCTGACATATCCCAGAATCATTCTATTCGGACACGATGGTGAGATGGGGGACGAGGAAAAGTCGAGGCATCCGGCTTGGGCCAAGGATGGCAGTCTTCTGGTGGTTCGCAAGATCAAACAGTTCGTGCCGGAGTGGGACAGGTATACTATCGCTTTTGCCTTTCATTCAATTCAATCATCTAATCTATATTGCTTTAGTTTCGTGGTAAAGAAGGCTGAAGAACTGGGCTTTACCCCAGGCCAATTCGGGGCTCGACTTGTGGGACGCTGGCAGAGCGGTAAGCTGCAAGCTGAAGCAATGCTCCTGCACATAAAAAGTACTAAAGAATTATAGGAGCACCCGTTCAGAGGAATCCTATTCATGACAAGCCGGAGGAGGCGACATGGAACGAATTTGACTATCTTCGGAATGATCATACCAACTGCCCGTTTGCATCTCATATGCGCAAGGCCAAACCCCGAATTGATAATGACAACCGGGATAACAACGATATCATGCGCCGTAGTATTCCTTATGGACCAGAGCTTCGTGATGACGAGAGAGATGAAGGGAAGACCAAATTGGACCGTGGTCTCATGTTTCTGTGCTATCAAACCAGCCTTCAGAATGGCTTCCAGTTCATCAGAAACCGTAAGCCACCCCTCACGTCCAGACGATGAACTAAACTACCTACTGACCCTAAATGTCTCAGGCTGGATCAATGCCGATAATTTCCCGCTCAACAAGAGGAAATTTACTGGCGGTAAAAATCCGGGCCAGGATCCCGTTGTTGGCCAATTGGTCAAGCATCCCATCGAAGACGATGACAAAGTCCTGCAGATGGCCCTCGTCGATGGTCACGAACAGCACAAACAGATCAGCTTCACGCCGTTCATTGAGTCCAATGGCGGTGACTATTTCTTTACCCCATCTCTGAAACTTTTGCGTGAGCTTGCCGTGGCTCCAGCTTAGCAAATTATCTGATGACATTCATGGATAGTAGATGATGGTTTGTTGCCCAAGCATTGGGTAGCATTGGAGCAGAGCAAAAGTTATGAATCTCAGGTGGTATGGAAGACCGCTTTGGTGGTCACTAATAGGTATGATAGTAATAATTAGGTATTGAATTTTACTCCACGAACCAGACTGGCGCCCGAGTGAATGTTATTCCTTCCTTCGATGTATCAGACACTCAAGTCAAAACCCATAATTTGTCACAGTACTTATCCTGAATTTGATTTAAATTCCATTCAAGTCTAATGCGTCTGTCAAAGTTCACGTATCGAAAGCAAGACACAGAGAAGGCGACATAGCAGGTTGGTAGCAATGTACGAGGTGAAGCGAGTGGGAACCTTTAATACAATCTTATGGCATATGAGAGCAAGAAAAACAATAACGGAGAAACCCCATCTATCTAATGCGTTGAGAGACTCTGCCCAGGCGGCTCTACTGTGCGTAAATATACACATCTGAATGTGTATAGGCTGGAACTTTCTCGAGGCGTGGATTTCCAAAGACTATCGTATCGTCAAGATATATCCATCTAGCATCATCTGGACGTGGATATTTACGATATTTACAATAATTACAGCAGAACAAAAAATAATGAATTAATTGAGGCCATCTAGCTAGCAAACTAGTCAACTTAGACTTACTAATAATCGGGACAAAAGCAAACGTAATATCGGAGGATACGACAGAAGCACGAAAAGTTCGATAAAACATCAAGGACAGTCAGGCCAGAGCATACTCGGACTAAAGGCCTGAAATTCCAGGCAGAAACGTCTTTGGAAGGCAATGAATGACGCCACTTAGCTCAATGCCTTGATGCCTGATGTTACCAGCGACCTCCCTGGATAGGCGCCAATTAGGTGGCATTTACTTGTCTTAGTGAGGTACATACCACCTGAGCATCAACAACTTTGCAAACGTGTATTTTTGAGTCCCAAGATAATTAATAGAGGATATATGCAACCAAGAGTTTGGAATTACGAGCAGAATTGTGCTATTCTATTTGACTAGGCGGTTATCAATGTTATATTCATCACAGCTACCAAAACGCTTACAGTGGCATAGTTTGAGGTGTTGTGAATTAGAGAATCTTTTATGCAACTACCGTAAAAGTGATGGTTGACACCGTTTGGGTACATCGTCGGACAAATCAATCTAGCCAAGACCAGGACCGTGACTCCAATCGCCATAATCTCTTAAACTGGTCATAAACCACATCCTTTCCTGAAGTAATCTGAATGGTCTTTCAGCAACCAGTGAAAGTAATGATTATATCCACCGCAGTGGCTCCGCTCCCACCACAAGTGCATACACTAGTGCTATTCAGTCTTGGTGCTTCGGTATGGGTCTTCGTTTGCCACTGGCATGACGAAGATTCTTCTTGCTGAGTTCGCTCTGAGTTGTACTTAGACAAAGTAGCATATATTTGGGCCAGTCTTTCCTTTTCTTATCACTGTGAATTTAGCCTATCTAGATATTGGATTAGTGTTTCCGAATTGAATGGTCGTGTTTCTCTCATGTTCTATTGAGGCGAATAGACTGTGGCAGGATTGAAGATGAAATAGCATAGGGCCTATCTTTTGGAAGTCCAATGACCTACCTCGCAAGCTAAATTATTGCAACCATATTATCTTTCTTGTTGGTCCTATATCGAGCCTAAAGATGTAGATTTATATACAGTAGCGGGACTTGGCATTGTCTCACGGTATTAAATTTACCCATCCTGCAGCAACCCTCGGGGCCAAAGTTCCTGACGAACAAGATCATTGCTTACCAAGGTTAAATTGATGCAAACTGAAATAGATTGCCCTGCATGTTTGAAGATAGCCTATATTGTTCATATACGAGTCTTGTTTTTCTTTTTGATTCAAACGTCGAAGATAATGTGTGTTGGTCCAAGTATGCCTACAAACTGAAGGGCTCTAGTCTCGGAAATGCGGATATCGCGAAAAGCGATTGTGGATTCTTGGCTTCGTAGATGATCTGCTGTCTCAATATTCAGATAAAGATAGACAGTCATTCAAACGGAACCCTCCGACTGTGAGGGTCCGCAGTAGATTGTAGCCGGAGCTGGTGTGCAGATCCTTCCAATGAAGCGAGATGGAAGTGGGTTCTGCAGTGCATCAAGAGTAACTCAATCCGGAATCCGCAAGGTACCGGATAATATACATGCATAATATCTCAACTTTGACTGGGCATTTCTCAATGATTGTCCTCATCCTTTCCCTTTTAGGGGTGAAGAGGAAGAGGATTAACCCGGAATGCTTGGATGACCCACAGGATCTCCCTATCACAATCCACCTTTAACTCCAAAGGCATAGTATATGTCGGATCCACCCAGCCAATGTACTAGCCAAGAGATGAGATAAATATCTAGCCCCGAAGATATTTATGAAATACGACGTCGGCGAAATGGGGCTGATGGATACTGGGGTCCACATTGATCTTTTGGTCAAGAAGACCCCCTAATAGATCCCTGATCATTTGTACTGTGCATTATCGAGGTTTTCCTTTTTTTCCCCTCGGATACAACTTTGCTTCCCGTTTCCTTTTTCTTTGCCTATTCCGAAACTAGCAATCCGTTAATGTAGACCCGGAAAAATAGCCGATTAGGCTTTCGGCAGCAGCGAAAAGCCCGGGCCGCAAATACAGGCACCCGTGGACGGGTACCCGATATTCGGATCAGTCTGCATAGCCCGTTGATCTTCGCTGTTGGTGGACCAGCTTACTCGCTATTGCGGTACCACAAACCCGTCCTCAACCGCCATGGCTAGGCCGCGTCACATATGTGCTCACTACATGGTTAGTGTCTGTATGAAGTCTTGGCGCATGAAGCCTGAATCCTTCTCTGAACCATCATAATCCAGACATGAGGACCATGGAGGAGCAGGGCCACACCGTCAAGTCCAATCGCATCATCGCGATTGGCAAGCTGGTACAGAAAAGCTCAATCACATACACGAATCTAACCATGATTGGAATGCTTTTCTCCGATTGCCAACTTCATTCTCGAGTGTAACTCTCCGATGGCGACTTCGTCTTGGCATCCTTCATAGTGCCACAGCACATCATAGGTAACGATTTTCGCCGACGGCTATTCCTTTTCCCTATACCATATCGGAGGATGGGATATGTATCTCACCTAATCCAGATTGTCGAGAGATATAAAAGGGCAGTGAACCCAACACCCATTGAGCTCAGCAGCACTCGAGCATCTCACAATCCTCCTTCTTGATAAGTTTTAACATAATGCAATTGACTCGCCTCCTCACCTTGGCTGCCATTAGCGGCCCTCTCATGGTTTCTGCTCATCCAGGACACCACGAGGAAGATGCCACACCTGAGCTGAAGGCATACAAGTCCAATGTCCGTCGCTCCGCGGAGGGTTGTGCTTTGCACTGGGAGAACACTGGAGCTCAACAGCGCAACATTGCTCGCCGCCAGGCAACCCTTGACTTGCACCGCCGCCGCTTGAGTAAGAAGGATACCAGCAAGGTGCTCAACACTTCTCACTACGAGGAAAAGATTAACCTCAACTCTCCCTTCGAAGACATGTGGTCCGCTACCAGCATTCCGCTTAACCCTGAAGGTGAGAGTGGTCCTTACTGGGTAGTTGGAGAGCGTCTCCGCTCAAACATCCTGGAGAGCCAACCTGGTATTCCCGTAATCCTTGAGGAGCAGGTGAGAAATCCCTTCAACACTAGCCTCGTTGTTTTTATTTATTGACGTTTCGTGAAATAGTATATCGATGTTGAGACCTGCGAGCCTATCACCGACATGTTCGCCGAGATCTGGGGCTGCAATGCCACCGGCGTCTACTCTGGTCTTGTCGCTTCAGGCAATGGCAACCCTTCGGACCTCTCCAACCACGACACCACTTTCCTGCGTGGAGTTCAGCGCACTGACCAAGATGGTGTCGTTACCTTCCTGACCCTCTTCCCTGGTCACTACGACGGCCGCACCAGCCACCACCACGTCGTCGCTCACGTCAACACCACCTTGCTGCCCAACAACACCCTTGCCGGGGGCTACACACCCCACATTGGACAGTTCTTCTACGACCAGGACCTCATTGAGAAGGTCGAGTCTACCTACCCCTACAACACCAACAAGATTCCCCAGACCCATAACAATGTCGATCGTGTCTTTCAGCAGGAGACCGATGGATCCACCACCTCCGACCCTGTCCTGAACTACGCCTATCTCGGTGACAAGATTGAAGATGGTATCTTTGCTTGGGTCCAGGTCGCCATTAATACCTCCGCCCACCACTACCCTTACTACACCAATGTTCTCACTTCCACTGGTGGTGTCAATGTCACTGGTACTGAGTGCGGTGACTACACCGAGATCGATGGTGGTAAGTGTTAAATTACTTGCCTAGATAAACACTGAACGTGTTGGAGAACGTAACAAATGTGCCCAATGTGACCATGACTATATTTCACGTCCCCGGGTCCTTGAGGCTTTGATTTGATGAAAATATTATCCTGTCATTCCTGCGCTTACATAGAGCCTGGAAGCTTGGAAGTTAGATATAGAGATTTTTAGAAAGCAATGAATCCATTAGATTTGTCATTATTCCTATGGATATCGAAATAGTATCAAAGTCAGTTTCAATACCGCGGGGAGCAAAGGCGCGAGGGAAGGGTATTCTACGCAGATAGCTCACGACACTCAAATGGCAAGCACGTTCTCAGGCATAAAACATTCCTCGAATCTCTTGATGTAGTCATTCTTACAATAATCATGCATTAGCACGCTATGAGTATTTTCGGGTTCCAGATAGTGTATGGAAAGGATCTCCTTCCGAACCTTAAACCTGACCAGTTTTTGATCTCGAAGAGCAAGCTTCTGCAGTAGCGGCCTCTGGCTTGTCAAGTCCCTCATTTATTCCTTTGGGCTTTAGAACAAAGCGCATGGTATAATCCAGGTCGTCTGTAAGCCAAAAATTTGGATGAAGACAGATATCCTCGTTAGGTCCAAATGTCAGTATGCGCTTCTTGGGGGTCAAAAAAACGGAGAAGCTCCATGCATCGGATATTTCACGCTTGATGATTGACTTCGGGGCCATTGGCCCTTGCTTGACTGCCAGTCGTTTGCTTATTGCTGTAAGATTGTCGAGAATAGAGCCAAAAACAATGACTCGGGGCTTTGCTGTGGATTTAAGAATCGAGGGGGCTTTTGCCTCTGCTCGGGCTTTCCAGCTCTGAGGAGGCTCGATTATTCGCCTTGGGCTTGGCCTTCGTCATGTATTTGGGTTGTTGAGTAGCCTTAGGTATGATTCTCTGACCAGAAGGCTGGACGGTTGACTGATCAGGGGGCATTGCCGGAAGTATTTCTCTCAAAGAGATAAGCATCTTGAAGGCTTGAATACCATCCAGCAGAGGAAGTTCTTGTCAGAGATGAATGGAAAGAATGGTGGTCAAGTAAGAGAAGTTGAAGCCGAGGACGTCAAGTCGTTGCGATGAAAATGAATGAGGGTAAGAGGATTCAGATGTTTTGATCAGATCCACAGGTTTGTGGATGGAAACCTCCGATGCAAGTCTTTGGATCTTCTGTTCAGCGATCTTCTCACTCTCTTTGCGCTCTTCCATCTTCTTCCCCCGCTCACTCGCTTTCTTCCAAACCCTCCCATTGACCTTTCCACTCAGTTTTTTCCTCTCCAACTCTACAATCTACATTCCTGTTGTCTTTGTATTAAACACCGCCCAGATGCAGCAGGAGAACCAAGCTCTCTCTGGAAAAACGACTATTTGTCGGAAAAAGCTTCAAGATATTGACCACCATGGTGATCAAGAGATGAAAACACACCTGATGAGTCCCACACTGGCTCGTCTAAATGAATTGGGTCTTGATATGAAGCCTCACATCCAGCCTGGAAATGCCTTTGCTCTGATGAAACCCATTGGTGCCAATGGAAGCAACCTCTCTCGGAGGAGCAGTGGTAAGTCCATATATCCGCACTTATTGACTTTTTTCACCCCTCCCCATATTCTAAAGCTCAAGGCCATGGTTCATTCCATTAAATTGACTGACTAATTTGTTATTCTCAGGTGGTCAAGAAGCCACAAGCCTCGACAGGGGTGTTAACCGTCCTCCAATGCTTCGCAAAATGTCAAGCCTCGACTATGATGAAAACCTTGCACTTCCAATGCCTAAGCCTCGCCACCTCAAAACAGATTCGGGCAACAGTTCAAATCCATTTCAAGATCATAGTGAGAGGCTCAATACATTGAACAAACGTTTCGCCACTGATCCAGTAGGATCACCGGTGCATGCGATACCTGAGCCTGTCAGTCTTCAGGATAATCGCGAGGGCAAGAAGCAGTCACGGTTCCAGATGATCAAGTCAAAGTTGAGCTTCAAAGACTTGCGAAAGGAACTAGTAAAGGATGACATGGTTGCTGGTCTCGTTACACCACCTCATCGTGCCGATGCTGATAGTGCTCTTCCCACCTTGACATCGAGCAGCCAGGACTCCAGCAAGAAGACCAAGATACATTCGGTTAAGAAGGATCCCCTTCCTGCAATTTTACAACCTTCCAAACCGAAAACCTTGAATCACTCCACGAAAAAGCTTCCTCTTCCTTCCTCGGGATCCTTCTCCAAGTTATCGGGGTCTACACCTACAATCACCAGAGAGAGAAGTTGCCGAAGCAGTGCCGCAAGCAGTGCGATGGGGGCTCAAGTCCCATCTTCTACGAGCTCGTTTACTATCAAAGAGGAAACAAGCCCAGTAAATTCCACCCCGACTCCGATGGTCCCTGAAAGACGTCGGCCAAGTATTACCATCCCTCAACCTGCTGGTGTCACCCCAATCAGCAAGCCCTTGTCGCCCATCACTTTGTCCATGCCGAAGTGTCCCGTCACGAAGGACTCAGCAGCGAATCTCAGCGACTTGACCGAGGGAGAAGGCAATGTGAAGTATCTTCCAAAGACCTGGGTCGATGGCTCATACCGTCAAATCTCCGACAGCAAAAATCAGACGCTTTCACCAACCGCCTATGCCAAGGGGGAGACATCTGTTGCTTCTCTCTCCAACTATCTTCCGTCATTCAAGGAACGATTAGAGAAGTTGGATCTCTCTCCACAGGAGACTTCCTGTGGTCATGGCCAGAGTCGCAGTACCGCCAATCAAATAGATGACATTCTGGGCATGATAAAATCCATTCAGCGCAGAGTAGATGGTGGAATCGCCAATATGAACAAGAAGCTCGAAGAGCTGTGCGCCTGGATTGGCGATCAGCTCCAAAATCAAATTACAAGCCACGGGGACTTGAGCCGTGCAAACTCCGATCTATTCTCGAAGCAATGTCAGATCTCCCGGGAAATGATGAAGTTCCAACTCGATATGCGTTTGGAGATTGGTACTATGGAGCGACGGTTAAGCACATTCGAGAATAATGTGGTCGACGAACTGCAGAACGAAGTCCGATCTCTCGCCAGGTCATACCAGGAACTAAATCACAAGACGGAAATGATGATCGAAAAGCACTCATTCAGTGATAACAAAAGCTTTATCGAACTACAGGTGCAGAAGAACCTGGAGATCGAAAGAGAAATCGCATACCTGAAGTCTCACCAGGATACCTCAATCTCACAAGACATTGCTCCTTTTGAACCCCCGAAGTTGACACCCCAGCGAAGCTTTTCTAGTAACGATAGTAGCGAGCCCTTGATCAAACCAGCCATGCTTGTGCCTCTACCATCACCCCAAGAAGTCCGCTCTACACCCAGACATGCTTTGATCACCACCGATCATATCCTGATCACGCCCAAACGCATCCAGTCCGCCCCTGAAGAAGTTCAATCCACTCCCAAGGATGCTTCTATCACCCCTCTCCGCCCTCGAGTTGGTTCAATGGTCGAGAGCAAGACCAGTAGCCTGCTCCCCCGCAGCGTGTCTCTCACCGGAAAGGGTATCATCAAGGGAATCAAAGACATTGCTTCCAGCACGCCACCCGACACAAAAGAAAACAGAGAAAAGACCCATCCAGACAAAGCCAAGAGCCACGACGAGTCGAAGAAATGGAACTTGTTTGGCATGCGCACCCGCCGTCGCGAGGACAGTACCTCCAGTAGCGGAAGCAATAAGTTCTATTGGTCTCCACGCCCTCGCCGTTCAAAGGATATTTCAAGCATTGATGAAGCGGCCACAATCAGCTCGCGCTCTTCTACTCCTCCCGTTCCCCCTATTCCTCGCAACCCCCGCACCCGCGCAAATTCTCGGTCCATCGAGCGCATTCCCACTCCGTTCCCTTCTAGCATGGTAGAACCTCTCTATTCCGTCCACCCTGCGTTTCGAGGAGAGCATCATGGACCCAATGGGGCATCGGCTAGTTCTTATGAAACTGCTCCGGAGTCCTTTAGCACTATGGATGTGGATGTTACGGAACAGAAGATTCTGGATGGCTCTGTTTCTGCATTTGCTGAATCTGCTAGTCTTGGAATTGATGATGAGAACAACAAGGTTCCTCTGCTTAGGATTTTGACTCCCAAATTGAAGGCGCGTGAGAATGTTATTGAGGATGCGTCGCCGACCACCATTATTCGTCGATGCAGTGAGAATGCTCGGAAAGATATCTCGCCAACTGATGAGACCTTGCAGGAGTGGGATCAAGTCTCTGTGATTGATACCAAGTTGAATTGATGGCGCTTGAACACCCAATTTGTTCTAGTCCCCACGAGGTCGGCTTGTCACCTCGTATTCTGTTGTTGACGGATGGAAGAAAACAGAATTGTGGAGGTTTGTGGTTGTTGAGAATATCTTCAGGATGAAGCTATCGTGGATGTGTGCAAGTCGAGGGAAGTTGAGAGATATTGATAGCAAGCGAGATGTAGGGATTCACAGTTGATGTCCAATCAAGCGTTCGGATTTTCAATATTGATACTATTTATTGTGAAACACCGAGCCAGGGAATGATAGCCACAGAAATATGAATCGCTTTTAAAATTTACATCCTCAAAATAAGAACATCATAACTGGCCCTCTATATAAACATTCAAAGTAAATCCGTTGACCGTCTATTTGCTAGAGAGCAGCATCTTCTCAATATCAATGGCTGCATCGCGGACCTGGGGACAATAGTGCTGACGCAACAACTCGCCCTCCCAGACTGATCCGGCAAACACATTCGTACCCTCAATATCAGTGGAGTATGCGTTAAACACGCCATCACCCTTGCGCTCATCAGTGTGCCACAGGGGCGAGATGCGGCGCCCGTGGTGTCTAGAGACCTGTTGCATAAGCGAGAGTGTGGCGAGAGCAGACTTCTCAGGGAGTTGAAGCGAGGACGTCATGAGACGCTTAGAGAAGCTGGCAAGTCGGACTGGTGGCGGGTTGCCATGTGCCCGGGAAAGAAGAATTGACTGGAGGCAGCGAAGAAGCAAGACCATTGGAGTCTGGAAATTGACCTTGTTCTTCGAGCGGATTCTGGAGGACTCTTCGGGGGAGTTCGGGTCTGGGAGACGCAGGGAGGTATTGGGGTTGAATTCGACTTCAGGGTTGGTAGATAGGGCGTAAAGGGAGCGGTAGAGGTGCTTAATGAAGTAGCTGAGGTCCAGATGCAAAGTTGTTGCAGCCTTGGCAGTATCCTGGCCATCAAGAAGGGCAAAGGCAGTGACTGTGCACAAAAGGGTCTCGCGACGGGAATCACGGCTAGCGGCTTCAGAGATAGCACCTTCTTTGGATCCATCCTCTTCTTCGTCCTCCCCTTCGTCCTCTCCTTGATCCTCACGTTCAGCGTGTCCGATAAGATCCTTCAGGGCCTCCAACAGATCTCCGAAGAAATCCTGGTTAATGAGGCGAGCGTACTTGGCCAGACCCTCAAGGACGGGACCCATCAGGTGGGGAATCCGTTGCTTCAAAATGCGGAAGTAGTTACCGAACACGAGCTTCAAAGTCTCAGCTTGGTTCTTGTCCCGCTCTTCATGCGAGACGAGTGCATCTGCTTGTTTCATGTCCTTCTCAACCACCTTGCGCTCTTTCATGACCTTGCGTTCTTTCTTCGTACGGAATTCGCGCTTCTGCTTTTGCTTCTTGCCCCGTACTGGTTCTTCTGGTTCTTCGCGGTCGACACGCTCTGTTGATGCCTTGAACGTAAACTCACCCAGTAGACGTAGGTGGAGGAATGTATCCAGAACACTTTCGTGGATGCGGAAGTCCCGAGCTTTCATCATCTTGGAGAGTAAACGGACAGTCTCAAGAGAAACGATACCGTCGATATCTTTAGCAAAGACATCCTCCACGGTTTCACGGCATTTAGCCATATCCGGGTCCACCAGTCTCCGTGCGAGTCGGTTAATGATGATCTTGATCAATTCGGTCCGGAAGTTGAAATGGGGCACAGCCTGGAGAAGACTGCAAGCACAATTGATGGCCATAGTTTTCAGACTGGCATCCTTCTCGCTGGTGTGGCCTCGACCAGGCTTGGCCAGCTGAGCCAATTTGTTGACGTAGTTCTTGTATCCAGAGACAAGGCTCTGCTCGAAATCCCGGAGCTTGCGTACATCCTTCGACACCTTCGCAGTCTTATCTTCTTCACTAAGAGGACGGATGCGGTATCCAGGAATGACGTCTTTGTAGAGCGCAGCCTGGGCCGCCAGTGCCAGCTTCTTCACCGTGAGAGGGGAGTCCGGATTGTCTGCCATCTCAGCCATAGTTTTGAACAAAGCAATATTCTCTTCAGGGTCCTCATTGATCTGGGAAGCCATCCGAGCAAGGTCTTCCTTCGCTTGCATGATCTGCACCTTTATGGGAATCTTGGGTTTTTCCTCTTCCTCCTCCTCTTCCTCCTCCTCGCCGGATCCATCCTCCATCTCGTCATCGTCGGTGCCCAAAAAGCTGTCGCTGTCTTCCACTTGCTCTTCTACGTCATCTTTGGCCTGGACGAATCCCTCGGAGGTTTTGATGGGCAATCGTGTGCGCTCGGAGTCTTTTTTGTTCGTTTTGCGCGGGCGTCGCTCGTAATCCTGCTCAACATCCCACTCGCCGTCGTTGGTGTACAGTTCAGAGTCGCCTCCATCGGCAGGAGGACTCAATCTCCGCCTTTTTGACGATTGACCGCGTGCCATTTTGTGATTTTGAGGTGTAGTAAATTTGCGGGAATCGAAGAGCGCAAAAGCTTTGCGGCGAAGAGAAGGCGGTGCGGACTAAAAATTTCTGCCGCATTTTTTCCAAGTTCTCCACCGGGAGATTTTATCAAAACTTATCTCCATCAACCATCGTCGCCCATCATGCGGTCTCTTACTGAGGAGGAAACTAAAACTCTTTTCACCAAGATCGCCAATTACACTGGATCTTCTCTATCACAGCTCGTTGCTCCCACTTCCGGAGATGGCCCCAATGGAGAGGGAGAGCGTATGGTCTTCCGCATACAGAAAGACCGAGTCTTCTATATGCCTTTAAAACTTGCCAATCTGGCTGTCTCTATCCCTCGCGCTAGCTTGTTGAGTGTTGGAACAATGATTGGCAAATGTATGTTTACCCTCCATTCCACCATGTCGTATACGGCGCCTCGAACCTTCGTAACTGATTTCTTCATTCTTCTAGTCACCAAGACTGGCAAGTTCCGCCTTGCTCTGACCAGTCTCGATGTCATCGCCCCCCACGCCAGATACCGTCTTTGGATTAAGCCTAACGGCGAGAGTACGTGTCATACAAATCCACTGATGGTCGAGGTGCTTGTGCTTATGCTTGTTTTCTCAGTGCCCTTCCTTTACGGTTCCAACGTCGTTCGCGCCCACATTGCTCGCTGGAGCGAGGATGCACCGGAGCATTCTGGTTGTATAGTATATTCTATGGACGGTATGTCACACAGCTTCTCGCTTGCTCCTGAACCATGCTAACTTTTCGTTTCGATAGATACTCCTCTGGTACGTTGAAACTACAATTACTAACAAAATGCATGACTAACAATTCTCTTTCCTCCTGCAAACAGGGCTTCGGAGGTATGTCTGACTGTTATCTGTCTTATCTAATGCTCTGCTAATCATCACAACAGTGACTGCTCGATCCACTGCTGAGATTCGCAAACTCGATCCTACTGCCATTGCTCTCTTCCGGCAAGCGGACGTCGGTAAGTTTATTATCCAGTCGCAATTTATCTTGTTATATGCTAATCTCTTTTTGCAGGAGAATATTTGAGAGAGGCATGTGGCCCCTGCACGGCAGACAGGATGGTCTACCTTTTATCTGAATTTTGGCTAACATTTAACAGGAGGATACCCTTTTCACCACCTAAAGGAGCACCGTTTAAACTGGAAACTGGAGTTTATGGAGTCATTAGATGTCAATACAAAAGTCTTATTGCACTTCGGTGTGGGTTTCCTTTGTATCAAATAGCACGGTGGTCAGACATGGGTCCGTTATAAAAGCTTTCTGAGGACTTACTTTGGTCTAAATACTTGGATACACAACATATGGCAGTTAGAGCTCCTCTTCGTTTAAATTGACCTGATCAAGAGGAAACAATCTTGCGACTGAGAATGACCCATAGGCCATAGAAATGGGTAAAGGAGAGAACACCTCAGAAGATATGGAGGGCTCTGGATATGTTGCACTGATGTAGCGAACTAATTTTGACAGGAGTATATGCATTATCGTAGATATTGTCGCATGCAAAAAGCAAACAATTTTCATATTCATGTATAAACGAAGATCATTTATCTCTAGATAAGATAAGCAGTGCTGCCTCAGGTATCAGCTGAGTAATCCCCGCCGCGGGGACATCAAGAAGCTGTTTGAGCAGCGCGGGGACTTGGACCAAAAAAAAACGACAAGTACGCGACAACGATATATCCCTCTGACTTGGGTTTCTAATTCTTATCTCCGATTACCTCCAATTCTTCCGGTCCTCCTACCCCGTCCGACTCCGCCCATCTCGTTTTGCAACCTCAATATCACAATGCACCGCGGAATAAACACCCCTTCTGGTCCGCCCTTGACCGAGGGCCAGAGGGAAACTTTGAAGCAGTTCTTGGATATTGCTGCCACGAGAACAAGCACTGCTGTGGAGGTATGTCTCTCCAGGTTTGCTGTGGTTGGATCCAATTCAGGCCCGCTGCCACGAATGCGACCTGATGAGCTCTCCACTAACGTATAGCTTTAGTATTTGAGAAAGACCAAATTCGATTTAGGACGAGCTATTAACATGTGAGTTCTATTTAATATTTATACTCAACCTGTCAATGTGGTTTCCATCATGTGCGCGCTGGTCTCTAGCTTTTGTCTAAAGTCCAGGCTGTCTTAGCATGCAAGACAGGCCACACACACAAGCTTTTGCTCCCAACGCAAAGCTAGGAAAGCGATTCCTACTTTGTGTATCCCGTTTTTATCCAGGCTCTCCAATGTTGACAGGTCTTGGCGTGGTACTACAATTGTCGCATTGCGCATAGCTCCAAGACCAGCCGGCCAACGCTACCCGCATGAGAACAGCTTAAACAAAATCCAGCGCGCCACAATCAAGCTGACTATTCTATCTTATTCAGGTACTACATGGATGAGAACAAGGGCAACAAGGCCCTCACAGCTCCACTGACCAAAATTTTCGAGAGCTACCGAGGTAATTCCACCTTGATATCCGCATCGAGCCCAATAAAGCAAGTACTCACCTCGCATTAGACCCCGACGCTGACGAGGAGGACCAATTCGGCATCGATGGCGCAATGAAATACTTCCACGACCTTGAAGTTCAACTGGACGAAATCGTCGTGCTCGGTGTCGCGGAGCTATGCCAGTGCCCAGCCATGGGCGAGTTCACCAAGGAAGGATTCATGAACGGCTGGAAACTCGTTAGGTATGTCCCGTCTTTCCCACAATCTCCAACCAGTGCATTCGTTCAATCATCCAATCACCATACCATGTACGCCAGGATCATACTAATCAACGTCTCAGCTGCTCCACCCTTTCGCAAATGAGAAATCACATCCAGACCCTTCGCAAAGAAATCCCCGAAAATCCCACTGTCTTTCGCCGCGTTTACCGATACTCCTTCCTCCTCTCCCGACTACAAGGCCAACGCGGCGTACAATTCGAAATTGCCGCCGAGCAATGGCGCCTTTTCTTCGACGAAGCATCCGGCGGTATCAAGGGAAACACAGAGACTTCACCGTGGCTGGACTGGTGGCTTGAGTACATGGAGAAACGGGGCACAAAAGTCGTCAGCAAAGATCTGTGGGAGCAGCTTGAAGTGTTCTTGCGGAAAGCTCTTGAAGATGAGAACCTTGACTTCTGGGATGCCGATGCGGCGTGGCCTGGCCTTATTGATGAGTTTGTGGATTTTGTCAAGGAGAAGAGAGGGGGTACCCTTAAAGTTGGATCGGAGTGAGTATTGAGTAGGGTTAATTCCGTGTCCAATTGTTCATCGGGGGTCGGGAGGTACACCCGGGTTGAGGATTTTGGTATCAACGGTCGTGAGTTTTTTTGATGTTCAAAATGGTTCGGGCATCTCTTCATGGACCTGGGTTGAACATTGGGCATAGGGATGGTTCGTTTCTACGAGTTTTTATGACTACTTATGAGTGATGTAAGCCATATTCTTAATTTCAATGCCATCCTCATTTGAACTTCAATGTTACCATTGGGCATCATTACAGGGCTGATGGCCCAGGTAGAGTTTGTTTGCTAAGACATGGATCCAAGTGGGTCCGATCGATAGTCTGGGGTTTTATAGATGGAGATCGATCTGAAAATACATTATATCCTGAGATAAGCTGCAATACACGGGTATTCATCTTGAACTGGTCATGTCCACGTATAATTCTTAAGCTACGCCTGGGATCGCATCCAACTTTTGGAAGGTTGCCAATATTCATAAAGTATAAAGTAATTGGGAATTCCATTCGTCGTAAGATTGAAATAACATCAGTTGAGAAAGATATTTGACGCATACCGAGATGCAGAGATGTTTACACAGGGATCAAACACCAGGGACATAAAAAAAGACATCACACAAAAGAAAGGGGGAATAGATATCTGCAGAAATAATCGAACGGATGCTGTACTGTACGGATCCAGCTCATTTCGACGTGGGGAGGACTCGACTCCACATTAGAAGGTTGCTCTGCAGGGAGGTGACTCAGTCCTCTAAGGGTAGTCGCGCTTCTCGTAGTCACGGCGCTGATCACGCTGGTCGTAACGCTAGAACCATGTTAGCAGACACTCAACCAAGTACCGAGGAAACAGAAGAGCTCACCTTGCGCAGAGCTTCCAGACGCTTCTTCTTGGTGTGGGTGTTAACGTAGGTTCCAATGAAGAAACCCATGATGTTGAAGAAGGGCACCCAGGTGTGCTCGGGGAGGAACTTCTGGGCAAAGGCCAGAGCCAGCGGGGAAGTAACCCAGCTGACCTTCATGACGGGCATGAAGCCGGCACGAACCGTAGCGCGAACCTGGTGGAAGGTACGCGCACCAGCGATGACCGCCATCGAGCACAGGTAGACGGAGTTCTGGATGGGGGAGATCTATCGGGTAACGCGGGAAGGGTTAGCGCTTGTCTTCGCGCGCGACGTGGTTGCAATTGACCTGAAACAGCATCGGGAGGAAACGGATCAATTACGTACAATCAAGTTGCTCACCAAGATCTGAAGGATCTTGGCCTTAAGGCTGGTGCGGCCAGCGAAGATCTTCTGCAAGATTCCGATGAGGACGTGGCCGAGGGGCGCGGCGATGAACATGCCGTAGAGCGACATCTTGGGGATGCGCGAGGAGAAGTAGTGGCCATGCTTGCCGACATCGTGGGCCAGGTAGGAGGCGAGGAGTTCTTGGAGACCAGAGAGCACACCGGAGGTGAGCATCTTGGTGCGCAGCGGGTTGTGCTGGAGCTGCTTGAGGTAGGCCTGCGACAAACATTCCTCGGATCAGTATGGAATGTCGGGGAAGGGAGGTCATGAATGAATTACATGGTTTGAACCAATTAATTCATCGATAGGAAGAGCATCTTACCGCGAGGTAGCCGGCAGTTGTGTGTCCACCGGTCAATCGCTCGCCGACGCGGTGCACCAGGTCCTCTGGCTTGCCGCCAGTGACGGTGCGAACGGTCTCTTCTTGGAACTTGACAGACATGGTGGGCTATAAAACAGACCCTAATACGCCTAGGATAGAAACAGGAATTAATTAAGGAAACATGCAAGTAGAAAGTTGGGGGCGGGACGTGTTTGTTTATGAAATTGGGCGAGAGACAAGAGGGGGCTGGGCCGAGTCTAATCTCCCGAGGTTGTTTCTTCCCCTGACCCACGTACCGTTTGTATTAAACTTGTACCGGAAATAGTACAGTATAAAAGTCGCGAGAATAATCTAATGGAAGATCTGGGGAAATTAAGACAAGGCGGTCTAGAGAGGGGGGTTCCGTATATTTAAAGCGGTCGGTTTCTTGAGTCGGCAGATGTGGACGTGGATTGGGTTCCATGGGGGCTGGCGGCGATATCCACGACTCCATTGGCCGAGCTCATCGGAACTCTCCGAGCCCACTCCGGTTGCACCGCGCAACACATTATATGCTCTGTTCGATCAATTCTAACTCACCCTTAGGGCATTGCCTTTGATATTGCAAAATGCCAGATTCCATACAGAACATTGGGTCCCGTCTTTATTCCCCTGTTGTTCGTACTCCTACGTAGAATGGAACGTTGTATTGAATGGCTACATTGATTTTCTGATATGCTTCCATCCAGATGGGGATCAAGATGCGGGAGGCCGCAGTGCATAAAGTCCTTTACATAGTGAAAGCATTCACCAGTCCAATCTCCCTATCCTTGTTATTTACATGAGATTAGAGTGTTGGATCACTGTAGATTTCACAATTCTTGGGATTTCCTGGAAGAATATATCAGTCTGGTTGACCTTACACATAGACGAGTCTCGTTATGATGTTGAAGGTATAGGCGAAGATCGGAATGAGCAAAGCAATGATTATAAAAGCACGAGCTGCCATGGGGCATGCAGAGGACTATAAAGCTGTTAACATTACTTTCGTAGTCGTTGCAACGCGAATCTGTATCTCAGGGGAGATAGAAGCATTGCGGGAAGCTCATCGTGATAGACAGTGCCAGATATACCGATGCCAAGTTCGCGAGGCCGATGCTCTGCCGACTTGTCGAGGCCGGCAATTTCGTAGATGCCGTCTTTGCGAGGCCGGCGCCGGCGTGGTTCGTTTACTTCCTCTTGCTCTCGGTGCCGTCTTCTCTCACATCTTGAACGTTGTAGTGCAACCACAACCACCCATTGCTCCCATCATTGTTCAATCCATTATCAAGCCGTTTAAGATTCCTTTCTGCTGAATTGACAATTTGTCTCAAAATGCCCCTCGCTTTCGCTCCCCTCCAGACCATCCCTGAGGGTGAGGTTTTCGAGCTGAGGCTGGTTGACTCGCGGTCGGACGACGACCTCTTGCAGCCCCTTCCACCCTGGGATCCCATCAAGGCTTCAACCAACGCATTGGTAGGTCATTGAAAATCTCTGGCAGATACTTTCGAGGCAGATTTTATCAAGTCAAAGAAAATGAATACCTCATTTGACCCTGCACGTGATGCCCTGCGTGTCTAGCGACAGATGCGGTGTTGGGAAACAAGAAAGCAGGAGGCAAATGCTAATACTAGCGAATAGCAGGTCACTGATCCTGTTGGCGCAGCCGAAGTCCAAGTAAGCGCTTGAACGTAATACCATGCATATACCACGGCTAACAAGACACCAGCCGGTTCTCAGGCGCTCGGTATCCATCTTGTCAATTTCCACTGGACTTGGGCGCCCCGTCAAGAAGAGAGGTGAGTAGAGCAATCAGTCCCATATTGAAGAAATTCTGAGGCTAACAAAATGGTTCTAGTTCCCCGTTGTTGCTTCTCCTGAAACGTCAGGAGGGAGCAGTTGAGTGAGAGTGGAGGTGAGACGTTTGAAGTGTCGGATTCGGGAGGAATCTGGCCTTTATGTATTATTATTTGTATCCTTGGATAAGCCTTCGGCGACGGGGTTTATTGATGTGGTATCAATTCCAGTTGATCAAGGTCGTTTCGAGAGTGGTGGTGTCGCATGGATGTCGTTGGTGGCTGGAGGGTTCAGTGACAGCCCCAAGCACAGGATGAATGGGCCGCGAGGCAGCGAGGCTGCAGCATGACAAACACCGTCGATAAGGAGAAATCCCTCCCTTCTCGCTCCCAGAAATCTTCCGCCTTCTTCGCATCCTGCGTGACTTCGGTTCTTTCCCCTTGAACCCAGGCAATTGTCGGAGGGCAATACACAGACGCCCAAATCAGAACGCTCGTCGACCACAGCAAGAACATTCTGCCCGTACATAATGCGAACTATTGCAGCCGCGAGTTGGAATTATGGCTGGAGACGATATTCTGCGAGGAATAGAGCCTCTCACCAGAAAACCGAGCAATTTAGCAGGACCGTGACATGTTGAACCGGTAACGGTATCATAATCTGTCCTGCCTCCTCGGGTCCAACTAAAAGGAGCCATATGTGGCCTCCAGGAACCGACCCAAGAAACCGAAGCATCCCCGTTGACCGACCATTATGCGTTCGGGTGTCCTGATTAGGATAGCTGAGGTTGAGGCGAGAGCGCTGGTTATATTGGGAGTGATACGAGCCTGGCTTCAATCATATGCAGCTGTGCTAATTTCAAGTATCACCACGCTCGCGCATGTGCGAGGTTACTTGTGCTGGGGATTTGGAAGGGGCCTCTTGGGGGTGTTTGGCATGGTTCATACGGGAAAAAAAAAAAAAGGAAAAAAAAGGAAAAAAAAAAACACAAAAACGAAAAAAAACCCCCCAAGATAAGCCGGCGGAGAAAGAAAAGATTCTGGAGATTACAGAAGGATCTGATGATATTTCACGAGCACTCGCCGTCAATGAAGTCCATGATATGAGATCAACGTTCACGCTCATGTGGAGCTCGCCGAGTCAGGAAGTCCCAACCTTGTTCCGAGCCTCGGTTCCTTCCGTCGCGCGCGATTTCCGTGATATGCGCTTGGTTATCTTGTGGTCCGTCTATAACTCCGAGGAGCTGGTCTTTCTCTTATTCTTCTTTCCCCCCAAGTAACTTCAAAATGTCGACCCCTGAGCATTCTCCCGACAACTCAAAATCGCCAGACGCTCAGCATGTGGGGAAATCTAGCCCGACAACCGCGGGGAAATCGGCGACACGGAGACAATTGTTAGCAGCCTTGACGGCGACCGACATGACTATCCGGCGTTTAGATTTGTGAGTGATTTCCTCCGGAGCTATGTCACTAACAGCTATACAACCATAAGAAACGGCTGTGTTCTTGTTCCGGTCGGCTAACATCTTCTCCAGACTCCTTTCCTCCGCCAACGGACAAGAGAGAGTCCTCGCGACAACAAATTACGTCGCATCAATTCTACAACATCTCTGTGCTTCGGCCCCATGGATCGCACTACAAATGCGCATGGGAATTCTGGCACGGCTAAGAGGCCGAGTTCCCTCACAACCCTCCGCACCCCTCGCCTCCTCCGCGCCGGCGAGGTGGTCAGCCCTCTCCAACCTCGCCTCAGAAACCCGCTATAATCTCCGGCTTTTTGGTCTATTACCACTCTGGATCTGGGGCTCTGAAACAATCAAATCACCACCCTCGGACCCAATCATCCACGCCCTGACCCACCTGCAGGTCATCTCCAATGTGATCTACCAGCTTCTCGAAAACATAGCCTACCTCGCAGGAAAGGGCATCGTCTCCAAAAAATGGATTGACAAATACGGCGGCATTGATCTATGGTACATATGGAGTACGCGTGGCTGGTTCGGCCACATTTTCTTCCAATTCTTCGTCCTGTGGCGTCAACATGTGCTGCGCAAAAGACGCTTGGCCGAGAAACGCGCCGCTGCCGGCAATGTCGAGACCGAGGAAAACAAGGCCGAAGAAGCCGAGGCGCTCCGCTTGGAGATCAGATCCTGGAAGAAGAGCCTAGTCAACAACACTATCTGGGCCCCCTTGTGTATCCATTGGTGCTTTGAAAAAGGTGTTGGCATCCCCGAGAACCTGACGGGCCTGGTCAGTCTCATGGCCGGTGCTTGGGGGTTGTATGATTCGTGGGTCGCGACAGGCAAGGCCTGATTTGCCAATCCCCTCTTCGCATCTCTTCCTTTGTAACGTCTCTACACTTCATCTGCACATACAGTTCATTTCATCGATGCGATGCAGGACATACCCCATACTTTGAATATGAATCTTCCTTTTTCGGAACATAATTACCACTCCAGTGTATTTACCAGCTAGTCTGTATGAAACATCGCCATAACTAAGCTTTACAATGGCTCCCATACTGAGATTTCAATCATTCCCGATGTTCTCCGATGAGGTCCCTTCAATGGATATACGCCGATTGGATACCCAAGTCTTGGCAAGTGTTTCATCCAAAGAAAAGCAACACAGCAAACTCAAAGTGACAGACACGAACAGCAACCCTAGGAATTAAAGTCAGTCGCACAAAATCCTCACGCCGCACTCTCTTGTTGCGACAAGCGTCGTATGGCCGACTACCTACTGTATAACGACGTGGGAGATTACAGGATGTGGAGAAGTTAAACTACGAAAAAGGAAGTTTGAGGCGGTTGACGATAAAATGTTCGCTTGACATATGCGCTCAGGCGTAGATTTTTTTAGTCATATCTCTCAGATACCTGCCCTTTTAAGCCACTACCTAGCGAGGTTTTCAGGCTCGGCTGGGTCCATGGTGGAGTCCACTAATGATCCACCATGACTGTGGAGCGGATTAGGAAAGGCCACGCGGTTATCAGATCTTTTTTGTTTTGTCGTTCAAACGTTTGCTATTGTCAATATTCAAGTCCACTGCATATTCGGTTTGATGTGCCCAAAAGTACTATATGCCGACTCCAAGATGCAAAGGCTGTTTAATTGGGTTCCACACAGGACTTTTGGCGAGTCTCGAAGTTCCTATGTCGGTACGAGAAAAAAAGAGGCAGAATATAGAACGACTTCTACACTCACATTTGATACTTATTGATGGATGGTGCCTCCAACTTTGCCTATTTCCAACCAATGAAGATCTAAAATGTGATCATGGAGACGTAAGGCATGTTGAACACTTGAACCGAGTATAATTTCATTCAGGGCCGGCATAGTCAGTCAGCAGTAAGTACATCCGCCGTGTTAATTACTGGATTGCTCGGAAGTTCGCTAAAACAGAATGAATTCGGCAGGAGACATCAAAGCAGATTGGGTATACATCTTGAATGGTCATTGGCTGTAAGAAACGTAAGGAACGCAAAGGTATGAGTAGAAAAGATAACAAAACAACCATGACATGCAATGTAAGTCAAGAGAACAAGAGAGTGAATCATACAACAAGAATGAGAGAAAGATAATGGGGTATTCTCATGTGACTTGCATTGGGGAACTTGATCATCCCCGGCGGGATGATCGTCGCGTCGGCAAAGTGGCTGTGGCCGGTTTCTCTTTCTGTACTCGAGGGCTCTTTGCCGTAGACGCTTTGGCTCCTCGCTTCGAGGCAACGGGGGAAGAATTCTCTTTCTCGCTCGCCTGTGCAGGGTCTTCTTCCTTTTCTTGCGCCTCTAATTCCACTTCCTCCTCCTCCTCTTCTTCTTCTTCGTTTTCCTCCTCGTTTTGGTCAGGGTGGTCTTCACCCTCATCCATATCTTCGTCTTCACCCTCAGTATCTGCCGCATCATTGTTATCTTGCATTTCTTGATCATCTTCATCGCTGTCGTTGTCTGCATAGCTGATCTGAGGCTTAGTAGTTCCGCGACTGCTACGACGGCGAGCAGAAGCAGAGACACTTTTGGCACCGACTTCAGTGGACCACTCATCATCGCCCTTGCGCTTGCGTTGAGGGGTCTTATTGGACACACCCACTGATGAAGAAGACTTGCGAGATGGCCGTGTAGTCTTCTCCTTGCGTGCTTTCTTGGCCGAGGCGTTGTCATTAGCACCAAGAGAATCGGGCTTTCTCTTCTTAACGGTGCCTTGTCCGCCATGGGAGGTGTTCTTTGGCTTCATTGCCACCCGTACAACGCGGTCAAGCACGTCGTCCAACTCATCTGGAAGAAAGTTCTTGTCGGCAACATCTTGGGCTTCTTGGTGACTACCCATCATTGCGAACAAGGCACTAGGAACACCCATCTTACCGGGGTAAGTTTGTATGATGTTGGTGCCTCCGCTCCCACCACCAAATTTATGTTGTTGCGAGTAGATGTCAGCAAACTTTCTGATGGTTGCTTGAGCCAAGTCAGACAGAGTGTGAAGGCGAGTAGACATCTCGTCTGACTTGGTGATGCCATCACGGAATTGCTTGACGCGCTGACCAACATGGAAAATAAGTGACATGTTCTGCTCATTGGCAACAGCGGAGAGGTAGAAGACAATGTATTGGGAGAAGTCGCTGAGATCGCCGAGCTTTGTCGACTCATCTAGATCTTCAGATGGATAATCAGGGTGGTAGGCGAGCAACGATAAAAGGCGCGAAAAGATCAATTCCATCACCATGGTCTGCTCATTTCGTTTCCCAATATTTTGGGCTTGTTGGGCGAAATGTGCTGCGCGAGACCGCAGCCAAGTGAGCGTGCTCTCCTTCAAGCTCATGGTCGGCTCGAATGCAAGTAGACAAGGAACAATGTACCAGCGATATCCGAGGTGTGACCTTTGAACCAACTTTTTCTTGAGGTAGTTGATAAAATTGCTTCGCACTGATAAAAGTTGATCTTGGGCCATCAAAGCAATCGAATTAAAATCCGCAGGAGCTAGCAAATGGTCACACAAAGTACTTGACGCACACAGTTTGACCAGTGATTTGGCAGCAAGAAGACGCAACCTCGACTTTTGATTTGCAGGAGTATCTTTATCCTTGGAAATCTCACCCTCCCCGGCCACAAGTTTGTTCAACGTATCATAAACGGGACCGGCATGCGCACGGAAATCATCATCATTGTCCGAGCCATCCTTCGCACGAAGGCGATTGACAATGATTTTGAGCGCCCACTCTTTTGCGAGTGTCTCCTCATCGACTTCCTCCGACCAAGTATACTGCGAGTCTTTTACGGGGTGTCGATTCGTCAGAAGAATCTGGTTGATTGCAATTGAGATTATCACATCGCTTTCCTCGTCGGCTTCGTGTGGGGCAAGCAAATTCAGCTGGGATAGAGTTGCAAGTCGAGTAAGGAAGTGATCCGAACCGTATGTCCACTTCTTCACACATTTTTGAATAAGATCTTTCGCGTACATTTCCTTCCGGTCAGTCGTGGCCATCAGAATTGAGACGGCGTGCTTGGCAGAACGTGGCGATGTACTATACAGAGCATAGTTGGTTAAGGCCTGGTAAAATTTGCGCTCCTTTGGAAGTTTGTCTGGAAGCTTCTTGGCAAATCCGGCACAGGCCTTAAGAATCTCTTCAGAGCTAGATTCGCTAGGAGAAGAAGACTTGGGAGCTTGTGCCGCCAAGTCTTTACACATCTCTTGAACTTGCGCCTCCAGAACCTCAGGATTTTGAGATGAGATCTGCTTCAGCATCTCCTGGGCGGCGTGGGCCAGACCATTCTCGTCAGTTCGAGAGAGACTCATAATCGCTGGAATGTGACTGCGGTTGAAGATCAAAGACCCACTGCGGTACAAAAGAGGAGTTATGGTATCAAGCAAGGGCGCGTTGTTGGCACTCTGCGCACGCCGCTGAAGTTCCTTGATGGCTTTTGTCACAGTTCGATAATCGCTGACAGCAGCCATGGCAAAGCGAATAAGCTGGTAGCTGCGTCGATCATGAGTCTTGGCAAATTTCCATAGGTCCGCAGATGCGCGCGGAACATCTGGGAATGTCTTGGATAGCGAGTCAATGACCCTTGAAAGCTGGGCCTTCGCTTGCGCTTCATCTTTATCGACGACGCCACCATTGTACTTCTCACATGCCTCCAGATACATTGTCATAGCTGATCTCATCGACAATTGACGGGCCAGAGTGACAAAGAAAACACGTCTGGCCTTCTCATCCAGCCCCCGAAGTAGAGTCAAGATACGACGGACACGAATCTTGTCAACGTCAGCTTCCTGGTCGGTATCGGAACTCTGACTGTCTTTTTGTTTCTGTGATTGATTAGAGGCTCCTCGACTAAGCTTTGACTTGACTGGTGGGTAGCTCAATGGAAGGAGGATCTCAAACAGAACACGGTCAATCAACACATGGATTTCTTGGTCATTTGTGTAGAAAGCATCGAAGATCTTTGACGGTGCATCTTTCAGGAGAGACACAACAGGTTCGGTGTTCTGCTCGATGTCTCCAGCAGCAACGGCCCAGATGCGTGCTAAGATTTTCATGGCTTGCTCACGCACATGCGGCTTTCGGTCCTTGACGCGCTCAGCGAGAATAGCCAACACTGAATCTGGTGACGAACAACCACCCTTCATGCCGAGTTTATGAATGACATGTGTATAGCCAAACTGGCCGACGGTATTCACAGCAGCAAGACGGACCTTTTCGTCAGCATCGCGGAGCATGGAGGCGAGACTCTGGACAAGTCCTTGCTCCTCGCTTTCATTCAGGCCGCAGCCGCCAGCAGAGGTCAACAAAATACGACCCACAACTGTCGCCCATGCTGCGCGGACCTTGGGTGTCTTGTCAATACGCCGACTCAAAAAGGCATCATAAGCCGAAGAATGCACCTGAGAAAATGGCTTTGGTGATACCGGTGTGAGAAGTACGTTAGGCTGGGGAATCGTCTGCGCGTAATCTTCGAGTGTCACCGGCGGGTAAGATGCAGGATCCATGGGTGGTGGTGGAGGGGGTCCGGCAACACCAATGCCTGCCGCAAGGTCACCGATTGTCTGCGTAGCCAGTAACCGGAGGGCAACTGACTCTGCAGACAGTTCAGCTTCAACTTGTGGAATGACATTCTGCAAAACTTCCGGACAGGCTCGCCAAAGCTCTCGAATCAGAAGATGCGCTTTGCGCAAGTCCTTGATGTCCTCTTCCTCCTCATCTGAATCATCGAGGTTCGGTTTGCGGGTCCCATTTTTCGACCCGTTGGCTTGACCGGCAGACGACGCATCAATGATGACATTGTTAAAGTACTGACTGATATGGCTTGTCATTCGCTCTGGACAAGCCTGACAAATTGCCTTGGCCATGTTATAAGCAGACGGGTAGTCTTTCAACAAAAGCGTATCTTGCTTGGCATCGAGAGGTGCATCGCCGCGTTTAGCCTTGCGAGGGTTGTCAAGGCCCCGGGGGTCTACCCGCAGGAATTGCGCCAACATAGTATCCACTACCTCGGCGGCCAAGACGGGGGTTTCGTCTATCACGGTCACAAGGAGTCGGGTCATGTCGAATTCCACGTTCTTGGCCACTTCCTCGCCAGTGGACGCTTTCGATGTTTGCGAGACGATGTCGAAGCATGCAGTGAAGAGAGGAACGATAAGAGAATCGGGATGGTCCAAATCAGTCATCAGAACAACACTCTTGACCTCGGCAAGCGAGCCCAAGACATAAATATGTTGCGCATTGTAGGCATTGGAAGGATCGGCTAATGCGGGGATAATCGAACTGACGATACATGTAAAAACGTCCTGTATCAATCCGTGTCAGCACATGTCAGAAAATCAATTGACTTCCAGAAGGCCTGTTCTCTGGCAAGCGTACCTTGAGCTGGTTCCTCGTAAAAGGCGCGTCCGGCGCGCACAGTCGTAAGACATCGACTAGACAGCAAGTGGCCCAGGCTCGCACCCCCTTGTCCTTGTGCGCGAGCAGATGAGCACTAGCGAGTTCCTGCGACACTTTTCGCAGAGACTCTTTATCAACGTCCTCCTGCTCGAGCTTGCGAAGTTCTTGGGCGAGGGTTTGGAGACGTTCAAGTAGATCGGCGATGGGGATAGCCGAGCGCCCCACGCGCCACGACAACGGCTGATTGAAAGATAGGCTACGAAGGCCAGAATCCTCCTCAGCCTCGTCAGCAGGAGCTTGGCGAGTGCGCGACAGCATGATTGCGACAACCGAGCTCACATAGGAGATGGAGGGGAGGAAGAAAGTCGACGCGGTGCAGAATGAGTGGAGGAGGAGGTTGACCGCCCAGACGCGTCGCACGGGATCGCGTCTACCCTACAAATTTTACGTTGACTTAGCTTTGTCTCCGTTTATTTATTTCCAAGGTACTTTTTCAATTATCGTGGAGAGTAATTGCAATTTGTTTTTCTCATTTGCAAGCTGAGCGTACCAAATCTGCAGTTTGAACAGTTAGTAATGCATGGAACACATCATCGGGTAAACACTCGAGCGCCATGGGCGGTGTGGACTGATCTACAGGTAGATATGCCCACCACTCATGTTTCAAACCATAAAACAGGGCTAGAACTCCTGGTTGGCAGATGTGCAGTGTCTATACTACAGACTGCATGCATTCAAACCCAGTGAACGAAGTAACAGGACTTACAGTGAATCCATGGACACTGAAACCTTCAACCTTGAAAGTATCTGAAGCCTTTTCCCTGACGATGTCTAGGTAGTCAACGATCCATGGGTACCCTACTCCAGCTATGATGGGATTCAAAAATCTCAAAATCAAGAACTGATTACCTCTGAGTACACCAATGACATAGCACAGAGTGACATGATCCCGAGGCTATCAACTGCCCATGGTTTAGTTAAGTGACGAGCATTTCATAAGCGGGTCTCCACTCGGCTTTCGGCCTTTCGGGAACACGTTGAGCGCGAAGCCGCTCAAGTGCCGACGACACATCTTTTTGCCAAACGCCATTCAAACCAGCCACAAGGCTATGTGACTCATGATAAAGGAAGTGGGGAAAAGATTCCGATTCTCATGGTATAAGTCGTTCACGCGGAACATCGGCATGGGGCTTAGAATATCAGCATTTGGATTTACTATACGGATCTCGGCCTCGCGCTGGGCCGGACTTTAGTCTCTGCGGGCTAACCACGGACATTAGGTCGTACAGTGGAGCCTCCACGTTTTGCTAAAATGTGCTCTAGCGAATAGTATGGGTCCATGGGAATTTGCTTATAGATTTGCTTGTGGATTTCGGGCTTTTCTCTTCTTATTAGCGTGACTCCGAGCTCGGTTCAAATGGCCACGAGATTGCCAGCATGATATTCTCCAAGATAAAATGTGGGCACCGCCCACATTGGAAACTACTGTCCAACCTTCAAACTTGAATAAATATTCAATCCTTGGTAGTTCTTGCATTTGGCATTCTTCCAAGATTGGAAGCGTCGACCCTATTTCTACGACCGGCGTACGAACGCATCAATTTGGCCACTACCCCTTTTAATACTTTTTTTTTTTTATATATTGGGCTTGATATGAGTTCCAACCGACTTGACTCTGCTACGACTACGCCTCGTCTCAGCATGGATCACCATGAGCAAACCACGGAGTCCGCCGTGGCCACTGATACCCTGAACAAAGAGACATTTGGAGCACCACAAGAAGACACCGATGTTGAGAGTGCCCATGGCCCACAATTGCCTGAGAAGCCTGCCGAAAAAGACCCCAATCTGGTTGAATGGGATGGCCCAGATGACCCGGAAAACCCTCAAAACTTTTCTAGGGCGCGCAAATGGCTGATCACTGTAACCATGTCATTGATGACCGTGTGGATCACATTTGCGAGTAGTGTCTTCTCGACTGCAACCACCGTCACAGCCAAAGAATTCAATGTTTCTACTGAAGTCATGGTCTTGGGAACCAGTCTTACTGTCTTTGGTTTCGCCCTCGGTCCTCTCTGCTGGGCCCCAATGAGCGAACTATACGGCCGCCGCATCCCTCTGTTCTCCGGTTATGCCATCTTCGCCATTTTCCAAATTCCCGTCGCCGTGGCCACCAATCTACAACAGATTATGATTTTCCGCTTTCTCATTGGTGTATTCGGTTGCTCTCCGCTAGCTGTGGTCGGTGGTGCCATGGCCGACCTCTGGGACCCCGTTGACCGGGCTGTCGCTATCGCCATGTTCAGTGGAGCTACCTTCCTGGGCCCAACTATGGGTCCTATCATTGGCGGTTTCATCACGGACTCCCATCTGGGCTGGCGCTGGACTGCCTGGATCACACTCATCCCCTCGGCATTCTTCGGCCTACTCGCCCTCATCATCGTCCCAGAAACCTACGGCCCCAAGCTTCTCCAGGACCGAGCTGCCCGTCTTCGCCGGGAAACCAAGAACTGGGCACTCCACTCTTTCCTCGATGAGCACAGGCCCACTTGGGGAGATATCGCAAACAAGTACCTTCTTCGTCCATTCCAGATGCTCTTCTTGGAGCCTATTCTCCTCTTCATCACCCTCTACCTTGCCCTTATCTACGGAATCCTCTACCTCTTCTTCGAGGCCTACCCTATCTCCTTTGGCGAAGTACGTGGCTGGAAACATGAAGGTGTCGCCGCACTCCCGTTCATCGGAATCATGATCGGTGTCTTGATGGGTATTTCCCTAATCATCTACACCACGAAGACCCGCTTCGCTCGCAAATTGGCCAAGCACGGTCGTGTCGTTCCTGAAGAGCGTTTGGTCCCAATGATGATTGCCTCGGTCCTCTTGCCAATTGGTCTCTTCTGGTTCGGTTGGACCTCCAAGAAAGAGATATCGTGGGTGCCACAGGTCATCGCCGGTGTCCCGATTGGTATGGGTATCCTGGTGATTTTCATGCAGGGTCTGAACTATATCATTGATGTTTACATGATGTTCGCCAACTCGGCTATTGCTGCCAATACACTCGTGCGCTCTACACTTGGTGGTGCTTTCCCGCTATTTGCGGCTCAGATGTATGACAACCTTGGCGTTGACTGGGCCTCCAGTGTCTTGGGCTTTGTCACTGTCGCTATGATTCCTATTCCGATATTGTTCTTCTTCTATGGAGCCAAGATTCGAGCTATGAGTCGATTCAGTCCGAAGTTCTAAACTCTTCATTTGAATTGATCTGAGGTCGTGGAGTTTGGTTCTCAAAATTCTGGTGATTTATATCTGGTGAAAGCATCGCTAGCTTTGATCATCATTGATTGCACATATGGAGTTTGAGCAGGTTTTTTTTATAGCTTTTGTGACGCAGCACTATCATGACTTAGACTTTATACATTGATACACTAATTAATATTTGATGATATTACTCATGCACCATCCACGGCTGTACATTTCTTGTTCAATCTCGTTTTTGTTGTCAAAAGGCAGCTAGCTATATGTATACCGAGGTGCGCATCAGCATCATTAAATATAATCGAGATTTCGAGTCTCACACGTCAGCAACATAATGCTATTGTCTATATCCAGCGATGTTGCTATCTTCCAATGTTTATCGACAGTGATAGCATACGCCTTATAGCTACGAACTACTATATCAAAACCAGGTAATTCAAGTAGAGATTCTCTACTTAATTGGCGATTATGGCACATTGTATAGGGCAGAGACAACCTTGAAAAACGAATTATCGAAAAGAAATAAACGACCACCATTTCTCAGCGAGTTCCTCACTCTAAAAGAAACCATCTAACTAACGATGAAAATTCAGCGCAGAAGAAACTCAGTCGAAACCGGATGGTCAAACACAGATGTCGTCACCCCGAGCAAGAAAATAAAAACGGAACCATTTAGTCGTAGAGGCTGTCATCATTGCCGGCTTCGCCGAACGTGTCGTTGTTCTGAACCTCCCCGGCCTCGGGGAAGCGGAAGAAGCTGCTGCCTCCAGAGTTCTTAAGACTCTGAGCAAAAGCCTCGTAGCGGCGAATCTCAACATCGCTGACGGAGCGACGAGCAGACTTCATAGCCTCCTCGAAGTGGGCCTTGGTAAGCTCGGAGACAGTGTCTTCCATGTTTTCATCATCGTCCATGGAGACATCCTCGCCAGCAGCCTCACGAGCCTTTATGCGCTCGATGTCAGCGGTGATGGCCTCCTTAATGGCGAGCTTGACAGCACGCTGGGTCACGAATCCAAGATCGGCACCGGAGAAACCGTGGGTCTTGCTAGCAATGAAGTCCAGGTCGACATCACCAGCGACAGGGGTCTTGCGAAGCTGGGCCTTGAGGATACCAGCACGGGACTCCTGATCGGGAAGAGGAACGTAGACAAGGGTGTCAAGACGACCGGGACGGACCAGGGCGGCATCAAGCTGCTCGGGACGGTTGGTAGCACCGATAACGAAGACATTCTTCTTGGAGGTCATGCCATCCATCTCTGGTAAGGGTGTTAGTGGAATGATACAGTGTTCAGAGGTAGTAGAAAAACTTACCAGTCAAAAGCTGGTTGACAACACGGTCAGAAGCACCACCGGCATCACCGACGGAGCCACCACGGGACTTAGCAATAGAGTCCAACTCGTCAAGGAACACAACGCAAGGAGCGGCAGCACGGGCCTTGTCGAAGATGTCACGGATGTTGCTTTCCGACTCACCGAACCACATGCTCAGCAGCTCAGGACCCTTGATGGAGATGAAGTTGGCGGCACACTCGTTGGCGACGGCCTTGGCCAACATGGTCTTACCGGTACCCGGAGGTCCATAGAAGAGAACACCCCTTGAAGGGCTAAGACCGAACTTGGTGAACATCTCGGGGTGATCCACGGGGTATTGCACGCTCTCGATAAGTTCACGCTTGACCTCCTCCAGACCGCCAATGTCGTCCCAGCGGACGTTGGGAACCTCGACCACGGCAACCTCGCGGAGGGCGGACGGGTTGGAGACACCGAGAGAGTAGCGGAAGTTATCCATGGTGACACCGAGAGAGTCGAGGACCTCAGCATCGATGGTGTCCTCGTCAAGATCAATGAGATCCATCTTCTCACGAATCTGCTGCATGGCAGCCTCGGAGCAGAGGGAGGCCAAATCGGAACCGACGTAACCGTGAGTCTCGGCGGCGAGAGACTCGAGATCAACATCATCACCCAGCTTCATGTTCTTGGTGTGGATCTGCAGAATCTCGACTAAAATGAACGCATATGGTCAGTACAATCGTTTCAAAGCAAAAGAATAAATGAAGGAGACACGTACGACGACCAGTTGGGTCGGGAATGCCAATATCCACCTCACGATCGAAACGACCGAAACGACGGAGGGCAGGGTCAATTGAGTTGGGGCGGTTAGTGGCAGCCATCACCACAACGTTAGAACGAGACTTCATGCCGTCCATGAGGGTCAAAAGCTGGGAGACAACGCGACGCTCAACCTCGCCGTTGGTCTTCTCACGCTTGGGGGCAATGGAGTCAATCTCATCAATGAAGATAATAGCGGGCGAGTTCTTCTCGGCCTCCTCAAAGGCCTTGCGCAGGTTGGACTCGGACTCGCCAGCCATCTTGGACATGATCTCAGGTCCGTTTATTAAGAAGAAGAAGGCTCCAGTCTCGTTCGCAACCGCACGGGCCATCAGAGTCTTACCGGTACCAGGAGGTCCATACATGAGGATACCACGAGGCGCCTTGACACCCAGAGTCTGGAAAAGCTGAGGGTGGCGGAGAGGAAGCTCAACGAGCTCACGAATCTGTGCCATCTGTTTGCGACAGCCACCAATATCGTCATAACCGACCTCACTGAGGTTACCCTCCTCATCCTCTCGTTGGATGGGCTCACCCTCGCAGTGGATGATTGTGTCCTGTGCAACAATGCCGTACTCTGGGGGGTCCACCTCAACAACCTTAAACTCGACTTGTCGCATACCCCCACGCACGGTGAAGAGGTCTCCTTGGCGCACCGGTCGGTAGGCCTCACGGAAGTAGGGGGCGAGGAAGACATCGAAAATAGATCCGGTCAAACCCTCAATGGTATCGGCGATAGGAAGGACGGCAATGCGCTTGGCCTATGGTGATATCTAGATTAGCCACCCGAACAAAGAATAAACTCGACTTCCAAACTCACATATTTGATATCAGGGCAAGGGTGAACAGTAATAACATCGCCGTGCTTGACACGGAGGTTGTGTCGGACAACGCGGTTGATGCGGGCGCTACCATCATCGAGGTCATCATCAGCCAGGACAATCAGCACAGTGTCCTTGCGCTTCTTGCCCTTGACTAAGACTGTGTCACCACGGAAGAGCTGGAGAGTCTCCATGGTGTTGTTGGATAGGGCGATAACGGAGTTGTCATCGTTGACGGCATCGGTAACGCTATTGATGAGCTGTCAGCTTCGTCCCCGCAGATCGGGCCCATGGCCCCAATCGAATCCCTTACATCAAAGAATTGGGCTTCTTTTTCTTCTTCAGGATGGCGGTCGCGGTGTCGAGCTCCTATTTGTCCTGTCAGTCTCGTGATGTATTCCGAATTGTTGTGCTGGTCTCACATCTTTCTTCTCGGCGCCCGAGGGATCCCTAGTATGATGTTAGTCACGACACGGCAGAAATAGGCATCTGCATGCAAACATACTGAAGGTTGACCCTCTTCTTGTCGTGAGTGTGATCCGGCTCAGCAGACATTTTGAAGGATCTGAGATGTGTAGCGGATTGATGGGAAGAGGAAGCTTGGAGAAGCGGGAAAGATCAAGTGTTCACAACCAAGCTGGGCAGCAGCTTGGGAGAGCGAACGAGAATAGAGAATCGAAAAAAACGATGGGAAGATGGAAAAGTGCAAAGTGAACACCTGGAGATCAACAAGACGACCGGGGTGAGAAGGTGAGAGATGGAGGTTGGCTCAGAGCTCCCAGGTACTCGTTCGAGTGACGATATGCGATGAGGTAAGCGGTGGGCCATTATGTCAGCAAATTGTAGTCCGCCACCAGCGAAAGTGATGGAACTTGGTCGATCTTGCATGCCTGAGTGCCTTATCCTCTCCGTGACATAGATCAATAATCAATAATCAGTAATCAATACTGTCCATTAGAGTGAGCTTTTATGCTACGCAGTATTCCTGGCCTTCCTGTATTGAGTATCTGATCATGGTGAACAGGTTCCCACATCCATGGGCGCAGAACTATACCTATTCCTGGCCCTTTCCCCCATGAAACCACGGTTAAAGCATGCAAGGATATCCCCAAAAGATGTCGGGCCTTCAATCTTAGTAATTGCCGGTGGTAAAGTCCCAATAATAAAAAACAAGTTGCGTGATTTTCCAAATGCATGAATGAGGCTCTTAGGGTTACTTCACCCAGGTGCAGCCTCTTTGGCACAGCCTAGGTCCTCTGCGCCTTGAGACACCAGGCAACACCCAGAGCGAGAATGGTTGATTCATTCACGCGTCATGTCACTTCAAATGGTTTAGAAAGGGAAAAAAGTGTTTTTACTGCGGCTCCATTCTACCTAGCAAATCACCCTCTGTTATATACCCTCAGGCATCATTCCAACGCATCATTGCTAAAATCCATCACAATTGCACCTCGATAATTTCCCTTCTCGAGAAGTTCTACGGCTTTCCTCGTCTTGTGTGATCTTCTTCTCATGAAAATGAAAATAAAATCTTGGTACCCGACCGACTTTAAGCTAGCACTGGGCAGAACAATGTCCATAGAAGATGTCACAATTTTCCTTCAGCAACCAGGCAGCTCCCCGCGCTTTGTATACGGGGCTTTGATGCTTCCTACTGTTTTGAAATACTACATTAATCTCGAACAATCCTACAAAATCCACATTTGCATGACCCAGGCCACATTGCCTGGGTACCAACTATATCAATTCACTGGAACACGTTTGCCGGTTCTCACTCCTTCGTCAGATCCGAAAGATATCGTGGAGGGAATGCTTATCTTCAATTTCGATGAGCAGCAACGTAATTCTCTCTACGAATTCGAATCAGGGTTGATGTGTCTGACCAGTGTTCAGGTTGAAATTTGTCAGAAAGATACGGATGAGATGCATCGCCTCCGCACTGTGGATGCTGGAGCATTTACTTGGACCAAACCCACGTATGGAATGACTAGAATTTCTGATTCGTCATGGTGCGTTCGGGAGTTCCTGCAGAGCCCATTCTATCATCACATGTTCCAATCACAAAATCGATCCAGTATTGGGGTGTGTGAATGGGAAGGTCAAGAAGAACTACCTCAACCCCACTATACACATCACCTGCCAAATGTTTAGTGATCTTTCTACTGCAACATGAGAAAAGAAATCGGTCTTATTTACTAAACTCTACTATTGTGTTCAAATTATTCCACCCAGGGAAAAAGTAGAAGATATGCCATGTTCAAGGCCTTGTGCGCCTCACAATGGATAATAAGCACTAGTTGATTGGTTCTGCCGCTGCAGACTCAAAAAGAAAAAGATTCCTATACAACAAAACACCCTCGCGAAAGAGACAAAAATGGCCGGTGTTCTAGGGAAGAGTAGGGACCACGAATGGCGTCATACATAAAAAAGAGAGTACAGGCGTTTGAAAGAGGGGGGGTTTCCAGTCAGAAGATTTCACACAGGCACCGCAGTCATGACTTCGTCAATGAATTTCTTGACTTAATGCCGAGGGCCAAGGGCTGGAGAAGGGACACCAGAAAGTGCAGGGCTAGCACTGGCCGACATACGAGCGCCAGGAGCCGGGCTTGCACTACCCAGATTAGGGTTCACAGGAGCATTGGCAGCCTTGGAAATACGGTCCTCCACACGTTCCTTGTGCTGCCGGTTGCGAAGGTGGACCTCAAAGTTGTCAACAGTCATGCCGGGGCCAGGCGTGTACAACTTGCCGGGGCAGTCGTGGCACCGGATTCGCGGTAGGTATTGGTATTTGATTTTTTGACCTGGTTGGAGGTTGTTGGTATTGGTCACAGGGGCCAGAGTTTCCAAATCCACGGCAGAGTAACGCATGACTCCTTCGAAAGAGTCATTAGGGTGGGCCTGTTTTAACCCTTGAAGTCCGGCCACAAGCCAACTAGGCGGTGGGGGCTGAATGCGCACACGGTCAGCCAAAGACCAAAAATCGAAGGTCAATATCTACTCACAGCGGGGACACCGGGCTGAGGAGGGTTCGGGGCGTCGACGGCTCCTGTTTGCTGCGGCCGAGGCGGGTTGTGCCCAGCAAGTCGCGCTTGCTTATCTGAAGGAGGCGCCATTTGCATAGCATTAGGCGCAGCCCTGTTAAAGGACGCTTGAGACGCAGAGACGATTCGCTGTCCATTTCTCAAAGCCACCAGCTTGTCTCGTGACAGCTTAAGCCTCAAAATCAACTTGTCTGGTTCTTCCTCACTTTCTTCTCGGTACTGTTGCCGTCGAGCTGACGCTCGCGGCTCATAAAGAACTGGCTCTGGGGTTTCGGAGTGTCCCAAGCCGGCACGCAAGGCTGCATGAGCTTCCCTAGCGGCTCCCCTCATGCCTCTCGTGCGGGCAGTGCCTAGGGCAAGGTTTGGGCCTACGGCTGGAGAGCCCTCATCCGAATCATCACTTTCAAATTCATCAGAATCATCATCTCTTTGCCCTGTCATTCCACGGCGGCGACCGGATCCTGAGCGCTTGATGACGTTGCTTTCTTCCATTGATGCAGCCGAGTTTGGAATGACAGAAGACACGATCAATGTGCGGATCGTACGTTGACGATCCTTTAGGTCCGGCAGAGCAGGGCCACCACGTCGGTTTATGGATCGTTTCTGGCGACGCTGTTCCCGAGATATCGAAATCTCCGTTCGCTCAAGGTCTGTCTCGTTCAATTCGTAGAGGTAAGGTGTGTGTTCCTTGGCCGATTGGTAAGGTCGGAAAGCGGAAGACACTGGAGTTGGTAGGAAGGAAGCGCTAAGATCAGGATCCTCGATGGGGCGACCATCAAATGGGTGGGCAACAATGTAAAGGGACTTCGTAAACAGCTGGGACTGTTCACGAATGGAATGAGCGATAGCAGTGGTGAACTCGCCAGAGAGAGAAAGATCGTCCGTCATGCGCATGGCAAACTGCTCAGGAGAGTTGTGTGGGTCGTTAATATCCCACTCAAATTGGTCAATCAGGGTGTGTTGCCCAATAGTGATATTCAACTTGATCAGGATACGCATCTCATCGTTTCGGTATGCCGTATAGGGGAGATGCGGGTCAAGAGCCTCCTCATGCATAAAGACTTGCGGGTAGTAGTCCATCAACTGCTCCTGAATGCTCTGAGAGATCTGGCGCATGAGGGGGGCAGAAGTTTCCATAGGAAGGCCCAGATCCTCCACAAGCTTCTCAGCAAATAGGTCTGGGGATATAACACGATCATGTAAATTCCAAGTAAAAGTGTCGCGGATCTTGACTTTCTCCCAGTCAATATCTAGACGAATGGGCACCAGGTCATCCATCTGCTCGCTCTGCACCTTCATATCTCGACGTGAGATCCGAAGCTCGCGAGTCTTGCGATTCCCAGGACGACGTCGGTTGGCTGGGTACAAAAGCTGAGGTGGATGGTTTCGCAGGTCCGTGCGTGTATTTCCAAACCCTTCGTATCCTGCGCCAAACAATGCAGCTGGGTTTGCTTGGTTTTCCCGTCGAAGTTGCAGGTAAAAATCACGCTCCGCCCTTTTTTCTCGCTGCAGTTCCTGGTTTGGGTTGTGCCAAGCAGCTGCAGCCGAATATTCAAACTCACGGTTGATGAGATTCTCTATCATAATTTGTTCGACAGGCGTTTCGCGTGTCCGGACAGTCATCGTCCCTGAGATGTCACTGGGCTGAATGACAGACCCATCGCGAGACCGTTTTCGACTTTGCGCGGAGCCGTTTGTACCGTTCGATTGGGGGGTACCATTAGGATCACTGTTGGGATCTGACACGCCAGATGCCGTCAGTATGGTTTTGGCATTCTGCTTTCCATCTTCACGTGTATTGTTCTCTTGACCATTGGCAGATGGCTGCGTTCCCGGGTCGGTGGAATCTTCTCCTCCAGGTCTCGTGTCAGACGCGCTGGAGCCATTCTGCATACCAGACTGAGAGTCGGCTGTAGAATACTCTGGTGGAACAGAGCCACTTGCCAATTCTGGGGATGGCATGGCGATTTATCAGGTTGGAATAGGAAACGGGCGTTGGGTGTCACTCGGTAATCTATGGGGAGTGGCACTCAACGCGACAAGGATAATTGAGAGCCAATTAAAACAGCATCATCGAATAATTTTCTAGAAGAGAATCCACCTATGTCAGTTGTCTTCTTCATGTGGGGGGGCAACAGGCTATCTTAATCGCGACTGCGCGGTCATTCTCGGCCTGTTCTGGCGCCGATCGATGGACGTGTCGCGACGGACGCATGCCCTGAGCGATACACTACCATTGACGAGAGCAGCGCGAGGAGAAAGATGAAACGGCATGGAATTGGTGAAGGCGACAAACAGCGAAGCTCATAGGAACGAAACAACATACCAGAGCCAAAGGGGGTCGGGTGCCGATAATGGTCTCACTATTGTCACGAGCACTCGCACAGGCGGAGCTAGGCAGAGAGCGGCGGTCGGTATCGCAGTATAGGAGGTCACTTTACTCAGAGGTCTTCGCGCGGAGAGATAATCGATTCCTCCCGCTTGTATGCTCTGATGCTGGAGAGGCTGTGGTGGCGGTTGCTTAAGGCGCGGGTGGATGAGAGAAGTTCAGTTCAAAGGGGAGGATTACGAGATGTCCGCTCCCGGGCAAAAAGCAAGGACTACGCTCGGCGCGCCCTTCCACGGCCACACAAAGTGCTCTATATGAGTATAGGAGAGTATGCACGGGAATGTAATTATATTCTACGTCCAGGGATAGTATACTTTGCCCGTTTATGGCTGGAGACGGCGCTGCGTCAGAGCCGATTTGACGGCATGTGGGAGTCAGGTGACCTGGACCCAACTGAGGCTTAATGCCTGTGGAGTCAGGCATAAACTATCGGATCATCTCTCATACATTCCAGTTTCCAACTCCCAGGTTTCAGAAGCTTATGGGTATAGTTTCAGCAGCCTTGAAACCAAGGTAATGCATAGTTTAGCGGACAGAATCTCTGAGCTTCTAAACTTATACATGTAATATAGGGTTATCTTGATCATTTGTATGCTACTGCTTGAATTATCCTGCATGATCCATGGATGCACCATGTACTATAGCGCCAGGACGCGTAACGCTGATTTAGCAGGACCCAACCTTTTAAATTGAATAATCGGTCTTCATTGTCTCATTGTCCTATTTAAAACCTGTATTGGTCCTTCCTAGGTCATATGTCCGTGATCTGAAGTGAGCATACTCGGAACATGCAAGCTAGGCTTCGCCGGTGGGTGCTCCATGTTTCACAGGGAAGCTCAACGATTTGGAGCTTTCTCATGTGAAACTTTTGGGTCCAAGGCTTGTCTGACTCGAATATGAAATTAAGCATTTCTAGGCCATAATCTTGAAGGATTCTGCGCTTTTTGCCTTGGTACCGGGAAACCCAACATGTCAGGCTAGCAGGACGCTCTATACACGCTAGCCAACCAATGTGAGGTCGGCAACCACCGCGCAATGATCTGAATTATATATTTCATCGTCGAACCGGTTTGGTATCACTGAATACCCATCAACTCTCCAGGGCTGGTTCCCGTCGCGTGCCAGCAAAATAAAATCAATACGCTTTGGTGGCTCCTTGCCATGTCCAAACCCAGTGAAGGTGTTGTGGTTCCCATACCGACGCGTGTCGGGAACCAATTTATAGGCGTCGCTCAGGCCGCCCTTGTCTGTCAGCTCCAGGTATGCTTCCTGCTTTTCCTTGCTGTTCAAGTCTCCGGATAAGAATGTGCCCGAGATCAGACCCCCAAATCGACCCTGCTGGTAATCATGAATTCTGCATAAGATGATGCGTGCAGCCTCAAGTCTGGAACGCGATCCTTGATCATCGAGGTGTGTGTTAAGGGCTAGGACAGCATTGCCTGTTTTATGATGAGTGAAGAGGCCAATGGTGACAATGCGGACGGAGGCTGCATCCCAGCTTTTCGAGGGCTTGGAGGGAGTCTTGGAGAGCCATACCGTCTCCCAAGATTGTAAGGCCCACACCGATGGCTGATAGAAGATTGGTGAGTATTCACCCGCTTGATGGCCATCGTCCCGACCAACACCAATGTACGCCCACCCTTGGTTCAAAGTAGCATTAGATGGGTTCAATCCGGCACGAATGTCCTCAAGTTGGTTATGGAGTACTTCTTGCAAACATATGAATGTTTCATCACAATGACGGGAGTGGTACTCTAGCTCATTCAGAAGATTTTGTCTTCGTTCAGCCCAAGGCCGTTCTCCCTTGAATGGAGAGTTGGTTGCATAGCGGATATTATGGGTCAGTACCCGGACGGTAAGTGTTGGAGTAGATCTCATATTGCTGATTTCAAACGCGCAAAGCAGAAATGATTCGAGTTCTGCAAAGATACTGGTTTTAAAAATAGGAAGACAGAATCTAAGAAAAGAAGAGAGGTATTTAACTGTGTTTACATTTGCGGAGAAGCTTGGGGTGTGGTTCTGGGCCCGTGGCTGACCCCTTGTGACCTCCTCAAAGAATGCAAATACCTAATGGAAAAGTACACAAAAGTTGCACAGAGACGACACTTCAACATGGTTTCACCCACAAAGCTGCAAAAGCGGGGAAAGCAAAGTACCAATGGTCTGTCATCATGACCCATGACGTCTTTGCGGCCGTAACCCTACGGGAAGCCTGACAGATCAGGCTGCAACAGCGAATACCCCCACTACCGCTAAACGTTAAACGCTTCATTCGCTGCACACGACTTGTTCTCGATCCATTCCTCTTAGGCTTCCAGTGGATTTTAGATCTACCGTCAATACCCACCTGTTCTTTTTTTGATTCTCTATATTACCGGCCAGGCCAACCTACTTCACAATGGTCGAGACTCAAACCCCCGAGGTTGGTAAGTAAACGACTGGTGCTTCCGAAAAAGCTCTGACGTTTGTGGGCATCGCTGTCCGACAAGCCGCAGAGCTTTAGCGGGGCCTTAGGAGAACACCACTAAACTCCCAGGGGATTTCTAGAGCTAATTGGCCTTATTTTATTTTATAGACTACACCCTCAACAACCCCGACACCTTGACCAAGTACAAGACCGCTGCCGGCATTTCACACAAAGTGCTCGAGGCCGTCACTGGTAAGTTACACTTCACCATTCACTTACTGCGCTATGCGACCTAACATCTGTTGATAGCTCTGTGTCTTGAGGGCGAAAAGATCGTCGAGATTTGCCAGAAGGGTGACCAGCTCCTTGACGAGGAAATCGCCAAGGTCTACAAGGGCAAGAAGATTGCCAAGGGTGAGTTCTGATTTTTTTTTTTCTCTTTTTTTCTTGATATGATTTTCGAACGGTGAAATCTAACTGAGGAATAAAGGTATTTCTCACCCCACCACCGTCTCTCCCAGCTCCTATGTCACTCCCTACACTCCCCTCGTGTCCGATGCCGCCGAGGCCGAGATCACTTTGAAGGCTGGCGAGATCGTCAAGATCCAGCTGGGTGCCCAGATTGATGGATTCGGAACTATTGTCTGTGACATGCACGTCGTTGCCAAGAAGGACGCCGCCAAGGAGCCCATCACCGGCCGTGAGGCTGACCTTATTGTCGCTACCCATTACGCCAATGAGCTCCTGCTCCGCTTGATGGTTCCTTCCGGTCTGCTGGCCCAGGGTACCGACGAGGAGAAGGCTAAGGCCGCTGCCAAGAAGCCCCCTACCCAGGCTTACATGTCCGACCTCTTGGAGAAGGTCGCCAAGGCTTACGACTGCAAGGTTGTCGAGAACACTACCAGCTGGATGTTCGACCGCAACGAGATTGAGGGTAACAAGAAGATCATCTTGGTCCCCGGTGAGGGCGTCCGTGGCGAGGGTGTCCCCGATGTTGGTGAGGTTTGGGGTGTTGAGGTCGGCCTCAGCTTGGGATCCGGTAAGGTCAAGAACCTCGACCACCGCACCACCCTGCACCGCCGTACCACTACCACCTACATTCTGAAGCGTCCCAGCTCCCGCCAGACCCTCTCTGAGGTTGTCAAGAAGTTCGGTACCTTCCCCTTCAGCTTGCGCCAGCTTGATGATGAGAAGTCCGCCAAGGTCGGTGTTGTCGAGTGTGTTCGCGGCGGTGTCCTGCGCCAGTACGAGCCCGCTGGTGAGAATGACGGCTCTCCCGTCTCTCGCCTGCTGTCCACCGTTGGTAAGTTTAGAATTGTCTAGTACTACATCGAAAAGGTTTACTAATAACCTTATAGCCATCACCAAGAACGGTCTCACTAAGCTTGCCGCCCCTGCTCCCATCGACCTGGAGCTGTACAAGTCCGACAAGAAGATTGAGGACGAGGAGATCCTGAAGATCCTCGAGCAGCCCCTGGCCCGCTCTACCGGTAACAAGAAGAGCAAGAGCAAGAAGAAGAAGACCACCACCACCACCGCCGGTGAAGAGTAAATGGATTAAACCAGAGCTCTTTGTCTGTATATTCATTTGCAATATCCTCCCATCTAAATTTGGAATAAGACTTGATATTGGTATCTAGTCCCCAAGTCAAACAAAAAAAAAAAAATATCCAATAACAAATTTTCATCGGACCATACGAGCTCAAGAGTCTTCTTCAATATAAAAACCTAGAAGTAGCTGATGATTGATGTCTGTATCTGTGAGAAACGGTCAGATATGCCATTCATGAGCTTGTGTTTCGCCTTGACATGACAGTTGTAGACTCTCTGTTTGATATCCGCGCCATGTAATTAGCAGCAGGGTCAGAAAGTCGAAAGTCGTTGCCTACAATTCCGGAGTTTCGAATGTTCCCTCCTGAAGTCCCTTAAGCTAAATTCATCTGGGGCTGCTGCTAGCGTAATTATAGCGTGTCCATGGGCCATAAAAAGTTGGAAGGCGCCACCTTTATTTACGTAGTTTAGAGCTTCCAAAACACCACGCACTTCATACTGCATGCTCACAACCAACTGCGCACGCACATCGTCCCCATGCTGAAAAAGCTCCAGAGGTCTTTTTTCATTGTATCACGGCTGTGAAGCTGTCTAGGTTGAACTTGTCCGTCAAGTCTTCTCAACAGTAAGCATGTCATCAAGATCGGCACATACAAAAGAAAATACAACGTGACTCCGGGAATGAACCTAGGTACTAGAAAGAGATGAGACGCTAGTGACGATGCACATTTTGGTGAGTGTCGGCATCCAGTCTATGCTCTCGGTTGTTCTCCGACTTGTAAGGATATTGGATGCTATGGAGGCTGAGAGGTTCCTCGCTCTATTTGAGATCCTTGTTTGCGCACAGGGAGGATACATACAAGCCTCCCTCCAGCTGATGAATGTCATAGCGTCACATTTGGGTCATTCCGCTTCGAATGGGCTTGAAGCTGATTACCAAAACATCATAAAGCAAGTTTTCCCTGTTCAAGTTCAATTCGTTGGCGAGATGGTATGTCAAAAAGATGTTCGTACGCCCAAGGTCTCAGCATGAGAAATGATTCAAATTCAAAGGCCTTTAATGTATCGGTACTTAGGCTCTAATAAATTACTCAAGGACCATCGTATTTGATATGCAGCTCATTTGTTTCTTCATTCATATCAAACAATGGCAACCTCGGAGATCAACGTCCATGTATTTACTGGGTCTTTGCTTTCCTTTGTCTGCTCATTTACTCTTACATATCCTTGAATACTCACTTAAAAGCTACGTACTAACATATTATAATAGTGAATGTGACGCTAAAGATACCTCTCACAGGTCACGACTTCCTACCAATTTTTCTTTCCTCAAGTCCCCATACTCAGGTGATAACAGGTTGATGATTAATAGGTGGACAGTGATTGCGCTTCGAAGTGCTTGATCCTTATTGAAAAGAAATATAAATTCATAATCCACTTAACATCTGAGCCTAATGTGAGTGATCAAGTCCTCAGATGCCAAGTCATTAGGGCACGGACGGGCGTGGCGCTAACCCTAGTAGGTGCTTTCCGCCTACCGCGATGGGCTACTTGACTCGGTCCAGTCGCCGAGTTAATTCTCAATCCGCGAAACCCGCGAAGCAGCGCAAGCTTCCAGAACCTAAATCGCGTCTGAAACGCGCTGATTCCGCGCACCCTGGCAATGCGCCAATAACTGAACCGAAAAAGTCCTCTGAGACTGTATGGGAGGACCCCCCGGTCGCACGCGCGCGCCCGACTGAGGCCGAGGCCGATTCCACCACAGACAAGAACCCCATCCATACCATGAAACCGATCGGCCAGTACCCATCTCCCGCAGAGTATAAAAGCGTTGGCTTAAAGCCTCCTCCTAAACATGTCCGTAAGGTCAATAAGTGGGTGGCGGACACGGACGAGGAGGAGGAAGACTTGATGACCACCGACACCCCTATGACACCGACTGTGGAGGAAGCCATGCTCTCTGATGTCTCTTGCATTGATAAGCAAGGTGATCGGTTTACAAGGGGAGTAAATCCAGTTGCACTAAAGTCCTCCATTGAGAAGATGGCCAGACGGAATTTAGGTGTCAGAGTGAATGGAGCGAATGGAGAAGTGAATGGAGACGACACAGACAAAACAAATTTGGCGACTCCGGTTTCCGAAGCCTTTGATCTCCATCTGCTTCCTCCATCGACGGCACATCCATCTCTTTCTCCGGCAGAGACCCCCGTACAGACCCCCGCTGACGAGATCTTGACCGACTCATTCTTAACGGTGCCTGACACTCATCTTTCCGCACCCGACCCCGACACCCCCTTACACCAAACACAATCACCTCCAGCTACGGCTATAGCAGACGCCGGTATGGCCTCAGAGGCTGATAAGTCTACGACTGGTCGTAATTTTACTGATGTATTAAATCACATCCCTCTGCCAGTATCCGACGTCTATGATGTTCCTCAGCTTAGGAAGGTCTTAGAGGCCGCCATTTCTCATTCCAAGGTCATAGGCGATGACGAGGTTGCGCTGAGTCTTGCCTACTTCTGGTCTGAGGTGAAAAGCGACGAATTTAAGTTAGCCTTGATTCATAACATCGGTCGAGAGGATACTGATCACCGACTGGAGCTCGCGTTACGCACGATTCTCAGTCACTCAGTGCAAGAGGCTGATCAATGGTACAAAGCTTTCAGTGCGAAATGTGCTCACGCGGAACTCCGCCCTGAATACGAATCAGACACTAGTTCCAGTTTGTCTTCTGCGAAGTCTGTCGCAGCAGAGCCAGGCAAGCCTTCTTTCAAAGTTTCTGACATCTACCGGGACACGAGTGGCCCCAAACTTGAAGAACTATTTGTGAATGGAAAAACAAACACTGCTCCTTACAAACGCCCTAAGAAACCGGTTCGTGTCAACGAAAACTCCTTCAAGCGCCGACACGAATGGGAATCAGACCCAACCATGGGTGAAAAGATGCTTCACAAGCGTGCACGCTTTGCCAAGGAGACCAACGTTGAGGAAGTCCCGGTGAAGCCCAGCTCCATTCGCCCTGAGCTTCCCGAGCCAGAGATGCAGCCGGATGAGCCGGACAAAGACATTGATGCGACTCCTGTATTAGGCGTCTCCCCACGCTCAAAGCGTGCAGAGGAGCGAAAGGAGCGCCAGAAGAAGCAAGATCAGGATAAAGGCAAAGCTCCCGCCTCGCAGAAGAGGAATAAGCCTGCCAAGTCCCCCTCTCTTCCCGCGGGTAATCGATCACGGTCCCTTTCAAATGCCAGCGCCAAACCCAAACAGTCTGCTCTGAAAAATTGGCGACAAGACTGGATGGGCCGGTACCGACCTGACTCGACGTACGTGAATATCTTATATGTTGTGCACTTGCTTGATCAGCTCCAGACTAACTTTGGCTCTTTACAGGGACAACGATGCAGAGAACATCGACAACTGCGCTTGGTGCGGTGGTGGTGGCAAGTTACTGTGTTGTGACACCTGTGAAAATGCCTTCCATTTCAAATGTGTAAAGACTGCCAACAAGAACTCGCTCAAGGATCAGTGGTTTTGCCCGAAATGCGACGCTCAGCATGAATTCACGTTTGCGATCCTCGCCGCCAACGCCATTGAAAGAACTGATTTTTCTCCCCCCGTCGAAATCAAAGAATACTTTGCAGGAGTTGGCGAAGGCATTCAAGAAGATCCTGATGATTCGGATGATCCCAATGGTGCAGAAGATTCTAAGTCCAAGGATTCTCCCACATACAAGAGACAGACCTTCTACCAGACCGTTCCCCACATTCCACGTCTGACTAAGCCAGCGAAAGCTAAAACCTCGACACCGGCCTACAACGATCCCAGCCTGCTCAAGCTAATGGAAAACGGGCATGTGATTCTTTGCAACAGATGTGGCAAGTCCACGGACAATGTGCGTCCCATAATCAAATGTGATTACTGCCCCTGCCGCTTCCACATGGATTGTCTTGATCCTCCCCGTGCCATCCCCCCTAACCCCGTCGCTGGGTGGATGTGTCCCAACCACGTTACGCCGGAGGATCTGCTCGCCATCAAGTTTGTTGACGGTCATGTTCAAGAGCGTCGTGTTCGTCGTCCCCGGAATTTACTCCTGGTAGACGCAGAGCCCAACACCAGCTATGATCGGGACTCTACTTTCGACGATGATTGGCGGGCAGATCGCCTTCGTTTCCCTCCTGGAGACATGATCATGGATTTTGTATCCGCTGTTAAGGAAGATAGAAAAAACACCAACAAAGACGTCGCTGAGCGTTTGGCGAAGCGCATGGTCGCCGTTACTACGCTTGCAGTTAAGGACTTGGCTAGAAATGGTGGCAATGCGTCTGAGGAATGGATACAGAATTTTGAATCTCTTTGCGAAACCGAGGCCAAGCATGTTCGAGATGGCGATTCTCGTGAGCGAGAGATTAAAGCCGCAGATGCTCTTCTCGACATGCTCCACGGTGGTCACCAGCAATCTACCCCCCTTCACTCCTCCCAGCCTGAACAGCCAGCTGAAGAGACGCCTGCACCTGTCCAGGCCGAGGAGGACTCTCCCACGACCAAGTCTGCCACCTAGTTGCCCTTTTCCACCATTTTCCTTATTTTTATCTTATCCATTTTCTTATTCTCGCCCTTTTATTTCATTGTTATCCGGGTCCGGGGTTTTTTGCTTTTGTCTCGTTCTTTCTTTCCAAACTCTGCATTTTTCTCGCTTTTTCTCCTGATTTGCGAAACTGTCATGTGAGCATGGGACGGCGCATATTCGAAGAATCATTTGTACGATAGCATATGGGCCCCAGAAAATGGATGCGATACATTATTTCATCGATTCTATTGCGGTTTGATTTTCGACATAATCTCGATTTTGATTTGTTGTTTTATTTATCGTTAAAATACAAAACACACCATGTTTTTTCTGCAATTTCATCTTCGTAATGATCATATCAAATCGAAACTGCTAAATTCGTACTCTACATGAAAATGGAAGATCCGAAAATCGGCGCACAAAGCCTAGCGCCGAACCAGAGGCAAAGGGGAACGTCAGAGCTAATAAACGACACGCAAGAACAAAATGCGATCTCATTTCACATTTTGCCACTCAACTCATTGGAGACCAATTAGATGCAACAAGGTGGTGCAATACGGAGGTGCAAAAATCCGGATCGAATGGCTTTTTTACTGAAAGAAAGATTCCAAGCACGATGCGATCCGATCCATTTACAGGAACTTCTTAGGCATGTTGGCGCGGCGACGCTTGTAAATCACGTAGGAAACGGCGAGGAGAACCTGGAATGCGAGGACCAGGAAAATAAAGAAGCCCATACGAGGAGATGACGCAGTAATAGCTAGAGGATTAAAACGTCAGTATGATCTCGTGCGACGAAATTTCAAGTTTGTTGGAAACAACTTACCACTCAGAAAATGATCCTGCAGGTTCTCCCGCAGACTGAGATGGGAAGACCGCAGAGTATCGTGGAGCTTGTTGAAGTTACTGCTATAGTCCTTGCCCTCCAGGTCTCGCTGGATATTCTGGAGCAGGGTCTCGATGCGCTGGAGCCGGGCATCGAGGGAGTTGAATTGGTCCTTTGATACGGTCTGGCGGAGGATCTCACCGTGGCGAGACTCGCTCTTCGTGACCAGTGCCTTGATATCCTGGGCAATGGCGTTGGTGGCTTTGCTCTGGAGCTGAATGCGGTTGCCCAGATCGAAGAACTGGGCTGAGTAGTCCTTCTCAGAGCCTGCTTGGGCCACTGGTGGGATATTCTGGCTTGCAATAGGCTGCTGCTGCTCTTTCTCTTGCTGGGGGGTTCCTTGAGGGATGGTCTGGCCGGTCGCAGACTCCAGGATAAATTTAAAAATCTCGAAAGAGTCGGGGTTCTCTGGGGTGGCAGCCGTGATACCAAAGGTGTTTCCGGCTGGAAGCGCGACCTACTGACGCTTAGTACAATCTGTGATTTAGTGTCTCATGATGATGGGCGCATACCTTGTCGGTCGAGAAGCAGACCTTGTCGTCGACGGTAACTTCGAAGAACGAGTTGGTGTGCTTGAGCTTCACCACTGAGGGGCGACCCAAGTTTCGGTATGCGTAGTCACAGTGTCCAAATGCCAGGCTATCGACGCTGCGGTGTGTCTTGTAGTCTGTTGTTCCATCATTCAAGAATCCACGAATGCTTCCCCCTGTAAACTAATCAGCCAGTTATTCAATTATCTTGTTTGGGATCAAAGCATACCCTTCCCCCATGGGTATCAATAACCAGGGCAAATCCATCAAAGGGGCCCACAGTATAAATGCTGGAGGTGCCAACGCGAGCCTGGCCATCCTTAGTGTACCATAATTGAAGATTTCCGCTAGCTCGCTCGGGACCGGTAGCTCGGAATTGGAATTCAGCAGCCCATTCAGACTGAGAGACACTGCCCGATATTCAGTATATTGTCCATGGTTCTATTTGGGTTTGTCACGTACGGGTTCTGGGCCCAGGCTGATCCTCGCACGTTTCCGGGGTAAGGAGGGGTTATGATGAGTTTGTCGGATAGCTAGATAAATGTTAGAGATAGATCATATTGAATCGGTGTCACACTCACTAGGGATGTCTCAAAGCCCTCTCCATTGATGTTCCATCCTGGGATCGAGTCTCGGGTTGGGGAAATACTAGTCGCGGCAGTCAGACAAGAGGAGACCAGAAGGCAGAGAGCAAGTGCCATACGTTTTGCCAAAGCCAAAGCTTGCACTTTCAATCACCTGGGCTGTAGCGCCTGCAGCAAGCAATGCGATTGAAGTAAAGGTCTTCATTGTGGCGGTATGAAGGATAGGTGCGTGTAGATTGGAGGTTGGTAAACGAGGGTATCGTTCTCGCTTCCGGGACAATGCAATATAAACAGCTCCTGCGCGTAGCTATTATACCGGCCTTTATCAATTATTCAGTTATAGAGCCTTTCTGATGACTGGAGCCACAATGTTCACACGATGTCGATCTCCGGGGAAGTTCACAGAGACTAGACACGACGCGAGTAGTGATCCACCCAGCCACAACAGCAATCACGCAAAGGCGAGCTTCCTTGGCGATGGCCGCAGCTGAAGGAGAAAAATCAATAAAATGATGCAGTTGGAGACTGTTGAGAATGGTGTGTCGGATGCCGACGTCTGTGAAGTCCATGCGGAATAGATTGCCCTGCGCTAGTGTAGCTGTTGATACCTGGCCTTCTCCTGATTTGTTCTCCGCATATGCACGTGACCTTCGGTGCGGAGGAGCTTCCTTGCCCTTTCTCAGCCTGGTTCTTGACATCAACATAAGCAGCCTTCAATCCCTGAAACTTCTCCCGTCATTGGTACACTGTAACGTTGCTCTGAGTGCTGACTACTCCTCCCTAGATTTAGCTTATCTCGATATTCCGACCGTCGCTCTCCAATTCCCCAAGTCCGAGGCCTACCTGGATTTTCTCATCCCAATCTACAACTTACCACCAGTCAAATAATCAGACTTTGAGGCTTTAGCGTAAATTTTGAGCTACCTTATTATTGGGTCTAGTCCGGCTCGTACAAATCTCCGAATCGCCCCTTCTCTACCCCGCTTTCTGCAATCTTGGAATGGCTGTCGCAAACAACTGCACGTATGGATATGATAGGTATGGTGGTGACAATTGCTCTATTTCTTATGGGAAACAGCATGCGTACTCTGCCTGGGTAGAAAACCGCGGCCATTGAAAGCAAGTTGGGCATAATCCATCTAGGTCCCTCTAGCTTGATATCGACTAGGTACATTTTTCATTGCTATCTATCTACGAGTGGTAAATCCAGGACAACCCCATACCCTTTTCAAACTTGAATTGGATCTCATCACTCTCTATCTTTGTCGGTGTTGTACTGGTCCCTGCGTCTACGTATCTTTATGTCTTGGCCTCTCTGTGCTGTAGCTGCCCCATTAAGATCTCGTTTATCCTATACTGGACTGCGAGACTCGATAGAAACAATGAAAAACATGTTGGCAGCTTCAGAAATTCTCTCTTCTTTTTTGAAGGCCATATGATCAACATCCATGTATCTCAAATATCGAATCCTTTCTCTCGCAGGGCCCATGATGTAAGGTGTTTGCATTGTTTGGCTGACCACGTGGGCCAGCCCCACTAAAACCTGGAACCGCACGGAGCCTAACCCACACTATACCCAATGGGGCTAGTCCCACTTCAGATCCATGCATACTGCAGGATGCGGCCAAAATACAAATTTGTATAATTATGGGAACCTTTAGGAAGGCAATCCTTTGCGGACAAGTGACTCTGGGGCTTTATAGTTTGGAGTCAAACCTTTCATTTGGTTATAATTCAAAGATTCCATCGCTTGGAGTTTTGTGGGGTACAGATGCGCAGAGCGCATACATATTTTACGGACAGCCATGGACAATACGGCATGATTGAAGAATATCGTATGTAATACAGCTGGTTATGCAAAAAGTTCCGAGCTGCACCAATACACAAGCAATAGAGTAAGCTTGAACATCAGCTGGAGTTTCCACAGTAGTGATATCAATCTCGAATAATGGAGGTCGATAACGGAGGATCGTGGATCAGGAGGCAATACCTGAATTCTGAAATTGGCGTGCGAGCTTCACAAGAAAAGCTTTTGCTTTATGATAACAAGACCTCGTAAGATGGAAAAGTCGGGAAAATTTGGCTTGTGTCGGCTGGCTAGATGATTCGCCAATACACTAACGTATCGCGTGGGCTACATGAAAATTTCCAATCGACCAAGTGACCATTTGATTTTTCTAGACAGCGAGAATACCACGATAGATTCGGAAATACAGGTTTCCCAGAATGGATGGTGAGGGAACGCCTGTGAGTAGCATCAGTCTATAGTGGGGATAAGTTTGCGACGCCGAACCCACATCATCAAATTCCAAAACCCCTGTGGACAGGTTCACCATATATAGCCCCAAAGAAGCATTGCTTAATCATTCATATTTTGAAAAAATCTCTGAAGTTTGAGCACATCTAGAAAGGTGGGGCGGAGCGCTAGAACAATCTTGAGTCCTGAAACAGTGTCTTCCTGTCATGCTGTTTAGTGCTGGCAAAGCAGCAAAGCTCATTCGATAACTAACCTGTCATCAAGAAAGAACATTATACACCCAGGATTTTTCTTAAATATTACGACGAAACAATAATTCAATCTGTGTTGGGGTTCTTCGTTGATATTCAACAAATATGCCGCGTTGCTGAATTAGTGCATAAATATCTGAACGAATAAGATATTTCGAATAATAAGAAAGATGTCCAGAAATAAAACCTTCTAATCTTGGTAGACGTTAACCGGGATGGTGGTGGGGAAATATAATATTTTGGGTATAAGTGACAGTCACTGTTGCGACATGACCTTAGTTGTCGGAGAGGTGGCCCGGGGAGATCAATTGATAATCGCAGGCAGCATGAAGAAAGGAAGATAAAATCCAGCAAATATTAAATGACAGAAATCTCCAAGTCACGACGACTCGAAAGAGGGTAAATACAAGCATTGACGGTGGGGAGAGTGACAGGGGGAAGACAACAAGCGCGGGCAACGGGGCAGGAGGGCGAAGAGGGTCCCGAGGAAGCAAAAGCGGTTTTTCTGCTGGGCTTTTGACTTCCCGCTGCTCCTCCTCTCCGCCAATCAGCGTCCACCGCCGATTCGCGGTTGATCTACCGCTTCCTCCTCTTTTAGGCCTTTCAACCTTTCGGCTTCCTGCTTTCTCTCCTTCCCCCCAATTCTCCTTCAACGCGACTTGCGCGTCCACCATCCCATTTTCACCACCACCTTTGTTCCAGCTTTGGTCACTGGTACTGCCATACGGCTATTCAACACGCGTCTCTCCGGTAAGTCCGCCTCGATTCTATCGTTACGCCTTCGCGATCCACCCACTGTGGCCCTGGTCGCCTCGATCAGCTTCCGCCGAGTTTCAACCCCGTCGACTAGGATCGCTTCAAGCTATACACAGTCTACCAAGATTATATTGCCATCTCTACTTATTTCATACTTCCTACAACAGTGGGACGTTTTCTGCATGATCGGACGTAATCCGCTAACTGAAGTCGCGTGCTATTTTAGTCGGTTCATGTTCGAACTTGTCCACAACCTTTACCGGTAGCCCGGCGCGTGTCGGCACGACAGTTAAGATATAATGGTATGCAATTTCACTTACACTCGACACCCATCGTCCACGTCACCGGCGGCAGAACTATAAATGGCGGTGGAACATTTGGCTAAGATTGCAAATCCAGGTCCTATTTAAACGAAAGCCAGTCCAATACCTGCCACGGCCGGTCATTGAAGATGACAACTCTGAGGTACACCCGTGTCACCAATTCCCCCGGGATTCAAAGGATCAATCTTGTTAATACCGCCTTAGGTCTGGGTTATCCCAGAGACCAGCGAGGTGTTCATGAGTTATGAGCCCTATCTCCAGCGCATGGACTTTTATAAACAACGCCGGTTTATTTGTGAAATCACTGGTCATTCGGGCTTAAACTTTTTCGAGGCTTTTCGGAGTGAGGTAGGTTTCATGGGAATCCTGTGTTTGGTACATGAGAGGCGGATACTCATTCTCGAGTAGATGGAAGAGTCGCGTGAGGTGAACAACAGCTTCCCGGAAGCTTTGAAGGAGCCGATCTTGCGTCGAATCCAATTTGCAACAACCTCACGAGTTGACAATCTGGGTATGTCCTGTGAAGCTCTACGATGTACCGCGACTAAGCTAATTGTTTCTTTCCATGCAGTGGATGAGGTTTACGAAGTGAGATGAATTGATCGGTAGAAACGCGTTTACGGATAAACTAACCGCAACGTCAGGAATTCAAGCAGGATTTCTACCCCGGGGAGCCTGTGGTCATCCTGCTGCAGGATAGTACCAGACTCCACGGCACCATCAGGGACAAGGCCAACTTTGCTGAGCAGCTCTTTGCGGATGGGACTATCAAGACCCCTGCGTATGCTCGGTATTTGGTGAAGATCTCGGACCGTCCCAACGAGGAAGCGCTGTTGGACCAAGACCATATTACGCGTGATCGCAAGTCATTCACAAAGTTGATGCTGCGCGGCTTCATTAAGAATAATGTGACCCGAGAGTCATGGACTGGTGCACCTTGGCTGGTGAAAGCGTCGATTGCAGAGGAATACAAAATCTCCACCGAGGTTCCTAAGCACCTACAGTACGGCGCAAAGGTAGCCGAGAAGAAGGCGATGAAGAAGGCAGACCAGGATGGTTTCTTCGGATTCTTCTCCTCTCAACAGTTGCCGGAACTGAAGCCAGCTTTCAAGGGACAGAAATCTAAGTTTTCAGCAAATGATACGGCCAAAATCAGAGAAGCCCAGTATCAAGAATATCAGCGATCGCTAAACGGAAATCCCTCGTTTCTGTCCCCAAACAACCCACTCCGCCCAACCAAACCGCCGCTGGTCGGTGACAAGAAAATGCCCCCTCCTGCAGTTGTTATCAAGAATGAATCAAGACCCTCATCACCACCACCGATCAAATACCCTATTGAGGATCTCGAGCTCGCCCCACGCCATGACAAAAATCCTCGTCCCACTTTGAAGCTTTTGATGCTAGGCGAGTCGGAGGAGGATGGAGCTGAGGACCTTTTGCCGGATGACTTGGAGCCGGAGTCTGTCGGATTGCTTCTCGAGACTTGGAACACCCTCAATGTCTACTGTGAGGTGTTCCAGCTGGATTCGTTCACGTTCGATGATTTTGTTCAAGCTATGCGCTTTTCATCAGAGGAAATCGACTGTGAGTTGCTGGTCGAGCTGCACTGTGCCATTCTGAAGAAGCTTGTCAACGCAGAAGACCAAGGCGGCGCAATCCAGATCTCTCTTCCAGATTTCCCCACCGAAGATTCCGATGACTCCGAGGATGACGATGAAGAGGAAGATGAAGATGAGGAAGACGAGGAACAGCCGGAGAAAGCTCCTCGCATGACTACTAGGGGAAGTCTCGCCAAAAAAGAAGCTGAGAGCTTGAAAGCACAAATTGACGAGGAGGAGCCTGAAGAAGAGCGCATTCATCGTGCTGATGAAATGTTCGAGAAGTACGGGTGGATTGATCGCTTGCGGAAACGCGACTTCCGCAATGGTGGATGGGAGGTTGTCATGATTGGCCTGCTGCATCAATTGTCTCTTCGACCACGTTCTGAAAAAACCTGCAACGACATCCTACAACACCTTGCCCCGCTCGATGAAGAACCGACCCAGCAGACCGCCAAGTCACAATACCGCACACTTGATATCAATTTGCGTGTCAAGGCTCTTCAAATGATGACCATGCTTTGTCTTGAGACCAAAGCAATTCGCAATTACCTTGAGGAATGTAGCAACCAGATGACAGAATTCCGCAAGGAAAAGATTGAACACCAGAAGGCTCGCAAATCATTGTAAGTACAAAGGTATTCCCGATGGAAATTGCCGAACTAATACTTTAATAGATTGAGTGAACTTCGTCAGTTGCACCAGGAACGAAAGGCGCTCCAGCCGGAACCTGAGAAATCGCCCTCGCCCATACCGGAACTGGAAGGAGAGAACATGGATGATTCAAAGATGACTGGAATCGAGGGTGATTCCGAGATCCCCATGGATTCAGAGGACGAAGACACGCCCAGACCACGTGCCCTTCGTGGTGGAGTTGATCGTGCCCTTGAACGTAAGCGAAGGCAAGAGGTAGAACGAGAACGCAAGGAACAGCTAGCCAAGCAGCCCAAGGGTACTAAGCAATACCAGCGGGTCCTGAAGAAGATCGACGAGCTGAAAGCCAAGATCGCTAAGGCTGAGGAGGAGATTGAAAATGTGGACAATGATTTGCGTGAGGCTGACTGCCCCCGGACCCGATGCCTCGGATTGGATCGTTTCTGCAATCGGTACTGGTGGTTTGAGCGCAATGCCATGCCCTTTGAAGGCATGCCGAATAGCTCGACTGTTGAGGCCCGATACGCAAATGGTCGCCTTTGGGTGCAAGGCCCTGACGAGCTAGAGAGCGCCGGCTTCATCAACCTGACGGAAGAACAACGCAAACAGTACCACAAGCATTTTCAGACCACCCCGGCTGAACGCAAGAAGCACGAGGAAGGTTCTACCCACGTATCAAATGCCCGTGAATGGGGTTACTACGATGATCCGGACTCGATTGACTCACTGATCGAGTGGCTGGATCCACGAGGCAATCGCGAATGCAAGCTACTAAAGGAACTTCATTTGCAGAAGGGGTACATTGTTAAATACATGAAGCATCGCCAGGCCTACCTGTCAGAGAACACCGAGCGGGCCGAGTCTGAGGAAATGCCCACCAAGCGGGTCACCACGCGCACCAAGACTTACGTGGACGTCAACGAACACCGTCTTCGTTGTCTTCGGTGGAGGAACACGACTGCCTTAACCGAAATTGGACATCTTCACGTCGACCCCGACCGACCAGCCAAGCGCAAGCGGAACACCGATGATATGCGCGAGATCAAAGCCACTCGAGGCAAACCCTTGACCCGAAGGGGTTCGCGTCGAGGATAGAATGGTTTGTTTTCTCTTGGTTTGCCTTGACCATATCACGCGACCACGACTTTTTGCCGTTTTAAGGTGTATTACTGTTTTTCTTTATCCCTATTGGGATCGGTTGATGTGTATACATTCTGTGCATTTTTGGAGACTGGAGGAGTCGAGAAGGCTGGTTCATTTTACAATATTTCACTTGGTTTTTTATCATTCTTGTTTCCAGGGGGAGGATCAATATGCACATATAGACCAATAACCAATCGCTGATCATTGCACCGCTCGGGACTCGTCGGGTTCTTTTTCTGCCGCCACTTAACTCGGTCCGTACAACTTCCCTCGGCTACTCGCGGTGCGTCATTGTCGCCTCTGCCTTTTCATGACTTAACCCCATATTCTTACCCCGTTCCACCTTTACACCTCAGGATTAACTTATTAATTTTTATTCTGATACCCTTGGCGACCGTATCATTTATCACGAAATTGCTAAACTGCTGCGTGACGTGAGTAGTGTAATCTGAGAATCAGCCGCTAGCCCCGAGAAAATCCTAAGCTTTGCTTGCCGGGCTATCGCCGAGAGTCACGAGGGGGAAGAACCGTTTTCCCCAGACCCTCTTTTTTGCCCCCAGCCTCGATCTCACCACATCTCTCTCATGTCGACCGGCGCGACAGATCATGCCAACCTAGATCCCATCTTTACGCAGTCTCGCTATCCTTTCAAAAACAGTGCGGAATCAAGTCCGCAGCACAATCCGCAGATGAGTGAGATCGCACATCCCCAGTCGGCGGGCCCCATTGCAGGCGGAGCGAGCTTAAAAGCCGCCCCCCATACAAGCGCAGATGGACGAAAAACTGGTAGCCCGGTCAAAACGCGGAGTGTGGACTATATCTTGCGGAGTGGTCTTGCTGGAGGTTTGGCGGGCTGTGCGGTAAGTGCGCGAGAATCGCCGAGCACACGGTCATCCATGAAAAACGAAAAACAAAGAGGAAAATACTGATCTGAGACACGAAATAACAGGCCAAAACTGTCGTTGCGCCACTAGATCGAGTCAAGATCCTTTTCCAAGCCTCAAATCCACAATTCGCCAAATACACAGGCAGCTGGGCAGGCCTGGCGGCTGCCATCCGGGACATCAAGCGCTATGAAGGCACCCGCGGCCTCTTCAAGGGCCATTCTGCTACACTCCTCCGAATTTTCCCCTACGCCGCAATTAAGTTCCTTGCCTACGAGCAGATTCGTGCCATCGTGATCCCCTCCCACGATAAAGAAACCGCCATCCGCCGCTTGATATCTGGTAGCATGGCCGGTATCACGTCCGTCTTCTTCACATACCCATTAGAACTGGTCCGAGTACGGCTTGCCTTCGAGACCAAGCAATCATCCCGGTCATCATTAAGGGACATCTGCCGCCAAATCTACAATGAACACGTTATGCCCCCATCTACGGGCGGTGCCGCAGCCCAAGCATCTTCTTCGACAGCCGCCGCCGCCGAAACCGTCTCTTCAGCCGTTAATTCGGCTGTGCCTCGTTCAGGCCTTGCGAACTTCTATCGTGGCTTCGCCCCGACCATCCTTGGCATGCTTCCCTACGCGGGCATGTCGTTCCTCACACACGACACGATCGGAGACTGGCTTCGTGACCCGTCTGTGGCGAAATACACAACCCTCCCCGACTCCCAAGCCACGCCTTCCAACAAGAGCTCTCGACATCCTCAACTAACAGCCGCCGCGGAGCTGTTCTCAGGTGCCATTGCCGGTCTTGTTTCTCAAACCTCCTCATACCCCCTTGAAGTGATTCGGCGGCGAATGCAGGTCGGCGGTGCAGTCGGCGATGGCACCCGGTTCGGAATCATCCAAACTGGTCGCAAGATCTGGCTCGAGCGCGGATTCCGCGGATTCTGGGTTGGTTTGACCATTGGCTATATGAAGGTTGTACCCATGGCAGCCACCGCTTTCTTTGTTTATGAGCGATTAAAGTGGGCATTGAGCATCTAAATGCGTACATTGCCTTGATCCCCCGTTTCACCTTACCCAAAACTTCTTCCATCTCGGGGCCTCTTTACTTGTCTTCTCCGCTTACATATCTCAAATGTGTTTCGGTGATAGATTACACATTTTTGCTGGTGCGATTGTTGGCATCCCCGCTTGATTCCCGCTGTTGGCGTTCTTGTATATCCTTTTTGGCTTGGGACCTTTCTTTTTCATTTCTTAGCATTAGAGGAGCTAATGATGGCTCACTTGGAGATACACCGAAAGATGCACATATGATTCTGTTTCCAGGATTTCATCTCCGATATTGAGAGATCGGTATAGATCTCTTCGTAGTTTTTAGATATGCATTTCGTCGCCATCCCCTTGCATGGATATATGAAAGGTTTCCTCATCGGTATTTGAACCTGGGGACTACGTAATGACCTCATAGCAACTGCCAATCTAAGGTTCCACAAATTTGTTGTCACCAGCAATTCGTTCTACAATATTCAGCACCTTAGACACTATTATCAGAATCGAATTTTCTCAAAGGCAGAAAAGCTAGTGAACTACCGAAGAGTACGGAGACAGCGGCTTGGGCGAGTTCTATCAAGAGAATCTTCTTCAAGTCTATTCTGGAGGTCGATGGTTCGAAGACTTCCACATTTTTGAGGCACTTTCAACATCTACGTTCCCTCAATTCTGGTGGGATTGGATATTATCTATTCATTTCAGGAGAAACAATAAAATACATTTCCATCACTACGTATATCCTCTATAGATGATGTGAGTAATTAGCGGATCCGGGTGGTCCGTGCGTTGCTCCGGGCTCCGCAAAAAAAAGTTGAAGATCAAGAACTTTCCCACTACATACGCCCTATACACAATGACAACTCGCAAGCACAACGATTTTCTGGACGTCGCTGCCAGTGATGATGAAGTTGATCGCGGATATGACTCTGACGAGAAAGTGGCGAGCAAGGGCCGAGCGGTGAAGCGGAGAAAGAGAGCGGCGGATACCCAAGACTTCTTTGGCTTGCAGTCTGACGAGGATTCAGAAGGCGAGGACTCGGAAGTGGAAGAGTCGCACTTGAAGGGCAAGGCGCGCAAGCAAACCAAAGCTAAGGCATCCTCTGCATCGGACGACGAGAAACGCGACGACGACAGTGACGATGCCGAAGAGGGTGGAGTCGACCTTGATGACGACGAAGAAGGCGCATATCCCGAAACTGGCACCACAAAATCGAAATCAAAGGCCGTGAAGCCGCTGTCTGATCTCAAGAAAATTGGAAAGCAGAAGAAGAAGCAAAAGCTTGGAGTGGTATATCGTAAGTTTCGCAGATGATCTCTGTTTGGGAACCAGAACTAATCCTATCAATCAGTATCCTCTCTTCCGCCATACCTAAAGCCGATGGCTCTCAAATCTATTCTCGAGAAGCGCGGCTTTCCTCTCACCAAGGTTTTCCTCTCGAAGCGCGTCAACGACTCGAAGCAGAGAAAATCCAATAAGAGACAATTGTATACAGAGGGTTGGGTAGAGCTGCGGAAGAAGGATGCGAAGATTATGGCGGAAACGCTTAACGCTCAGACAATTGGTGGTCTTGGGTAAGTTAATTCTCTACAGATGAACAAAAGACTCTACTAACATAGCCCAGCTACTATCGTGATGACCTGTTCAACATGAAATACCTTTCTGGGTTCCGTTGGGATGATCTGACCGAGCAAATAAACCGCGAGAGAGCAGAGAGAGAATCGAAACGGCGAGTTGAAGATGCAAGGGCACACAAGGAAGAGAAGATGTTCTTGGCTGGTGTTGAGGCTGGAAGAATTGCGGATGGTATGGCGAAGAAGAATGAAGAGAAGAGAAAACGCAAGTTGGAGGAGGCTGGCAAGGATGCCGATGCTGTTGTTGAGAAGAAACCGGTTGTGCGGAGACGATTCGTGCAAAATGACGTTGTGAAGCCAAAGCAGGATTCCAATACCGTTGGGGATGAGACAAAGCGGGTGCTTGGAAAGATTTTCTGATTTTCCGAGGTCTTCCTCTCATTGGAATAAAAACATGCATATTTTATCTATTCTATTAGGGTTCTTTTTTGCGATATCCATGTGCATTTGATCAATGAAAATATATGCATTGAATGCCTATTCTTCGGTTCTCATAGTCAAGCATAGTGCAAGCCTGAGGCTTATTCCTTCTCCATACAATGTATCAACACCGTCAACGTCAAGCTTAGTCAAAAGCCCAAAGAATGATAACGGAAATTTGATCGGCGCAGCTTTATTTCTGGATGACTCAGCCTGTTTGTCTTCTTTGCACCCATTATCGCCGCTCTGTCTCCGAAAGCAAGAATTGTGTTTCGTACAAGCATCATCGCACCCACTATGAGTAGAGCGCTGCTTCGAGGGGCCGTGTGCCAATCCTGTCGCCATGAAACGCTCCGATCGTTTATCGCCGTATCAGGCCTACCGATGCCGCGATACACTTCTCATCTGCACTCCAGCTTGAACGCCAGAGCTTTCTCCGCTGTAGCGCCAAAGCGATCTGATCGTCCCCCTATCTCGAACCCTTCAGATATCAATTTTTCGCCCCTAGAATCGAATTCGGAAACGGCTCCAGAATCAGCTGCAGAAAATGAGAACAATGAGCCTGCGGAAACACAGGTTCCTTGGTACTTGCAGGAAGAATCGCCAACCAGAAAAGTCCGCCCAATAATTGGAGATCACATTCCCAAGCTCCCAGATAACTCCCCAGCTATGCTGCCGAACCTCATGGAGTACACATATCAAGAAATTGGTCTGGATGAATTGAAACTTTATGATCTTCGCGGTCTTGACATCCCGGCGGCCTTGGGCGCCAATGTCATTATGATCATTGGTACCGCTCGCAGTGTGAAACACTTGAATGTTGCCGCCGATCGCCTGTGCCGTTGGCTCCGCAGTACGTACAAGCTTTCGCCGTATGCCGATGGACTACTGGGTCGCAATGAGTTGAAGATCAAGCTTCGTCGCAAAGCCAAGCGCGCTCGTGCCGCTAGCCACGCGGGTACCATGATCGATGAAAAAGACGACGGAATCACCACAGGTTGGATCTGTGTGAACATGGGTGTAGTCGATAAGGATGTTGCCAGTCCCCAGCTCAGCGAGGTTGGGTTTGAGGGATTTGGCCAGCTTGATACCGGAACAAGCGTGGTGGTTCAGATTTTCACCGAAGAAAAGCGGGCTGATGTTGATCTGGATGGTCTCTGGCAAGGCACTTTGGATCGAGCTGAGCGCAAGAGACTTCAAGACGCCTCAGAGCCTGCCCCCAAGACAGCACCTTCAATCAATAGCCGCGGAAGCATGAGCATCCCTGGGGGTCAGCGTCGAGGTATTCACACTGAGCGGCAAGGCAAGGTAAGCGCCAGCCAAGCTGAAGCTCTGGAAGATTCATCTTCTTCCCGGAAGTCCCCGGGATTTGGCATGAGCACCGAGTCGTTGATGCAGAAGCTAGTCGGTCTCCCTTATGATAACGCTCGGAGTGAGCTTGGAACCGGTCCAGAGGATTACAATTCCACTCTTTTCCTGCAGCTTCTTTATGCTAGCTTACCAGCCGGGATTTCTGCCGCAGAAAAAGCTGTTCTGCGATTGAGACTGCACTCAATTGCGGTCTCTAGACAACACTCTGGATACAGCAAGGATGCCCTATTCAGCACATTCAACAAATTCCTTGCTGACGGTTATCAACTGTCCGATGAACTTGGCTTCAATGTTGTCGCCGCTCTTTTGACGCCACGCCTGGAACCGTCTTCTCAGACACCTGCGCAGTTCCTACCTGAAGCCGACGTTGAGCTGGCCCTCCAGGTGCTGGAACGCCTGAGTCTTCGTGGTGTGCCCATTCTTAATATGAAAGTTTTTAATATGTTATATGATGTGGTCAACACTCCAGCTGCGCCATGCGTATCTCCTGAAGAGGCCGAACGAGCCGCAGGTGACAAGCGTCAGATGTTGATTCGTCTCTCTAAGATCGCCGCCGAGGCAGAGGTTCCCTTTGATGCGGTCGAGGCCCGCAAGCTTATGTTCACCCAGTTCCGGTGCCAAGATTACGATGGTTTCTGGCGACTATGGCGCCTGTTCCCTCTGAAGAATGCTACTCGTACCCAGGCAGATTATGCCCAACTGTTCCAACTCCATGCGGAGCTTGGCGAGGAGCAACGGGCCCGCGACCTCCTGTCTGCTTGGGTGCCTATGATGCGTCGGGAAATGACTCCAATCATCCTCCAGGGTCCAATTGTCAATGCTATCATGCATTGTATCCTGGTGGCAGACCCGGAGATTCAGCACCGAGCTGAGGACGGTTCCACCAGCTACTTTATGGACCTGTGGGCCCAGTGCCAACGAGCACTGGCACAGGCCGAAGAAATGATGGAAGAACATTGAATGTAATAAATATTACGTTATGTATTATAATCAAACATATACCTTGTATCAACTTGTCACCTGGGCATCGTCTTGTATTCTGGATTTTGGTTGTCAAATGTAGTTCAGCTCGGGCAAGTTGAGCCTCGGCTGCTGATCACTGGATCCGGCCATGAGGATTGGACCTCCGCTCTCCGTCTCCGCAAAACAACCCTCCAACTTTCTCATCTCCAGTCTAGGATGACCGGTGCTCCTCACAATGGAGTACCTTCCTAGTCTTCAGCAAGAGTTCGATGAACACAAACCATCGCTGTTCGGTAAGTCCCGACCCACCGCGCAACCTCGCGGGGAAAGCCACTCGAAACCCGGGGAACTGTCACACCTAGGCGGCCTCACTAACAGAATCATCGCGTACACCTAGAACTCCTTGCTGAACAACAATTGTCTGACCTACTACCGCCATCCCTCCGATACCTACTCGCAGTCGCGACACACCGCCACCCGCGGTACTTACTACGGATTCTGAATTCATATGACGAGGTCTACGCCCTCGTCTCCCTAGTCGTCGAACGCTATTACCTCCGTACATTCGGCGGCTCCTTCACCGAAAACTTCTATTCTCTCAAACGCGAGCGCGTTCTCCGTACAAAAAATGGCGAGGTCCCCCGCGCTCAGGTCGGCGCTGGCGGCCCCGTGCGCGACGCCCTTAAGTTACACTCCGCCGACGTGTGGAAGAATCTCCTTGTCATGGTCGGAATACCTTACTTGAAACGCAAACTCGATGAAGGATACGATATTCACGCGGCACCGCAAGCGTCCCTGGTTCTAGGCGGGGGACCACGATATAACCCCAGCGATGATCTGCCTCCGCACCCGACAGTGCGCCAGCGCATCTTTCACTACTACAAGTGGTTCCTGCGCAACATATACCCGTCCGTGAACGCGGCATATTATTTCTCGATTTTGGCTTTTAATCTTGCCTACCTATTCGATAACACGAAATACTCATCCCCTTTCCTTTGGCTCATTGGATCGCGCATTCGCCGCCTCGGAGCCGCAGATCACCGTGCCATTGCCGAGGTGCTGGATCCAAAGCCTGCCCCCGCTGGTAGCAGCAGATCCCAGCGACCTGGATCAGGCCTTATGGGCCTTCTTAGCCCCCAGAATCTATCACCACCCCTCCTCACTTCCCTACGCTACTTCCTCCCAGCATCCATCTTTGCCCTAAAGTTCCTAGAATGGTGGCATGCCAGTGACTTCTCGCGGCAATTAGCCCGCAAAGCCACCGAGGTTCTGGATCTACCTGCGCCGGTGGTCTCAGGCTTAACGAACCCGGCCGAACGACGAAAAGCCGGCCAAGAAGATAAGGAGAAGAAGCAGACTGAAGAGAAGAAAGCTGCTGGCGATCTTAAATCTGCTCTCAAACCAGCCCGTCGCCAGAAATACCCTATCTCTGCTACTTCCTACCTCCCCATCTTCACTGTTCCCTTACCACCAGCAGACACCTCAAGCGCGAATACTTGTCCCGTTTGCTTGAATACTCTTGTCAACCCGACAGCCTGCCAAACGGGTTATGTGTTCTGCTACGTGTGCATCTTCCATTGGATCAATGGCGAACACCAACGCCAGTTGGATTTCATGAACGGGGAAGGAGCCGGTGCGGCCTGGGAAGAAGAAATCATGGGCGACGACGATGAGAAGAACTCAAATGAGACTGAGGGAGAGAAGGGCTCTCGTAAGCGTGGCGGGAAATGGGAGAGTGGCAAGGGGAGATGCCCTATCACTGGCAGACGAGTCCTTGGTGGGACTGAGGGCTTGCGACGTGTGCTAATTTGATGTATATATACCTGGTTTAGCGCTATTGTTAGAGGAATTTGTCATTTAACGAGAATTAGGCTGATTCTCTCATTCTCTCGCCATTTCCTCCATTTACACTTGGTTTACATTCAATGCAACAAGCTTTAGCATTCCATTAACCGGCCTGACGACGTGATAAATAACACACATCACGACAGGACCGTGACCACCATCAAGCTTAAATCGACGAAATCATTAAAAACATACTCGAAGAAAACTGTGGAACTCCATAGGTGCATGGAAAGACTTCCCAAAACTTTCTTCAACATAAAGATAATTACCTATTATATGCTTCACCCTTATCCAGTAAAAAGGGGATTCATTATAGCCGACCCATATCACTTTTTGCTCACTACCAGAGTGAGACTTAATAGTCATTAGAAACGCTGAAATCCACCATATGTCCGAGCGTGACCAGCACCAACACTTACGGACACGGAGAAGACTCTTTGAAAGTACGAGACCCGGGAGTCTGTATATTAAAATCCCCCTCTTCAATCCCAGGCCAAAATGCATCAATATACAACGGAGGCTTCATGGGATGAGACCCCAAGCGACTAGAACGGGCCGAGGGGAAAGGTGGATCCGAAGGCTCATGCAAAGGCTGACTAGACTTAGGACTAAAGCCTAGTGAGCTCTTTACGCGGCGGGGAAGTCCAGATTCCATAATCAGCTTCGAAAGACATGGCATACTGAAGATAAGGAAGCCGCAGGTCATTTCAGCGCAAGCCCAGAATAGTAGTGGTCCAATACGATAGATGGTATCAGATGACTTGGCAAATGAGACCGTATGAGCTAAACGGAAGCATGCAGCGATGGAGGCACTGTAAGGAAGAATCGTTAATATTTGGACAAGATTAATTTTGATCGTAGATGATAGTTTAGGACTCACAGTATACCCACACTGAAGATAATTGAAACACCAATCTTCTTTTGCCAATTAATCCGTAATCCCCAGATGGTCTTTTGCGGAAGGACGAACATTATTATATCGGTTGCCACCTGGACGCTGGCGGATGTAAGCATCACGTCTGGTAGAGAGTAGCATGTGCTTGGAAGGTAGAATTTCCAGATGGCTTCATGGGGTCTGCATTGTAGATTCAATAGGATAATGCAGACTGCCCCCCATAGGCATTGTAGACATATTATAGCGACGCAGCCCCACCAAAAGGGGTTTTGAGTGCGGTTGAAGTGGACAAATATTCTGCACCAGTCCAATAAGATCGCAGTCTTGATCAGCGGAAGAACTGCTGAGTAGCAGCATCCATAGACAAGGATCAGCTGTCGATATAGATAAGCCCAACTCTACATTCCTTTGCAGCAAATGAGTAACATTCCAAACATACATAGAGAGGTCGAATGAGGTCCTTATTGCGTAGGTTCCAGGTGTGAACGAAGTAACCCGGAGAATAGATTAAAGCATAGGCAGCGTATGCAGTACCACAATAGGCGCCCTATGAAAATAAATCAGCTTGACTGCGTGGCCAGGATTAATATAGCGGGAGGCCATACATATGCACATATCATTAAAACTAAACAAAGAAAGAGAAGAAGCATTTAGTCTTGGTTTTACAGCCATAGACTCAGATGTAGACTCACCCTCTTCCGCGCACATCTTTTTCTCCAGCCACACTCGAGCAGACAAACGTAAGAAAAGGCATATTGTGGCGATCCCAAGACATAGGGTTGTCACTCCCCATGCAATAGTATTGCTTTTAGGTGGGTTGTCAAAGTTTGCCGTGACACCGGGTGGTGCTGGGAGAGCTGGCTGGGCCAGCAGTGTAGCCAGCGCTTCTGCCGACATCTTGCGCGACAAGTCCGTCACGGACGATGAGGAATTGAACAGTGATTCTCATTGAGTTAAGTTTGTTTTACTTTGGAATGTTGGAGCTGTCAGCTCATATATTGAACTCATGATCCGATGATCGTTGATGGCGGCCGCCGAACCATGGTTTAGCCCAGGGATTAGAGCATCAGGATCCGCCACATCATGATTTCTCCCAATGGAAGAGCTAGCATTTTATTCCCGAACCTCCATGACGTGGGAAATTTATAGCACCCGATCTGTAGCTCTGTTAAATGTTACTTTTTTTTTTTCTCAAAATAGCCCGATGTGGAGCCACTAGAATTAAGATTTTCTTCGTTCGCAGTAATGCGCAAGATCCAGTCAAATCAGCCGTCTTCAGAATAAATGAAACCTTGAAAAGTTCCTAAGTCTGTTTCTCGTTCTGCACTCATGTTGGGTGTTAAGAGCCCATTATCATCATTGTTCCGTGTCGATAAATTTATGCTGCAGAAATACAGATGACTATACACATAACCCTGAAACGCCTGGCCAGTTTGGTCGATCGTAGCGATATAGTGGACACATGTCAACGCTAGGAGACTTGAAAACATAAGAATAAAACAAGACTGAGACCAGCTCAGGTGAAATCATAATTTCCTTCGGAAGGACTGCCATACTCGAACTTCGAGAGTAACTCGGCATCATGTTGCAAGTCATGCGATGGTGGGTTCATAAGTCCTAGTACCTCCTGTCGAAAGGGATCAGAACCGTCATCAACCATCATTTGGTATGCATTATTGGCCGTGTGGTATCGCATCGTATCATCAAAGTTTGTCATGCCCATATTGTGACCTTGGGGGAAGGCACCGGCCATGGCGTTCTGTTGTTGGTAGCGCCGCAGCTGTTGCTGCAGTTGCATGATATGAGGGTCGAGAGGCATCGGAGTGAAGTTCGCCATAGGATGTACCGGTCCAGGAACATTAGCTGGGACGTTCCCTGGTACTGCCTGGTTCATGAAGGGATGATGGGCTGGGGAGTCGTCGGGTGCTTCGTCCATGTCTTGAGAGACATCCACATGCTCGTCGCCATGGTCCATGCTGTCGTCTACCATGTCTGACGTGTCAACAGAAGGCGACTCATCCTCTTCCTTAGTTCCTGGGATAGGCGGTGCCTTGAGGGTTTCCTTGCATTGAGGACAATCACGAATCACCCGGTTGACAGTTTCCTTGATCCGTACCCAGTGGTATTTGATGGCAATGGCAGCAGTGGTTTTGTTGATACCCGCGTGTTGCCTGAGGTGGACTTCCTTAGCAATCTCATACTGCTGCTGTGGATCTGAGACAACCTCTTTGTCCTTGAGCATCAGTTTGTCGGGGTCTCCCTCTTCGCCCTCGATCAGCTTGTAGTGGGTGGCCGCGCTACGCAGCCGACTCTTCTCGGCGCGATCTGCACCCCGGGGATACTTGGAGTGCTTCAGATAATACCGAATCTTCTCAAATCTGTCCTGTGATACAGAATCCTCGCCGTCCAAGCTGAGACCCCGTCCGTAAATGATCGCATCCACAAACTCCCCTGGTTGAGACTTGAGCCTTCCTCCGCCTGGAATTCTGCCGATGCGCTTGAACCCAAGGGAATCCCAAAGACGACATGATGCAACATTGCTCTCGTAGACCAGGTTAAATACCGCATATGTATAACCCTAATTTAGATGTTCAGTTTCCAGTTGTGCTAGTATTAAGGATATCAGGATATACTCACTAGTCGAGGTGCCCACTCCAGATAACCTTCACCCATCAACCTACCTACACCCTTGTTTCTGGCGGCATCTGTAACAATAAAAGTACCATTGCAAACATGGCTACTCCAGCCAGGGTAGTTAGGCCGAATATGAAAGCCACCTAGACAGATCTTGGTCCAATTGGCACCGGCCTTGTCCATGGCATGTGTCTGTTGTACACTCTGGATATCACCGAGCAGCATGACCACACCAAAATTAGAGAACCAATAGCGACTAAACTGGGCCAATGGGATCGGCTCAGACATGGCATAGGTGTCACCCTTTTCAATCTCCTTGTTGAATTGGTCAGAGAGATACTTTAGTAGGGGTCGGGGCAGATCATCCCCCGAGGCGAATGGCATCAAGGTTGCCACCGTTACCCGATCGCGGAGCGTGACTTGTCGCGGCGCCAGCGCCAGAGGATAGTCCAGCTCCTGACCTGTCGGAACCATCTCTGCATCTCCATGGAGTTCAGACATGATGGATAGAATGTACTATAGTTGGGGTCAGTGCTGATCACGGGACTGGTTGCCATATTAGTCAATCAGTTCTTTCAAATGTTTCTGACGAGGCATTGAAAAAGATAGAGGAAATATGATAGACACTGAGTGCTCATGAGGAGAGCCCTGAAATGTTCTTGACTACACCAGAATCACCAAGGGGCTAACACTGACATTCTGCTCTGCTTCTAGAAGCCTTTGGCACTTCGTGGACCGCGTGAGTATTCTCGAGTCCGGAATCGCTGCAACGCAAGTTAGAGAAGCCGTGGTCCCTGCTGACTCATTGGCTGACTCATCGGGCCACAAGGTGTCAATGTTAGCCCAGCACTGTTGTTGCCTCAGGCGGAAAAGTCAATACTTCTCTCACTTTCTTCCAATCATAACCATCCATTAACACGCTCATTGTTATTTGTACTTTGTATTTCTCTGAGTCTTCTAACTTATTCCAGATACCCTGACTTCTCTCTCTTCTCCCATCGCAAGATTGTTTAAATTTCTCGTACTATCACAGCCCACCCCAACAAGGGTATGTCCATTGTTTTGTCAAAATCTAAAACTACCTGACGCCGTTCACTTGGCAAATTAAACCTCCACGAGGCTACTGATGCTTGAATTTTACTTGAATTTCAGGCGCCTGCAGACTTTTGTCTCCTAACGAAAATCGACATCAAACAATGGCCAACACGAAGAAAGAACAATCTCGTTTGACAGATGATGCACTACCACCCGATCGCATGCCGACCTTTAAAGCAAAAGACAAGGTGCTACTCATGATAATGCTTACCGAGTTTACGGAGCAAAGGGAAAAAGAACTTGTGTCCTTCTTGCAGTATGATCCCGGGGTCATCGACCGTGGTATCGAAGTTAAAACATGGACTCCGTCTAAATGCCTTCTTGATTCAATTGCTCTACAAGGTCCAAATCGAGACAGTCTGGCCAACATATATACTCTTGCGATGCTAGCTTATATGTCTGGGCTAGAGTTCATACTTCATACGAGCTTCGTTGTCGCCGATGATCTCACCAAACGCTGCTGGGAAGGTACTCATCGAGTCGGAGAGCGGGGCAGGCTCTCACTTCTTTTGGTCAGGGTTCGGCCAAATTTTACCGAGGACACATCAGCTTCTGATTGTTCGCTTCCGCTTGAAGTTTGTGTCATGGTTTCTCGGTTTTCTGATACTTCAGACAGTCCTCATCGAGACGGGAACAGTGACTTCATTGATTTCGGTGATTCGTATTCCTCATCTGCTGAAGAAAGGAAACCTACTGGTTCACAGTACGGCTCATCATCGTTTGTTGATGATTTAGGATACGGTTTATTACCATTCATTTTGGAAAAGTTTTGCTGGCAAAGTCATGATGATGTCCTTCGCCCGGATTACCACTGCAGAGTCAGCAAAGTCTACCGAATGGTAAACTACGGGACTGAAGGAATTGACCAACCTTACTCTGTTATTTTTCATGGCATGTATCTTCATGATCCAGATCGAGAGATGTTCTCCATCAAAAGTACGCTCATGTCAACACGGAAGCGGTATTTGAAGGCTGCATGGTCAGTGCTTTCTTCTCGTCTCCCACCAGAGTTGTCGACTGAGATAATCTCTCGAGCCGACCTGGTTCCGTCCTTCCGAGCACCTCTATGGAAGTACCGACAAAGCCGGGAACATTTACACATCTTCTTAATGTTTCCCACGACGGAGGATGAGCTCCGTGAAGCTCACTTGGTTATTCATGATGCACTGCAAAAGCGATCTAGAGAAGAAAAGAATGCTCCGAAAACAGCGGAGCTCATTCCTTTTCACCGCCATGGAATGAGGACTCGCCGCGATGTGGTGGCATTCTGGAAGGAGTATCAGATGCACGAACCAGATGAAAGATGCAACGACCCAGTCTTGAATCTTATGCTCAATCCCATCCAAAAGAGCATCGCAAACGTGTCCCATTTCGCCATTGTTTATTCTGGTGGTGCGAGGCCTGTGATTGTCTTGAGGACTACACTCAGCACTTTGGGTACATTGTCCACATCTGATTTGTTTGATCTTTCTGCTCGTGATTGTGATGAGTACAGTATCGATCTCGTCGAAGCCGCATACGATCCAGACCAGCCACATTACCACAATCCACCTGTCTGGGAGACAGTGGGCAATTCATTGACAGATCAATATCTCCATGACTATGGCTCGATCTCAGTATTCTACCTTACTAAGCATCTGAGGGATTCCGAGGATCTGATACTCCGAAAGGAAATCCATAAAGTGGATGGAGAGGACAGATATGACATCGATCCCGACGATGCTATGGACTACTATTGGAATCAACGGAAGGATGTCTGTTTTGTTTCATGGGAGTGCGACGAAGACGGAACTTTGGAAGACATTTGGAACCTTGTACTCAAAATTTACAAGCACGAAGGTTTCGGTCGCCGATTTCAGCGCTTCTTTTGCCTCGACCGACAGTCTGTGGAAGACCAAACGCTCATTATTGTTGAGCCCGACTTCTTTCTCTCCGGAAGGAAAGTCCAGGATGAAGGTGAACTGTTACAGGGCATGGTCGCGCCAACACTGGCAGGATTTCGTTGCAACCGTGTGTTATGCGAAGAAGCCCATGAATCCAAAATTGAACTTGATCAATGTATTCGAACAATTGAGGAGATCGGCGGGCTTGACAACGAAGGGCAACACTTCATTCGACCCGACTGGCCAGGTCCTGAAGTTCTTCCTCCCACGAATCCCTGGAGGCTGGGTTGGCCCGAGCCTAGCCAACCCCCTGTCTGGGATATATTCGGTTCTCGCCTGGATGCAGTTAATGATGAAAATGAAGAGAGAGAGGAATAGTCAGCATTTCAGTAGATGGAGATTAATCAAGTGTAGCTAAGAGTTAGGCCAGCTAAATCAAGGCATGATGAATTCTATATCTCTAAAGTATGTAGCAAGCACTCGTCGATTGAATTAGGCACAGTGATTGGAATTCGTGTAGCTATTTGAGATCAGCCCTGCTGCCCTGGTGATAGTGTGTTATAATACATACCGTCGTCCCGCCCGGTTCTGAACGGTCTCATGAATACATACGGTACAGTTTGTGTGAGATCTGCCCCACTCTCTGCACAGGTTCGTGTTGTCCCCTCTGTGGAGTCCAACCCGCCACCGACATTTCGAGAATCCGCTACTAGCGAATCGCCGATGCAGCTCTCAATACTATGACGAGGGGTCTGCAGCCCGAGGCTACCCTCAGCTCTGGTGGGGGTCGACTTGCGATCGAAAGCCCCTAGTCACCCCAGGAATTTAGCACGCCATCCCGCAAAATATTGTCACACCGATCGAGATCTTATCTGAAACAATGGCAGAGCGTCCACAGTATTATCAAAACACATTGAAGCCCGTAGAGGTCACCGCGGTCTCACTTGCCGAGTCCCTGGAGGAATTGCGTGTCGCAGTCCGCTATGGAGCTGAAGCTATTCGTGCGAATGAGACTCCCCAAGACAAATGGCCGATCGGTGGCATGTTCAAGGCTTTCCCTGGTATGTATGGCTATCGGAAATCTTATCCTACCTTTCGTATCTCCTTTGATCCATGCGGGGCGGAATTAATCAGCCACCACAGGTGTGGCCCTTGCTTTCTTACGCCTTGATTACCAGTCCTCAGTGCTGAATGAGGAAAGTAGTCCACAGTTGGACTATCGCCAGCTTGCGCTCGAGAGGATTCCATCGGAGTTCCCAGGCCTTCCATTGCTGCCGTCTCGATTGTCTCCTGCAGGATCATTCTCGCCTCTTACTGGTGTAACTCTGCGCGCTTTTTCAGAGTTGGCGAAGACTGACTGGGAAAGAGAATCTAAGCCAAGCATTTCTCAACAGGACATTGCCTGTCTTTATGATGCTGCGAATCTTGCTCTGAAGAACGGACCCCTTGTTCCTCATGATGGCCGCAATATGGGTGGTGATGAGATGCTGTATGGTCGGGCAGGTCTTTTGTGGGTCCTACTGAACATGCGTGCTCATCAGTTCAATGACGAAACCCAGAAATCACTCGGTCCTGTCTTTGAGACAATTCCCAGATTAGTCGATGTGATTATAGATTCTGGACGTCAAGGCTCGAAGGCTTATATCGAAAAGAACGGGGCAGAGGGTGCGCACCCGTTGATGTATGCCTGGATGGAGGAGCACTATTGCTTTGGAGCGTGAGTGTGCTCTTCCCTCAATTTATATGTCTCTCAAACACTAACGGCTTCCCAACCAGTGTTCATGGAATTAGTTAGTTCTACTGCTAAATCACTGGTGAGATAAACTACTAACTATTCTGTGTCTAGCTGGTATCCTTTCTATCATCCTTGCAGCTAAGCCAGAGGAACTCACGCAGCACATTGCCATCATTGGGGAGACCATTACGGCACTATGCAAACTCAGTCTTTCAAGTGACGGCCACCTCCCAATGACCCTCCCACCATTCAGCTACGGGCAGACCTCGGAGCTTGTGCAGCTCTGTCATGGGAGCCCGGGTACTCTGATTATGCTAGCGGCAGCTTTGAAGAACCCAGCTTTGACTCGGGACTACTGGTGTCCCGAATGGGACCAGACTGTCTACGAAGCCTCTCAGCGAATCTGGGAGGAAGGCCTTCTCTCCAAAGGAGGCAGTCTTTGCCACGGAATCTCTGGAAATGGATGGCCCTGGCTCACTCTGCACAACACCTTCGAATATCACTCCAAGGAACTTGAAGTTGCTAGAACCGCTTACTGGCAGCGTGCGCAGGCCTCGGCTCCTTTGGGCGGAGACCTGAGCCAGAAGCTCACGCCGGACTTCTTTTTGTCGAGGGCATTGGCATTTATGCTGCACTCTCGTGAGACTCGACCTTATAACAAAGCTTCTGAGACCTCTGACAAGGATTATCGCATGCCTGACGATCCATACTCTTTGTTTGAGGGTTTGGCGGGTAATGTCTGTGCGTGGGCTGAAACCTGCGCGGTTATTCAAGCTCGGTTGCGCAAAATGGAGCTCAGCGAGAAGGGAATCGACTGTGAGTCTGATCTGCTTTTCAAACAGGCAGTCAAAAGTGAGCTTGGATTCCCGCTCATTGGTGGCAGTGGGGCTGGTGGTCTTATTTAGTTGATCGACCTGTTGCCGCTTCACCTATGGCTCTCGGCTTTCTATGTTCACTCTCAGTATATAAACAAAATCTATATAAAATGATCAAATCCTCCAATTCCGAGTCTTCGAATTGATACCTACGACTCTTTCCTCTGATTAATCTTCATGATTGCAAGGATGTAGTGTACTTGTATCGCCCCAATGTTGCCCGATGACATCATAACAAACACACCACCTACAGTATCATCTATTGTACGTGACCTGGGTATCTTATTGATATAGGAGAAATACCTGGAGGCCGTGACCTATGACCGTCTCTCGAGATCTAAACACAATATGGGTTGTAAGCAATATCAGGTTTAAAAAGTAGGTATCAAAAGTGGGATTAGCTCATGAGCTTCCCCGCCAACACGGGCCGCAGAACGGGGGCGTTCACAGCCTTGCGAAACTCTCCACATTACCAGTGGTTCAGCGTGGCAGTGCAGGGCACCTTTCAAGACGCAACGCCGACTATTTTTTTGAGTCTCGAGAAAAAGCTCGCACCTATATAAAATGTGAACTATCTCCCGGTGCCCCGAGGCCCACTCACAATCAAAGTGATGGATTTGATTCCACCGTCATATGAGTCGGCAACAGACCGGGATGCATGGGTCATCATCGCCCGTTATATCCCCTCCAGCGACCTCTGTGCTGCCTCATTAGTATGCCATCGATGGCACGATCTATTTATGCCTTTTCTGTGGGGAAGTCCAGCATCTCATTTTGGCACAGAAAATGATGCTGTTTATGGTAAACCTTGCATCTCTTTGCTTCAATCATCCCAAGTATTAAGCACTAACAATGTGTATCTAGTGGCTCTCACAAGGTTTCGAAGAACCCTGAAGTATGCGAGACGAGAAGTGCGCGCATTAACACATACACTTCATCTCCCGCCCGCACTATCGGAGATCTATGATGGCCCCCGGCCAACATGGCTAAGAGATATCCTGGAGTATCTACCTTGTCTGCAGTCGCTTATGGTCTCACGGCTACCCTTCTTCGATCACAATTGCATGGTTGCACTGAGAAACTCGCAACGGCCGACTCAATATAATATCCGTCTATTGTTGGCGGACCATGAGCCGAACGCTACTTCTTCGGGTCTAGCAGAAGCTCTTCTTCGATTTCCCCTATTAACCTATCTGGATTTCTCATACACGACTTCCGTGCGGGATCCGGGCGTTCTATCATCTTTATCTCAACTTGAGCACCTGCAGGTGCTGAAATTGCGCGGTATTGGCCTGAAAGACCCCGATGCCGAGTTCCTGGCCAACGCCATCGGGAAACGAGTTCGAGTTTTGGATTTGCGTAATAATATGCTCACCGACATGGCCGTTCGCTCGCTGCTTCAGGCCTCTTTCTTATCCCCAAATCAGCGGTCACAGCAGCCCCGACATCTTAGACGTACTGGAGCCTCGCCAGACCCTGTCATCCAGTCGGCCCTTCGAGGCATTGGGTCGGATTTTTTGAGATCGCCCTACCTAGATGAGCAGTACCTGAAGTTCCTAGCGAGTCAATCCACCAGACACCCCTGGGTTGATTACTTGCCGTCTGTGGGTATCACCCATCTCTATATCGCAAACAACAATATCAGCGTCGAGGGTGTGGCAGCCCTCTTGGCCTCTTCAAACCTCTATGCCCTTGATGTCGGAACAGTGAAAAGCGCAGATATCATACATAAACAGGCGCAGCCTCTAAATAATTGGAAATATCCTGGTGCTGAGAAGCTTGTTCCTCTTTTGGGAAAGATTGCTGGAAACAAGTTGACTTATTTCCGCGCCCATCATGCAGTGCTTACTACTGAGCCCCCCTTGAAAGATTTTGGCCCCACGTCTGAGTTTCTCCCAGAGCTTGGGACCAGCCAAGTGTCTCCACATGTTGAGCTAGACGCTTCAGAAGAAGCTCGAATCTATGAGCTTCCCGAGGACGAAGCACCAATCTACGAACTAGCAGATACGTCTTTTACTGAGTCTACAAGTACAGCGGCGAGTACCAGGCCGGCTCAAAATCAAGAGACGACAGCCCTATATGACGAAAAACCTTCACCTACTGTCAGACGGGGATCAGCCTTCGCTCCTGAGGTCGTTCAGACTATGCCAAATGGACACGTTACCCAACCAGCCTACTGCGAGAGTCCTAGTGACATTGACTCTCTTCAGACACTTCCACTCTGCAGTTCTCCCGTTTCATCAGATGATCCTCGTGCCCAAAGAATCCAAGAGCTCCTAGCGAAACGCCCACGAAACCAATCCCTTCCACTACGCGGCGGCAAAGAAAGCCGATTTCCCTACCTACACCCCTCACACATACCCCACTGTGAAACATTAGTCCTAACAGATATTCCATCGCATATCCCGCCCAATTCCCCAATACTATATACCCTCACCCGCTTCATCACAGCCTGCTCCAACGAAGCACTTCTCGCAACCCTCCAAGCTGGTTCGGATTATTCCCTCCCGCCAGGCCAAGACCGCTACCAAGCTGAGCAGCAGCGCTCCCGCTCTATTTTTGGTCTCCGGCGCATCATTCTCGAAGTCACCGACACTTCTACCAGACTTACATCATGGAAACCAGCGAACCAGCGCAATGGAACCACAATCTCCAGCACAGGAGATCGTGACTCAGAGGCCCTATGGTCCGCTGCTACAGATGACTTTAGCTTCTTCGGCGAAGAGGAATGCGGCATTCCCGATAGTGACCCGGGAAAGTACTTCCCCATGGCAGTACTTAATGAGAAAGTCTCGCTTTCACCCTCGGACGACAGGTCTCCCTCTCCCTCTGGTACCGAGTCATCTTTTATCGACGGTAATCAATCGCGGCAGAGGGCTACGTCAACTGGATCCCATAAAACGGACGCAGGCAAACAGCGGCAGCTTTTGCAGAATGTTGATCTTATAGCGCAATTGGCTGCTTTTCGCCGTGAGAAGAAGACCGAGTATGAGCAGCTTTTACGGCGAGAGAGAGGACGGCGGAGTACGAGTGGGACTGAAGTATCGAGTATATTCTCAACGCCTTCGGCGCAGGGATCTATGGCGCATTTTGTGGAGGGGCATTGGAAGGGGGAGCTTAAGGTTGTGAGGAATCCGATGCCTAGGGTCCGTAGTGGAGTTGTCGATATGTATGGCAACTACTTTGAGAAGGGATACCTATATCCCTAAGATACAAGTCCTACGATAATGAATACCATTTTATGGATTACAGCGATTTTTGGAGTTTTGAGAAGTTTTTTGGTATTTTCTAAGCCCGTAGATAGGGCACTCCCTTCCCCCTAGGTTAAACCTGGGGTTCAAGTAACCTGAGGGAGACATAACCCAGACAGAGCAGTAGAATGCAAGTGACAGAAAGCCCATAGGAATAAATCCCCACGGTAGTCTCCTGGTCACTATCAATCCACAGCCATCATGTCAATCCATTCAACAAATCAATGCCGAATCCCTCCAAATTTTATCAATTCGTCACAGCATCGCCGGTCGGTTCATATACGTCGTTGAACGCCAGAGACCGAGCCAAAATCGTGTGGTAAGAAGATCAACGCGGGAAAAATGAGACAAAATAAAAGAATTCATTTCAGACTAGTTCCATTTTATTTTGTTCGTTGAACAACCGTCTCATATCCCTTAGTTAGCCTTGCCGGCCTGGGGAGGAGTCAACTTCTTTCCGTCCTTGTTGTAGCGGATACGGGGAGGGGGAGCACGGTTGCGGCGGCCTTCGCGGGAACGGACACTATAGTAAAGTCAGTATGAAGGTCGTTTGGAATGTGAACAGCGGAATGACTGTTCGCCACGTATTGGCTGGTTGGATAGGAGTGTCGTACCGAACGATCTTGCCGTGGATAGCGCAGGACACACAGTACTGGAGCTTCAGGTACATCTTGGGGACGGAGTACTCGGCGAAGACGGAGGCATCGGAGATATCACGGATGGCAGCAGACTCAACCATGTTGCGGATGGTGAACCGCTTGATAGCCTTGTCCTTGGGAACGCAGCGGGCGCAGTTGGAGCAGCGCACCGGCTTGACGTGGCCGCGGCCATTCTTGTTGCGACCGCTAGAGAAATCAATCAGTGATTCGTTCTTGAATTCGTCATGCACATTCGTGATGTGCGAATACATCCATTTTCACGGGTGTCTATTCGATTCTCCAGTGGCTCCCATTCTTCTTGCTTCCGGCAATGCGCATAGGTCGCTTCTTATTTTTTGAAATTCATCGGCGTGATTCTTCTTGTCCTTTTGATTGAATTTGTGCGTGGCTTTGGCATCATTGCGGAGGTTCAAGTCGAATGGGAGTCTGGGTGTGGAAATTCGAGGCGACGGGGAGGGATTCGGTCTTACTTGTTCGCCCGCTTCTTGACCATTTTGACGGATTGATCTGGTTTGGAATTAGAAGTTGATAGATCGTAGATGGGGTAGGGGTAGCGTACGGTTGACTTGTCGAGGGTGGGTTGTCGAAGCTCGCTCACTCAGAGACTCATCGGGAATGGATAGTGGTTGTGTTGTGGGAAGCCCTAAACCCTTAAGCGAGACCCACGGACACCTTGACACCTGATTTCTAGGGAGACAAGGAAGCGTCACCTGACGAATTATGCGTCTGAGGTCACGAGAAGCGCTAGTCCAGGCTTGGACTAGCGTCCGGAACGAACCGTCAAATCATGTGATTACCTAATCCCCGTGTTTACCTGCGGGACAACGAGGGAGAGCACCCCTGTTTGGATCGTCAGTCAACTACTTCTCTTTGGGACTTTGAACAAAAAAATCACCCTTGCTGCTGTTTCTTGTACATTCTCCTAATTGTCTTGTCTCTCCTCTCCTCCCCCCCCTTCCTCTTTATCCCTCTTTTTCGGAATTATTCCCCTAGGATGTCGCATACCGGTACATTTCGAGGAACGCCCAATAAGACCATCGGCAGAGGAAGGCTGCCCGACTTCGACGGTTCCAACGCTTCCCACATCCCCCGGCCCCGATCCGACCGCCCTGAACCTACCTCTTCCCACCCCCCATCCAGCGACGTTGGCAGCGGTACCGGCACCATGAGCGCCGCCAGTAGTAGACAGCGACAAACCCAGTCGAAGCGTGATGAGGTGCGTGATCACCCGATCTACATTGTTCCCAAGACTCCGTCTGTTTCCCAATTTTTCGCGGTCTTTTCCTGAGCCCGAAGAATCAAAGCTTCGCCTTACTTTCTGAGATGATTTGACTTGATTCGACTCAACTTACACGGCTTACTGGATTTCTTTGACTTACTGACCGCCTTTTTGTTTATAGGCAATCCGTCTCAAGATGGAGGCCAATCTCAACAAGAAGAGGCAAAACCCGACCAAGGCCACCCGGTCTCGCAAAGCCCCACCGGGCACTGTCCTGGCCCTGAAGCCCAGCCAGGCCCTCCAGATCAAGCCTTCCCTCAGCATTTCGGAGGCGGCTCAGTTGATGGCCGCCAAGCGCGAAGACTGCGTTTTGGTCACCGACGATGATGAGCGCATTGCTGGTATCTTTACGGCGAAAGATTTGGCTTTCCGTGTGATCGGAATGGGCTTGAAGGCCCGTGAGGTCCTGGTCTCCGAGATCATGACCAAGAACCCCTTATGTGCACGAACAGACACCAGCGCAACAGACGCGCTCGACCTGATGGTTCGGAAGGGCTTCAGACATTTGCCTGTCATGGATGAGAACCAGGATATTTCTGGTGTTTTGGATATCACAAAGTGTTTCTACGATGCGATGGAGAAGTTGGAGCGCGCCTACAGCTCATCGCGGAAGCTCTACGATGCTTTGGAGGGTGTTCAGACGGAGCTTGGCTCTAGCCAACCCCAGCAGGTGATCCAGTATGTCGAGGCTTTGCGGTCGAAAATGTCTGGCCCGACCCTTGAGTCCGTGCTGGATGGCATGCCGCCTGTGACTGTCTCGGTCCGAACTACTGTGAAGGATGCTGCAGCTCTGATGAAGGAGCACCACACCACTGCTTTGCTCGTGCAGGACCAGGGCTCCATCACCGGCATTTTCACCAGCAAGGATGTTGTCTTGCGTGTCATTGCTCCTGGCCTTGACCCTGCCACTTGCAGCGTCGTCCGTGTCATGACCCCCCACCCTGACTTTGCTCCCTCCGATATGAGCATCCAGGCTGCGCTCCGTAAGATGCATGGTAAGCTAACCCTGAACTTGAGGTATTCGTTGTATTGTGCTAACTCTGATACAGATGGCCACTATCTTAATCTCCCCGTCATGAACGAGGGCGGTGAAATTGTCGGCATGGTGGATGTTTTAAAGCTTACCTATGCTACTCTTGAACAGATCAACACCATGCAGACTCAGGATGACGAGGGCCCTGCATGGAACAAGTTCTGGCTTTCAATGGACCATGAATCTGACTCCATGGTCTCGGGCAGCCAGAGCCAACAGCCACATACTCCCCACCGCTCTGTCATGAGTCCGGACATGGCTCGCTCAGGCTACGATAACAGCGTCCTTCCTAACGATTCCGCATCACACAATGGCGCAGAGGAGCACTCAGAAGTTGCATCTCAACATCACCATCAGCAAGCCGAGGACGTTCCATTCCCTTTCAAGTTCAAGGCTCCCAGCGGTCGTGTGCACCGAGTGAACGTGTTGACCTCTGCTGGTGTCGAGGACCTTGTCAAGCAGGTAACAGCCAAACTGGGTAGCGAGATCGAGGCTGTTGGTGGTGAAGCGGTTGTTGAAGAAGGCCGCCTCAGCAACACTGGCTATGCTCTCAGCTATATGGACAATGAGGGTGATACTGTCTCGATCACCACCGACCAGGACATGTTGGATGCCATCAACCTTTCTCGTGCGACTCGTCGTGATAAGGTGGATCTTTTTGTTCATGACCCGTCTCAACCACCCATTCCTGCCACTGTTGAGCCCCAGCCCGTTAAAGCTGCCACCCCTATCATTGAAGAGCAGGCTAGTGTTGCGGATTCCGCTACCACTGAAGAGCCCATTGTGAAACCCCGGCAGCAACAATTCCCTTCGCATGGACACGGCCCCGAAGACCAGCTCATTGCTGGTGTTCCCAATGACCTACTCCTTCCTGGAGCCATTGTGACCTTGGCCGCGGTTATTGCGGGTGTGTTCATCCTCAGCCGGCCCAGCGGTCGCTAAGTTAAACTTCATCTCTTGCTCTCCTGTTTCTCTTTTCCCTCTTAGATATTCCCTTCCTCTCGTTTTCCACATCCACAGCCTTGTTCTTATCATCCACCCACGTTCTTGACCAACTAAATCTCCCCTGTCCATCTTGGCTCTTGTGAACTTCTGAGAGAGTGCATACCCTTTTCTAATTATCGGTACTTGTGTATCGCGTGTCTAAATACCGCTGTTCTATTAATGTTCAGTTACAGCCTTAGCTTAGCCTTCAATGCAAATACTTCTTTGTGTCGCGTATGTGTATATAGTACCAAGGCGAGAATCAAGGACTGAAAGTTAAAAAAAGCTTCACTAGATCCATATTGGGTAATAATAACGGACAGAACAAAAACAGAGGGTATATAATCTCCAACTATCCAGGCTCGAAACGAGTCATGTTTAGTCCGACTTGCATTGGCATCACAAGTGCTGATCTCCAGTGGCCGCTATCGCATATCAACTCCCCTAATCATCAATCTTTTTTTCCCTTCCTCCCCGCCCCACCAAAAACAAATCTCCTCCCTTTTTGAACCACCCCTCCTTCAAACCCCCACTTTACATATCACCTATAGGGTCCCAACGAACTGGGTAGATTCTGTCTCTTGGATCTTGGGAACAGACATCGCCCACCATGTCCCTGCTTCCGCCTGAGGTCCACACCGCGCTGTCCCAGCTGCTGCGCTCTCTTAGCACCCCCGACAACGCAGTCCGATCACAGGCTGAAGACCAGCTAAACAATGACTGGGTTCAAAACCGACCAGATGTCCTTTTGATGGGACTTGCGGAGCAGATTGGGGGAGCCGAAGACACATTGGTTAGTGCTCACCTTCGTTGACCCCTCCCTTGAAAGCCTGTTCCCTGAGGAAGGGAACAGAGCAGATTCGTGATTTAGAAGCCTTCGGATATCCAAAGATCTCGTGCAATGCGAAACACCACTATAATCTGAATTCTAATATTGAGACAACCCCAAACAGACTCGTGCTTTCTCCTCCGTCCTTTTCCGAAGAATCGCAACAAAAACTCGCAAGGACCCCGTTACTGGCGAGGCCAAAGAGATCTTCTTGAGCTTGCCTAACGAACAGCGTGTGGCTATCCGGGAAAAGCTGGTCACATGTCTCACGACCGAGACCGTTACCGATGTGCGCAAGAAGATCGGTGACGCTGTGGCAGAGGCGGCTCGCCAATACACCGACAATGGTATGTAAATTCGCGTTTCCTCTTTAGAATAGACATGTGGAGTGATTCTGACCTTTGGCTTCTTTCTCGTGGTTTTATAGGTGACCAATGGCCGGAGCTGCTCGCTATTCTTTTCCAGGCTAGTCAGTCCCCCGAGTCTGGTCTTCGAGAGACTGCCTTCCGCATCTTCACAACGACACCCGGTATTATCGAAAAGCAGCACCAGGATGCCGTCATTAGCGTCTTCTCAAAGGGATTCAAAGACGATAACATTGCCGTATGTTTCGAAAATGTTTTAAATTTGGTTTTGAGGAATCACGATTCGCTGACGGATGTGTTCTCTAGGTGCGAATTTCTGCTATGGAAGCCTTCGCCGCGATGTTTCGCTCAATTCCCAAGAAATCGCAGCCCAAGTTCTTCTCCCTCATGGGAGATGTTCTCAACATCTTGCCTCCTCTCAAGGAGTCCAACGAAAGCGAGGAGCTGTCTTCTGCTTTCCTGGCCTTAATTGAGCTGGCTGAAATCAGCCCGAAGATGTTCAAGGGCTCTTTCACTGACCTGGTTAAGTTCAGCATCAGCGTTATTGCCGATAAGGAACTCAGTGATCAGGTGCGCCAGAACTCGTTGGAGTTGATGGCCACTTTCGCCGACTACGCACCAAAGATGTGCCAGAAGGAGGCCAACTTTGCACAAGAGATGGTTACCCAATGTCTAAGCCTGATGACCGACGTTGGTGCCGATGACGATGATGCTGAGGAGTGGAATGCTTCTGAGGACGTAAGTTGGTTATGCATCTGAGTGATACCTCTGAACTGTCTTGCTAATTGCTATTCAGCTCGAACCCGAAGAGAACGATCTTAATCACATCGCTGGTGAGCAATGTATGGACCGTCTTGCCAACAAGCTCGGTGGCCAGGCCATTCTGCAGCCCGCTTTCTCTTGGATCCCTCGCATGATGTCGTCTACTGCTTGGCGCGATCGCCACGCTGCCCTTATGGCCGTCTCCGCCATCTCTGAGGGCTGCCGTGACCTTATGGTCGGCGAGCTTGACCAGGTTCTTGCCCTGGTTGTGCCCGCTCTGCAGGACCCTCATCCCCGTGTCCGCTACGCTGGTTGCAATGCGCTCGGCCAGATGAGCACCGACTTTGCTGGAACCATGCAGGAGAAGTATCACGCCATTGTTCTCAACAACATTATCCCTGTTCTCAGCTGTCCCGAGCCACGTGTGCAGTCCCACGCAGCTGCTGCTCTGGTGAACTTCTGCGAGGAGGCCGAGCGCAGTATTTTGGAGCCATACCTTGGAGATCTTCTTAGCCGCCTTCTGGACCTTCTGCGCAGCCCCAAGCGCTACCTGCAGGAGCAGGCTCTATCCACCATTGCCACCATTGCCGACTCCGCTGAGACGGCTTTCGGCCAGTATTACGCCAACTTGATGCCTCTGCTGCTCGACGTTCTCAAGCAGGAGCAAGGCAAAGAATACCGTTTGCTTCGCGCCAAGGCTATGGAGTGCGCTACTCTGATTGCTTTGGCCGTTGGCAAGGAGAAGATGGGTCAGGATGCCTTGAATCTTGTGCAAATTCTCGGGAACATCCAGCAAAACATCACCGACGCCGACGATCCTCAGTCACAGTACCTGCTCCACTGCTGGGGCCGCATGTGCCGCGTCCTCAACCGCGATTTCGTGCCTTATCTTCCGGGTGTTATGCCGCCTCTGTTGGCCGTGGCGGCTGCCAAGGCAGATATTCAGTTGCTTGATGATGAGGACCAGATTGAGCAGGTTGAGCAAGATGAAGGCTGGGAACTGGTGCCCCTCAAGGGCAAGATCATTGGTATTAAGACCAGTGCACTTGAGGACAAGAACACTGCTATTGAGCTAATCACAATTTACGCTCAAATCCTGGAGGAGGCTTTTGAACCCTACGTTCTGGAGACCATGGAGAAGATTGCCGTCCCCAGTCTAGCATTCTTCTTCCATGACCCCGTTCGCGTCTCGGCGGCCAAGTTGATTCCTCAACTGCTGAACTCATACAAGAAGGCACACGGACAATCTCCTGCCTTTGCTGAGATGTGGAATAAGGTGGCCGAGAAGATCATCGAAGTCTTGAGTGCCGAGCCCACCGTTGACACCCTGGCTGAGATGTACCAGTGCTTCTACGAGTCGGTTGAGGTTATTGGCCGCAACAGCTTGACCCCGCAACACATGCAAGCATTCATCGACTCCGCCAAGTCTACTCTAGAAGACTACCAGATGCGTGTGAAGCAACGGTTGGAGGAGCAGGCCGAGCTGGAGGAGGGTGATGAGGAGAATTTGGATTACGAGTACGCCGTTGAGGATGACCAAAACCTGCTCAGCGATATGAACAAGGCATTCCACACTATCTTCAAGAACCAAGGCACATCCTTCCTACCTGCCTGGCAGCAGCTGATCCAATTCTACGATAATTTCATCACCAGCCAGGACCCCACACAGCGCCAGTGGGCTCTTTGCATCATGGACGACGTGTTGGAATTCTGCTCTGAGGAGTCGTGGACATATAAGGATCATATCATGCAGCCCCTGGCTGCCGGTCTCCAGGACCCGAATGCTGCCAACCGACAGGCGGCTGCATACGGTGTCGGTGTCGCCGCTCAGAAGGGTGGTGTCGCCTGGAGCGACTTTGTTGCTGCCTGCATCCCCAGCCTTTTCCAGGTGACGCAGCACCCGCAAAACCGCACTGAGGAACACGTTTTCGCTACCGAGAACGCATCCGCCAGTATCGCCAAGATTCTGCACTACAACCCCTCCAAGGTGCAGGGTGCCCAGGAAGTTGTGGCCAACTGGATTGAAACCCTGCCCATCACTTTTGACGAGGAGGCGGCTCCTTATGCCTACTCCTTTATTGCCCAGCTGATTGACCAGTAAGTCGTTTTTTTCCCGGTCTTGCCATGACTATCTATCCATCTTAACTAACCTTCTTTCTCAGGCAAAACCCGGCCGTCTTCGCCAAGGCTGACCGTGTATTTGGCTTCATTGTTGAAGCTCTTGATGCGCAAACCCTGCAGGGCCAAACTGCTACTCGTGTGGCCCAGTCCGCCAAGTCATTGGTGGCAGCCACTGGTCTGAACGCCGAATCGATTCTGGCGGGCGTCAGCCCGGAGAACCAGGAGCGCATCCGCAAGTGCTTCCAGTAGATTCGGTTTTGTTCTCTATCCCGGTTGTCTTTTGTTATCATTCCCCTTGGCCATGTGAAACCTGATGTTAGTGAGAAATGTCGTCGTTAATCCATTTCTTTGTCCTAATCCGTATCCCCTCTAAAAATGCGCGTGCAATAAAGTACAAAGGATAGAGCTCATGAGTCCAATGAACATCCATCTTAAATTTACTATCAAAGTTGTATATGGAGAAGGATATCTGCAATACGACCTGCTCATAGCTATAGACAGGTAAGCCAGGCTATGTATACCAAATCAAAGAGAAGCAACCCTCTTAATTTCATTGGCAACAACCTCCTCCAGCCCCATAACCTTCGGCTCCCCAATGATCCCATTAGCCCGCTTCTCATAAAGGGTACCACCCTCGGTCCAAATTCTCCGCAGCGTCAAAACAGTCGCAACCGGCTTACCCTCTTCCCAAGCCTTCGCCTCCAACTCACGGAGCCGGTCTAGCGGTGTATAGGATACATCTGTCCACGGCGCCCCAGTAGTTTGACGCTCGAATTCAGCCTGGATCTGCGCAGGCGTCGTAGTAAAAGAGTTAACACAAAGAGCCCGGTTAAGAATCTCCGAAGACGCTTTCAGCAATGTCGAAAGAACGAGAGTTCCAACACTATCATAATCAGTAACCAAACCAACACAAAATCCATAGAACACATACTCCTTCATAGTAGTCAAACTGACCCTCTCCTCACCCTTCTCGCCAAGCAAAACCGCCTTACGAGCCTTAACATCCCAACCACCAGCCTCATCAACCCCAGGCGCAAAGTGGAGATACATCTCCGCGAACGGCCCAGTAACAACATACGCGTAATTGAGCTGTTCACGGGAGATCTCCTTCTCGAGGACAGCGCGTACCTTCAGCTTTTGCTGGTGCGGCTTTTCGTTTGCGGATGCTGGGCCATAGGCGATGTCTGTGCCGTATTCTGAGGGGAGGAAGAGCTTTACGGAGGGGCTTGCGGCTGCAAGGCGGATAAGGGGAATTTGTTGGGCAAGAGCCATGCGGCCTAGGGCTGAGATTACGGTGTCGATTCCTATTTTGTGCGTGTTAGGTGTGTTTAGGGATTTGGGATCGTTATGGAGATGTATAGATGGCTGGATAGGTATTGGGCGACATGGATTTAGAAGTATACATATACGTACCGGTGTATGCAGCCTTCACAGCATTCTCATCCTCGACATCCCCAACGATTATCTCGATATTCTGCGCCTTCAATTTCTCTAGGTATGCGGCTTTTGTCTCTGCTGTGCGGGGAGATGTGAAGATAGCGACGCGGTCGAATTGAGAGCGCGCGGAGAGAATAGCTTCTAGAATGAAGGAGCCAATGGTACCGGTGGCACCGAAAATGAGGAGATTCTTGGGCGACATTCTGGCTTGTGTTTTCTTTGGTTATAGTCAATGAGATGAAAAAACATTCGAGCGACGAACTTCGTTCATAAGGTCGCGACGATGTGGGGTCGCGGGGTTGCTTATCAATCGCGCGATTGAGCGTTTGAATTTATCCGGTGTGGGTAGATGTGTAGAAATCCACTGGATGAGATGGAAAGTGAATTGCGTCAATGCGTACCTTGCGTGTTCCGGTGGAAGCAAGGGTTCCGAATCCGTCGGATGTAGTGATGTACAATTTAGTGAACACATCGAGGAAGGCACGGACGTTGATTAGTTCGGATCTCATTCCGATCAGTTGCTATATGTACAAGTGAATATTAAATGGCCTACAATACTTCGAATTCACAGCACAGTGAATCACTAGTGGAAGAGCACAATCCAAGTCCCAGGATAAATAGCATATGCAACGCTATGCAGTTGTCGAACTGAAGATTCAGTGCAGAAGCCATAGCATTGTAAACTCGAGATCTATTTCCGTCTAATCTGCAATCCATACAATGGATTCGATTCCATCTCCTTAACTGAATTCACACGAAGTCCTTTTACAGGGCACCAGCAGCGGCAAGCAGAGCAGGGAGCTCGGACTTCCTGTTCTGCAGGTCAGAGTTACCGCCAATGTGCTTCTGGTTAATGTAGATGTTGGGAACAGTGCGCTGGCCGGAGATTTCCTGAAGAGCGGATTGAATAGCAGCGCCGTCCTCTATTTGAAAGAAATCATGTTAGTAATTGTCAATCAAACAGTGGTGAGTGACAGGGTATTTCGTGACGATATGGTAGGATGGAATGACGACAGAGCGGGGTAATTGGGGTGAGGAGTTGCGATCGGTAGCGAGATGCGTTGGAGATGACTGTCTTGAGATACTGGGAAGTATTCTCCGCGATTATGTGCTTCCGCATAGAGAAGGAACGAAACGGAGACATAGACATAAAACGGATGAACAGGGGTCACTCACGCTCCTCATCCAGCTCAAGGGTGGTGTACTTGGCACCAAGGTCGTTCAGGAGGTCCTTGCTGGCCTTGCAGAAGGGGCAGTAAGACTTGGAGAAGACAACGACGCCATTGTCGTTGATGAGGTTCTGGGCGGTGGTCTTAGCAGCAGACATGACGGGTGATGGGGCGGCGGTGCCGAAGAGACGCTGAAAGATGAACGAAATGGTGGGCGAGAGGTGAGAAAGAAACCGGCGGGGGTGCGGCTTCTTTTACGTTTATAAGTGGGGAAGTATGTACTGTGAAGGTTAAAGTCGAAAAGTGATTCGGTGATGGCGTCAGTGTCAGGTGATGGCTTTGTCAGCTAGAGCGGCCGAGATCGTGGTTACTCAATCGGGATTTATCACGCAGACGACGCTGGAACTGTATAGATCTACACTAAGTATTGGTGCACTGATGATCCACCATATACACCTTAAGTAATGCTTTGTCTACGGAGAAGCTGGTTTTTCAATGAGGTTAATGTCTTTTAGTCCAGAGGCTTATAAGGGTAGATACCATGCTAGAAATGTCCGCCGACAGAACAGAGCAGAAAATAATGAGAAGATATCAAAGAAACGCTTGCAACGACTTGGGAATATGGCAAAAGTGGCAATGGGAGCAAAAGAAAGGCCAAATGTAAATGAAATCAGAGGCAAGGAAGTTGAGCAGATCGCACAGAATCAGATGAATATACTAGGGCTTCAAGAGGACCAGTCGGTGATGTATCACCCGACGGAAAAATCGCGTTTTAGGGGTCTTTCCGGCCGTTTCTGGTGTCGGCGGAAGCCAGGAACAATGGTCACAAGAAAAGAATCGAGAAGGAATGGATGCACGAAGGATGTCCCGCTCCGGTGGAGGTCCGAATTAAAGACAATTCTGGGTAGACTTCAAATGAGGCTAGTTCAGTATTGAGGGGGATGGGAAAGGATTTTCAACCCCACTGGACATCATCCCTCCAGATAGAGGGGTAGATCAAATAGAACAAATAGGAAAACAAGAGAGAAGGGGCGTATGTGCGCGTATAAGTAATCAAAGGTATCTCGAAATATGGTGGAGGAAGAACATGGTGGACGGGAACGGGAACAGGAACAGGAGATGGGATATAAATGGATACGCAGATCCATCACATCACAACGCAGCATCCACAACCCTTTTCTTTCTTCGGCTTCTCTTGAGCGGAGACTACCGGAGGGGTCCAGTTGGGATTGGGTGTCAGGCCAAGTGGGGGCGTATCCTGCACCTTAGGCATCGTACTGTAGCCGGTGCTTGTGTTGGGCCGGGGCGGCTCTGGAGTCCTGGCCTTAGGCGGCTCTTCGATCTGCGGTGGTTCCTCCACAGGCTCCTGCTCCTCGGCCTTTGGTGGCACGGGAGGCAAATCAGTAGGGTAAACAGCCAGAGGCGCAAAGTCGCGGTCGTATGTATTTGGAGTTCGTCCTTCCTTCTCCCACTGTTCCTGTTGCATCTTCTTGGCAAGCGTAGGGAGCATCTGCTGGTCAGGCGGGAGACGGGGATCCGGCTTGTACATGGTTGCCAGCCATGGGGGATCACCCTCCGGTCGATTGGCAGCAGTAGTAGGCCGCATCTCGCCTCGGGTGGTAGGTCGCTGCGTAGTGTTGCTCGAAACTGCTCGCGATCTTGCCGTGGAAGTCTTCCTATTGGCAGGGGGGCTGACGTTTTTCGGTTGGTGGATCCGGTCACCTTGGTTGAAGTCTTCTTAGCCGGGGTATTTTGTGTAGTATTGAAGCCATTGAAGCCACGACTTCCCGGTCGACTTCCGGGGGAGGGAGTAGAGGGTTCCATGTCAGTGGCTTGCAATGGTTCGCTGGCTCTGCGTCCACGGCTTTGGTCATCCTCGTCAGTCGCCGCACGACTGCGAGGCCCGCGAGAATCACGGCCTGGCATGATGGGTACAGGGCTCGATGCCGCAATGGGAATCCGAGAGGAGCTCTTGCGGAGACCCGGGTGGTTGTAAAAACCAGCAGCTGCTTCATCGGCAGCAATCTCCTCTGGTCGGCGAAGATCCCAATGCTGCCGCTCCTCGGTCTCGCCCTCGCCTTCCTCATTTTGGGATGATTCCTGCATTTGCGGCCACGGTTCAGCGTGCTCTGCATTCGGTGAGGCCACTGAAGCCGCACCGCTCTGGTGAGAATCATGGCTCCTTTCACGCCCCGCACTCGACTTGCTCTCGGCCCTCATCCGCCGTTGAAATATTATGGCCGCCTGGTGCAGCTCCTCGCTCTCAATTTTTGCCAGCTTATCACGATGGATCCAACTCTCACTGTTAAACTCGAACGCATCTGGTCCCTCCTGACCGTCTACCGGGGCTCGAATGGGCGCTTCATGTCCTGGGGGATCTCGCGGGTTATTCCCGTCGCCTCCGAATCGATTCTGGCTTGGTTCTCGTCGACCTCGGCCGGGCATAAAGGGCGCATCGTGGGCGTGAACAGTTCGGGAAACAGACGAGCTACGGGAGCCGTTCGAGTTGCGGTTTTTACTGGATCTCGCACGGACAGAGCTTGAATCGTGGGAGTTGCGTGGTCGTGTGGAATGCTGGGTGCCCTGTGCGTGTTGAAAAAATGGCTATCGGTCAGAAAAAGGAAATTTCCCTCGTTTTACACCCGACCTCGTGCGCTGCCAAATTGATGGGAGGGAAAGAATGCAGACGAAATACTCACATCACTACCGAGTGGGACCGAGAATTCCCATTGCGAAGAACTCTCCGGGGCTCCAGGTGTCAACGCATCTGTCGAGAACGCGGTAGCCACGCCCGCCATTCCAATAGAATTTGGGGGGAAATTTTGTGAGATGATTAAGGCCAGGCCAGCTGGAACCCGATTTCTATGAGATTGAGGAAGCAAACGAGGAAGAGTCCAGGTCCGCTTTGACAAGTGTGGTGGTTTCACTCAAGCCATCCCAGTCGGTAGCCGTCACGAACCGATGTTGTGAAATGGAGGTTTCTCTTTCTCTCGTAAGGGATGGAAAGAGTCCCGCACGCCGCAGTGGGGAACCGAAAGCAGTAAGTTGTAAATACACTGCAGGGGGTGGAGTTTCCAAATGCGCACTTGCAGGTAGTTCGGTGTTTCCGAGCCACGGAACAAGTCTGGAACGGCGCGTGTTGGTACCGTGGGAGGGTTTGCCGATAGTGATGACAACAGGAGTGAAGATCTTGAGATCTTGAGATCCTCGGGGAGAAGCAGCGGGCTGGACTCAACCGAAAAGGTCGGGACTATTTTACGAGCCCACGAGGGGAAGAGGGGGTTGGGGGTTTTGGGGGGTAAGATCGTGCGTCTGGTCCAAGCTGGGACGTGTACTCGAGGTCTGGAAACGGGGGAAAGGGAAAAGAAATAAAAGTGGATAATGAAAAGAACGCGCGGGGAGGAAAGAGAGGAAAAGAACGAGAAGAACTGGAATTGGAGCGCGAGATCACCTTCAAAGGAGGAAGAGAAACGGTTGAACTAACGAAGTTGGATCCCAACTGGGATTAGCACGGTCACACTGGGGCTAGACTTTTCATATAGATTGTCAAAGCCTATTTACATGTAGTCACTCATCCATCCCACTGGATGATTTGGAAGATGTTTCAAGGGGACCAAAAAGCTAATTCAATTATTGACAGCTGGAAGATCCGCCATGCAGCATAAACTGACAGGAAATCGAGGGCCAAAAACTAGTTTCCCGTACAGACTAGTTAACTCCATTGGACCGTGCGTTGAGGAGTTTTGCCCCTGAACCATACGCTGATCACTAAGGAAAATAGAGGAACCAAGAGCCGTTTCTGAAGGGTTCGTGTCTTTTAGATGGAAACCCCCACTTCGAATTCCTGACACTTGGTCGAGGCCTGAGCGGTAGACTCCTCTGAAACGCCTATATATGCATAACTCGGTTGACAGGTCTCATTCTCATACATTTTTCCCCAGTCCCGGGTATATCAGTAGTCTATGTGTAATGAATGGAGGATTGAAAATGGAAAATGGAAAATTTAAACAGATCAGGATACATTCTCCCCTCAAGCCTCGAACCCGGTCAGACCTCTTGCAGACCAGGCTGGTCGGCTTATTCCGGTTTGTACTCATCGAGTCGAGTGAGGTAAGATTGCGCTTCCTTGATCAGGGCCTTGCGGGCATTGCGCACTTCGACGTTGCCCTCGGGCTGGATGCCATCTGCCTTCAGCATGATCTGGGCCAGAATGGTCTCACTTAGCTTCTTGTATTCAAAATCCCGCTTCTTAGGGTCGGTAGGCACGTTCGCAAAGAACTCCTCACACATGGGGATCAGCACTTGTTGGAGGTAGCCAGTCAATGCGGCCACCTGCTCTATTGCGGTGGGCAGAAGTTTGAGATTGGGTGGCAGAGGTGGGTTGGAGCTGGAAGCAGGAGTTGTTGACCCGGGCCGGGGGGACTCCGGCAGAGGAGCCTTCTTCTTGGGCTTCTTCTTCTTATTCTTTTTTTTGCTTTTCTCGACGGGTGAGCCGGCGTCTTCATCTTCCCCGTCTACACGCGACGAATCCGAGACCTCGCTCGGGGTGTTGGCGCCAACCTCGGAGACCACACACAGCACCTCGGAGTGCTGCTTGAGTCCTTCGGCCTTGCATGATCGATTATCATCCTTAAGCAGGTTCCCCTTGTAAAGCAACCGGACTTGTTGAGGATTGTGTGCGCCGGTCTGTCGTGCAGCCTCTTCTCGAAGTGCGCCCACGGTCAGCACACCGTCGTCGATGGCGTATGCGCGGAAGTGGAGAGGGTAGATGGTGCCACGGTGTCGCAGGGCGATAATGTCTGGCTCGCTGTTATCCACATTCGGATCGTACTTGGTCTGGGCATGACGCGAAGTATTGGCTGGGGGGTCGACGATATAGTCAGGAGTGATATAACTGTAATCATCCTCGCTGACCTGCGGGGCAGCGCGACGCCAGAGCCCGGACAGAGGGTTTGCCCAAGCCATCGCGGCAACGGTAAGGACACAGACGAGAACAGCCGTACAGAGGGCGGTGGTTTGTTCGTCGGCGTCAAATGGCAGCGCCTGCGCGACCGATCGAAAGGGCGTGGTCGAGTATGTCAGCCACGGGTCCAATCGGGGACGGAGGGAGTGCAAGAACACGGGGAGATTGTCGGTGACGTGGTCCAAATAGAGAGAAGCCTTCTCGCTCAAGGTGGACTGAGCGAGGGGCGAGGGCAGGAGAGTCATGGATCTCTTAGAGGGACGAACTGGACCAGGAAGTGGTCAAGTCATGTCCCAAAGTTCAGTGCTGATCGAGGCTGATAAGGCGGAGAGCCCGGGTTTTTTGCCATTGCGTGGTCCACCGTACCGTCAGAATTGTCGATATGCGCCACGGACATTTGCCACTTGCGTATCGACTCTCGATACTGTCTGCTTCTTGTGAAGATTCTGAAGACTTACAAGGCGCAGACTGGCGCCTTGTGTTTCTAATGCTGCCTGATCAATGATCAAGGTGCTGTGCACCTTAGGCTGCCTAGCGGTATACTAGCATGCAGTCAGTCACTGTAGATCTGTTGCTTACGCCATGTTGACGCCTTTCCTGGTATGATACTCCCTGTGTCCATGGGTCTCCAGCCAAGCTCACACGGGTATGCGTAATCGTTAAGTGAAATCCATACCCTTGGCATGGATGGTTTGTATCTGCTTTCGTTTGGTCATCTTAATTCTGGAAACCTTTCATTTTCCGAGGCTGAAATATATATCCACCGCCATACAAATCACTTTTTATATGTACTTTAACCCTGGCAAATCTTGCAAATACTCACGCCCACTGGAAATTAATAGACGCCTAGATGTGCTTTTTCTCTCTTCTCCATAAGATAAGAGTAGTTTTAAAAGTCGAGATATTACTCGCTACCCTGCCTCGATCATCATGCCAATAATATTGTTCAGCCTTGGCTATGCACCATCTTCAAACTGTTGAAATGATCTCGACATGGGTGGTTGCATTTATAATCGATTATATTTGGAAGATCAAATACTACCTAGTCAAATAGAATCTCAAAGTTAATTCATACCTAAATACTTCCACATGGATTAACCTCGAAACAGGTCTCGAATGCAAGACCACGATCGATCATATACACCATACACCTACATAAGCTCCAGGGCTGAACAATGGCACCAAGCTCGATCTAGACCCAGCCATATAGACTCGACAAACAATAAGCAGTAATCCAGAAAATGTTTAAAATAGTTTTAGACTCATCAACAGATCTTTTTACACAGATCACTGGACATTTGCAGCCTCATCCCTTCTCTGCCGAGAACGCAAGGAGTATGCCGGAGCCTCCGAAGCGCTCCCCACGGCCACCACTATTTGGAACAAACATTTCTGACACCTCAATACGAATGAAGATGACTGGGAAAAATAAACTGTCAACAATATTGTAAAATTGTAAACAATTGCCCTGCATAAGCTGCAAAAAGCCAAAAATATGCCCTCGTCCAGGATCGAACTGGAGACCTTCGGATAGCAGTCCTGTTAACAGGAGCGTCATATGAAAGTGATATGAGACCAACGTCATAACCAACTAGACCACGAAGGCTTCTTGTTGACTTAGAGAAAAACTTATGTTTCATAATCCTTTTCTTAGTTCAGATCCCGGTACTGGCCCGACCCCACGGCATCCCGATATCAAGTGATGGCCCTAATTAATTAACAATCGTCCATGACATAATTTCATTTTTAGTTCATGGATTTCCAAGGTTCTGAGCCTATCTCCCAAAGCCCCATAAGCATATCACCACGACCCCGCATGGGTTCATACCTGCACTGAGCAGCGCCTCCTATGTCATAGATATCATGTCATTGTAGAAGCCTCCAACCCCGCTCGAGTCTTTGTTTTACTGTGCTACGATCGGATGTCAAAGATGAGCTGTCAGCAGATGACCTTGGAATCATCATAAGCAACTCTCCCAATTGTCCAACATAGCACCACCCCGCGTCTGTGGAACGGGCGGTTTCAGTAAAATGGTAGCCTGTTTTGCCATTGTACCGTACCACATGCATTAGAAGCAAGATAATGTGCAGTAGTTCGAAAACAGGGCCATCTGCCGAGAACTACATACGTGGCTTGCAATGTACCATGCCCGTGCCCTAAGATCTGCGATATCTGATCACATAGTCCGGAGTACATAGTTCATCTAAGGTCTAAGGACGGTATAGCGGACGGCTTTCAACTGCCGCGAGCCCTTGAAATTCATATTTGTGCTGCCTTACGTGAACCATTCTGAGGTCGGAAACGTTCCGACCGTTTTGTAGATCCTAGAGCCCCGCCAAATTAGAACTCGACGAAATTTCCATGTATCTGGGAATGCGACATGGTTGTTTCAGTGACTGTGGGCAACTGACTTGATGCAGATGCCAAGAATGATGCAGTTGCCAAGAGGTCAATTTTTAGAAGATCTGCAAGAAGCAGCGACATGCAAGAGTGCAGGAGCTGTTCTAGATGGCTGTATTATTGGAGGCTGGCTTTGTTTTGGGTTTTCCTTGCATCCCGACACAATTCCTTGATTGACGAGATTAATTGCCGCTTCTTGACCCACTGGACTTTTTTTTTCTTTCTTTTATGACGATCGGGGGGCCGTGGGTGGGTCTTTCTAAATATCGAACAAGGCAACATTGAAGGCGCGGGATGAAATTAGGCGAAAGCATTTGACCGACAACTCCAGGAGACGTAATTATCTCCTGATGTACATGGTATTCTGGCGGATATCATGGCGGATTGAAATCTTGTTTACTCTGTATACTCCGTACAGGTACAAAGTAGCGGGTGACTCCGTGCAGGGCGCGGGTCACACCATTGGAGGAGAAAGTATCCCTGCGCGATAAAGATAGAAAGGGCAGTGGTAATGGCCAATAACCGTGGCGTTATATAAATTGGGCTCCACTATTGAACCGTTCCAGTTAGCAAAGTGCGTGACTAAGGCCCAGTCCCTGACTTTCGCCCAGTGGCTCGGCCAATGAGCTGACCCGCCCTGATCGGCTTCATTTCTTTTCGAGGTCCCTTTTTCTCTCTTCCTTTCCCCTGTCTGGCCTCTGGGAACTTCTTTTTCCTTCTGCACGTCGAGGAAGTGTTCTATACCGGTCGAATTGTTAACTCTCGATCATTCCACAGGTGCAGTCGGATTGGTTTCCCCTGTCGCCAAGCACCTAGCTTTCGGCCCCCTATTTCCGATATTGTCCAGCATCCACCCTCCCCCCCCATAAATTCCCACAATCCCCGAGAGGCCACTTTTGATTGTGACTCCGGATACTTGGCCTAGTGTGCGACAACGGTTGTTGGGTTTATGATCATCATTTGAAGTTCACCTTTTACACGTCACTGGAGAGCTGTTGCCTCGACAACTCAAGAACCCCGAAAAACCCAAGACCCGCAGTCCTTGGCGTTGCTTGTTTTGCGCGTCAACCCCTCCACGATTACATCTCCCCCACGCGTGCTACGAGAGAAGAAGGCATTCAACACTTTCTACAATATACAAAATGAGGCCGGCTGTTTTCCTTGTCGCCCTCGCACCGGCCGTCCTCGCCGGCCCGTCACCACGCGCCCCCGACAGCACCGACCTAGCCATGCGCTCCACCCCATCAATACCGGACCTTGCCCCGCGCATCGCAGACTCTGAACCGATGATGGGCAAACTGGGTGCGCGGCATATCCTTCAAGCGCGCAGCGAAGGCTCTCTCGGCCAGACCCCGTGGATCGGAATGGCGATCGGGTTGACCTGTACAGCTCTAGCGGCGGTCATGCTAGGGTAAACAACACGACCAACGCACTCCAAAGGCTACTTCTACCTTTATATTCTTCGATATCTACCTCTTTACCTTCACCTTGACAACTTCTCTTCGACTACCCCCTTTCCTCCAATTCTTGACACGACACGTGAATACGCGCCCCCCGAACCTTACCAACATCTTGAATGTTTAATTCGTCGACACGCCTGTCGACTCCTTTGGCACTTTTATTCTGGCGATTCCAGCGACATTTGTTTTTTTTTTTTCTTCTTTTTTCTCTTATTCATTGCATCCATTGCCTGCTCGGCGTGGGGATTCTATTTTGATTTGAGCACCGATTGCATTCCCGCCTGGGCTGCGGGAGTATAGAGCTTGTACATGATACCTCTGGGAGCCTGTGTGTATACCTGGACTGATATTTGTCTGTATTTGTGTGTACATAAATGAAATCATACACTTTATCTTTGAGTTTTTCTACTTTCCACGTTCTTTTTCAACGTTCTTTGTTTGCGACGGCCAGTAGCTTTGGGTACTTTCTTTGTTTGCTCGATCCCTTTGCTTTTTCCCTCGCTAAGATAATCGACCTTTCTACAGAATTCAAACTCGGAACACAGGCTATTATTTGGTCTCTAACTATCCGGTAGCTGGAAACTACCGACTGGTGTATCCTTGGCTCTTAATTCCGTCCCTGCACGTCGAGCCCAGCTTCGAAACCAGCTCAGTTTCCCACATCTTGCTCAAATTGTCATTTGCAGTATCTCGGACTTCAGGTAGATTGACAATGGGAGTCACATTTCAACCATACACACCCGCAACCTCACTCGGCGACGAGCTAGCCATCATCTTCGCGTTTACTGCCGCGATGATCGGGACAACGATCATTTATGTCTTTTTCTGGCGTAGTATGTACTTCATGTCTTTCCTGAAATACAGAGCTCTAGCTCCAGTGTTTCAACACTTGAACACACTCCAAACCAATGCTAATCCCAATCCTAACCAGTCCGACAGAAAAAGAACCACGAAGAAGACCTCGCCCGTCGCAAAGCCTTCCAAAGCCGCTCAGCTTCCCGCGCAGAGACCTTTAATTTTGATCTACAGCTCGGCACCACTGCGACCGTCATAGCAGGCGCAAGCGTTGCAGACAGCTCAGATATAGGTACCGTTATGGGATCGAGCTCGACCGCTACTGCTATACATGAGAAGATGACGGATCGGAATGCTGTTCCTGAGTATCGGGCGGAGTTACCTGTTCATGGAATGGAGTTTGCGCGGGGAGCAAAGGTTATAGGGTTGCGGAGGTAGAATGCTGATGGTCTCTAGCGGTAACGTTGTCTAGATACTGGGCGGAATGAAAGGATCATTGATTCGTGTTGGAGCTGGTAATATCGGAGTTGGCCATGCAATAGGTACCTCAGAATGATTATATCAATTTGGGTGGATACATAGTTTACCTTAAAGTTTCAAGCCTCATCAACAGACTGGGTCATCAAAGCCACGAGTCCATAACAAGGACCCCGTAATCACGACCATAACGCCCAGTCCTACAGCCACACTGATAACACCATAGAAATAGGCATATCTCCTCTTCGTCAGTCCATTCAACTCCACAACCCATGTACTGACCGTAGTGGTCGCACCACAGAAGCCATCCATAACACCCTGCAACACCTGACACCCCGTTAAAGCAGCAGGCACAATAGCCCCAAGCCCACTCACATGCTGCAAATCATAGCACACTCCCTCGACCACCGTCCCAAAGATATTCACCGCAAACGTCCCAAGCGGAAACGCAGGAAGCCGACTATTAAGTTGAAGCGATACATAGAACCTTAAAAGACACCCCAGCGGCGCAAACACAATCGCAAACACCGCGCGTCCCCGCCACTCCTCTGGACCAGCATTATGTCGATCGGGTGGCCAGATAGCCAAGAACACGGCACCGAGCCAGCACCCCCACCCCAGAACCACCATCACGGGGTCGAGCACGCGACGCGTTAGCGCAAAGGGGATGGTGGGCGTAACCCGGTCCAACGCAAGCGCAAGATGCGCCCCGAAGATCAGCGCAGACAGACTCAGCGATACGGTGATCAAAAGCACGGCTACCAGCGCCATGAAGCTGTATCCGCCGTTCCGGGACGCGATGCTCGCACCAGGTGGGAGGGAGGGATCGGGGAGCGCATTTGCCAATGCGAGGAAGATATCGCGTATAAATGAGGAGAACGACGTGCAGCATCCGCAGAAACCGGTTGTCAGGCCAATATACATTGGGATGGTCTTCTTGGCGGCCTTGTGTTTCTTGATGTGCTCTTGTGCCTCGTGCTCATCTTTGGGTGAAATGAGTGGTGAGCCCCATTCTTCGCGGAAGATATTTGAGTCTTCAACTAGGAAGCCCATTATTAGGCTGCCGCTGACATTTGCCCAGAGGACGCCTGTTACCACCGGTGCGCCGGTGTAGAACGTTAGAGCTTGGAGCCCAAGTCGAGCGAGGGTACCGATGATAGAGAAGAATATGAGGTGGGAGATTGTGTACAGGTGGGTTGCGTGTTTAGAGAGGGTTGTGGCGGTGGTCGAGGGGATTGTGTCCAAGGGAGCTTCGGTTGAGTGCCATGTTTGTCTCTGGGATGAGACCGGCTCAACGGGCTGTGGTGCAGAAGTTTCTGTTAGTTGAAGCTCGCGCCGCTCTTGGGAATCATATGTGAGGGGCGCAGCCCCTGATATTGCGCGATCAGACATCGCGTTGAGAGAAGAGGAGCGCGCTTTAAGTTAAGAAAATTAAGGTTGGAGCTTGTTATCTTAGATAATCTATGCAGCCGATGACATGCCTAGTCAAGGAGTTATCGCGACTACGCTATCATACTCCAAGGCATACCTCATCGAAAAAAGTTACTGTTGATGAACCATCATAGATGATATTCAATCTAGGGGCTCTTTGCACAATCTCACGTTTGAAAAAAGAAAAGATTTCTTACTGAACCCTCCGGCTAGGCTATCCGCCTTCATGACATGCCCCAACTATCGCCTGTGCTTATCCCTATATTGACGGAGATGGCGCCACTATAGCTTTGGAGTTTTCCTACCTAATAGCTGGAATGAGCGATTCTTGTAAGTCTTCCTTAGAGAAGCTAGCACCGACATGATGGCTAACTTTTCCCAGCCAGGCTGTCCAGGCTGCCCAGGAAGGAGAGATATCAACTAGGATGACATGGTAAGTGAAGCGCACAGATATCATAGTGAATAAAAGCTGACGCACTTTAGGCCATCGCACTCCGATACAGACTTGCTTCTGTAGCCACGCATACCAGAAATATTGGCTCTGACATAGATGGTACTTGGTAGCGTGACCCAGAGTCAATCAAGGACGGGACCTGGCGAGCGAACCATCTCATCAGCGCTGTGGGTAAGTTAATGGCTATGAATCTTTACAGCTAAAAGCACAAACAAATGTTTTGCTGGCTGTTCCACCGGTGGTCTTCAGACCATGAGAGAGTCCCAAATTTTTCCATTGGAGTATGACAGGATCATCTCTGCCTGCCCGGCATGGTGGACGATACACCTGCACCTTCGGAGTCTCTGGCAGAACACCGTCCAAGCACCAAGTGATTCGGATCATATCGTCCCCAATAACATGTTCAATGTGATCAGCGACGAGGTTATTCGTCAATGTGATCTACAAGATAATCTAGTCGATGGAATTATCGCTGATCCTCCGTCGATTACCTTCCTTTTCTCTGTACCTCCACGCAGAGCAACACATGTCTCACAGGCCCACGGCTGAACACTGCACAAGATCTACCGTGACTGAGTCAAGACCGACCAGACCTTTGTCTACAGCCATGGTGAGTATGGGAGTGAAGCTATCTGGAGCAAGTGTGGCAGTTTCAGGAATGGAAGGACTAGTAATAAGGGAACTGAAGCTCTTGGAACTCGCACACAGAATTAACGCGGTAACTCCTCTGCCAACGACTTTTGATCTCGCGCTTTCTCCAAGAGTGGGGCCAGGCTTCTTCACTACCATGGCCACTCGGACACAACTGTTACCCCTGGCATTGGAATCTACTTCCGTGACCAGATGGCTGAGACGGTAGCGAAGCAAGCTGCACTATGAATAAGTACCCGAGGAATCATGTACGTTCTCATAAGACAGTCTCCTCTTGCTGTAGTAGATGGTGTCACAGGTGTTGGTATAACTGCACCCAAGGTGAGGACGAACCAGGCTTGCTCGTCAAATCAATACACTACTTCTAGTCATAGACAGGAGGAACAACTACTTCCATCCCTCAGTATCCTCAGTAGCTTTACCGGAGAGTTTCATCAATCTCGGGCAATAATACAAGTATTCAGGTTTGAGCCGAAAGTCCATCTCTCGCTTCGACTAAACACCGAAGCCCTGCCAGACTGCAATGTCTGTACCTTAATTTAAGAGGCAGAAGAACGCTTCTACTTGACACCACATGTGCACGGGCCGAGATGCGGTGAAGCCAAACCAGGTACACGATAATGCAAACCCATGTCGCACTGCAGATAAGAACCCCCTCATTCCAGACTACGTAGCTTGGAGTGTTTCAACAAAGCAAGTCCATACTTTAATATCTGATTCCCCTCAACCGATTCCTCCCTTTACCCTGATCTCCTCTCTCTTCCATCTCCCCCACATTCGTCATGTCCCTCCCCTCAAACATTCACGTCTCCACCCATCCCTGCCTTCAGGCAAAGCTCTCCCAGCTCCGCTCGGCCAACACCAGCCCACGCGAAACAAGAGCACTCATCCATGAGATCTCATCGATAATCGGCGTCGAGGCATTTGCAAAGGGACTCACTGTGACGAAGACGGGGACGGTAGGCACAGTCATTCCGTCATAGGGTCCACTACAGCTAATGCTGTGTTCATAGGATCGTACCCCGCTCGGTGCTGAGTATGAGACACAAGGCATTGACCCGGCGGATTTGGCACTTGTGCCGATTCTAAGGTCGGGGCTGGGCATGGTTGAGGGTTTGTTCATTCTTTTACTTGACTATTCGGTTCTCTTTCTATGGCTATGGTCTTTTTCATTATCCAGCATATACCCCGCAGCTGGCTTCTGGCAACTAACAAAAACAGCCATGAACTCCCTCCTCCCAACCGCCGTCCCAATCTATCATTTAGGTCTTTTCCGTGAAAAGATTACCCTCCAACCCGTAGAATATTACAACAATCTCCCCTTCCACCGCAACGAACTTTCACCGCAAAGTCCTGCGCTCCTGGATCCGTCTGCTGCTACGACGAACACAGCTGCGGCGACGCTGGCGGTGCTACTTGATCCTATTATTGCGACGGGTGCTACGGCCGAGGCCGCTATACATCTGTTGCGGGAGTGGGGTGTGCAGAGGGTTATAATGTTGAGCGTGCTTGCTTCGGAAGAGGGGATTCAGCGGGCTGCGGGGACTTGGGAGGGGGGTTGAGGTTTGGGTTGGAGGTATTGATAAGACGATTAATGAGAAGGGGATGATTGTGCCTGGGCTTGGGGACATTGGAGATCGGTTGTTTGTTGCTATTGGGAAGTAGATCGGGATTACATAGATGAGAAGTAGGCGTTGGTACGTAGGAAGCTAAGAATCATGGATTAGAATTATGATCTCGATTACTTTACTTATCAACCAACTGTTTACTATTACTTGAACTGATTCCCCGCCAAATATTGTATTCATCGATTACGTATAGTACATGGAAATAAGGCGTCAAAAACATGTGCAGGTGAAACAAAGAATGCAGACAATGCTGAGCTGAGAAAAAAAGAAGCAGTGGCGGGGAAGTAAAGGTGCAGATAACATCAAATACAGCAGACCAGGTTGCTCTGGGCCACAAGAAGCATATGAAAGCAGATGAGAGCGAGATAAGAAAAAAAAAAATCAGAAAACCATAACAGCAAATCAACGCATCAGAAACCGTAAAGTCAAAAGGTATCAAGAGATCAAAAAAGCAGATGGACGGGGGCACGATTAGGGGCTAAGGAGAAAAACAAAAAACTCCATCGAGTGCGAAAGAACACACAGGACCAGCCAGGTGTTGAAGAGGGGACCAAAGCAGAAAACACCACACCGGACTCCCTGGTGCAAAGATAGATCAGGGGGAAAGATGCAACCCAAAGTAGTAGAAAAGTCAGGAATCACACCTAAAGGCAGATTGCAGAATGACGGCGACGTATTCCCATAGCCATAAACACCCCGCCTGCCCACCGGTGTACCCGTTCCTGAGTTTTCCCATGTCCCATAAAGCGTCCAACAAATGAGAGTAAGAAAGCCCGAAAAAAAAAACATAAAAAGATTTCAAAGATGCAGAAATCAAAGAAGAGTAGAGAAAGATTAGTACGCAGTGCCAACGCTAGCAAGCGACTTGGTAGGGACTGCGTGGATCGGCTGGTCCTTGCCAACGCGCAAGGAATCCTCATAGCCGACCAGAGCCTGAGAGTGGAGCTTGAATGACTCGCCCATCAACTTTGTGATACTAAAGAAACCGTTAGTTTTATATCTCAAAAATAGTGGAATGACAAGACTTACCCCCAAACAACCACGCCGTCCAGGATGTTACCCCATACACGGGCCACAGTAGAGCTGAGTTTACCAAAAGCGTCGATGGCATCATCATCAAACAAGTTGCGCACCTTGTTGTAAATAGCCAGCTCAGCCTCAGTAGCTGGCTCTTCGTCATGTTCCAGGCGGTAGAGCCAGAGGCTGAGAATGACCATCAAATCCAGGCCACAGAGGGGGTGCTCGACACTCCAGTTGGTAGCGGAGGTCTTGGCAACCCAGTTGATACCCTGGATGGCGGCAATCTCAATGCACTCGAAACATTGCTGAACGACCTTGTTCATCTCCTGTCCGCGCTTGACCTTCTCACGAGCGACAGTCATGGCAGCAGCCACTTCATACGAGGAGTGGTAACGCATGGCCTCCTGGATGGACTTCAGATCAACTTCCAGGCGGGCGCGAGTATTGCGGTAGACGGCCATCGAGTTGAAGATCAAAGGATGACCCTTCTGAGGAGTGCTGAGCGGGACAACAATGGTCTCAGACTCACACACATCGAGGGAGCTCTCCCAGGTTTCGAGAGCCAGACGAAGCTTGTACTCGGTAACCACGTCTTGCAAAGCCTCAAAGCTGCGCTTGTGATTCCAGACCTGCAAGAAGAGAGCGTTGATCAGAACACGGGTAGCGAAGGCACTGTAACGAGTCTGCTCGCCCTGGAACAAGAAATCGTGAGCCTCACGAACGGTGAGAGTGCTGGTGGTAGTGCTACGGCGCCAGGTCTCCTCGTCGGATGGGTCCAGGTTCCAGAGGGACTCCGAGGATGGGAGCTCGAGGTTGTCGAACTCGTCAAAGCTCATCGCGGGGGTGTGGTTGAAGGTGAGAGTCAACATGCCGAAGAAAATGTACACCGCGAAGTAGGTACGACGGCACGACTCATCCTCAATCCAATCCTCACGTGTGGTCGGAATACCTTGGCGAGCATCAGTCCGCACCTTGAGCTGGTACCGGTTGCCGGCGACCATGTTGGCGAGAAGACTCTTGATAGAGCAAGTCCATTCAAGACCCTTAGGGTCACCACTCCAGCTCTCAAAGACCATGTTCAGCAGGGTGCTCTGCATCAACCAAAGAGGGCACTTGCGAGAATCGAAGTTATCCTTGTGTTGCAGGAACTGGTTGACCAAAACCTTGGAGCCGACGTGTAGCATAAAAGCGTGCTCGCGCTCGAAGGTGTAGAGCGCGCCGATCGAGAGAACTGCGAGCAATAGCGGTGCAGACACGGTAGTAGGGTTGAATGATTGCTGGTGCAGGAAGGGCAAATGAGGGTGGTACAGGTTAAAGTAGGTAGACAGGTACCGGTTCAATGCGATAAGACCTGGCATCTGGAAGGTCTCGGGGAGACCGCCAAGGCTGTCTGCATTTTGAACACGCTCCACCACCAGGTTGCGTTCCATCTCATCCACGATTTGCGGAGCTCTGGGGAGAGTCAAGGCTTGGCTAGGACCGGGAGACCGACGGTAGTTTACGGGGCTTACGGGACCGGTCATGGAGGGGTAGGGGGAGAGCGCGTTCGGGGTCGAGTTGCCAGACATGGGCATAGAGTTCGACAGGAGCACATCTCCGACGGGGCCGTGACGGTCGACGAGGGTGGGCATTGAGCCGGCATCGGCGGGCGAAACGAGAGTGTCCCAGGGCATTTGTGGCAGGGTAGCGTTGCCAGAAAGGTAGGGCTCGAAAGAGCCTTGGCCGGGGGACAGCGATTCAGAGCGCTCGGAAACCTGACCAGTCGCCGCTGCTGCAGCCTTATGTTGGAAATCTGTCATCAACATGGCTGCAGTTTCAAGGTCCACCATACCATCACTGCTTGCCTCAATCTGCTCCAGAGTCGCTGGGTCAATTGTGATTGAGGGTTTGGAGGGGGCAGAAGTTGTGGACTTCTGAACACCACCACCACGTCGGCGGCCCTCGGCGACCAGAGGGATTCCGCCATCCTTGGCGTGTACAGTTCGATCATGGCGCAACAAAAGATCGCGACGAACGAAGGTACTCCGACATTTTAGGCACTTGAAAGGGCGTTCTTTTGTGTCTGCAAAAAGTCAGTATTGAGGGGGACAAAAGTGCTGTGGGGAGTCCGACTAGACATCCCAAAACTGGCAACTTACGTGACCGTTCATGTCTGCTACGATGTTCACTGCGACTGAAAGCGCGATTGCAAAATTGGCACTTGTACTTCTTCTCTGGAGCTGACGCCTTCTTAGCCGGCGAGTTGCTGGCTGTCCCGGGAGCTGACGGAGCCATGTGTGTGTATCTGTCGAATCCTTCTCAAACAAAAATAGTCGAGTTCGGTGGTATGGTTCCCTGGGTGAGCTCGCACCGGTTCCTTAAACGTGTCGACGACAGAAGTTCGTTGGGATGTCTGATCATTCCTATGTGGGGGAATCACGGGTATGTAAAGGCGAAAGTGGGTGTCCAGCCACAAGGGAAAACAAAAAAGGAACGCTCGAAAAGAAAGGCGGGTGAGCGTTAAGCACCGCGATAGGAGGGGTTATAATGTGTTGAAGAAAAGGTGGGAGGGGGGGGGGGGGAAGAGGGGGAAGAAAGAAAGTGTGGATGAGGAGAGAAGAGGAATTTGGAAAACGGGTTTCCTTTGGGGGGGGGGGGGAGGGGGGATTGAAGGGAGGGGGAACGATGGGACGTGGGCCCAAGCATCGCTTACTACGCGTGAGTCGCGCCGAGGGGCGAAAGCGGGACTGGAGGGGACCAGAGGGGGGGGAACTGCTCGATTCACAGTGGGAAAAGGCAAATCATAGTAAATCCGAGGGGGCTGGGAATCACTTCCTGCTCTCCGGCCACGCACTCCCCCTTCCTATCACCACAACCACACTATAGTTGGACTAAAAACTAATGATGTGCCCCCCTTTTTACCATACTAAATAGACACGTCGTAATATTCAAACGCAAATCTCATTCGACCCGATCGCCAAAATTTAAAAATGAAAACACATGTGGCCCGCAGTTGAAATCCGTCATTTCGGTCCTGCCGAACGTTTACATTTTACTTCTTTAGGTTCGGTTCTTTAGATGTATAGGAATTACCTTTCTTCATGGAGGGAAAAAATTCAATACTGTGGATAGTTGACAAAGAATGATCTATACAAAAAATTGAGATCACATAGAATGAAAGGAAAAAAAATTCAAATCCAGAAAACAAAAAAAAAAAAAAAAAAAAACAATATTCAAGGGAGATCCGGAACAAAAGTGGGAATAGCGCTGTCTGCTGCGAGGGCTCTCTCGAGTGGGCCATGCAGTGGCCCCTCGCTCACTAAAAACACCGAGACCCATAGTATAGGATTAAGAGACTAGGACTTATATTTTCAGGAAAATGTGTGGCTGGCATGTGAGGCGATTTAGTGTCTTGATCGTGGCACATCCACAGCGGTGCAATCTTCTAACTGGTTACGTGGGTCATCTAGGGCCCTGGTAGGTAGCCCTGCATTCACCTGTCATCATTGATGCCTTATACATGAACGCGATACTTTTGATACTCACAACCATGGTTCATGCCCACGCTACCCCTCTTGTCATCCAAACCCCTCCGATCGGCACGATCATAGATTGGCTCGGTTGATCGGGTATCTGGATATCGTTACACACTTCCGACCAAGACACGGGCAATCGGGTGGATTGGGAATGAGACAGGGATGGATTTGCTCACATTTCTACTCTCAAGGTTTTACATGATAAATCGGTGGGGACTTCTCTACTGTAGCAAATACCGTCTAATAAATCTACGGGGACCTTCCTCCAACACTCCGGATAGCGCTAGAATAGCCTCGATCGTGTCTATCCGCGGGGCGTAGGTTAGTTGCAGCCGGTCCAGTCGATCAATCCACCACGATCGTTCTGGTCTTGGACTTCCTATTCAAAAGGGTCAATCAAACTCAGGGATGCTATTCGGCCTGGCAGGTGCGCCACACCTCTTTCAAAGTACGATAGACCCCCTTTATTATTGACAGATCATTGATGTTCACGTACTTTTGTTCTAGGTCTGACTGGTCCAGATTCCGTCTCATCTCGGAGCGCCCCGCTCTGTGGCGGTCCCAAGCTGTGCCACGCTGGAGGGGGGATTCGCCCAGATTAATCCAAATCCATAGAATACGTAGATGCGATATATCACTATATACCTGCACCGCCCACGGGGTATACCTCTTCAATGCCCTCACTTCGTCACAGGCCATAAGCCATTGTCGATGCATAAGATGTACGACACCAAGTCATGTCTGTGCGACGTTGGTGTCTGAAGCCACCCAGGCATCACCTGCCGGACTGCAGGGCGATCTGCAAGCAAAATGCGACTCGGGTCTTTGGGTTGAATTACCATCATCTGATTCAGAACCCACTGTTTTAGGGCAAGACCCATGCATCTATACGTCTATTTTGCCGGGTTACGGGAGTATGACCGAATTGTCTTGATCATGATATTTCGCTCTCCGCAAAATCATGTATTTCTTTTAAAGCGTGCCGGGCTTCTCGGGGTCCACTACAATCTCAATAAACGGTCAAGCCCGTGAGTTGGCTAATTCTTGTACACCGCACAAAACCCGTGTCGTGAATTCCCGGCTCCCCTCCGTGGGGCACTGCATCATTAGGAGCCCGAAGATCCGCTAGGACTAAAGACGCGGAAGACCGACGCGGTTACTTGGGAAACGCGTCTGGCGACGCCCCTCCGGGTGGAGATACGCGATGCAGCCCAGGACGGCACAGAAATGGAAGATCAGCCAGCGAGGGGGAAAAAGTACTCTTTACAGTACATCGTTCCCCCTTGACCCCTCGATGATTGACCTATCAATGTATTTCGATCTATGCAATGCAAAGCAAGCAGAATCCTACAAGTATACTTTTCGAAGGTACATTTTATACAGCAACATCTGCAGCCATCCCTTGATTTGACCGGGGGTCCCGCGCAATCGCTTCCAGCGGAGTTCTCGGATGATCATCGAAGCCTCAACGAACCTACTCCATCCGGTTACATCAGCTGAGTAGAGCGGTGGAGAACTGGCGATTTAGAAGGATACAGAAAGGGGAGGATGGTGATAGCCCTTGACTTGACCAAAAAAAATTATATTTCCAATAATGGCTCGATCCACTTCCCGATGCAGCGGTCCGACCCAGTTTCCAACGTTCTCGACCCAAGCATGAATCAAGGGAGAGAAGATGACGACGTAGTGCAGATTGAGCGGTGACTTGACCGCCTGGGATTTGGTACTTTTGTTCTTGTTATATCAAAACGACCAGTTGATGTGCCACCATTCCGATCCCTTGGTTAACGCCCAAAGCCCTAAAAATCCGACATTCCATTCTTGAGGTTCATCTGAAATGAACTGAATCTGACTGTTCAGGCTGAGGTCCGACTCCGAAACCTTATGAATCCATGATTCCACCCTAGATTGCATTTGATTACTCCGTACGGAGTAGGGAACATAAGCACGAACATTATTAAGACTTAGACCATCAAATATTTCCAAACAATAGATCTGCAGAAAGGGATCGGAATCGGCCCAGTCATCATTGAAACACTTTGACCTCGAGAACATACCCGTAGAAATGTAAGACAAAAAAAGCTCTCTATCTGTACCAAGCTAACAGCTCCACACACACCTACATTTTGTCACAGGAATCTTGGGACCGTCTTCCCCGGCGCCGGCCCCTGAACTAATGAGTTCCGGCAGCCTGCGTCTGCTCGATGGGGTCCATCGTCCCGACAACTCCTAACGAAGTGGGGGGTTAGAGTGGACACACACTGGATCCGCTGGTCGCGCCCCGCCGACGCCAGGACGGTCTGGAATTTCTGAATCTTCCTCGCTAGCAGCTCTGGTTCATTTAGCTTGCAAGATGTTGTCGAAGATGTCGGTGAGACCTCATCGTGCATGTAGTTATTCCCAACTATTTGCTTCACCGCTTCGTCACATGGCTTTCTAGGATTCGAGGTGCACATGCAGGTCCCGCTCTCTTTGGGATTTTTGTTTTATCTTTAATTTTTTTTTTTTTTCTTTTCTCGGCTTTTAATTTTCCTTTGTGCGCACTAGTTTTATCTCTTTTACACTTTCGCTAAAGATGGGGCGTTTGAAACCCCGACTTTCCGGTGCCCTGGGAAGCAACACCTCCGAGATGGAGGTTCCACTGGTGTGTGTGGGTTTCCGTGTTCACTTATGATTGATTGCCGAAAGGGTCATCGAAGGAAAGAAGCCAAATCCGAATCCGCCTGCCTAGTTCAGTCGGCTTTGTCTTTAGGATCTTCATGTCTATGTACCCGATCTAACGCCCCCAAAGGATTCCGTCAGTCCGCTTACCCGTTAATCTGTCCCGTCCCAGGATCTGGACTCGGCCCACAATCAGGGAATGTAAATTTCACATTGAACCACTATGGAAACTCCGTTTATGAAGCTTCCTTCCGGCAGTTAATTACTGGATCCAGTTAGTTTCATGAGACGTAATTGACCGCCGTTCGTTATTCTTTAATTTGCCACACTGGGGTACAGACTGGAGAATGATGAGAATCAACTATGCCAATCCCAATATCAAGCCTCATTGAATACATCACCAAATTAACGAGTGGTAGTTCATGAGACCATCCCTTGAAACCTTGGAAAGAAATGAGGGTTCCGGGGAAGTACACCCGGTCCATGGTTCACTCCCGCCAGATCGAACCAAATCAAATCACGTTCCTGATATCACAGGATTTCCGAAAGTCCAGACCGACGCAGGGCTGCTGCTGCCGCCGTGTACGTGGCATTATCTCACCGTCATTATTCCCCAATTCCAGGATTTGGTTTTAGTAAATTTTAGCCTGATGCAGGGGATGCATAAGATAATCAATCTCCCTTGTCCTAGTTATCAGCGCGAGGACCTTGGTCATTTTCAATAATCTAAATTATTGGACCTTTTTTTTTTTTTTGCAAACGTACGCCCCGCGCCGATGTGCTTCGGAATTTTCTCGAAGGGGTGGAACACCCCAATCCTTGGGAGTGGAAAAGAAACGGAGAACCCAGCGACCTTTTTTCCTAGACTAAGTTCAGAGAGCGGAGCTGTAGGCTTGCTACTGACGATACATATCGTAACCGGCAACTCCACCCAGTCTAGCGAATAATCTATCGAATGCAACGGCTTGGAAGCTCTTCCTCCACGCGTGTGAGTGGAGCAGCAGCAGGAGGGGATCACCACAGATTGGCTCCGTACATTCTACATATGTAGAAAGAGGGGCGTTGTGCAAGATTGATGTTCATGAACGACAGCTCTGGGTCCGCCTCCTGGCATGGGGGAACAATTGCGATTATGAAATTGGGAAAGGGGCAATGAAAATGATGATTAGGATCAGCGGTCGGGCCCGACACTCTGGATACACAGGGGCTAGACAGTGCTCCGCGATTGGATGCCCGCTGCCCCGAGCGGCAGGATGAGTCTCCATTGGTACTGGAATCCCGTCCGGCTGGGTAAGCTGCAATGATGTCGTCCACCGAGAGAGGTTCCTGAGATTCCCGTTATGTCCACTCCTGCAAGGAACAGGGGACGAGGATTGGCGGTGGCAAATTG